ATCCTTCGAATTCGCTTTCCAACGCCGCACGCTCGACATCTGTTAGAAGAAGGGAAGGAGTAGGAGATTGGGAGGGAGGGAGTAGGAGATTGGGACGAGGGAAGGAGTAGGAGATTGGGAGGGAGGGAGTAGGAGATTGGGACGAGGGAAGGAGTAGGAGATTGGGATGAGGGAAGGAGTAGGAGATTGGGAGGCAGGGGGACCGCTAAAGATGTTACGATTAAAAGAGAGCAAGAGACTGGGACAAGAACTGAGCAGATAGACGATAGTTGACGATGTAGATGTAATCTTCAGAGTGCAAGTTCAAGTGACAGAACAACGCTTCATCCATATCTTCGTGAGCCATCGCAGAGTCAGCTTGTCCCCGACACGCAGAAGAGCACCGTCAGCGTAGCCAGAGTCCGGCGTTCTGGCATAGAATTTCGAGTTCCACTGTTCCGCTAAGGTCAGTTCTACTTCACCCAACTCCAGTAACTTGCTCAGCGTCCTCGGCGCATGGTCCACGACTGTTGGCGTGATAGTGACTGGGGATCCATCCACAGGACTCACATGCACTCCTCTTCCAACGTCTCCATAAGAACGATACCCGTAGGAGGTTTCTAACTCCGCCTCAACCGGATCTGGGAGCGGATGCAACACTTGGGCTGGAATGGTATTTTTACCAACTACTGCAGTTCCTGTACCTGGTGTACCTGTACCCAGGTGCACAGAAGTACTAGGGTAAGCACTCCCCATCTGCATGAACGCAGCGCCAGATATACCATCCGCATCCTCTTGATTTGCGATAGCCAATGCGGCGCCGAATTTTATACCAGCACTCTTGAACTGATGGGATAACATTTTCCTGAGTCGACCTTCAGCGACGAAAAGACGTGGGGCCCAAACTGTAACGCGTTTATTTCCAGAAAGGTCATCCTCGTGATGGACCAGCTTGATGTCGTTTGACTGGAGCGTCTCTGGGATTTAGAGCTCACGTTGAGCAGTTGACTTCTAACTACTAGTACTCAAGTTAGTGGTTCTTCTTGTGGTTGTTGTATCACATAGCCTTAATGCACCTGATTCCTCCACTCCTCTCTTGCTTCTTGTGTCATATGATGTCGTTGTTTTCTAGCTCTATGGCGTCCTGCTCTTGATCCTGGTCTTCCCTTACCTCCATCATCTAGCAGCATCGCTATCGGATCCTCGACATGAGGTGGCGTGAGACGGTCTAACCATAGCACTTCAGCAATGCGTTCCTTGATGGCGTCCCCCCTTAGAGCTACCGCGGTAACAACTCATTCACTTCAGTAAGCCGCGTAAAGAGTAGAAAGACTCAAATGAAAGACTCAAACTACAACCGATTAATGGCGAGTTAGAATGATCCTTGGAGGCGCCGTTTTCGCTTAGGAAAACGGCCCAGGATGACGCTGCGGATGCTACCTTTCTTGCCGTAACTCCATCTTGATCTCAGCTGCAATCAGGCGTTCTTCATCCTCAGACTTTCGAACCTGGTTTTCTGCAGCGCGAAACGACTTGTCTGCCGCGATGGAGAAGAGAGGGTGCCCTATTGCTTTTTTCGACACCGGAATACGCATCGGAAGATACAGGGAGTTGGCTCTATGCCGTCGTGTACCATGTTCAACAAAAGAAGAAGAACTATCATGGCCTCCAGCTCTATCACCAGGCACATCACGAGGTGGATTCAGATGTTGGATGGTCCGTTCTCTAGCTGAGCCATGATCCCTTCCCCTTCTTATTTCCAGCCACTCGCCATCCGGCGTTACTTGTCCTCGAACGATCTGTCCCCACCACGCAACTCGACTAGGACTATCTAGAACATCTAGCGATGGATCCAAAAATCGAGGAACCCAGTCTCCTCGAAATTTTCGTCCACTACTGCGTTCTAGCTCTGCCAGACTCGTCTTCTTGACACCATTATAATCGTGATGTTCCAGTAGCATTGGTGGTAAGGCATGCTTTGCCCTCACGGACAGACTTAGAGCTTGCCCAAATTCTTGATTCGTCATCAAGTGCATTTTTGTAGCGTTTTCCCCGTTATAAAGCACGTCAAGCTCAACGATGCCTCTTAAGATGAATTTGAATCAATGACAACGGTAACAGCCAAGCCTTAAGAGATCATGTAGAAGTTTTTGAGCGCCAGGTAGATTCAAATCGACGACCCAAGGCACATGGCCCTTGATACGCATCCGATCCAGAAGTTCCTGTACATTGTTCTGTTCTTGTAGGAGAGAAGACGGATGATGTTGCCCTTTTTTTGATCTCGTGCTTGTGATGTCATGCAGCTGTTTTGAAGGTGGATGACAGTGATATACTGTGAAATCTTCTTGTTCTTGCTGTTGTTGATGCTTTTTCCCAGAGCTAGAAGATGAAATCGTCATAAATGACGATGATGAACCAGGAGGCCCAACCGCATCTCCTCGTCCGTGTTCCTTCCGCCTTAGGGAAACAACTTTTTGTCTCCTACCACCCTGAAGCAACACTGTAGCCTCCAAGAAACCGCCACCCCTACATGATACAGGCACATTTTGATGGGGGTCAACACCCAGAACTTGCACTTTCTGCTTTTTCCCAGTTTTTTCGTTCACTTGTTCTTCCTCCACGTATTGAAGGAAGAGACCTTGTGCAAATGACGATGATGAATGCATACTGCGGAGATGCTTCGTTGTACTTGTATCATGTCCTTTGTCCTGCTCTTCATCTTCCTCCACCGCATCAAGGTTTGGAACTACCTCCTCGCTTCGGTTTTGATCATCATCTAGTACACGATGTTTTCTCCTGATGTGCGTCTCCGCAGACGAGTCTGTTGGTGCTTGTTTTCTACCAGTCTGACTTCGAGTGGTAGTTTCCGCAAAAGACCTACCAGCAGTGTCGCCAAAGCTACCTCCATTATTGTTCGCGAGGTGGTTGTTACCACTTTTAGCACACAGTCGCGGCTCTCCATCTTCCTTCATAGCAGTGCTCAGATAGACGCCACCACGCGCAGAAGGATCATAAGCCGGCACATAGAATCCTGCTGGGCATGCCTTCTCACTCCTCATCTTTAGCTTTTTCCGATGTTTCTTCATCGTTTCCCGATACAACTGAACGTGGCTCGAAGAAGCTGGATGAGAAGTACTAGAATAGTACGAGGAAGATCTTGTTGTAGTTGATGTGGAAGAAGGTTCTTTTTTTGGACTTGACCAAGTAGATGAACTACTTCTTTTCTTGCGAATTGACCTTCTCGCAGAAGCTCTACCATCATGCGCATGCCCAATATCGTCTCCACCAGCACCACCTTCTTCAGGCGCATCAAGATTAATGCTGCCTCCTCTATGTTTCATCTCGACCACGGAACTTGCCGGCAGTGCATCTTCGTCTGCAGCAAGTACCTGATCTGCTGCACCACCACCTCCAGCTGTACTAGGACTAGTACCTGCATCTTCGTCCACTCTTGTCCTTGTCGTCCCTACAGATTCACTTGAAGATCTAGTTCTTTCCTTGTCATCCATGATCGTTTTTCCTTCTCCAACAGCCTTCGAATCGACTTCTCCATCTCCCCGAATCCAAGCCACCGTTTCCCGTACCACACCTGGTGCTTCTTCCACAACCCTGTGGGCTGTATTTTTACCATCCTCCAACGCTTTCCGAACCACCTCTTTCGCGTCAGCTGTCAATTTCCGTACATCACCAACATGACTCTGAATGAAGGATTCTGTAGATCTCAGGAAAGATGATAGGTACGCTTTCGGGTGCCAAGCAGACGAGGACTGGTGGTCCTCTTCTGTAGATTCAGCGGTCTTTCCTTCACTACTTTCCGGTATCGTACTCGTAGCACTAATGGAGGAGGAGGTATCCACTTTATCATCTTTTCCAGCATGTTGAGTGCCTTCATTCCCTCCGGGAGCATCCTGCTTAGTAGACGAGGCGCCATCATTTTCTCCACCACGACCTTTTCGCGCTTTCTTGGTCGTGTCTTCACGTCGCAGCAGCGACGACGTAGAAACCAAGTGTGGCAGAGACGTCCAGAGGATCAGAGCTGCCACCGCCAGTAACTGACGTCGAAACGACGGTGATAGAGCCAACATTACACCTCTCGTTGCGTCTTCTTCAAAGAAGACGATGTACTACAGCACTCGCGTGCCCCATCTGCAGCTCCTCAACATCGGTCAATCGCTCGGACGTCGAGCAAGAACGGCAGCAGACTTTAGTAGCCTGGATTAATAGCAAGCAAAAGGTGGGCGAAGAACCACCCGCTCAGATTTTGCGACACATTTTTGATCATGGTCAAGCTCATGATTGATCTTACTTTCTATTTGTCTGAAAATAACAAGAACCAAGGGCAAAAGGAGTGTGTGAGTGTGTTTGTGTGTGGGACCACAAATTGATCTTAATCACGATGGTGGTTATGATTCCTCACTCACACTCTACTGCTCAGGATTCAGAACCTAGTGAACGCCAGAGAATGTTGTCATTACCGAAAGGCTATGAGACTGCAGATTGAAGAGGCTCGCATCCACGCTCCACCGATGTAATCAAAAATCTGAATCCAATTCCCAAATTCCAACTTATGCTCACAAATTACTCTCATCCGTTCCATTTCCATCGTTGAAATTTTCCTTGCTAGACGCCTCACGAAGAGTAGCAGTAGTTGCTGCCCTCCTGAGACACACCAAGGAAGATAGAGCATACAGTATACGCGGCACGTGACTGTCCATACTCCCGCGCTGCAGACACGCAGGTTTGTCGTCCTTTGATGCGATTTTCTAGGCTCCCAAGCCCAAAATAGACGCAATGTATGAGCTCATCGATTTTCAGTTCACAAAAAAGTCAAGAACTTTCAAAAAAACAGACAAGGAATTTCAAACTGTTATCTTCAAGGAATCGATCGACACTATTAATTCAAAATGATCTCAATCTCAAATTTAGTGCTCAAAGTTAGTAGATTCAATCTGACCTTCTGTGCGTTGATATATTAATGTACATTCATTCTTCTTGTAGCGCAGAGATAGTTGTACCCCCAGCCCCCTTCTCGCAAGCGGATTATGGTAACCCGATTCCCGCTTTTGTACCCCCAGCCCCCTTCCCGCAACCGCATGGCCCACATGGTTGTAACAACATCACCAGGCCCATCTTAAAAGTCTTCACTTTTGAAGCTTTCACCCTGCGAAAAAATCTCTTCCTCTATCTCTTCTTCGATGATGTCGTCTTCTTCCACGTCAGCTGCTTTCTCCGCATTTCTCCTACTCAGTAATCCCTGGTATACGCTGTCTAACTGCGTGGCCATAGCAGGGGCATCTGAGGCAGGTGTTTGAGTTTCTTCCCTAAAACTAGCAGGTACAATTGTTGCAGTAGTTGTTTTCCCAGGGACAATTGGAGGAAGCACGGATGCTTTTGTGTATGAAGCCAAAATATGTTATCATTATCATACTTTTCTACTTAAGAAACTTGATAATGATAACAGATTTTGGTTTCATATTGTGGCTTCTTGTTGTTCTGTGAACGGAGACGATGAGAAGGCAGTTGCTGATCCTGCACCAACAGCAGGAGCAGCACCAGCAGGAGGCGCAAACGAAGAAGATGTTACAGTAAAAACATCTTCTTGTTGTTCTACTTTGTCCTTCTCCATCTTGGCTCCACCTCCTGTACTAGAGGAAGCGAAAAAATGGTCTAAGTGTAAAGACATTTCGCTTTTTGTGCCCTCGCTTTTTGCATCATCAGGAATTCCACCAGTCTCTAGCGCCGACGATGTTACTGCTGCTTGTGTTCCTACACCTACGGGCACTTCTTCATCCGGCGTTTTGTCTTGGCGAAAACCCGATCCTGATGATCCAGCAGCACCACCTGATCTTCCCTCAAGATGAAGAACCATCTTTTCAACTCCAAAGCTCGAAGTAGATGCTATCACTCCACCTCCAACACTTACCGTTTGACTGGGCTTCGGCGGCGATGGTGGCTGCAATCCTAGAGGTTCTGCCTCAGAAGAAGATGCCGTCATCATACTAGATACAGCGCCAGGCTGCCCGCCACGCGGAGCAGCCGCAAAGTCGGTCACGGAACGTAAGACCATCTCACCTCCATCTACTTCTCCACCAGCTGTCTTATTCTTCGCATTATATAATCCAGATCCTGGACCTGATCCGGTTCGAATCTGCACTGGACTAGCCTGAAATTGATCACGGATCTCCCGCGATGACATCGGTGGTGAGGAGACGAAGCCAGTTGTGAAAGCATCACGCGTCTGTTCAACATACTTGATTGTTGTCGAAGATGTTCCTGCCGGTTTAGGCATAGGTTTGTCGTTACCGCTGAAGTCATGGTTATCCCGATCTACATCGATTCCTCCTGATATTTTCATGGGAGCGAATATAGCTGTGGATGATTTGATAGTTTCTATCCTATCTTCTTCCTGGCTGTTGTCCTTCTTCGCTCCGTTTGCCAGTGCCTCAGCCGTTGCTCGTGCGCCACCGCCAAGTTGATTAGCGCTGGAACACGAAGACATGATGGAGTATATCATCACTCCTAAAAATAGCACAGGACTTCTAATCGCCTTAACTATGATCACATCTTCCTCATCGGAACTGGCATGTGCTCCACCACCTCCAGCTTCTTTCAGAATGGCTTCTACGTCCAAGGGCCCACTGCTCCTGGAGAGCGACATGTTGCCGGTTTTGAAGAACCCGTTGCGTGCAAAGTCAGCTATTTTGTGTTAGAAGAGTAAGAGTACAGGTCGGCGTACGAGTAGGAGTGGAAGAGCAAGAATCCATGTAAGCATTTTTTCAGGTATCATGAGAAGTCCTCAGTCACAGGGTATTTTTCAAGTCATCAAACAATCAAGCTCAGACCCACATTGCCATAATCTTGATTCAACTGTCTCGTTTTCCTCTCCAACGCCGCTGCACCAAGGACTGTGTCCGCATGGCTATTTCCAGCTGCTCCCCGACTCGAAGACGAACCTAAGAACCCGGATGAAGATCCTGGCGCAATTCTACGACTTGACGTCGTAGCTAGGTCTCGGTCAATATCCTGTTCCCATTTCGTGAAAAGCTTTTCTGCGTCCACTACGGGAGAACCGTCAACAGAACGATTGTTGGGGGAGATGGAACCTGGTATGGGACGTTTGAAGAGAATTGACAATGTATAGGACGTCGATTATCTAAAAAAGAGGAAAAAAGTTATCCATCTTGATCTGCTTCGAGGCACTAACAACAACAATCCTGCCAGAAGAGTCAGGATAAAAAACGTCCAATTCGAATATATAAGTAAATGAACAAAATTATACCTTGTTGATATTGCGCCAATATAATCTGTTCCATCTTTCTCATCTCTCGTTCTTTGAGTAGGCCGTCTTCGTTCGCGCGTTGTAGGCGTTCGACCTCGACTTTGAGTCGGATATTGTCTTCTCTGAGCTTCAAAACTTCCGACCTCTGATCTTCAGCTTCCTTGTCACTGCGCGAGCGAGAGGCAACTGCGCGCTCTAACTCGCTGTGCTTGGTCTGGTGTTCGAATTGAAGTAGATGAGATGGATGGATGGATGGATGGGTGGATGAATGAGTGAGATTGTTCGTCGTGTAAGCAGTATTTGCTGAGCGTCTGTTGATTTGATTGTGTCACGTTTGAAAGAAAGAACTAAATTTACAAGAACGTAGTCTGGATCTAGGACTAGGTGTGTGCTACGAACTAAACAAAATTACCGCCGTCTCCTTCCTGCTTTCTTCGACTTGACCCTGCAAAAGCTTGAGATTTTCTTCCTGTTGTTTGATCAACAAAGCTTCCTTCGCGCGCAAAGCCACTGCAGCTTCTTCTTGTCTGTGAATCTCAGCTTCTCGCATATCATTGACCGCTGCAAGTTTTTCTGCTTGCTTCTGCTCGTGGGTATGAAAGGGGTGTAACCCCTTCATGGCAACGTGAACTTCTGAGTGAGCTTCCTCCTATGAGATTTTTCGTACCCTTACCTATATCATAATGAAAAAACGGATCGAAGCGAAAAATTTAAATTATCAAAATCAAACCCATAAACTTTCGCTTGTTCCGCTGATATTGCGATCTGCTTTTGTGCCGAATCGTACAGGATCTTGAACTCCTTGACGCGATCCTCTAGTTCTACTATCTGCTTTCGCAATTGCGTGTTCTTTTCGAACGTCTTACGTTCCTCGTCTAATGCTTTAGAACGTTCTTGCTTGAGGAGTTCGAGACCGCACTTCTCTTTCTCCACAGCTAGTTGGAAGTCTCGGGCTTTGGACTGTGATGAAGGAGGATTTGATTTTGGTTTTGGATGTAGTTCTTCTTGTGAAATTTGGTATTGGTTAGTAGTTTCTGAAGAACGTAGTAGATAGCTTATAAATGTTTCTGAAAGTGAAACCTAGTAAGTTGTACAAGTACAGCTCAAAATGTATCCTACGATGGAAGATAGAAGCACACCTAGCTACAACGAAGTACCCAATCATCATGCAGAGCTTTTTCCACGTCAGCTTTGTGCTTGGTCAATTTCGCTTCCGCTTGGTCCTCTAGCTGGTGCTTACTTGCTTCCCATATGCGCCTTTCTTCTGCGAATTTTTCTCGGTCTTTCACCATATTCTCCCTTACCAATGCCAAACGCTTCTCTTCCAGAGCAACCCACTCTGTTTTTCGTTGGACCATTATTAGAGCTGTCCGTAATTCATCTTTCAAGCGCATCCTTGAAAAGTATGGGGGAGTATTCCCTTAGGATACTCCTCCAGCATACGTAGTTCCAAGGATACGGCCAAAGATGTATTAGGTACAGCCTTAACATTAGGTTTTGTTCTTCCATTTTCCTGAGCAGCAAGCCTCTTTGCTCCTGCCCTTGGCGTTCGATGTCTGCCTCCTTGGCTTTCAGTCGCGTCAGAGCTTTCTCTTCCTTGGTACGCAGAGAATCTTCTTTGCTTAGAGGGTTTCTTTTGTTGGTGAAAGAAAGAGCAAAAAGGGGAGATAGAGGAGATAGGAAGTGGTCTGCTCGCCTTAACTTCTCAGTAAGCACTTTATTCGCTTCCAGCTGTCTAGTCTGCCACTCTCCGCGTGCTCGCTGAGCCTCTTCCAACCGGATTTGTTGGCGCTCTAAAGCCCTTATCCTACCCAACTCAGCCTCCATTTCCTGTCTATACCTTCGCTCGCACTGCTGCTGATACAGAAGCATCTTCTCCTCTAGATATTTGGCGTTGTTGCGGTAGTTCGTATTCGCAAGGGCTCGGGTGTTAGAGAATCAGGAGTCTTGTCGAGGAGTTGCTCCGATCGATATTTATGTTGAGTGGTTGTGAAACTGAAAGAAACTTCTCCTACAGTTAATGCGGGAGGAGTAAGTGTAAGTGTAAGTATATTCCACGCACTAGTACGTGTACGACGTCGATCCTCAAAAAAAAAATCTACTTGTTCGAATACCATCTCATTTTCTCTTCCATAACAGTAGATCCCATCGTTCCATTGAAGAGATTGTTGTTCTCTTTCTCTGTACCCATCAATTCGGCATCTAATTTCTGGAGTTTCCACTCCAGAGTATCCCCAAGCTTCGCATTAGATCCCTTGCGGCGGACGTTGCCGAAATAGCTATCAGCATCATCCGTCTGACAAGTGCTATCCCGTTTGTGCATTTCGCGTGTGGTATTCGCCTTCTGCTGTTTCTCGACCCACTGGAGAAGGGCGTCGAGCAAGATGGTTTGGCTGGAATCTGGTTTGGCGAGAGTGTGCTGACGTTTTTGAGGGGAAAATCAAGGAGAAGGACACTAGAATTAAAAAGAGATCGAATTATAGAGTAACACACTCATTTCTGAATAATGTTGACGACCACGACGACATCTGAATAATGTACTTGACGCATAGTGACAGTCCACAACATAATCAAAAAAATAGTATGCGAATCTTCACCACTGCTCCCCAAAGCGCCATCGGCTCCGATAACGTCCGCGTAATTCACTCCGAGAACCTTGCAGATATCATGTGCGTCTAAAATTTCGCCGTCTCGTAAGCCACATTCTGGTGTCAATACGCTCATAGAGTAGAGTTTCCCCTTCTGCTTCAAGGTTTCCAGAATTAGTGAAAACAACGCTTTTTCTCGCAGGTCGTGTCGCTGCTTCGATACGGGAATGAAGCCGTCCAACTGGATTTTCCCTTGCTTACGCAGATTATCGATCAACTGGTACCTCAACTTAAAGCTCAGCATTCAATGGTCATCATGATGCTGAACGGAAGAGATGAACCCTTTTAGAAGGTCTCTCCTTTCCCTTCGTACATTTCCCCTGTTCTACTCTCAAGGGAAGGTCGCTTCTTGGATCTCAGTGACTCCAATCTCAATGGTGACCATTGAAAGCTGAGCCTTAATCAACTCACTCTTGAGTTTGTTCTGTAGGCCTGAGGCCTGCAGAGCTTGCCCTACTGCACTCTGCATGTTCGATGTTGTACTTGAGGCAGCACAAGAACGACCGCTACGTGCGCTGCTCCCGTTCTCGCCCCCGTCAGTACGCAAGAAGAAATAAGAGGTGTGAAGGAAAAAACCTCAAAGCGTTCGTAAAAGGATGTCGCACTCTTTGCGAGAAACCGGTACTGCTGACAGCAAAACGGAAATCGAGGAAGACATAAACGCCATGCTTCTTTCCCAAAAAAGAACTTCAAGAACAGAAAAATACACCAACATGGAAGGTTAGCTGCTTAAGCTAACAACAAGAAGAATTTCATATCAACAAGGCCATCATTTGGTTTCTTTCCTAACACTTTTCTCATGGTGATGTGAGACACTTTTTAGTGGTCTTGCAACTTTGCGGACGCGGACCATAATTCTCTTCATCGCTCGTTCGTTTAGGTTTAGGGACCTTTTGACTTTCTTTGAGCATCAGATTGCGGAGAGCAATCAATATTTTGATGAGATAGACCGAGGAAGACCAAAGTTGAGTGATTCTTTTGACAGCAAATAAAATTCAGTAATCTAATGATAATAGCGTTTGATGATCCGCTGCTACACCTGTTGCTTGTTCATCCGCTATTTTTGCACGACTCGGAGTCTCAAAATGGGAAAGTGTCATAGAAGTTGTACAGGTTTCACGCATAAAAATCTGCTGGCGTGGAGGAAGTCAGTAAAAATGGAAAGGAGTCGTGACGTTTCCGTCAAAAATGTGACTTCATCGGAGTTACTCCTACATCATGATAGCATACCCTGGTCTCAGCCAATCCAGGATGTCTGCGTAAAGAACGACGTCCAAAGTCGCGTTGGGCCCAGCCTCGCAGGCTAAAGCGGCTGTTATATGTCTGACATCTGTAGGCTGCCAAGCTACACTTGGTGCGACTGCTTGGCTCATCTCTAGAAATTCAGCCTGGTTTAGCTGTCCTACTTGTTCTCGGCTGTACTGCTGGAGAACGGGTTAGAGGAGATAACATCAAGGACAAGAGTACAGAAGAAAGAGTAAGTTGAAGTAAAATTGTAATCTTAGGATCCATGATGACAATCTTAATCTTATGGTGATATCATCTATTTTGTGGAATGGATATCTGTACTGCTGGAGGAGGAGTCATTCGAGGAAGAAAATGGACATCTGCACTTTGCATGGCTGCTACAGATTGACGAATGATTATTCTCTAACCCCCATAAAAGGAAGATGGATCGCCTTGATGCGCTTTCAGATAGTGTTGCAGACCGGAACGGACCTGAGACGATGTTGAGACGTGACAGTGAGGAGAAAATCATCCAACGACAGCGTATGAGAATCTACGAACTTTCCACCTCTTGCAGCACCGACGTGAGTGCACTAGAGGCTACATCGTTCAGGTTCACTTTCTATTGCCACGAAAACTCCAAGTAAGACATTAGTGCAATGATCTACACGACTGCAAGCAACATTTACAACATGATTACCTGCTGCAGTTTCATCGTCCTCCTGACGCCAAAAAATAGTGTCAACACTGCTAATGCCGCTACGTACAGCGCTATGAGTACAGCTAGCCATCTCGCCACATCTTCCACATATCCGCAAGAAAATGCCAGACCGCTCATGAAGAGAAGGTACAGACCTTTGCCTGTCATCCTTGTGACTAACCGGAAATACTTCGATATCACTACTTTCGCCTCAATGATCCATCGAAAATTCAGAGGGGCGTCGAGAACGAAGAGAACCTGGAATTGTGTGCGCAGCAGGTGGACATCAATATTGTTGAGAGAAGGCGAATGGTAGACAGTCCGTCGAGAAATCACAAAGCAAAAGCGACCAGATTCTTTATCTTCTGAGATAGCGAAAGCGACCAGATTCTTTTTTATCTTCTGAGATAACGATAAGCATAAGCGTAGCTAGTACCGTCCCAGCCGCAAAGAGGTATATCTCCTGCAAAAAGTCGAGTGGAAACAGGATCGGTCCCAGTGGGATGATGATCATCCAGAGTATGCCTAGGACTGCTAAAAACATGGACGCTACGCCGGCTCCAAAAAAGCACATCTGGAACATGAGCGAGCCCTCTTTTGGCGGCACTCTTTTAGCGCTATTTGGCGCTGAAAGGCCCATACCTTGAGACTCCACGTCTGCAGCTGCATCGTTCAAATCCACACGCGCGTATTGGACCATTTTTTGCGGTTTTTTGGTTTTTTTCTAGGCGGAAGCGGTGGGAGAGTGAATGTTAGGGTTTACTACTGGACGAGGAAAGCGAAGACGGTGGCCTACTTCTCTTGGAACTATTCATCACATGAACCTCAGTGTCAGCACTACAACCACTTCTCGAAGACATCCAAATTCAAATCCACATCATTGACTTTGAAGATGAATAAGCGTCGATAACAAGCGTTCCTTCTTTCCACCGTTCATAAAAACTAGGAACAATCTGTAAATGACTTGCACCAGAACTTTTATTTTATTGAGAGCAGTTTAGATATGCTCCCATTTTGTCTTTTGCGCTCTTGTTCCTTTCAAGCAACTCTGTCTCACGGTAGAAGTTCTCCCTTCTGCCTGGGCAAAACCACGCAAACACCTTAGAAATACTTTTTTTTTGTAGGCTCGGAAAGGGCCTCCATAATTGTACTACGCAAAAGGACGTCTGCATTAGAATGAGTTGGCGACTCATGTTGTAGAGTGAGCACAGGCATGTCACCACACGAAGTGTAGTGTCACACTGCATCTCCTATTATAACCCGCGTCCACATACTAGTGTACAACATCCATGACATAGACGTGATTCGTTCAAGAACATTGAAAAAAATCCATCCTTTTCCTTACCGCTACTATATTATAATCATGAACGATAAAGCGTATCTCATCAACGGTAGCCGTGACTGAAGCTCAACGATAGAATTCAGACTACAAGAATCTTGACTGGTGGTCGTTCTTGTAGTTAGGGCTTCCAATACTTGGTATCTCAGTCATCTTTATCTTTGAAGATACATCAAGTAAAATAAGGAGTGCTAGTGATATCAGCAATGAACAGAGCTTTATCTGCTTCTGCAACTGCTAGATAATTAAGGCATTATAATTTTTCTGAGAACAAGAAGACTCACTTCCTTGCGTCGCTGACGGTCATCACAATACAAGAATGAATAAATATTGAAAGTTGTAAACCCAAGTGGTATAAGTGATCGGTTGGTATTCTTGTAGTAGACGTTGAACTTCAGAAGAAAGCTAGCATCAATCAAGCATCGCGATTGCCTTTGCCATTGTCTTAAAAATTCTTTTCACATCTCTATCTAAATCTATCTGACAATCGCAGTTGTAAACTGCTGTCCCTGCCAGCGAGGAGAGGACTATACTATATAGCCTTAGGCTTAGCCTGAGAGGACTATAATACTATAGTGCACTTGCCAGACGTTATCACATGATTTCGATTGTGCTGTACGTTCCACACAAGAAGTACATCGATTATTTTTTTCTAGTACATCTGTTATATTTTCAGTTACACGATGGAGTACTTCAACATCATCCTTTTTTTCACACAACTTCAACTTTATCGCCCTTCAGTGAATTCAATCACTATCACCGTCCTTCAACACCAACAGCAATATCACAATCTACTCTTCAGTTGTATCGGCGTCTTCGGCCCTCGTGGCATCTGCTCCATTACATCCGGCACCACCGGAAAATACGTTCCTTCAGCCTTTCTTCGATCCATCTCGGGTGTTAGAAACAAATGTTTACGAGTCACAACCGTAGAAAAAGGAAATGCTCTAGTACTTTCTGAGTGAGCCATGTACGTAGTAAAACTAGTACTAAGATAATCCACAAATCACAAAGTTCTTGTGAAGAAGAGACCAGAGAGAAGACATCAGAAGTGGTATTACAGTTTCAGTTGCTAGTACTAAGATAATCCGCAAATCACAAGACAACTTCTGTACAAGATAACTTCTGTCCTTCTTTCAGCGCCTCTAGCATTTCTGCCGATCGGCTTTCTTCAGCAGACACAATCTCCAATTCTTGGTCCTCCGCAGACCCCAGATGTTTCCATTTTGCATGCAATTCTTTCACTTTCTCAATGTACAAAGCGTGCAGCCTCTCTCGTTCTGCTTTGTACGCTTCGGCTTTTGGATCTGTCATCTTCTGCGGGATCGGGATAGGCGCGCCAAACACGGTATGCAAAGGCACGCGCATCGGCAGGATTGCACGAGTGACCGGAAAACGTGCAAGGAAAGACGAGGGGGCAGAAGAGTTGGCGGAAGGCCTCGTTGTAGTGGAACAACTGGATCCAGACGTACTTCCCGAGGATGAAGAACATCCTCCAGCAAACTTGCCATTTCCATCAACTTCTCTTTGGTGAAAGAACCTCTCCGAACAGCTATGCTCCAACCGTGCGTTGCCAAAAGAGGGCAAAGAGAAAGACAGAAACTTCTGCATCTGGTGTTGCCAGGCTCGCAGCTTCGTGTTGAAAGTTTGCCGAAACAAAGCTGTCTCGCCGAAGATCAGTACAGGCACAAGAGGCGTTCCCGTTTGTAAGGCGCAATCGATAAAACCGAGATTTTAGAGGTAGAAGGAGAAGAAGGGATATGGATGTACAGACCAGATGCTTTCAACAGTGCCAGTGCCTACTTCGCGAAGAACCTTAAGAACCTTATCTCATCAAATCTGAATGAAATACAGGGCCGCGACTCGTATGATTGAATATTTCTACTTTCTCAACTGTTGCTTATATCTTTGTTATAGTCACATCGATCTGCAACTGCATCATAAACTCTTTTTTTCAGTATGATACGCATTTTTCCTCCTCCCGACAAAAGCGCTTCGTCAGCTCCGCCTGGGTAGAGACCGATCGATTTCTTTTGGTTCAGGTTTTTGATGAGCTTGCCCTTCCAAGCAGTTACAAGACCTGCACGCTGCGAGAACTCGCCGGCCCAGGGCATGTAGAAAGCTGCGTCCACGGTCGCACAGTACACACGTGGAGTGGACTGCTCTTCCTTGTTTGGCGTCTTTTGATGCTCACCCACTTCTTTTCCGACTACTACTCCTGTTTCTCCTACTTCTCTTGATCTGGATGTTGAACTACAAGCATCTTGAAGATCTTTGTTGACCCCTTCAGCATCGTCCTCGCTTACAAAAAATTTTGTCTCAAAGCCTGTTCCTTCCGCGAAAGTGGGGGCCATCGACAGAGCTAGCACCCCGTGGGGATGCACTGTGAAGAAGTAGTTCTGCTTCTTGTCGAGTGGTACGGTGAGGACATTTCGGTGAGGGGATTAGAAGATGTAGAGAAGATGCATTCATCAGTCTGGAGATTCGAATCATGATGATCAGTTCGTATGATAAATAACCTACCTCAAAGTGTCGCAGCCACTCTAGAGCACCATCACATTCGAATTGTTCCATAAGGAGCCTGAAGGAATTTCTAGACTTGTTTTTTAGACTTAATGTTGCGGAACATTTTTTGGACGGAACTAGAACGTCTTCTACTAACATTTGGACCACTAGATAATTCTTATCATAATTCCTCAAAAAGCTGCTGTCTTTGTGACAGCACATGGAATGGAGTAGTCAGCAGCAATCGTGAATATGCTTAATAAAGGGATTTATATTATGATGATCACGTTCTAGGGTACCGTCATCTTCAACTTCATCTTCCAAATCGTCCATAAGGATAATATGCTGAGATGTGCTTGAAAAAGTTGCTGGTCCGCACTCCAGGGTCTCCCCTCACTGCGCCACTGTGCTTCAATGGATTCACGTGGCACCAGAGTTCGTACAGGATCAAACCAAAAGCGAAAGGAGAAAGCCTGACATGTCCACGCAGTTTTGACAAGATGCTAGAAGGAGCAGCAGCACTAGAGCCACCAGTTGTTGTTGTTGTTGTAAATTTCGAATTCGAATTCGATGCTGCTGCCCCTGATGTCAGTCGTCCAACCACTTTCCGCAGTAGCGCAGCCAGTGTTATGGAGCTAATGCCACTTTGTATGCAAACCCATGAGAGCACAGCAACCTGCGGCATCGGGAAACCCGCTGACTTCAGGATCCGAACGATTGGGCCATTCACCTCATCTGGCACTACGACACGATATGGCCGCGGATACGCGGTCTCAGAGGAAGACGAGATGTTCTCAACGACAGAGGAGGTGGTACTCATCTCGACATCTTGCTCGGATGGTACTTGTGCGGGAGCTAAATCAGGAACGCCCTCAGTTGATGTTTCTGGTCTCATGGGGAGGACGTCGGTAGTTGTAGGTTGTGGTCTCGAGGAGACGCCATCAGTATGCGGTCCTCGACTTGCACCTGCTACCAAAACTTCTTCAGGACCACCAGAACCAGTTTGTTTTTCCTCAGGTTCCTGCTCAACATGAAAAGGAGACACAACAAGAACACCAGCGCTGGAGTCCACCATCTTGATGTGGGAGTAGAAGAAAGAGAACAAGAACTAAAGTATGCTAGTAATGGTTGATGATAGGAACTACAGAAGAACTAGGAATGTCTACAACCAATGATTGATGGACCACACTATAAACAATGAGATATTTTTAATAAAGGAGCGACCAGGGGGGGCTGCAAGATGATGGGTGAATGTGATTTTTCATCTTCTGATTGCTCAGGCTCTGTCTCCGCTGTAGTTTTCCCTCATTCTGATTTGAGCATGAGTCTTTACTCTTCTCCGTCATCATGTGTCTCAAATGGTCATCTTCTCTCCCATATTCTGACTTGTTTCAATATCTCTGTAACTGTATGCAGACTCATGATCTCTTCTAAGGATAATGCTAAGGGAATAGCTAAGCAATAACTGTGTCTACTTTCAAAAGCAGACACCTCAATATGGCGGTCTTAAAACGTTATTTTAGCTAAACGTTATAAATTATATTTTCAAAATTTCTTATCTAGGTTTTAACTATGTAGTTAAGGTAGCTATTAAGGGAGGCTGTTGGATTGCTGCTGCGGACCGGTGGCTTGGTGGTGGAGGCAGCCGGTGGCTGCTGAAGAGGGGACCATCAGGGCCAGATCTGACCTGAGGCCGCTTCAGGGCTCGGAAGGGAAGGTCGGATCTGGAGCTTCTGCTGCGGCTTTGTCACGAAGCCGCGACTACATTCCAGATCCGTCTCGTCCTCTTCTCGAGCCCTGATGGGCCTCAGTTCAAACTGAGCCCTGATGGCTCCCTCACTTGCAAACGCCGGCTTTCCACCTCCGAAGCCAGCGACCCGCAGCAGCCCTCCAGCAGCCTCCTCAACTAGTCTAGTTTAAATAGCTACTTAAAATAGCTAGTGAAGATTTTAAAAAAATGACTTTTAACGTTTTGCTAAAATAACGTTTTAAGACCGCCATACTCAAACTAGCTAAGTTAGGAGTTGTAAGTAGACTGCAGCTTCTAAGATGAATGCATGGGTGTAAAAGAAAAAGAAGTCTATCTACTGTAATATAACTTCTAACGCTACATCTTCATCAAAGTTTCTGCATAAATCCCTTGACATCCTTGTTCTGCTCGATGACTGTTCTTCGATTCTTCGTCCGTTTCCACACGTCGTCTTGAGGGTGCATCGTTGTGTCCGTCCTCACGCCTAGCAGACTGTAAGCTTAATCCGGCGAATTGATGGCTCAAGGCCGACGGGTCTGAATCTCCAAAACCTGATCCAGATCGTGCTTCTCCACCACCGTCACTTTGTACCCTGAGGACGGATGCGACCATCTCTACAGACAGAAGTAGAGATGACGCGACGAAGCCACGGACGGCATTGAATAGCGAGAAACGCATTTTTTCTGCTTACTGTGCCAGTCTAAAACAGAAGAAGTCACTTAATCACAAGCACAATCTCTTTGGCAAGTTGACCTTATGATCCAGGCTCAGTGGTCCTACTTTGAAAAGTTGTTAATGTACCGATTTATTGATTGAGCGAGCCTACCGATTGAATCGCGCGATCGTGACCTAAGGAACAGAGGACCACGAAAAAAGCAGGAACTCCAAAAAGAATACGAATATCGTTAAGATAGTCTAAGGTGAAGCAGTAACATCCATTTTTGGAGGACATGAGAGGCCATGACAACACACAGAAACACCACGTGGATCAGCAACACTGCGATGATCTTGTTCTTGTCGTAGAACACCAAATCTCCTGCTTCCGTTGTCGAAGAATCAATAATGTTTTGCATCTTGCTCAGAGATTGAGATGGAAACTTCACAAATGTTTTCGCTCGATAGAGCAGCTTCTAGTCTATGCCATACTTCTTGACACTGTCTCTACACGCATGTCAGGAACTATGAATTTATCCTTTCCACCTTTCGAGTTGTGGTCATATTAGCGCGGTGGCTGTCCGTAATTCATCTTTCAAGTGCATCCTTGAAAAATATGGGGGAGTATTCCCTTAGGATACTCTTCCATACGTTTCAAGGATGGATGCGTTCAAAGATGTATTAGGTACAGCCTTAATCATAGCCCATCTTCTCCAGAAGCTCCTTCGCATCATTTTTGTCCAACGTTCCTTGGTAGCAGGCGGAGAGAGATTAGAGGAAAGAAAGATAGCAGAATGGCAAGGTTTTTCATCTCGTTTGGCCCGCTGTTTATCCAAGTAGAACAGCGGCCTATGCCTACAATTCCTAGAATATACAACAGTTATGTTTAAGAATCACCTCCAGTTGACTTTAATGACGTCGAAGATGGAGATGGAGGTCCGAGGCCTCTGTCTGACTTATTAAACTACCGTAGTTGTAGCCATAATCAAAGATGCAATTGGGGCACCCTTTTAGGCATTCGCACGTGAAGATGCGTTCGGCTGCGCACTCAACCAAAACCGCAAAGTTTTCCGCAAGCGTTCTTGAGTATGGATAATGGATTAGAGCTGAAGCAGAAGCTCGAGGAAGACAAATAGTGGGTAGGGTAGCAGGGCCAGGAGGGGACTTCTACAAAGTACTACTAAGACTAGAAAAATATTGTTCTATTTTTTTGTTATAATATTGCGCGCGAACAACTAGATTCCTGTAGGAAAGCTGAAAAGAAAGGTACTTAATATAGGAACATCGAGTTCTCCTCTTCTTCTTAACAACAGTAATTTCCCAGCATGATCGCTACCATCTGCTGCACCAGCTGGTAAGCCTGAGGCATCAATCTTTCCTACACCTTTTCCACTCGCTTTTGCCCCCTTTGAGGAACTCGTATTTGTCCCGCCGCGACTGTGCTGCGCTTTCAAGGAGTCAGTGACACCAAAGACAGGTGCCAAGAGGCACATCACGTGCTCTGGGATTAGAAGAGCTCTCGCAGGCATGGAGCTGGATAGACAAACGAGTCATAGATACTACAAATGGATAGTTCAGGGTCTAGTTCTGGACGATTTGCAATTATGATCACGCAGGACAGAGACTCAGAACAAATCTTCTACGAGGATGCTGTGAGTGTGAATCTAATCTCTCATCGGGGTCAAGCTTTCCGTTTCACTACAAGCCTTAACAAAGCATGTAATCCAGCCACGTGCATTTGCCCCAGAAAACCCAGGTCAAGCCAGATCGCAGTATGGTAGCGTTTGAGCGGAGCCATTTTCAGATCAATCGTATCCTCAATCTGGCCATCTGCTTTGTTCAGTTTGTGATAACCAGTGACAGAGATTAGAGCTTCTGAGTGCTTGCAGACATGTGCTCACGATGATTTTCATTTGATGTTTCTACAACTTGGTTCTAGTTCTAGTAGATGAAATATAACTTAAGTATTTGGAAAGTAGTTACTCAATCATCTCGACGAAGTTGCAGTGATGAACCACCTTTCTTAAATACAAAAACGTGGTCAACGGTCCTCGAAAAAGTTGGTGCAGTTGATCGAAAATGCGCACGTAGGAAGTCGGTTGCTTTGCGATGTTCTCCTGCTGTGCAGGTTCTTTCTGTTGTTCAGGAGAAGATAGCTCTTGGGGACGTAGTTGTGGATCCCTCGCACCAGCTGCGCCACTCGTCCCAGCAGCAGCACCAGCCGTCAAAATATTGTTTTCCGCTAATACTTCACGCATAGCAGAGTGGATGATGATTTCTACGCGATCCTTTGCCCTCGTATAGTATTTCAAAGGTTCTCCTATTTGTTTTCGCACAACTGCCCACTGGTTAGTGATGTCCAAGTCTTCCACGATGAACGTTTCTTTTATGAAAGGAAAAAGTGCACTCATGACACTCAAGAAATTGACTAGTAGAATTCATAAGTGGGAAGAATATAGACATGTAAAAACTACTTTTTCCTTGCATTCTTGAGTGCACTTTTTCCTTGCATATCTTTGCGAATACGATAGACGGCTCCCCGAAAGAGCTTCACGTAGGCCACTGATTCCTCTAACGTGTCCAAAGGAGTGGCAGTTGCGGAGTAGTCGTCGGCGTCCCAGACTTGATATTGTATTTCGATTTCTCGGATGTTGAATCTGGAGTGAGCGTTTTTTTCCTTCGGGGGTGCGCAGTATTCTAGGATGTTGTTGCGCGCGTCATGGTAAAACCGGAATGGGAATTCGCGTTGTATATCCTCGAGGGAAACAAGAGGGGTTAAACCTGCTGAAGGATTCTCTGACGTTGAGACAGCTGCCTTAGCAGATGTCGAAGTAGGATTGTTTCCGGTTTCGTCTGCTTGTTGTTTATCTTGTTGTCCTTCAGTTTCAACATTGGAGGTAATTTTTATCTCTGGTGCCTTTTTTCCCCTAAAGCTCTTCTGGGTCCAGAACCATCGTAGATAGTCATCTCGAGAAGCAGGGTACTCAGACATTGCGCAAAAAAGATGATCCCGAGTCACATCAGGCGGAACAAACAAAGCGCAAACTGGGTCTCGACGCTCAAAAAATTCCTCCGGATGTTGCATATAGTAGGTGTCGACGCCGCTTAAGCGAATGAAGAGGGAGGACATGTGCTGAAGGAAAAGATTATAACACTACTAGGATATAAAAGAACTATGATGTCAATGATATTTTCGAGATTGCAGAATTGCCATACATATTACATGATTGTGAACTACGACGAAAAAGAGATCTTTCTTACCCAACTACCAGCACCATCAAAGTCAAATCATGTCGAGCCAGGAGAAGTTTCGCTTTCGTAAAAGGCAAAGCAATGACAATCGCCATCGAATCAGTCTCGTAGCCACGTCCTCCGCGACCCATCTGCTGCCACAGGCTCGAGAGTTGTCGAGGAATTCCTAGATGAATAGTGCACTGCAAGTCACCTACATCGATTCCCAGTTCCAAGGCGTTCGTAGCAACAAGACCGATCAGCTTGCCGGTGAAAGCAGATTAGAAATAGAAATTTCAAAAAAAATTATTTCACAACATGAAGCTCATGATCGTAAAACTCTCGCTCCACCTCGCGTCGGGTTTCTTTGCTGTAGCCCGCTCGGTAGGAGGCAATTCGACGAATCAAGGCATCAGCAGCGGAGCCTGCAGTGCGATGCATATCAATCCCAGCTGTTGAAAAAGAAGATGACCCACTTCTAGCAGGTAAATCTAGGATCGAGTCCTGGTCTCCTTGTTCTCCGTCAACTGCAATAAATGTTTCACGACCCTCGTCCTTAATCTTGATCGAGACTTCTGGAGTTGTTTTTGTCTTACTCGATGCTGGGGTGGTTGAAGATATCACTTTATCAGCAACCGTTTCTCGGATGCGCTTCTTCGCTGACGCGGCAGCTATCCCACTACGCCGAGTCGCCGGCTTAAATTGCTGTGTTCCCGACGTGGAACTTGGAGAGGGTGATGCTAGATTTATGGTGGAGGAGGTTGTACCTACTCCACCTGCATTTTTCCTACTTCCTTTTCCTCTATTTCTTCCAGCATTATCAGGACTCCGCATGTTTCTGACGCGCTGTGTACTCGACTCCTGTACTTCGAGCTCAGCAACGCCCGAGCTGGAACTCGGCACGCCTTCCCAGTCGAAAAACTCGGGATATGAAAGGGGGGTGGAGGGCGGGATGAGCAAGGTGGAGGAATGTCCGAGGATAGACGATATTGACTACAAGTAGTACAACAGTTTCAGTACGACAAGAAAATGAAAATGATGCAGTTTTTGAAGAAAACACTTCAATTCGAGATGACCACAACCATAAATCAAGTAGAAAGAGTAGTACTCGACGAGGAATCGCAATTAAGTACTTTCTTACAAGAGTTGTACCTGAACGAACCTCCGTTGTTCATAACGCAGCACTTCCCGTCAAAGACGCATCCTTTCGAATTCGATCGCAGATCCTGTCTAGCATGAGCTCCACTAGTGATCGGGCACTGACGAAAAGGACTGTTTTGATGCCCTTCTTCACCGCCTGAACGAAGGACCAGGCGATGTCATCGTAGATTCCATCATTCATATGGTGAAACGAGTCGACGTCTTGCTCGTCGTCGTCGACATTCGGGTTTTGCGGTGCTGCGTGCTCATGAAGGTCGCTGCAGTCGTGGTGATGATCATTTCCTGGATTCTCAACCTTAACTCCGAATTCCTCAAGCGTCGTTTGCCGAAGAGAGGGACGAGTTAAGAAAGAAGTAGTGGCTGGTGTAGCAGATGAGGCGCTTACGCTTCCTCCACCGCCAGCCTTATTCTTGCCACCAGCAGTAATCTTTTGAATCCCCCTCTCTGCTTTTTGTTTGGTCATTTTCTGACGCCTTTTCTCTGGATCCGGCTCGTAGATTTCATATTGTCGAGCTCGCGCAGTAGGCGTCCAAAGACAGACATGCTTAGAGCCACGTCCCGCGCCAGACGCAGATATAACCTTCACGTCTAAATCAGCTAGTTCATGGAAAAACTCAAGAGGACGCACCATCGTCGCCGAACAAGCGATGAAACGACAAGGCTCTTCTGGCTCAACCTTCTCTGCATCTGCTTTGGTGGTGGCGTCTTTGTTTTTATCTTCCCCGTCCTGGGGAGAGGGAGCGGGCACAGCGGCTGCACCATTCGGCGTTGTGCCATCTGGAAGAACTGCGCCGAATGATGTAGCGCTTCCACCAGGCGCAGATATCTGATTCAGCCTCACAATAGGTCCACTCGCTGCTTTTTTCATGGCTGTTTTCATGGCTGCTTTCGCTTTCGCTTTGCCCTTGGGAGCACCTTTTCCTTGCCGTCCCGGAGGTTGTCCTCCAAACCCTACTACAGCGTTCTTTTTTATGTCCCTACATATTCCCATAGCTCTTCGCAACCGCCTCAAGACACAACTCACGTGAGCACCAAATCTTCCTGTGTAAACGTGCGCTTCATCCAAAATCACGAACCTCAAGTTCCGCAACACAGCTTGTACAGGTACGTTTTTTCTGAAGTCACGGAGGAAAAAGCAGTGCAGAGTGTCCGGATTGGTCAGAAAGAGGTCGCAAGTCTCAAGAAGATGCTTGCGCTCTTGAAAGGGTGTGTCACCATCGAACGTACAAACTTCCCAAAAATCGGGCTCCAACTTTTTCAGCTTGTTACATTGATCCTGCGCAAGCGCTTTGGTTGGAAATAATAGGAAAGCACGAGGACGCTCAGAGTTTGCTGGTGTAGGTAGGCTGGAAGAAGAGGAGGATGAAGCTGAACTTTGCGGAGGCAGTCGTCTTTGTTGCTGCCGAAATTAGAGATACAACTAGTAGGTAAATCTCCTTTTCTAGTAAATCGAGAATGATCCACCTAGTCGAAGTCGTGAGTGCTGACACATGAAATTTCAATCGCATCTGAGGGATCCCTTAACTACTGGTACGCGCAGAACATTTATGACAGGTGCTCTTGTTCATAATCAGAAAGGTATCGATCCCATTCGTGCAGCAATGGCAGTGTATAGGCCAAAGATTTCCCCGACGCGAAGCTCGTACATAGAAAAACGTTTTGTTTTTCTTCAACTACAGCCTTGAACGTCTCTGCTTGATGCGAATAAAGGAGTTCGGGTTGTTCTTCCTGTACTGTATCATGTTTTCCATTGATGATGGATGTCGGTTCATTTGTCTTTTTTCCATCGCCTCTAGGCGTCTTCGAAGCACCAAGCCCAAGCTTCTCAGTTAAAGCAGTGCGACACCTTGCTGACAGTTGTGGAGGGAACTTGGCGAATCTTGGCGCCGACCTAGGCAGCTCTCGGCAATAGTATTTTGCCGCATACTTCTCGACTTGGGCTCGTAGACGATTTAAAGCTTTATTATTCCCCTGATGTTGTTCGACCTCCGAGGTAGCAGCACCAGGCGTCTCTACCTCGCCTAGCTCTCCCTCTCCGGTTGTTCCGGTTTGTGTAAGTCTTCCGTTCTTCTTCTCGGTGTTCAAATTGTCGCTTGATGAGGATGCTCCCAAAGCTCCTGCTCTCTCGTCGTGGAGGTCCTCCTCATCATCCAGGATGCCTTCATCAGGATTTTCGCCTTCATCTTCCTCTTCGTTCTTGACCAACCGGGCAGCTGCAAATTCTCTAGCCGCGGTATCTGGTGAGAGGATGACGGCATGCCTCGGTGGCGGCACACGCCCATCAGGATTGCGATGGTCCTCAACTTTTCGCCTCTTCATTTCGCCGAAGACATTTCTTTTGAGAATGAGTTGAAATGAATCCCTTGGTGTGTCGTGGTCTCCTTAACGTGCAAAAACAACCGAACTAGTACCAGGTCCTGATGTTCCTCCCAAGAGCTTTTTTAGTTTGTTTTGATTCATCATAATTCGGAGGTGGAGGATAATATGGGTCTGGGTGATGTGTAGTTACTAAGCATGTAGTTGTTCTCTATCCATGATTGAGATTTGAGAAATTGCGGAATTTATTACTTTTCAAACAGAAATAAACCAAATCTTCCTTCTCCCTGCAACTGGTGATAGACCTCGCTTAAGCTTATGACGTGCTTGTTTTTTTTTGTGTCCTAGTCCTAGAAGAGAGAAGTAAAGCTTCGTCGGCACAAAGATTGCAATTGTAGTTCTGCTCTTTTTTCAACAGATACAGGAAATGACACATAGTAGATAACGCGAAACTGCCGAATGTTGTTTCACGTCGAACATCATGGCGACCACACTGTCACAGAAGTAAGTCGCCGACATGATTAATCAGATGCCACAGTTTCATTTTTCCAATTACTTCCAGGAGAAACTTATCAAAATCAAGAACAAAGTTCAAAAAAAAACAATATGATTTTCTTTTGCGATCATCATCTTCATCATCCAGTTCACTGCCCAGGCAATGAAGCGGCTCGAGTACATTCCCTGAAAGCAGCATATTATAACGATGGTTTTGAATATTTTGATTTTAAGGAGCCAGTATCACCAACAAGCTGGCTAAACTTGAAATGAAACCTTGAGACCTCTTTCAAAAAAAAACTTCTTCATCTACTGGTACCCTCCTAATATCAGGGTGGATTTCATTTGAAGCAATATTTGTGCCCCCCCACAATTTCATAAAAACACACTTAGATTAATTTCTTGATGAAATACTACTAGTTCATCGACCCTCTTCCTCTTGTTGTAAATTTTCAACGTCAAGTGGAAACTGGAATTGGAAACAACATCAACATCTGCTAAATACTAGTAATATTCGTATTGTGATTAGTTACAAACTTCAACCTCCTGAGAACATACACCCATAATTTTTAATGTACCTATGTATAAATATACAACTTCTGATGAGGACTTTCACTTTGATGTTGACTTTCACCCAAATACTAAGTAGAAGATACCTCCGATAACAAACTGGATAAAAGTAAGATTGAATCTATTGGAACTCTAAGAAGGTAAAAAAAGCAAGACCTCACAATCCCACGACACTCAGGTCCGCGCAGAGAGAATCCAACTCAGCCGTCAGTGTCGACAAGTCCTGGATCTTTCTTCTCCTTTGTTAGAGCAGGTAGAACTTCTCTACAAGACCTGAGTCGCCAGCACTGGCAGTCCATCGCGTTGTGTATCACTCTAAGTAGTTGAATGGTTCCGGTATTTGGTAGCCTGAGTTTGATCATAAGGGAAACAAGAAGAGAACCCTTAGGATCAAATTCAGGTTACCAAATACCAGAACCATACAGTAGTGGTAGATTGTACTCAAATGTATGATCCAAAAGCAAGTAAACCTCCACCTTCAAGCTCTATTTCAGCCTTAACCAAGTGGCCGGCTGCTTCGCGCAGAGGGGACAAATTTCGCAGCATCGTTCTCGGTGTGGCGGTCTAGAAAACTGTTGAAAGCGTCGTCATCCATGTCACCTCCTGTAGGAGGAGCACCAGCTGAGTGACCTTCTGCCAGTCTCGAAAACGAAAACGAAGAAGACAAACTTCGATCCGTATCTGGCGCCAAAAGCAAATTCGTGGCTACCATTCCTTCACCAGCACTTCTCATTGGAGCAAGACTAGCTCCTGCTTTATTGGAATTGGATGTTGGAGAGCGAGAAGTACTTCGAGGAGGCGGTCCTTTGATGTTTTTGACAACTCCTGTTCGCGAACTTGATGAGGACATCTCGAAAGGCAAGTCCTTATTGATTGCAGGCTGCGGCACAACCGCTGGCATGCTAGAACCGGGGAATACTTTCTCGACATCATGAACATCAACTTCTTCTTCTAGAAGTTGATCTTCTTCCATTTCCACTTCTTCTTGCTGATCGTGATCCTCTACTTCAATCGGTATTTTCCTACTCCCTCGATCCCTGACAATGATCTCTTCTTTGCAGCGTTCATCGCCAAGCGACCAGTCGCTGACTAGAGGCTCAAAGAAGATGTTGTGGAGGACGCTTTTGGACACGACACCCGTTTCTGGGACTATTTTTTCCCCATCGCGGAAAGCTTCCGCGATGAATTTGCTGGCTTCAGGAGATAGGCCTGCTGCAGTGGCTCCGCCAGGGCCAGATGACTGCTTCATCACATCGTCAAAGTGTTTGCTATCGAGACTATTCCTCAACGATTGCGGCATGGAAGCGGTCGAACCACCACCAAGTATAGACCCGCGCATGGACCTACGGACTTCGGAAACTCCAGCAGCGCCTTCCCTTGTTGTTGATGATGATCCACCTGGCTTAGACGCTGACTAAATCCATCTTGCTGAGCACCTTGGTGCCCGTTTTTCCTTGAGAAACGGGAGCGGGATGCTTGTTGGAAAGATGGATATATTGAATCAGTCAATCAATCGAAGATACGTACATTATACATAGAGATAGATAGATAGATGGATATATATTTATTGTAGCCTTACCTGTAGTTGACCTCTGTAAGAATTCTGTCGAGTTCCTCAGCGCACTCTCGATGCGTTCCTTGCCTTGCTGTAAAACAGCGTCCACTCTCGGGATGCTAGAAGTAGAAGCACTATGATCATTGTCCTGGTGCTTACTCAGTGCTGCAAGACCACCCATCAATTTGCTGTCGACGATGCTGGTTGACAGACTGGTCGTACTTCCGGTACGTGATCTGTTCTTCGAAGAGGCACTAGCGCTAGCAGCGGTTGTTTTGGTCTCCTTCATCATTTGTGTTCTATTACTGCGCGAAGACTGCTTGATCTTAGAAGAAGAGAACGATACTTCTTCCTGTTGAGCCTGAGCCTCTTCCTGATCGGAAACGCCACTGTAGAACAGCATGTTCTTGTTAGCACTAGCAGAAGTGTTCTTGTTTGGAGGTCTTCCTTGTTCTAGTTCTTCTTCATTTCCTATAAAATCATCTGCTTCATGCTCCACAACGCCGTCTCCTCCAGCAGACGTTGCTTGAAGAATATCCAAACCCGTTCTCTTCAATAGGTTGTCTCTGATGTCACGAATGACCTTGTCGTTTTCTTTCAGAATTGCACTGGTTTCTGCCATCTTAATATCTTCGGATTGTCCTCCTGTAGCTCCTTCATCCAATACACTAGTCCCCAACGCAGGATGCTGCGCGCTCATGGCACTGTAATCCAAGCTGCGGCAGCTTGCTGGTGCTGCTCCACTTGCTGGTATGTTCATAGCGCTGCCTGTCTTCCCAGGAGAAGCATGATTAAAGCCCAGCCTTCAATGGTCACTGACTCTGAACGGAAGTGACCCTCTTCAAAGCTCTCCCCTTTCCCTTCGTTTTCCCCTGTTCTCTCAAGGGGTCGCCTCTTCGATCTCAGTGACCAACCCCCAATGACCATTGAAAGCTGAGCCTTAACATAAGGATTGTAGTCTTCATCGTCTTCTTCTTCTACTTGGTCCTCTTCATCATGAAAATGTTCTTGCTCCTGTTGTCCATCACCGTTCACCTTCACCCTGGATGAAGGGTTGAAAGCATATGGGTTGTAGAAATTGTTGTTGTTCATCTTAGAGGAAGTAGTAGATTCCATGTGCACGACATGACTGGCAAAAGAGGCCTCTGGCACGCCCATTTCGTTTTCGGAGGCTGGTGGTATCTCACTCTGGGCTGCCATAGAGAGGTTCGGGGAGGCTCCTCTTCTAGATGCAGACGTAGTGCTCCTCGTAGCACCTTCACGAGGAGCATCCTGCTGACTGTATCCAACACTCCGTGATGCGGGAATAGCGGAATTCTTCATGTTGTTGGCAGATAAAGTCTGCCTCGCTGCTGCTGAGGGCCCGCTGGGTCTGAGAGAACAATGAATAGAGAGTTATTTGATAATATACCTGGAGCATGCAGGAGTAGAAAAATCTGAATTGTGCCCATTTTTATTTCCACCTAAGTAAATACCCGTTCCTGTACACTTCTCAGTCACGTAATGACAAGAAAGACCATGCACTTGCGTCATACAGTATTCTCACATGAAAAATGTACCGCTGTGGCGCTGCACTGGCAGATCGCCTCGCTGGAGCAGTCTGTGGTATGCCTACTGCGGGTATGCGCGTTCCTGAAAGGTAGTTTTGAGTTGCTTCATCCGAAGAAGAAGAACTCGTAGTCGTAGTTGTCGTTCTCATTTGCATTTCGGTATTTTCTTGTGATATCAACATTTCGACGTCTGTTTGTTCTATGTATGAACAACTCAGTCACTGACATCGCAATATAGTACTACGAATTGTATTAGATTTCGAACTACCTCTCGTCTGTTTGTATCGTATCCTCTCCACGCTAGCTTGCCGTTTGAACGCTTTTTGTTGCTCTGCGGCTTCTATAGCCGCCTTCCGCTGCTCCTCTGCTCGCATGCGTTTCAAAGCCTCTTTGCCTCTGGCTGCAGCTCGCTCTGTAGTAGTTGCAAGTGATTTCTTGATGTTCATTGAATGGATTTTTTCTGGATTGCTTGATGAAGATTTTGATGCTAGTTGCATCCTTGGCCATTTCTTAATGTATGTGTGCGAAAAACGAACATCGTTCGATTCTGACTTTATTCACCATCTGAATCTGACTGATTCTAAGAAAATGCGGAAGACGCAAACAAGCAAGAACCGCGAACACTCACGCCACGCCATGAAGAAGAGGCCGAGGACCTTCCCACAATAAGAGCGCGGGTAGCCTCGCCGCCTGCTCCTTCCTTTGTGAGTGATTTCTTTGGCGCACCTGCCTGCCATATTCAGCCACGCACTAGAAAGCGCCGCAGCCGCACCAGCGTCTGATCTTGCTCAGCCACAGCAGCGCCAACCCGTTCCAAAGGCCAACCACTAAGCCAGCCAGCGCGCGCATCCGCTCAACTTACTTCGTGACGCCTGGCGACGCCCAACGATCAAGCCCGAGGTCGAGAGCCTCTCCCCGATGAGATGGCTGCGATGGTCCCATAAATAGATAGACCAAGCACCGCCCTCCGCAGACCTTTAACGACATCACACCCACACGTCGAGGCCACCCTTGTGCCGAACTTAGCTGCTGAAAAGTCAGAGCGTTCAGAGGATGAGGGGCAACAGGTGGCGACTGTCGGCGCTCCGGTGGTTACTCGCTGGCCAATGTTAGAGGCTTCGCCAGTCGTCTCCTTTCCTTCGGTGCGCCGCACGTATGTCCTGGCGCTCACACGCCGCGCCATGTCGTCCTGATGATCGCGCGCGCGCCTTTTGTTCCATCGCGTTAGCATGCTCACCTGAGCCGCTGAAAGAAAGCGAGACAAGACCGCCTCGGCCCTCAGCCTGGCTGCTGTCGGTGGATGCGATTGCCCCACATCCAAACCGCTCACCACCACCACCCAGAGGCCCCCGCCCGCCCTGGGTGCCTGCCTTCTATCTTGCCCGCCGTTTGCCGCCATTCTTTCCCCCCACCTCTCTTCTGAGGCGGGGAGACCCAGACCGCAGCGCGGGGGCCGCCGCGGGTCGCTGGCGCTGCTGCGGGGGCGGCCTTCGGAGTGGAACAGGCACGGGCCGCCTCGCGGGACGAGTTGCCCGGCGCTATTTCGTGGACGGATCGAGGGAAACGCCGAAGGAAGTCAGAGAAAGTAAGCAGCCACCCTCTTGAGCCAAAATGGAAAGCAGCAAAACCGCTACACGACTACAGAACAGACGCAGTGGTAGTACCTCTCAAAATTGCTTGCGCATCTGCAGAATCCAGGGCACCAGGTGATCCACGACTGCTCCTCTGCAAATGTCCGCTAGCTGCACTTCCTGCTCCACCATAGTATGCAAAAGCCGCGCCACCGGTTGACGACGAACTAGTACCAAGCATATTGTTGCTGCTGTTGCCGAATCCGCCAGTGCTGCTATTACCTAGTGCAGCTCGTTTACTTGCAACCGTACTGACGAGTTCTTCTTGTAAATCGTCAGTATTCCGGACAACATGGAAACGGGTTTGTGACCAATCGACGTAACCACTAGTGTTTTGACACATCACGATCTTGTCCGCTTTTTCTCCTAGCATCGTAGTCTCCTGTTGTTTCTTTCTTGCTGCTTTGGCACGCAATTCTTGCAGGCGTCTGGTGTTCACGGAGTCGATGGGGTATGAACCGAGGGTGGAACGGGAAGGAAAACGGTAATGGATCTTCTAGAAGTAGATATCTGAAAATCTGTACTGTAAATTCATTATCATTTACGACATCACCTGCAAGAATTCACAGTCTAGTTCATCCTCTATAACAACACCTATCAAATAAATTAAGTAATATCTTCATTCTCATTGCGATAACGATCTTCACTCCAATCATAACTTCTCCTTCGCTTGTTGCAATCGCTGCTGCGATGCTTCCCTCTGTTTCTTCGCATCTAACACCTGCTTCTCATATGCTATCTGAAACCTGACTTTCGTATCCTTCTCGCGCTGGTCTCGTCTATAAGCGTCTACAAACTCTTGCACTTGCTTAGCTTCTCGCAGTTCCTCTGATCTGAGAAAGCCCTTGCCATACACCGTGTTCGGCAGGGTATCGCAACTAGATTTCTTGCTTGCCCAAGCTGCGGATAGGGAGGTATCTTTGCTCTGAGCGGCGCGAGAACCGTTGAGAGCGTTGCTGGGATATGAAGAACGGAGGTGGCGGGTGGGGGAATTCTTTTCATGATACGTAAATTTAAATAATAGTAGAGTTCTAGTCTTTGACCAGGCATAAATAACTCGACACTCCAAGCGGATCGATGAGCTGCTCCGCTATGCCTCTAGGTGACGTTGTTGAACATGAAGATGTCATCAGCAAGTCGACCATACTTGTTCCTTTGTCTTTGTTCACATTCACTGATTGATCCCCTACTTGTTCGTCTGGCACAGTAGCAGTAAGGACAGACTCGTGCAAAGCCTGTAATTTCGAGAGCTCTTCTCGTGCTTCTGCGAGGCGGAGGAGTTTCTGCTCTTGGGTTTCACCTGAGCGTAGTAAGAAGTTGGTTGTGCTGTGAAAAAACAAACTCGATGAAATGTTTTTTGTTATATTTTTGCATCAAAGGTAGTTTTTGTTTTCGAATCAGTTGAGCTTGAGCTAGAGCATCAGCAATGTCTCATTGTGAATGATAGATAATGATCACTAGGCAAACCTCTAAAAAGTGTAACGTTTCGACGTCGAGACTAGTACCCATCTTCTGTCTATTCTCTTTCTCGGCATTCGCCTTTCTCGTTTGCTCCGCCTTCTGCTTCTCCACTTGTCGCAGCTGTTTCCACCTCTCGCCCCGTCTTCTCTGCGTCTCTTTCGCCAACCATGCTGCCTCCTCGTTGGGTGAAAGATTAACGACAAGGGGCTTACTAGAAGGGACGCCACGAGCAGTTGCAGACATTTTCGATGTCGAAGAAGAAGATTCTCCTTGATGTCCAGGTCGTGGCAAATTACCGTCGTGCCTCTTCCAAGCAGGAACCGTCATAGTTCTCAGTTAATTGGATGCATAGAAGGAGAGCTTGTTTGGTCACTCATAAACAGGAGAATAAGCAATGGTCTTCATATCATGCAGTTGTTCATCTTCAGCGCTAGTTGCGAGCGGCAGGGTTCGTGATGATCAGGGTGCGCTGAAGATCTGATCATTCTGGTCTCTCGAACTCAGAAAAAACAAAATCTAGAATCTCGGGAAAGTGTAAGTGCCTAGATTTTGACAATAACCCGCTTTTTTCTTTCTTGATGTTTTTGTTTTTGGTCGTCTTGAAATAGCATTAGCGTGTTGTAGGTACTCCCAGTTGAGAATCCGTGTAGGTCCTATGCTTTCTCACATAGCCGCGAGCATGATTAGTGTAGAAAGAACAGCGCCTCATCTCGTACCTCCTTGTACAGCAGCGCACTATCGTGATGTCGTAGTTGCAGATATCTTCATCTGAGGTGATGAAGGCCAATTCCCATCTGTAGTTGTAGAGGATGGCAATCATTCACTCAGTAGGGGACGTCGGCAATCTGAAGAAAAATATGTCATAGCGAATGCAGGCCATTTTTTGGATCCGCAAACTACCAGCCCGGAGCCACTAAATCCATCCTACCACTGCCAGCCCGACGCGACTAAATCGTCCATCCTCCCACTACCAGCCCGAACCTACTAAATGCATCCCCCCACTGTTATTCTTCAATTGCCTGACTACTATTTTTCTTCAATCCATCCCCCCACACCTGACTACTATTTTCCTTCAGATTGCCATCCACCAAGTCTCTTCTTGAGGATGGCAATCTGAAGAAAAATATGTTGATAGATCCTGTTACCGCTTTGATTTATTAAATTTCATCTCCATAATATGGGCATAAATTGCGTTTGCGCGGCGGTCGAGGACCACACCTGTAAATTACTGCACACCAACATGTCAATCTTCAAGTCGATGAAGGGCTCATTTCTCCCCAATAAGACAATATCATGCTGAAAATGACCATATAAATGTTGAATTAGTTTTTTTCCCTGCTACGCCTTCGCCTACAACATCTTCTACTAGAATGAAGAAATGCTCGTCTAGTATCCATCTTAGTTACAACATCAGCATATGCATATGGCATTAGTTGTCGTAGCGGCTGGCAGGAAAGGCTTAATAAAGGCACTTTGGCTTCTTATTACAAACCCTGCGTATTGGTATTTTCAATATGAAGGTGGTACTAGATTGCTTTTCTTTTCGCGGCTGATGTATGCTCGAAGCTTTTCTTGCTTGCTAAAAACTTGAACTACTGATATAGATATGAAGGCTTCCTCAAGCAAGATAGACATATTAGATGTAGATTTGGTAGATTTAGATTGCTCAACAAATGAATGTTGAAGATTGATTTCCAATTCTCAATGTCAGGCAGATAGATGACGGACATGTAGAATGCTGCAAACCATCCATACTAATAGAAGATATTATGAAATTCCTGAAGGTACAATCAGAGAAAGACTCGACTTTCTGTTACTTCACGCTTTTGTTCGGCAGATATTGGAGTACCTAACTTCCATGTTGACAAGCAGATTTTCATAACAAACGATAACGATTCATAGAGTAGAAAAAAAAGTCAAATAAGTTCACCGTTGATGAGCATGTTGCTGGTTGGGAGAGGGAGGACTTAATTACAAATCATAACCCTAAAAAGCCCTATTCTTGGGGGGCTTAGTAAGTTGCACCATGGGCTCGGGGATACCGATCGTCTACGGGTTTCAAGGGGGCGGGGACCATAATCTTGGAAAAACACAAAGAAAGTTGTAGATTTAGACTTCATTCTACGAGCATGACTTGCACACGAGCATGACTTGCACTTGTACTATTATTTTGCCTTTGATGATGACGACGACAACAACATGACTTGCTACCAAGGAAAAAATTGGTGAGAAGAACAAGTACTAGTAGGGTTATAATCATAGAAGGTGCGCAAGCTTCTATAGTTAGTAGCTGTGGTTACACGTGAGGGTAGGGGCTTGTTGTTTACTCCTGTCGCGCATAAGCGGATCAAAAAGTGACTCGAGTTATTTAGTTGGGGCTAGTATTAAAGGGTAAGAATATTTCTTGCAAATCAGCATCCTCGCGTTCTTTTAAAATTAAATAGAGCAACTAACGGAGCACGAGGATTGGAATCTGAACCCATTACAAAACGCTTGCATGTTGGCCCGCCGACCGAGAAGGGGCTGTCGACAGATAGCCACCTTTTCGCCGGAAAGCTAATTATATGATCTTGATCTGTCTTCCTTTTGTTGAACTAAACTGATCAAAAAAATCCACATATTCAGAAGTAAATCGAAAACTCTTCTTAGAAGTGCTGCTGTAGTTGAATTTTTGTTGTTGTAGTTGAAGTCCTCTTTTATCGACATAATCTTCCTCGTTCGTGATCATCTTCATAAGCGCTCCTCCTGCAAGAAAGCGCGTAAGCTAGATAATCATAGACTCTGCACGCTTCAGCTCATCCAGATTAGGGTCCCTGAGAACCTCATGAACCCTCGAAGGCACGTATCTCCACATCTCATCCAAAGCCATGTCACCGATCTTACGCCAAACCTGGGGAAGAAAAAGAGCAAGAACATTGTGAAGAAACAATTTAAATACAACAAGTACTACGGAAAAGTAGTAGAACTAAAAAACCTACTCAAAAATAACAACAATCATTCATCTAGAGAAACTACTACAACACCCTAGTTCTTGAAGACGAAGGACAATAGTACGTGTGGCAACAAGCTCAGCGCCGTGTTGTTGTGGATATTAAACCGCTGCATCGGATCTTCTATGTAGAGGATTGGGCTGTCCGCGGTTCTGCCCTCATCCGTTTCCACAAACACGTCGAATTGGGCATCGATATAGACGGATCTGGTTGATGAGATTATGGTGATAGGGAGGTGGTAGGGTTACGTAGCCTTACAGTGTGGCATCTTTTTCTGGAATGAAAGTGTAGGTAGCAGTGGGTATGTAGCAGTGGCGTGAACAAGGACTTCCAGACCAGGAGAAGATGAATTACGTCGTTTCACTTTCACTATACTGCATTTGCTCATGAAAAAACACAATGTAGTTGACAACAATGATGAATTTTTGAAAAGTTCTTGCACCATCGAAAACATTATTAACATTAACATGATCGATAAAAAAATAACATGATCGAAACATTATTAACATTAACATGATCGAAAAAAAAATAACATGATCGAAACATTATTAACATTAACATGATCCATACGGATACAACAACTAGCAAAATATTAAATGAAGTAGCTGTAATCGATACAACTAGCAAAAAATTATGAATATGAAGTAGGTGTAATAGCTGTAGCTGTAGCAAATCCAAATAAGAAGTACGCATTCTTCGTCAATTCCGAAAGCCAGTGGTAGAAAAAAGCGATATGCTTCGCCTGGTGTGAGGTTGGAATCATGTCACTTTTTTCATTGGACTGCCACCCACGACTGCGCAACTCCTCTTCGTTCAAGAGAACCGGATGATGGCACTTCTTGTAGTGAGCGAACACCTGGGCGAAGAAGTTTCAAATTTGACGGAAAAACGGTTCTTACTTGAAGAAAAAACGGATTACTTGGTGCGAGGTAAAAAAGACAGCTACGTGTTGAAGAGAGTCATGACAAGAAACAACTGAGTGGAAAATAAATTCAAAGAGTAAGTTAGTACTTCCTTGATGTACAACTTGTTCACATTTTTATCACACACAAAAGAAAAAGAAAGTAGAAAATGTCATCAACATCATTCATGATTATTAAATTACCAGTAGCAGCCACGACAGCGAGTTGAGCCCACCTTTGTAAGCGCAATTCAAACCGACACATTTTGACCAGTGCTTCACAACGTACACCGTGTTCTTCACCACCACAGCCGCTCTGGCGAACTGGGCTCTAATGATCTGATCTCGCTTCTTCACCAATGCGGTTGAGGATATCAGGGCCGCTTGCTTCTGAATCGCTCTCACCGCTTGGGATGGCGTGCTCTGCGTGCTCTTGTTCAAGGCTGAGGCGCCACCTGTAACACTGACCGACGAGGTCATGTTTCCACCGCCAGAAGAGGAACTTTTCAGCATCATTGGTGCGGAAGACGACGTAGATTTCGCATTAGTACCAATATTAGTAGTCCCACCAGTGGTTGACGAAGATGTCCCAGGGCCCCCTCCAGGTTCCTCTGACGCTGATACGATCCTAGTAGCTGTACTGGACATGCTACTTGTGCTTGTCATCATCTTAGACGCAGATGAAGTCGAGGATATTACGCCATTGGCAGCAGCAACTACTGCTGTGGCTCCTGATGGCGCAGCCGCTGCTGCACTAGAGGATGACGAAGAAGAAGTTGCAGCAGCACTACTGCTGCCACTAGAAGTACCTGTGGCTCCTGTGCTTGTTCCTCCACCAGCATCTATTTGCGCAGCAACAACTGCTGCTGGCGCACTCGCCGAAGGTACAAGGGACGATGCAATAGCTGCTATAGGTAACTCCTGTCCTTGACTCTTGGACGACTGGGGACCCTGCTGTACCGATTCTTCACAAGAAGAAGACCCACCAGGACCCATTTGCTCCTCACATGATGACCCTTCATCATCGTCACAGCACGAAGGCAAGACCGTAGACTGGAAGTGTGATGCGTTTCCTCCTTCCGCTGACATCACTGTTTCTTTTGTGGTCTTCGTCTTGTCAAACCTAGAGAACTTGTCAAAAGGTGATGATCCATGCTTCAGGCTGTTGTTATCTTCTCCAGCGGTGGAGCAACTGAAATCCTCTGCTTGGTCGTCATCTTCTGCAGAATCCTCTCGGTCAGCAGCACTAGTATTCTGGTTGCCAATTTGGTCTACTCCCTTAGTACAACCCGAGGACTTAATATTCAACAACGATGTTGAGGCAAAATTTGAAGATGGAGCAGCTGGCGCTGAAAGTGATGCACCAACACCGTCGCCGATAGCCACGACTAAATCATCCTCATCTACTAGTGTTCTGCATGGCATTGAAGTTGAAGCACCAACAACTGCAGAAGTAGCAGCAGCAACGCCTACAACGCCAGCACTTGTTGCACTGGCATCAGCGGGCTCAGCTCCTCTTGAGAGGCGCATCTCTCTTACACTATCATCGCAAGAGCTAGTGTTCACCAAGTCTAGGACCACATGATCCTCTGAAGGTGGGACGCCGCCAGAGGTCGTGTAAATGATAGGATGGATCGGACTGTCAGCTCCTAGGTGTAAGCAGGCGTCCTGTCCGAACTCGGCGGCGGGCTGTGAGCAGGGGACGAGAAAAAAGAGTTTGGATTGAGAATCTGAGCCTGAGGGAAGATAAAGATTATCATCCTGATCCTCAGGATATCGTTAGTCCTAGGAGCAACATATTTAGATCAGCTTCGAGTACATGTATCCCACTTCTAGCAACAAAAAGAACGATTAACAAATTAATAATAATGTAAATGAGTATATCTATATCTACCTCTATTACAACTTCTAAGTAGCCGAAGCATCTATATTTAAGTATCCAAGTATCTACTTACCTCTTCTCCCCGATATCTCGCGACGCGTATGCTTATATCGACCACAAGAATAAGTATCTACCTCTTCTCCCCGATATCTCGCGACGCGTATGCATATATCGACCACAAGAATAAGTATCTACCTCTTCTCCCCGATATCTCGCGACGCGTATGCATATATCGACCACAAGAATAAGTATCTACCTCTTCTCCCCGATATCTCGCGACGCGTATGCATATATCGACCACAAGAATAAGTATCTACCTCTTCTCCCCGATATCTCGCGACGCGTATGCTTATATCGACCACAAGAACGTCTTCAAAGACCAATTTCAACAACGGAACTATCGCTGCAGGAAGACAGTCTTGTACTCGCCATGGCGATGCGGGTTTTAGTTTGTTTCGAGTTGTGCTTGATGTTGTGGTTGTGTCGCCACCACTATTTGAGTTTGTAGTAGAAGTACTCTCAGCCGCTGCCCTAGCCGCTGCTTCTTGCTCACTTTTCAGGATTTCAGCTTTGAAGATCTTCTCAAGCATGAGCAAAGTGTCCTGGACAAATTGCGCACTATCTATTTCGGCTTCCGAATGTTGCGGTAGCATCTCGAAAACTACAGCCACGTCGAGGTCAGAAAGCCGAACCTGCGTCCCCTGCATAAAGGACCCGAATGGCTGGCAAGTAAGGGCTCTGGTCTGGTGTTGGTACCTGGTCGTGTGAGGAATATGTATTTGTTGTGGATGCAGCGATTTGTTGTGGATGCACGAGCGGCTGCTTGATTCGGCTACCACACATTGGATTTGGATAAAAGCCAATGATCTACTTAGCACCACCTAAATCTATCCTACGAGATGAATCTGAGCGAGAGCGAAACCCGATGATTATTATAATAGAAGACGAGTACGCATCCGTCATTCTCTTCGCGTAATTTGTGTTCGGATCCAAAAAATGTGTCCGACAAATCTTCGCCAATCCTGCTAATGCTTCCTTGCATCTCGTTTTCCCTGGCTTCACTCCAGGATGTGAGTCGATTTCGGCTGGTTTTATCTTATCTCGCAAAAATTAGAGCTGCTCACCCTAATCCATCTTCTGGAAACGCAGCATTCTAGGTGGTGCCTTTTCCCCTTAAAAAGTAATAAAAGCCCCTTTCCTACTAGGACCACTTCTCTGAAGATGGATCATTAGACATTAGCGGACCACGCCTTACAAAAAGGATTCTAGAACGTGGAAGACGCGTGCTGCATCATTTTCGTCTTGCTCAAAGGGTTTCACAATAGCTCCAGACGAAGAAGACCCTCCGCCCATACCCATGTGCATCCCCTGGTGTTGCATATGATGGTCGCCACGTGAACCACTTTGGTGGAGATCTGGTGTGTTTTTAGCGAGGAGTGAATCATGATGTGGATGTTTTCATGATACTACTTCAGGAAAGACTTAGATGAAGGTCTTCAATAAGAGTTCAAGTTTTGTTGATGTGTCTCTACTGATAGAAAAGTAGTGCTTCGACAGACCACACCCAAAACAAAGTAAAAAAAGTCATGTTGGCTGCAATAAAAGTAAGTGTCTGGTGGTGTGGGAGATTACTCGCTTAATCGCAACAAAAAGATCAAAATCTCACATAGATGCAGTACTTCTACCTCCCGGCATGCTAAAACTGGTATGGTCGTCAACATGGGGCCCATGGATGTGAAAGTCGCTTACTGGATTTGGCAACATTCCACTCTTGTAGCCGCCTCCTTTTCCGAGATTGAAGCCCTGGTGTACGTGAAAGTGGGGAAGTTCTTGTGTCGTGGTCGTGGAGGAATTATATTGGTGAAGACAGTGACTTCTATTTCTTATGCGTATATTACGCTTCAAAATTACATCATAGAGAATACGACCAGTGGTACTTGTACTAGTACATGTAGGCGGAATAGCATAGTAAGGTTATACGGTGAGACATCAGCAACCATAAGAGGATGAAGGACAGGAAGAGCAAGAGGAATCGTGTTGATCTAAGTATGTAATCGAAGCAGAGTATTTTTGAACACTCACTCCATGGTTTGATTTTTGGTTTTCACCTTAGAAAAGGTATTAGTACTTTTCCCCCCGTTCCGAATTGTGCAGGCTTTGCCCATGGTGGTGGTCCATTTTTCGCTAAGAAGCCCTTCCCCGGAGACAGAGGTCCTCCCATATGATGCAGAGTACCGCTACCCAGTGTTAGAGCTAAGAGACATCCGTCCGCGAAGACTCCTCTACTACTTGCACTTGGTCCCCCGTTAATATCTATTGTTATAAGTAGTTATTCCCTGTTGAAAAATAAACGGCAGGACCAAGATGCTGAGGCAGGTGGATTTCTTGTGGCCTTAACACTGATGTAAGTGGATTTGTGCTACTTGCTGCCATGGCAGCATGTAGTTGCTGAAATCTACTTGCTGCCATGGGATTCATAGCGGCATTCAAAGCTGCATGCTCGAAACGGCCCATCTGATGTGAGCCACCTCCACCGAACAAAGTCGCATGAGGGTTCGCAAACAGTGAGGACAATTGCTGTTGCTGTTGCAGTTGGGACATGGCCGCGGTATGATTGGCGGATGAATTTTGTTGATGAAGGCTGTTGTTGTTGTTATTGTTGTTGTTGTTGTTTGCACCACCAGTAGAGCCGTTCATACTATTACTATTGCTGTTATTAGCACCATGATGAGCCTGGTTATGATTTTGAGGACCTCCAAAAGGGAGACTTGAATTTCCGCCTCCAGCACCACCTGCAGCACCAGGAGGGTTCAGATTCATCAAGTTCATTCCACCTCCACTGCCCATTGCATTGGCACCTCCTCCAGTATGCTGTTGAGTGTTCATATTGTTCATGCTATTCATGTTTCCTGTAGCACCTCCACCAACACCGTTCATCATACTATTTCCAGCGCCATTCATACTCGCAGCACCAGCTCCATTCATGCTCATACTCGGTGTAAAGTGTGGCGCATTCCCGTTCATCATCGAGGGTTTGCTCATGTTCTGCTGCCCTCCCCCTCCTCCTAGGAAGTTGGGGTTGCTCGAACTCGTGCTGCCTCCTTGCTGCATCGAACCTGCCCCCATCATCGACGACCCTCCCGTGCCTGGATGAACCATTGGCGGACCTCCCATGTTACAACTATTACCCATCAAGGTCGAAGATCCTGAAGACAACGTCGGCGCGAGGGGTCCTCCGCTACTCGAACTGGCTACACTAGTGCCCAAGTGACCACCGCCGCCTCCCCCGGATAAGGTACCGATGGAAGAGGTTCTAGCTTGCTGCAGATCGTTTGTAGGAAAGTGAGGACCTCCTCCAAGTGAAGAAGTCCTGCCTTGATTATGCAACTGAAGTTGGTCTCCACCTGGTGGAACCTGATGTTGTACTAAAAGGCCTTGATGTACTAGTCCTGCTCCTCCTGAACTGGCTGCCGAACCTCCATTGTTGGTCAACATCGAAGAATTTTTACCAGTTGTTCCAAGTTCTTGTCCCCCACTAAAACAAGAGGTGGTTGCTCCGCCTCCTCCTACGGCCATCATTGATCCAGGTCCAGATCCACTACTGGTTGTACTGGTATTGTTTAGTTGTACAGCACTAGTAGAGTTAACGATGTTAGTGCCACTAGAAGATGCACTTGTTCCGGATGTAGCACAGGATGAACTCTGAGTTCCTAGGCTGAGAGTAGTGTTGAGCATGAGTGGCTGTCCGCCCCCTGGGTTGTTTGGCGACGCATTAGTTGGTGGACACACCGGTGTAGGCACAGAAGATGTTGAGGGAACAGAGCCCGGAGGGTTGTTGTTGTTGTTGTTGTTGTTGTTGTTGTTGTTGTTGTTGTTGTTGTTGTTGTTGTTGTTTCCTTGAATGTTCATACCTCCTCCCATCGACGAAGCGCCAGCGGCAGGACTCGGTGTCGCAGTTGGCGGGCCACTGTTGAATTGCGGCGCTGAGATGGCTGGTGGCTGTAGACGTGGCGGCTGCACAATGGCACTTTGACTCGGTGGCTCCGGCATGTGCTCCAAAGCCGGCAGAAGTGATGAACTAGAGCTACTTGACGATGACGTACATGAAGTCGCAGCTGAGGACGAAGCAGATGCACGACCAGCTAGTGGTGGCGCATCCATTGTCGAACAGCTTCCTGGAGCTGCATGGACGATTCCAGCACCTGAAGATATCCTCGTCATTAAGGGTTGCGCGCCTGTACTATTGAACGCCGGTGCGTTCGGGTTCATAGCCTTGCTGCTAGTGTTGCTCAAATCTCCAGGACCGGCACTAGCACTTGTCCCCCCTCCAGCGCCGAACATTGTTGGCATCCACGGAGCGGATGCAGGATTCATCCCAGGAGTAGTGGTTGTCACAGTACTAGGTGGTCCTATCAATGGTGGACCAATAAATGCAGACGACATTATATTCGCTCCACCGTTGTTACCACCTCCATTGATGCTCATGTTGTTTTGGTTCTGGTGCATGGATGGTGCCCCACTTGCTTCAGACGGGTTCGGGTTCGGATTTGGTAAAGCCAGCGTACCTGGTAGGGTTCCTGCGGCATTTTCTCCTGTGCTGTTGTTCCTATTCAACATTGCTCCAGCATTGGTTTGCTGTTGAGCATTGGTCTGCTGTTGAGCATTGGTTTGCTGTTGAGCACCGGAGGCTGAGACATCTGTAGGCGGACTACTACTTCTAGTGGCACCTGGCATGACATTGGGCGGCGGACCCCGACCCGTATTGCTGTTGTTTACTAGTGGCACCATGGTGTTCGGTAGCGGACCTGCGCCCGAAGTAGAAGATGAAGAAGCTGCGTTTTCACCAGATGCAGATTGTGCTTGACCTTGAACAGTAGAAGATGAATTACCAGTGCCATTACCAGAGGACATATGATTGATCAGGTTGCCAGTGCTGCTGCTGTTGTTAGAGTTGACATTCCCCAGTGGCGGAGGACCTGATAAGACCATATTAGCCGGAAGCGGCAACAACTCGCGTCTCTGAGGGGGATGAAAAAAGTCGTTCAAGACGGTCATCGTGCCGTTCACCGTACGCTGTTGCTGCTGCTCAGGCAGGCTATTGTTGGGTGCGTTGTTGTTGTTGTTGTTGTTGTTGTTGTTGTTACCAGATGAAGACGAGGATGCATTCGCACTGCTGTTGTTGTTCATTCCCTGTGAGGAAGTAGGGTTGTTCATGTTGTTCGGCCCTGAGGAGGATTGATTGTTCATCTGTCCTTGGGTCGAATTGTTGTTGTTGCTGTTCATCGGCCCCGAAGTCGGAAAATTGTTCAACCCACCTCCATTCATGTTGTTCATGTTGCCGTTGTTCATGTTATTACCCCCATTGCCATTTATCTGCGCACTAGGGTTCCCGTTTCCAGCAACTACATTGCCCAGCTGTTGCTGCTGCATCGACTGTATCGACATCAGAGGCCCACCATTATTGTTGTTGTTCATCATATTATTACTCATTTGAGGTCCACCGATATTGGGGTTCGGCATATTGTTGCTCATATTACCAACTCCGACGTTGCCCCCCATGTTGCTGCCAATATTGTTTTGTTGTGCCATCTGCTGCTGTTGCTGCATCAACATCATATTGATGTTGTTCATGTTGGGTGGATTCATCAGCATATTGCCGCCAGGGACTCCCTGTTGAACTGGCGGCATTTGATTAGGCATCTGATTAGGCATAGCCTGCATCTGCATCGCGCCCCCACCGCCCATGCTGTTATTCATTGACATCGCCCCGCCCCCGCCTACCATGTTCATGTTGTTGTTACCACCTCCAGGAAGCTGCATCTGATTATTTCCAGCACCTCCCATCCCCATCATGTTCATGCCGTTACCTCCTCCAGCCTGGTTGTTCATCTGATTCATGTTCATCTGATTCATGTTCATTTGGTTCATCTGGTTCTGGTTCATGTTCTGATTCATCTGTCCCGCCATTATCTGCATATTATTGTTTCCACCACCTTGCTGTTGTTGTGGTCCTCCATTGTTAGGGCCGACAAGGACAGACTTCGTTGCTGAGGGTGGCAGACCATGAGCACCTAGTTGCTGCATCCTCTGCGGCGGCATTCCAGCACCGCTGTTATTGTTATTCTGACCTCCCGTTGTTCCACCTCCACCCATGTTATTGTTGCCATCCTTCTGTCCTCCGACCCCAGAGCCAAAGCCTGTTCTCGCCACCACGTCAGCTAAGGCAGCTTCGACCGCTGTCATGCCACGAGAAGATGAACCCGTGATCGGACCACCTCCTCCCTTAGAAGTAGATGATCCTCCCTTAGTACTGCCTGTACTCCCACTAAACCCGCCTAAACCCCAGGACGCCGACGAGCGATGGTGGTGACTTGGCCCGGGATAATTATGACCGTTGTACCTTCTCGGACCGAACTCCTCGTTGTCCTTTCCACCCATTCCACGACCTCCGCCAGATGTAGTTTCGTGGAATGGGTGGAAGGAACCACCTGCGTTGTAGTTTGAAAAGCCACCACCTCCTCCATTGTAGTTTGAAAAGCCACCACCGCCTCCATTGTAGTTTGAAAAGCCACCACCGCCTCCATTGTAGTTTGAAAAACCACCACCACCTCCACCACCACCACTGCTGCCATAAAAGCCGTCACCACGAGAACCACCACCAGCGCTACCATAAAAGCTGTTGTGGCCGCCTCCATCTCTACTGCGTGGATGATCGCGGAATGAAGATGAGGCGCCATATCCGCCTGAACCACCACCTCCTCCGTGATGTGAGGAATGAGGACCACCTAAAGAACCTCCTCCGCCGTTGTTGTAACCACCTGAACCTTGTTCACCTCCTCTTCCTTCTCCGCGAGGTCCGCCATAACCACCATGGGATGATGAGTTGTTGTAGGACGAGTTCATGTTATGGTTGTGTTCCCTACTGGAATTATTACCTCCCCCTCCGGATGAATTGTTATAGCCTCCACCACCTCCACCATGATGACCTTCTCTTGGTCCTCCTCCTCCTGAATTGGGATGCCCATGGTTATGATACGACGAAGATCGGGCATAGGAATTGTTGTTATGCTGAGAATTATGAGGGCCGCCGCCTCCAGAAGATGTTGAGTTCACATTGTTGGACATGTAGGAGTTGTTGTGCTTGTGGTCACCCCCATTGCCATTGTAGGAGTCATTGCCTTTTCCGCCACCGCCTCCGAAGCCTTCCTTGGCAGAACTACGATGGTAAGAATTCTCGCCACGCGGACCACCACCACCTCCACTGTAGCCGCCACCTCTGGAAAGGCCACCAGCTCCGGCAGCATTAGGCCCACCTGACCCTCCTCCACGCATCATGTTGCCACCGGGTCCACCCTTTGATGATGAAGACAGATGATCCATATTACCATTACCAGGAGGACCGCCAGTGTTGATCTCAACAAAGTTCAAGGGACCACCTCCGCCTCCTCCATTATGCTGGGATGATGACATTTGACCACCTCTACGCTGCTCTCCTCCACCAAACATGTTGTTACTAGTATGCTCTCCTCCACCACCTTTAGTACTACCTCCCATGTAAGAACTACCATCCTTGTTACCGTTACCGCCTCCACCTGCTCCGCCATTCATCATGTTGTAAGAACTCATCCCCGATTGTTCAGACCATCGACCACGAGGCGGACCACCTCCTGCGCCGTTGTTGTTCCAATTTCGCGGCCCGCCGCCGATCATATTCATCCCTCCAGGACCTGGCCCTGCGGGAACTGGCGGCCCTTTTTGGACTTGCGGAGGAGGACCGGCACTGTGAAGAGGGCCACCCATCCCCATGTTGCTCGGCACGTTAGGTCCGTTGTTAGAGCTCACACCCATCCATCTTGAGGCGCATCCTGGGTCCGTTTCCCCTTGAAAGCCTCTTCAGGATGCCGCAGAAGATGGATAAGGAAGATAAGCCTTAACGTTGATCATGGTACTAGAAGGAGGATTCTGAAGATTCATGCCAGGTCCACCAGGTCCGCCACTGCCACCACCTCCATTGTTGTTCATCATTGGCATATTAGGACCTCCGCTATTGTTCATGTTCTGACCACTATTGATCATGTTGATATTATGACCTTGAACTTGATGATTTTGACTCGGAGGGCCATTGTTCATGTTGAAGTTCATCCCTTGATGTTGCGAAGGAGGTCCTCCGTTCATCATTCCTCCAGTGGGGCCATCTAAACTACTAGGTGGTGCAAGCAGAGGTGGGCCTTCAGGTCTATTCATGTTGTTACCACCACTAGCAGTACTCGCAGACATCGGCATTGAGCTCTGATGACCGGCGCCAGGGCCACCTTGACCCGGCACAGCTAGTGCTCCTCCTTCTCCGCTGATGTCAACACCACGAGGACTGAATATCGTGCTCTCTTGTTCTTGCAACCTCGCACCGCGTCTAGTCGTGCTGGGTGCATCGTCAATTTGCACCGAACCCTGTTCGCCCAGCAAAAGCGATGATCGTGGCTCGTCTATAATCATGTCGTGGTCCGCGTCCGTTAGAAGGTTTCCGTTCTCATCTTCTAGTTGTATCAATGAACCACGAGGATTACCAGTTGGAGTTCTCCTTGTTGAAGAGGATCCTACTTCTAGAAGGTGTTGGTGTGGTGGACCAACGATTGTTCCTGGAGGAGGTATGGAAGATACTCCATCAGCTCCTAGACCACCTCTTCTTGCTCCTAAGCCAACTTCTAAGACTGTAACACCTCCAGATCCACCACCCGTAGACGTATTTGAGGACGATATTAAGTTCTTGTTGTTGTTCTGATGCTGTTGCTGAGTAGTTATTCCACTATCTACAACTCTATCAGAAGTTGTACTCGAAGGAGGTCCTCCAATAGGCTGCTCAGGCGGCCCACGACCTATAGAACAAGACCTAGCGCTATTAATATTGTGTGGAATACTAGGTGGATTCAAGCCAACGTCTGGCGTTCGAAGCAAATTTTCGTCAATCTCGATGCTTATGCGCCTTTCCCTTTGCCTCGTGGTCTTAGTTGAGTCCTCTCCAAGAAGTCCAACTACTCCTGCACTATGATCTTCAGCAACACTACTAGCTGTTGTTCCCGGGAGGCCTAAGTTTGCTGGTGGTCGCAATGGCGGCGGTCGATAAAAAAGTTGTTGACTAGGATTTCCACTTTGACTAGGATTTCCAGAAGTGCTGGGACCCTCTGCTCCAGACCCTCCAGATATCATGGGAGCCAACAAATCCTGCTGACCTCCCAACGGGCCGCGCTTCAATAGAGGACTACTACTAGGCAACGCAGGCGGTCGACCGCCTCCAGCAGTTCTAGCAAGTGAAGAACCCCCAACACTGTGCGTTGCTGTAGTGATCGCAGCAGGAGGATGACTTTCAGGAGGAGCTCCTGTGGTCGGCGGCGCAGATAGTGACGGCGCTAAAGATCCGCTAGGAGTTCTTGTGACAAGTGCTCCTGCAAGATTAGAAGTGTAAACATGATATTGGAAAAGATTTAAAGTTTGACTTTCTTCTAGATTCCAAGAAGATGAAGGAGTCAGTGAGTAACAAACTCAAACGATTCGTGAAAAATTATAGAAAGAACGTGAACATCAACATCACGATCAGAGCAATCACAAAGTAGACACACTCACTCAAAAAGAAAATTATTCGTATTAGTATTTTTCCTTTCCGTAAATGGTGGACTCTCTGTCGGAATTTTTGGGGTAGTAGTAACGACGACTCCAGGTCCTGGCGTTCCTCCTCCTACCAAATTTGAAAATTTTGAAGATGAAGAAGACGCACCAGAAGTTGCAGTCGCAGAGGATGATCCAGGGTTGCTCTCCATGCGCTGCTCTACATCTTGTTCATGTCCATGTGATCCAGGTTTTTGTTCAGCGTTGTCTCCTTCCATATTTTTCATGTTATTTGATGTATGAAAATGGCGGACATGTCTGAGATCGCCGGGAGCGCCATGTCCTCCTCTTCGTCTCGCTGTCGCTGTTGCCGTTGCACGCTCACGCTGTTCTAGCACTAGTAGGTCTAAATTCCGTTTTTCTAGCACTTCGATTGGTAACTCCCAAGGGTCAGTGGTGTCGGAAATGTCAGGAAGTGCCTTGACGACAGGAGTTGCTGCTGGCGGTGGAGCTGGTGCACCTGGGTGATGTTGTGGGGCAGAATAATAGCAAGAAGAATTGACTGATTGATTGATGTGCCTGGCAGGAGGTCTGGTTAATTATGCAAAGTAAGAAGTTGAAGATTTGATCGACTCAACATCCACCCGTACTGAAAAAAGACAGCAATATTAATAAAGCAAAGTGCAGTTGATGAGCAATGAATATGAGACTTCAATTCAAATTGCGAAAGCAACGCTACAACATGAACTGTCACACAAAACATCTCTTTCGACATTGTATAATGTTACCTCCTCCTTGTTTCGTAGTCGTAGACGAAGAAGATGAGCCTCCTACTAGTACTGCATTACTACTATTTGTGGTCGTTGACGGCATCTTCGTTTTGGATCCTTGAGAATGAGACTGCTTCCCAGAAGATTCAGGAGCAGATGAGCCACCTCCAGCTGTAGGAACTGAACCAGCTGTAGGAGGAGCTATGCTACTAGTAGAACGAGCGCTTTTATGAGTACCAGTACTACTAGTACTAGTTGTGTGCGTTTGACTGGTTGTGCTATGACTTGTTTGATGTTGAGCGGAACTCGAACTAGTAGTGGTCGTCGCTCCGCAACTACTAGTAGGAGGATTACAACTGTCCTTCTGATGATGCTGTTGCCCTTTATTTGAAGACACGACTTGCGGAGTCCGATTATACAACTTTTTCCAAGTCGGTTTCCACTCTTTCGCTTTCTTGTTGTTGTTATTGTTTCCGTGGTTCGTTGACGAAGTAGACTGTTCTGCTCCAACCGCAGAATCTGTTGTACTACCTGTCACAGACAATGACACTGCTGGTGGGCCACCACCTACTACAGTAGAGAGATAACTCTTCTTGTTGTTGCCACTTCCTGAGGAGGAGTTGTAGTTGTTCGTAGATGATTGTTGCTGGTGCTCCTTGACAGTCGTGGCAGAGGACTGTTGTGCTCCCTCAGCTTTGTTGCCACTGCTAGAAATGCTAGAAACTGTTTTAGTAGCTGTACGATCCTCACGCTCAGTACTAGAAGTGGTCTTTTTAGAAGACGTGGCCGATCCACCTGAACTGTCTCCTTGTGCGCCACTACCTGAAGCACGAGAGTTCTTAGTATGCGTATGTTGATGTCCACTGGACGAGTGTTGTTGTTGATGTCCACTTGAGCTTGAGGATGCACCAGAGGACCCAGACGCACTCGTACTCGCAGACGTAGCGCCTGAAGAGGCAAGAGTTGGCGAGGAGGAAGATGTCCTCGTTGTAGGAGCTACATGTTGAATTTGATGGCTCGATGAACTCGAAGTCGAAGCAACTTGTTTCTCCTTGTAGAAAACTCGATTTTGCTTCTTACTACTAGAACTATTTCCTCCGTGCTTTTCACGATAAACGAGCTGCGGCGTATGATGCTGATGGTGATTTTGATGCCCTCCACCTCCTGCAGAAGGAGCAGCTACGGCACTAGCACTACTAGTACTGGAGATGGCACTGGTGGAAGGAGCAGCAGAAGTACTAGTAGAGGCTGCAGTGCCTGCTCTTGTTGTTGACTCTTTGTCTTTATTCTCTACTTCATTGACCGATGAGGCAAGAACTGATGCATTCGTAGTACTAGTAGTAGAAGTACTGTTCTTGTTGGTACTTCTAGTATTGTTCTCTTTCTCTGCTGAAGTACTGTTCTTGTTGGTACTTCTGGTATTGTTCTCTTTCTCTGCTGCTGCTGTTGTATTAGCGAAGAGAAAAGCCCAACCTTACGCCAGCAACCCAGTATGGATTCCCCTTGTGTAAAAGGGGAATGAGAAGAATGGGCTGTGTAAAGGGTTGGGTTTTTCTGTGCCATAATTGTACTAGCTGCCGTACAAGTCGTACCAGAACCAGTACTACTAGCTGCAGCACCGGGTTGATGCTCTCCACTAGTACTACCGGAACTATGGTTATGCTGCTTTTTCCGGTAATGCATCTTCAAAGTCGCCAGTTGTAGATGCAGAAACCCCAATTACTGCTATCATTAATTTTTACACCCCGATATTTACTATGAGAAAGTAATTCGTTACGTCGTCGAGTCTTATATCATCACATACAACGTCGATCCTCGATGCAACAAAAAATTAAGTTATTTCATTTCCCGTAGTACCTTAGTACAACCTCCTCCCATTGAAGATTATTGAACAAATAATTTACAGAGTAAAACCTAGAAAATGGAGGTTGAAGAGTTTGACGAGTGGTCTATCTGTTATTGATTATACAAGATGAAAAAAATAATGCAAGAATTTTTGTTGAAAACCACTGATAGATTTTTTTTGGGATTGGATTAGATTTTGCTTGATGATATAAATCATGAATGCTTCAGATTTTATTGCTTGTTCGATTAAGTGATTAAGAATATCAATAGGAAAAATCTCTCTTTTAACTACGAACAAATTTAGTGAAGATGTTGTGTGACTTCTAAGACTAAGTAAATCTAGATACTATGCAGCAGCTACCCGACTAGGTTTTGGTCGTCGTACAAGTTCTCATGCACAACACACGATTGATTGAGATTTGCATAAGACCACGACGATTTGACGTATAAGAAGATGGCGGCGCTTTAGCATCCGGTCGCTGTAGAGGTGGAAGGAAGTCTGGAGGCTGCCTCTAGACAAAGTTAGAGCTACCGCCGCGCATCCCTGAGGGCACGATCCCTGGAGCCTACTTTTTCCGCGTGAAAAAGAGGCTAGTAAGGATGATTCTGAGGATGCGCCAGTGGTAGCGGTAGCCTTAACAAAGACAACATACCTTATTTTTCTTGTGTAGTATTAAAGTAGCGACAGCAGCTCTTCTGGTTCTTTCTTCGGACTATCGAAACGCAGACAGGTACAGGCAGATTCGTTTCATGTTTTTTACCACAAATACCTACAACTCTGTCTCTCAAATTTCTCCGACAACTTCCACCACCCTACATCTACAACTAGTACTTGTTTTTTTGAAATGCAACAGTTCACATTTGATAATTAGGGAGTAGCTGTTGCTGTTCTTGAGTTGAACCAATCGTGCTTCTATTTGTAAATATTTTTGGCATGCTGGCAAACTTCATGCGACGAGCAGCAGGCGACTTGTATGCGCGCACGAGCGATAACGAATTTTCAAGCCATTCCACCAATTCAGTCGTTTCAATTCCACTCATTCGAATAGCAAAACGAAAAGACTTCAAGTCGACATGTCTAAGTTTGATATTTTCTTTTTTAGCAGCATTTCTTATACTAAATTCTTATAGGAGTTGCAGTAGACTCACTCTGTATAAAAACTGGCATACTTCCATCTTGTTCACAAATCGTTTTCTCCTTGCCTCCATGTGGTCTCTATTCTCAATCATGTTGAATGGCCGATGGAAACAGCTATATCTCTCTTGAACACATTATTCGCTCTAGGCAGAATACGATGGAAACGCGCGCCAGGTCTGGATGCCCGAACAAAAACAATCGACCATTCATTGGCGTGCACGTGCTTAGTCGTGAAGCTAGCACGACTCATCGAGATCGAAAATCCTCTGCTTGTTGTTCTGTACAATTATCGAGCTGGTTGCATGTTCGTTACGATCTTCGAAATACGTCTGATGATTCCAACACTGATGTGCAGCACAAGCGGGTTCTCCAAGAAGAAGCATGATGTTCAGGTTTTTTCTCAAATGATAATTTTGATGTCTGCGGGACTGCATTAGACGTTTTTGAATTTGAAGGAGTTTTTCTCACTGCGTAATGTTATTTTTTCACGTATTGTTCATGTTGTTGATTCCTATCTATCAATCTTTTATGCGTTTATGGTCGTTTTGTTTGACGTGTTAGAAATTGTCTCTAGTATTTTAGACTATCCAATTTCAATCCACCTTCCTTCAGTACGTTTGAGTCATCCTGCTGGTTACTTATGTTTATAGGTGGAATGAGATTTCTACGAAATCATTTTTCTTTCAATTATACGTTGTTGAGAGAACAACAATCTACAAAAATACCCAACCGATCAACGACCGCGTCGACGTCTACTTCCCCTTCGACAAGGCGTCCTGCAAAGCCGCTTGCGCTTCTTTGCGCATCTGTCGCTCATTCGCCAACTCGTCTTCCAGTGGCTTCATCAGCTTCTTCATCTCCTCTTGGACGAGTGAAGCGACTTCTGTGCGAAAAACTGCAGAACTCTTGCTCATCGAAGCAGCGGATCCGGAAGATATGAACAATGGGAGGGAGAGGCAGCGGCAGGCAGGCAAGCTAGTATTGATTGATTGATTGATTGATTGATTGATTGATTGATTGATTGATTGATTGATTGATTGATTGATGTACCTATTCGTGAGGTATAGGGGCTACCTGTGTGCACGGGGAAGAGGGCTCATTCTTCGATATGTGTTTGCCTGTTTGGTCATGTTGAGAGTGTTAAACACATCAACTACTGCCGAGGAGATTGAGATCTACTATCATGACCATGACCAAGAACAAAGAATAACATTTAAAAGAGTCGGGTTTTCTTCTTCTTGTAACCATAAAAACTCCACTCCCAGAAACCGTCACAGGAGAGGTTTTCTCTGGATAAAACATCGGCCCCTGCTCCAAATGCTCACGTGCACTGTACCGCGAAGTGGTAGAGGCCGCGCTATACTTCGTTTTCAGCCCGTCTTGTGGATGCGTCACAAGCCTGTTGGAAGAGCACCTGAAGATGGTTGTTTTAAACGTCTTAAAGCCCTCAACTCAAAGTTTCAATGATGTTCGCGGTACTTCGCCGACAGCAGTAATAAAAAACGCAACTACCATCGACACAAACACAACTAGCAATGATGCTTAAAACAACCATCTTCAGGTAGAAGAGCACCTGAAGATGGTTGTTTTAAGCGTCATATAAGGTTGCTGGAAGAGGGCCTGAAGATTGTTTTTTTGATGGTTGTTGCTCGGTGTAGGAGTACGACAATATTCTAGAAAAGTTCGCCATCGTTCGACGACGAAATCCAAGAATGGAAACTTTTGACTCGGATAAACTGGTCATTTTTATTGATTCTTGTTATTTCCCTAACAAAATTAGGCTAAGGCTAGTACGAAAGAATAAAAAAAGATGAACTTCAACTTATGCTTGTTACAATTTTCTTAATACTTCTTCTCCTCCTTTCCTCCTTTTCTCGCACCAGTACTGCCTGAAGCCGAAAAACTCGATTTTACTGGCGTTCCGATTTCATGCGATTTGCCGGCCTGCTTTCGTGGGAGTACAACGTGATTCCCAGCATTGGAACCAGCAAGACTTGGAGTCGTCTTCACGCGGACGTACCTAGTTTGTTCGGAAGGGAAATGGGAAGACGATCTAAGAGTTGGTCGTGAAGACGAAGTGGGTGTCTGAAAAAAAAGCGACATATTAAAGAACAACAAGATAGAACTAGAACAAGTGCAACAAGCAGTTGTAACCATGTATCAAAATTAATTCACTCCTAAAAACTGACAAACTGTACAACCCTTACCCATCAATCCACTCCTCGTACAGAAACAAACCGGACGCATCAGTCACCCCATAAACAACGAACAATACCCATAGATGGACAAACAATACCCATAGATGGACAAACAATACCCATAGATGGACAAACAATACCCGTTAATCAGTTCCTGCGCCGTATCTCGGGAATCTGCAAAGCTGATTTTATTGGGCTCTTCATTAGAGCTAGTTTCTCACTGTCGGTGGTTGAGTGAAGAGTTTCTCTAACTAGAAAAATCCAAAAACCGAAAAAAGAAAAGTCAGGCCGGAGCCCTGCGCAACAGTTCTATGGTTGAGTGCACAGTTCTATGGTTGTGTGCACAGGTTTATTCGCAATGGGGTACCGGTTCACCAAATAAACCCACGGTTCACCACAGAAAAGGACACGATCTACTTCGTGCTACTGTTAGCCTTAACACCTCGTTAGCCTAGTGAAGAGTCTCTCCTTAACTTCACTCAGCAGCGTTCTTGTAGTATTTATCATAGACAGGAATAAAAAAGTTCTTAACTTCAGCAGCGTTCTTGTAGTATTTATCATAGACAGCGCGAGTCTGAGCATACACCTCACGCTCACACCGTTTTTGCCAGATGACATCCTCAGTAGTGACATCTCGTTCCTGACCGTACGGCATCTTGTGCGTGACTGTGACTTTAAAAGTCAAAATTCTTGGATTTTTTGGCTTCCTGAGTCTCAGATCGCGATGCAGCTATATTGCCTCCGAGTCAATTGAATTATAATTGAGTTTCCTGTGAGTAGCGCTACCTTTCTCTTTATGGATTACTTGTTGTTGTTGTTGCTGTTGTTGTTTACTGAGGATGTAGCTTCTTTTTTGAGAGAAGTTCACTCTATGTATGTAGAAAATCCAAAAACAAGATGAGGAATAAAAAAAGCAAGAAATAAAAACAAGTTGTAGTAAGCACAACTACGCGGTATTGAGGTGGAAGACTTCGGTGTTGAGAGCTGAAAACCGATTTCATCGGCGAATACCGATCGCAATCATGAGGATGCGGAAGATCATCTCCACCGATTTCCATATTAGACCGATGGATATTGATAGATATGTCGTGCGCCACACGTCTCTGATGCTGCCTGCCATTCGCATTGTGGAAACCATAATCACAGAGCTCGAAAACGATGCATACCGATTCTGTTCACCGAAAGGAATCAATATTAAACCTGTCGTGACCGACCAAGTTTGAGCCCTCGGCTCGTCTAGGAACACCTCTCAAGTCTTCAAGCTCACAACTCTCAATGTCTTCAAGTCTCAACGTCTCAAAGCCCTCAACTCAAAGTTTCAATGATGTTCGCGGTACTTCGCCGACAGCAGTAATAAAAAACGCAACTACCATCGGCACAAACACAACTAGCATGAGCACAGCCGCTGGCTTCAGGAAGCCCATCATGCCATTGCTTATTATAGATCTGATGCTTCTACTCATAGATTTCTTGGTTCAGTCAAATCGTCTTCATGTTGCATCAATGACGCCCTCAATAAAGGTCCACTACAGGAGGAGATAAAAAGCAATCACGAGGGCTTCATCTCAAGAGGTGCATTCGATATCAATCATACGAGGACATAAAAAAGTCGTAGCACTACTAAGATTGAGCACAATCAACAAGGTTCGCTTTGATAGCGTTCAAGGCTCGCTTTGGAAGCTTGAAGCAATCTTCAAGGTCGTTGATGTTGAAGTCGTAGCGCTGCGCCTGTAGGAACGGACCAAAATGATGAAAGTATAAATGCTATACTACAACAACAACATTTTTAGTATTATTATGGCTCAACACGATTGGTCTTCGTGCAAGGCAAGGAATCATAGTTAGTGTCTAAGAACTCAGAAGATGAAGGATTCATTCAACATGGCGATTTTTATGCTTCCTCATATGACATCAAATGGTAACGCGCAACATGTAATAGTATACCATAATCTGTCCTGTTGGTAGTAAGTACCTAGTAGGGCGCCCTTCTACGTAACGTGATCATAAATACAAAGTGCTTGTGCTCCTTCTACATCTAGATTCAGTATGTCGATCTCATGAGTCCTATTTCTCCGCGCTTGTCCGTGCTTGAAATCGATCGGTGCATGTTCTTCGTAACGAAACGTAACGAAACGACTCTTCCCTGTTGATGTGGTACTTTTGTAATAGTACCTTCTTCGCTCAACAGAGTTGGTGTAACCTAAACATATATGTGCTTCTACTGTTCCTTTCTATCCGTTTGGTTCCTTTTGGTTCTTTTCTCATCCTGGTTGTTTGCAATTACTTGAAAATAAAACGTCTTGGTTCCGAGTGCGAGTCGGACGACAACATCTTCCTCCGAAGATTGTTTCATCCGCTTCAAGCTCAATGTAGATAAAAAAGTGAAAAAGTTCTACGTGTCACGACCTGTGAAGAAACAGCATCCACCTAAAGCGAGAAAGAGTTCTATCTTGCCTCCTGCAACAACATACTCGTTCCCACGACAGAAGAGCCGCTGCCAGTCGCTGCTCCATGTGATTTAGTAATGATGAAAACTGCTGCATAGTTCTAGTTCTTGATCTGCTTTGATATTCTAGTAAAACACTGGTCTTGCTGGTCAATTCTTGCTCCTCGTTCGTCTTTTGCTTTGCGGTGAAGACACATTACCGAAGAGGAAGCAGAAGGAGACACCACCACTAAACCCCGGTCCGTCTCGAGCGATGTAAGAAATGAAACTCGCCAGGCTCAAAGACGCGACTTCCATGTCCAACTCCGCGAAGATTCACAGTAGTGGAATCTCTTCAAATCTCCTCCTCCGAGCCGATGCCGAACTGTTGCACTAGAAGTTCTGCTCCGACTCCGTCATCTTCTACGCACAACTATTCCCTACCCTGTAGTCATCCTACTACTTCTCCACCACGGCAAATCTTCCTACTCCGTCTACAAGTAGGAGTAGGTCTCCACCACGACGTCAAATCTTGTTCCTACATCCACTACAAGTATCAAATCTTGTTCCTACATTTTTCGCATTTACAAGTAGGTCTCCAAATCCTGAGGCATCTCTTGGATCTGTGTTCCGTAGTAGCGCTCGATTTCCTTCAGATAGGCCTTATCCTTCTCGGTGCAGAAGTTGATTCCCACACCCTTACGACCGTAACGACCGGATCGACCGATACGATGCAGGTAGTTCTCCATCTTCACCGGCAAATCGTAGTTGATCACCAAAGAAACTTGCTGGATATCGATACCTGATGTGCGAGGGTTCATGTGGATTGTCTATCCTGTCGTGGAAGAACTAAGAGGAGGAGGTTATCGGACTTGACTACAATGTGCAGCATAAAAGAAGTTCGTGTGGATGATTACACCTACAGGGTTCTTGAGACGATTCTGTTCCTAGTGGTACTGCTGTGTGTTTACACGCTCTACTGATATGCCTATTTCCACGCGTAGAGAAGAAGTAATGACCAACATCTGAACCTTGTATGTACGACAATGCCTAAACGCAATCACAATGACCGCGGCTATCTCCTGGGGCTCATTGTATTTCTTACTATGAGCAACTTTTTCATCAGGATCCTAGCTGGACTATACATGTAATTGTCATGGGTAGCAACCTTGGAAAGTTGATTCTAGCCGTACTAGAAGAGAGAAGACTCAGGTTGAATCGTTGATAGCGAATCAATATTTAATACTCATACCCTAAGCTCCAAAAACAAAAACAACAACCGTAGAAAAAATTACCTCTCGCCAACAGATCCGTTGAGATCAGGACTCGGCTTGCACCGTGGACGAATTCCTTCATGACGGTTTCTCGCTGTTTTTGGTCGAAATCGGCGTGGATAACGCTGACCGCATGGTCCAAGTCGTTCATCTGTTCCGCTAGCCAGTTCGCCTTGTGCTTCGTGTTGCAGTAGATGATGGACTGCTGAATCGTCAAAGTTTCGTAGAGATCAGAGAGAACAGCGAGTTTGTTCTTCTCCTCATCAACGTAGATGTAGAACTCGGAGATACCTGTTCGTTGGTCAAAAAGCACAAGCATAAGGATAATAGAAGCAGAGTATTTTTGAACACTCACGCCATGGTTTGATTTTTGGTTTTGAAGTATAATGAGAAGTTGTACCCTCCAAGGTCAACTCGTCCTTCTTGACCAATATTCTGACTGGAGAACGCATGAATCGGGTGGTCAAGTCCAAAATTTCTGGCGGCAGGGTTGCGGAAAAGAGACTCACCTGCACTTCGGATGGCAAATATTTGAAGATGTCATAGACCTGCTCCTTGAATCCTCGGTTGCCAAGCATTTCATCCGCCTCGTCCAACACCAAAAGTTTTATGTCATCGACCTTCAAGTGTCGCTTGTAGATCAAGTCAAAGACGCGACCAGGAGTGCCGACAATGATGTGGCAACCTGTATTTTTGAAGAAGGGAAATTGAAATTGAAGAGGGGAAATTGAAATTGAAGAGGGGAAATTGAAATTGAAGAGGGGTAAACGGTGGAGAGTGAAGGACGTCCATAAAATTTACCGTTGTTGAGTCTGTCAACGTCGGATTTGACATCGGTTCCTCCAGTGCAGACATGCGACTCAATTTGCATGTACATCGAAAAGTTTTTGACGACCTGTATTAGTTTGACGGATTCAAGTACTAGGGGGAATGAGTCTGTGGTGAGGGAGAAATCCAAATCACATCATGAAATCTATCGAAAATATTAACTTGAATGATGTGTCTACAAGAATATCTTCTTTGTACAAGAACTTTTAGGCAAAGAACTTATAACAAAGTAAAGGAAAAATCGCCTACTTACCATATGGATCTGGTTCGCCAACTCTCGCGTCGGTGCTAGAATGAGCACTTGAACTCCCTTTTGCAAAACATCGATTTTTTGGAGACCTCCGATGACGAAGGTTGCGGTCTTTCCTGTACCGGATTGCGCCTGTCCGATTGTGTCCCGACCAGCCAGGATAGGGGTGATGCCTCGTTGCTGGATTGCAGACGGTTTCTCGAAACCGTAGGAGTAGATACCTTAACAAATATGGAAATTTTGAGTCGTGCTGGAGGCAAGGAAAAGATTCTTGTCGAAAGGATTCCATTACAACTCACGTTGGGAACAGAAACATCATCATGATTGTAAATGTGTTGCAAAATGAGCAACTGACATTAATTCAAAGTAATTATAGATTCAAAGCCTTAAAATTCGACAGTACCTCGCAACAGATTCTCTTGGAGATTCAGTTCTTCGAAGTCATGGACCATAGGGAAGTCCATCTTCTCCTCATCCTTCACCATCACAGACGCCGTCATTTTCGATTAGTCTTTTTTTAGATTTAAAAAATTATTATCAAATTCAGTCACTGAATTCTAGCAGTTTTCCGTTTCTGTTGTTTTTAGTTTGGATATGCGGTTCTTGAAATGCTTGTTGAAATACTTGTCTTTCCTTCGTTAATCCTTAAATCAAATTCAAATGCTTAACATCATACGGTTATGCTATACTACTTAATGATGATCTTGATCCAATTGAACTTTCGATACCTAGGCTATAATGCTTGTAAACAACACGAATTTCCTCAGTAGGGGTAAACCACGTGGTAATCAGGTAAGTGGAATCGTCGGAAGCTCTCTTTAATCGCCGACGTGGTTATACTTGTTGAGGCCAAAAATTTTTATTCGTAGTAGACCAATCTGAAGGCTAATAAATTCTTATTCTTAGAAAAATCTTTTGCGGGATCCGTTTAATTGAATTCGGTAGTTAGAATGCTGATTTGAATTCTTGGAATAAGGAAAAGGAACGCTGATGTTGTAATTGTTTTACAACTCTAAAAAATCTTAGTTTTGATGTCGCGCACTTTCGCTATAAAAGAACGCTGTTAAAAATCGCTGTTTTTCACTTGGCTGTTAAAACGAGTATGTGGTAGGATGATTAGTGTTACTTACCTGTTTCAGACGATAAGAACTTCTCTGCACACAGAAAAAAGCTGCCAACGCAATCTATCACGACCTAGAATAAAACTGATTCAGAAAGAACTAGGGGAACTAAATCGAAGCGAATTCCACAGAACAATAACAATCAGACTCACTGTATAGAATAAGGATCTTCTGAAGAGCTGCAATCTATTTTCTTGGATCTGGATCTCATGCAATTGTCGATTTCCGGAGCTCAAAGTGTGGAGGAAATGTCTGTACAGCTTGATGCACATGCAGTCAAATTCACTGGAAATTGAGAATAACAGGCAGTCAAAGTCACGGTCGCTTTCTACTTCATGCTTATGAATTTTCATGGTAGTCGTTCACGACTACAATTAATATGAAGGTTGCAGCCTTCTGGCTCTACTAGCTTTCTCGTTGCTCAGAAATCCAGAACACCCTCTCTCATAACCAGACTAAGGAGTGTCAGTTCCAGCAGATCGCCATCGACATTGATGTGAATCAATTGTCGCAACAAGCCGTCACAAATATCACAAGGTGGGGGAAGTTTTTGTTGTATGGGGCATCGATCTTGTGAGTACATAGATGAGTAGTTTTTGGAGTCTAGGCTTCCTGATCCGCCTTTCTCTGAGCCTCCAACTCGGCCTGTAGTTCGCCTAAACGTGACTCACGGGTACTATTCATCCTCCTAAACAACTTTTCCATATCCTCCTCATCATACCTGTCTGGAGACGGCGAAGAGAGAGAATAGGCGCAGTCTTCCGGTCCCGGTGAGGCAGCGGAACAAGGGTGGAACCCAAGGGAACGAGAATCATGTAGTGGCTGAGACGCACTAGATGAATCGAACATTTGGTCAGCCGCGTCTACGATCCTATCCTCCACTGAGGACACGGTAGACGATGGCGCCTCGACGAACCCTGACGAAGCAGTGCTAGAGCGACGACGAGGAGCAGGCTGATACTCTGCGAGGCTGTTGCCTGTAAGTTTTTGACTAGTCTTCTCCTTCTCGGACAACTGCGTAGCAGAAGTGAATGATGGAGGAGGAAGAGGTTGAGGCGGATACGCACCTTGTGAGGGAGGAAGAGGTTGCCGAGTAAGGCTGCCAAGTTCTTGACCTGAAAGAACTTGAGGAGGTTTGCTACAACTACTCGCAGTCCCATCTCGATCTCCTCCCCTACTTTGCTTATTCTGTTTTCCTCCACGAGGAGGAGGACCACCTCGTTCATCATCAAGGATTTGCACACCTGATATCCCACCTGTATGTTCCAGAGGCGTTCTCGGTCGCGATGATGGTCCGTCAATGTCGGAAGTCGTGGTTCCGAGATATTGTTCGACCGACACTGAAGCTGAAGTTCTGTTGTTCTGGGGCTGCTCTTTTTGCCTCGGGAAAAATGCTGTACGAGGCGCATCTGCAGAACCTAAGCCTCTTCTAGGACCTAACTGACCTCCTCCAGCTCCGCCTATTCTACTCCTTGTACTACTAGCACTGGATTGGCTTAACTGACCTCCTTGTTGTGGCAAAAGGACTTGTTTTTCCTGCTCCAGCAGATGTCGTTTCAGTCGTTCATCCTCTCGATCTTTCCTTTCCTTCTCCAACTGCTCCGCTCTCATCTTAGCTCGTCGCGTGATGATCGCAGCTTTGGCCCTAGCTAGTTCTTCGTCGCTATACGGCCGAAAGTTGTGGCCTTTGACAGCTTTGTTGATGCAGACGAGATCTTCACCATCCTGTACTGTCCAACCGAGACCATAGTATTCGAGGTCCTTCTTGCGTTTTTTCGCGTATTCAGCGTGTTTCCTTCTTAGGCGGTCGTACTCGTATTTCATGTACTGCTGGACATTGGTGGCAAAGAGAGTAGCATCTTTGCGCTCTTGTTCGTTCGGATGGTAGATGCGGAGGACCTGGTGGAGATTGAGGTTTGAGAGTTTGTTGAAAGGACTGTCTGATCAGGAAAGTCGTGATTGTCGAAGATTTTCGATATTTCGGAACTCAAATTTCAAGTCTTGTTCAAAGAAGAAAAATAGAAAACTAGAAGAACAAAACATATCATGATAGATAATGATTACCTTGATCAAAACGCTCGTAAATCCGCTCTGGAGCCAGCTAGACGTGAGCCATTCTTTGTCCGTAAACTCCTCTATCTGGTTCGTTCCTGGATCAATCTTGAACATCGGCGATGACAAATCCGTGGCTCCAAAATACAGCAAAACTATTGGTCTCACTGGCAATCCTGGCCTAAATATTCCATTCTTGAACTCGCCAACCGAGTTGCCACTGGTTGTAGAACCTTCCGGGAAGACTAGCATGGATTTTTTGCCCGGTCTCCACCAGTCAATGTGGTCTTGAATGGCCTTCATAGCTGCACTTCTACCGTCTGCGGACTCGCGCTCCACCCAAATCGCACCCATGTCGTTCATGTAATCGCCGATCATAGGAACGCTTCTGATTTCCAGCTTCGCCATCACGCGTGGGTAGTCGAGTTCGCTGGTCACCACCATGCCATCGACGTTGCTGATGTGGTTGCAGACCATAAAAGGACTCAAAGTCAGGCTCTCCGCGTCTTCGTTCTTAGGATAGGACACTGTCACGGAAATCCCGTTCAACCTCAGAAACCCGCTAATCGCAGCCCTCATAAGCGTCTGATCGTTCAGCGCGTCTCCAGTGAGCGCTCGCTGGACATTGCCCAGACCGTAGGCTAGAGTGATGCCAGCAGTTCCCACTGCTGTAGTCGTGGTTTTCAAGGCTGCAGGTACCCAGAACGCTGGATTCCAGCTAGAGTATTCTTGAGCTTTTTCCTTCTCGAGGTAGTTCCAGCTGTATTTGTTCTTGAACTCCTCTGGAGACATCCTATCACCTTTATTCTTCTCGTCTGGACGAGGCGTCGGCGTGCTGGTGCCAGTTGTTTGCTTCTTGTTTGGAGTGGCACCTCCAGTAGAACCTGATGAACTTCCAACTGCTCCAGGCCATTTTCCTTGTGCAGCTTGCTGCGCAGAAGATGCTTGAGACGGTGAGGGGTCCTCTAGAGTATGTTGGCTGCCTTGCGGAGGACCTATACTGCTTGATGACGATGTGGGCACGACGCCTGGCGAAGTCGTTGTAGTAGACATGTGCTTCGGTCTCGGATCTCCACCCTTTCTTGATGGCACCAGCGGTGACCTGTTGTTTGTCGTGTTTACTTCTCGAGTACTTGTTCTTGTCCTCGTAGTTGTATTGATATTAGTCTTTGCATCTCCAGCTCCAGTTCGTTGTGTGGGTCTGCTCCGGACATGTTGCCCACCGTCCGATCTGACAGCACCACTTGACGAGGCAGATGAAGAGGAAGAAGCGGGTCTGGCAGGCCTCGAAGATGCAGCGCCTGCCTTTGGTCTTGGACCTTGATCGAAACCGGCCCGATCTTGTTCCATCGGCCGTCGCGACCTAGATTTGCTACTGCTGGACGACGCGCCAGAACTCTGATTGCCTCCATCCCGATCTCTATCAGGTCGATCCCGATCTTGGGCTTCTTGTCGCGCTAATATCGTCTCACGGTTGACAACGTTTCTATACCCACCAGCACTGGACGCACCTCCACTAGCACTGGCACCTCCACCAGCTTCATTACTAGGACCACCACGACCGACAACAGCCGATCTTCTCACTCCCGTCATCATCCTCACTATTGCGCCATCCTCGTCGATCACCTCTACAACTCCTTGATGTTGCTCCCCACCATCTCTGTTCAGTTCCTGTGGCCTCCTCTGTCTCCTGTTTTCACGCTGTTGATTCCGTTGTATCGCTTGTTGCTTGGCTAGATGGCGAAGGTGTTCGGCTTTTCGTCTCTGAGCTGCTCTGCGCTTCTCTAGTTCATCATCATCGTCGCCTGGGCCACCAAGAACAGCCGTGTAGGCATCACCAAAAAACTGGCTTACGCTTTCCATGGTCGTTCTTGATCTACTTACGACGAGAGACTTGAAGTCGTATTGTTCAGTAAAGTCAATTACGAAGATAGATTTAGATTCTCGGACGAGAAAAAACGACTCAACCTTTAAATACACGATTCCTAGGGTAGTCTGCTACGCTGCTCTATCGAGCATCGCTAAACAAGGTACGTAAAGACATGCGGACGAGGTGACTTGATGCATAGTTTTCAAAAAAAATTACCATCTCAAAAAACTTTCCAAAACGCCATTATACTGGGAATACGTATCAAGCAAGATGGGGGCGCAAAGTAAAAAAGGGATTACAACTATCTAAGCGAGGGTTCGGGAGGAGAAACGACACGCCTGTTTTCGTTTTTGGCGACAGAGGAAAGGTTTGAAAAGACAGATTCAAATATACATCAATCCGATTGTTGCAAACGCAAACCGAGTGATTCTTATCTTCATGCGATTATTGATGTAGTGCTTCGTGCTATGCAATACCACTAATATCTACGACGCATGCAGCTGGATGGTGGTCGTGTACCTCGAATCATAGGATGAACACGATCTTTCTAAGTACTTAGCAGTATTGATCTCTCGATTCGTCGCTCAGGCTCATACGTAACAATCTACTAGCACTAGCACTAGGTACGCGAGAAAGGAATGACGATCTTGACCTTGTGTTCATGATATTGATCATTCTAATCAGAGCGATCTTCGTTTCGAGAGGATTCGGATCTTTGAATTATGTAGATCTTGTTTTGGATCTTCCTGCTCCTGCTAAGAGCTCTGCATAGACAAGCCTATTGCGTTCGAGCCTATCACTCAATATGAAACGAAAAGTGTCGTGACGAGAGTGAATTGACTGCGCGAGTCCTCTTTCAAAAACAAGTGTGTTGTGAAAAAAACTGCGACAAAATGCAGGTGTTATTCATTGTTTCGAGTGCTCAGCACGTTGTAGATGCAGTACGTAATCTGCCTGTAGTAAGTCACAAGTGAGCCTTCGGTCCACCACTCTCGTCCAATATCGGCTCTACTCTGAAGTAGATTGGCATGTGATCGCTTCTGAAAAGGGGGTGACCACTGATTGGTAAGTTTAGCATCGCACCTTCCCGCTCCAACAGGCCAGCGAGTGAGCCATCTGAAGAAAATACTGCATCTGAGTCTTCATAGCCTGCTGCCTTTGCTGCTTCTTCGAAGATGGAATGGACTCTTTGGGGTAGAAGTTCGACCTCTTCTCGATGACTCACACTCTTTTGATCTCCTCCACTCACAACAAGGGTCTTAAACCCACGTGCATAGACGTGATCTATGCTCTGGCGCTCTATTTTGTCTGCTTTGGTCATCTGTGGCTGTAAGACTGACAGTTTCTTCGCGTAGGTCACTCCACCAGAAGATGTACTAGAAGATGTTGTTGTTGATGTTGTTGCCCCTCCATTAGTGACCCGAACTAATTTATTCTTGTTACGACCAGCGACTCTAGGCTCTGCCTCCAGAAGGTAGGCGTCTCTTTCTGGTTCGGTATTGAGGTCGCCGCCTAGGAGTTCTAGCATCGTCTCTCCTGCTCCAGAGGAACGCAACTCGAAGATGTTGTCATCAAACTCTTTTTGTGTTGATGCATGACCAGATGAAAAATGGTAGCTGCCTAAACGCACTGTCTTGACGACTGCTGATGAGGACGTAGCACTTCGCACTTCCATATCCAAGATCACCCGCAGATGTCTCGGCGAAGCATTCTCAATCTTCTTCACGCTTTTGACCTTGCTAGCTCGGACTAGAATGACGCTGTTATCTGGGTCTTTGGTTGATGTTGAACCGAAAAAGGCTACGTAGTCATGCTCGTGTGCTGTAGAAAAATGGTCACCTCGATCGACAACTCCCGATAAAGACTGCTCGTCTCCCGCCACAAAAACCTGCGACACGAAGCCTGTCGATAGCAGTAGCTCCTTCGTCTCCAAGCAGCGTTTGTCTACTTCCTGCAGTAATACCACGTCTGGAAAGTCCAAAGCTTCAACGACTTCAAAAATGTGCGCCAAGTGAATCGATGGCGACACTTGGTAGTCGCTGGCACCCTCCTTGTTAGAGGTTTCCGAATTGCATTCTTCAGAACATCCTTGACCCATTCCCCCCTTGAAAAGGAGCCAAGGATGGTAGTGAGGGATGTAATGCGGAAACCCTTAACCTTGAGTGAGTCCCAGACTCCAGGTAAGGAAGTCGGAACTACGTCTGGCATATCGTCAACAGCAGTGGTCACAGAGTCGCTCTTCTCGATCTCCAACTCTTGTTCGCGCTTGTAAATTTCAAGTCGTAACTGATCTAGAACTACTGCTGCGTCGTGCCAGGCCTTTAGCATCAGGAGGTCGTAGATGCGCAGCTTGAGAAAATCGATTTTCGGATTCGATGCTAGATCTTTCGCGACTTCTGGTGCATTGGCTGCTTCGAGTTCCTCTTGCTCTGGACCAGACTGAGGAAAGGAAGACTTCTTACCAGCAGAAATACTAGAGGTTTTCTGCTTCTTCATTGCTACAGCGCCATTTGCGCCATCAGATGCGGCAGTCCCGACAAGAAGAGCACTAGAAGTAGTGTTGTATGACCACGCGTTCATCCCTCTTCGCGGCAACAGCTTCGCTCCCTGTGACAAAGAGAACTTCTTCAAAGCAGGTGTGCCGTAGATTTTCCTGTCTTCCCGAACCCAATTTTTTGGCGTCATCGTTTTCCAATATTTCCACCTGGCATCGAAGTCCTTGGGCAATGCGGTCTCTAGACTCCCGCGCTCTGGAAGTGCTTTTTCATCGTAGGATAGCGGCTTGCGAATGCTGGTGCCCATAATCGCATCTGATTTCTCCCAGATACCTAAACAATCGACCCATCGGAAGCCGGGTCGCTGGATAGTGCCAGTGGCTTCGTCAGCACCGGCGCTGGGGGAAGCGACGACACCGGCCTGGAAGTTGGGAGAGATGTTGGTCATTGAGGTGGAATTAAGAAAGCATATTAATCATAGTTTCAGATTATTGCGTGGTCGCCCGAGAGAGTTGCTGCATATTCCAAGAAACTCAAAATTGATATTACCTCCGCCCTCGCCGCCAAGCTCGGATTGAAGAAATCCCGCGTTGCGTAGTAACTCTCGACGAACGCTGGCTGACTTACTTCTGTATCTAGTAGGGCTCCGATACTTGCCTCAGCTTCTTCTCCAGCATCAGGTTCACCTTCGAAGATCTTGTGATCTCCAAACAGTTCCAACACGTTCTTCCGGAACAAAGCGTAGAAAAGGAACTGTGTGCGCTCTAGGTCTTTTTGGGTCTTGGATGCCAGAGTTGATGTTGTCGATTCTCCAATAGAGGCACCAAAACCTGCTTTTTCTAGCTGCTTATGCAGCGAACTCACCAAGCTTGGTGGAAACTGGATAGCAGACGATGGCGATGGCGCTGTTCCTGTTGCTGTTCTAGCTCTTCCTGTTCCCTTTTCATTCTTGTTCAGTTTCTTCTCTTCTTGCAAATACGAATAGAGCTCACCCAGCTTGACCTTCTTCTCGTTCAACGCATAGACAGGCGGGTCGACGTCGAAGAAACTGCTTCTCAATCCTATAGACAGCACGTTCCACGTCAAGACTGATAGCGCGTGGTCTCCAGATCCAGGAACGGACGTTGACATCATTTTCCTACTAGTTGCAGCTCTGTGCCCAAGAAGTGACATGACGTAATGCACGAATTCGTCTTGTTTGTCTTGCGGAATCTTGTGGATCAGGTACCCGATAAGAACGGGCAAAAGCACAAATGCACGAATGAGCAGTCTGCGGGCGGGCGCGCTGATCGTCATGTTCTTTCACTTTCGATGATTATGATTATTCAAATTTATCAACGTTGAGTCTGCGAATGGTACTGGTTCGACCGTTTGAATCTTCACGTATTGATCGCTACTTTTGGTTACGTTGTCGCACTACTCTTAATTACGAAACGTAGCGAGCTTTTCCTAGTGAGTCACATTCGCAATTTTTGAATCTCTCAGCTGCAAACTCTTTCTCTCTTCCGTTCCTGTAAGTGGAACTGTTCCATTGCCTCTTTTTCAGTCTCATGGGGTTCCACCAACAGCGAAAAGAACAGTCACAAGGATTGGATCTGAAAGCGACAATCCGGACACGAGGTGGTCGGCCACCCGGGACCAACGGAGTCTAAGTATTCGTTTTTGTTGTTCTTTGTAGTAAGTAATCATCCATCTGAAGGAGATAAAAACTTTGTTCATTCTTGTTTCATCCAGGGACAGAGGGAATGTGAGGCTGGCTTTGCCGACGTCTCTACCTCGAACGTGGTGCAGGTTGAGAAGTAGTTGTTGTCAGAAGTATTCAGTATTGGTTTGAGCCAAGCCATCACACGCACGATGCCCCAACGTATCGAGCACCAAAACCACGCTGCGTAATCTTCCTTCTTCAGGTGATCCTGGTGTCTACACACAAGTAGTCATTACTTTTTAAGGACTCAATTTATTCTAGAGGGGGTGCGAGAATCAGCGTCGGTCGATTACCGTTTTCTACCCCCACAGGTTTCATGTTTTCTAATATGGATTAAGGAATCGTAACAGAACATACAGATAAACGATGATAAAAGCTGCTCCTCTCATCGATGAAATGAGAGAAGTCAGGTTCTTGGACGACAACTACAAATAATACAAAGTGCGTGTTTATGACAACGTTAGTTATTCAAGCTTTATTCGTGATCAAATCTGGAAAACAAGCAATAGTACAAGTACACCTGGACATCATCTAAGAGGGTGTCGTATCACCGCCCACTGATTTCTCCTAGGAGGCTGGGAACTAGAATATCTTCACATATGGGGAGAATAAGGTGAAGACATGAAGTATAGCGGAGAAGATGGGTAAGCGCGTCTTCCGTCCGCTTAAGACAGCGACATGATAGCCTCCACGATATCGTTGTTATTCTTCTTCAGTGCCTCAATAGCCTTGGCGCGAGAGCAGTTGACCTGAAATGACGAGATATAATTGTGGAGAATAGTTGTAATGAAAGAACGGCAAGATGAACATGACGAATCACCGCACTTCATCGATATGCTTCTTCACAACGTCATATTAATCAGAGTCCACGGCGGTCAATTTTGAACACTTAGAGTTACCTGCTGAATGACGAGCTCGATGTCTTTTTCTTCGACGTTGCCCTTATCGGCTGGCGCAGCTTCCTCGGCAACTTCCTCGATCTTAGCAGGGGCTGCCTCAGAAGCCTTCGCTGCTGCGGCCTCTTGCTGCTTCTTTGCTGCCTGCATCATCATCTGCTGACGCTGTTTTTTTTTGTGGTGGTGGATTACAGACAAAGAGAGTAAGAGAAAGAGACGAGAAGTAGGAGTCTTGATTTGAAGAGAGTAAGAGAAGAGATGACTTTGTTCACCACGATTTTTAGTGTTACACGTCCTACAATTCTGAGAGAAAATAGAGGTGGTCATCAATGTCAGCACCGAAAAAGCAACTCAGAGGAAAGAAGAACATCCTGGCACGTCAACATCTTCAACGTACGATAGAGGTCGTAGTTACTTCCAATCTACTCGATTACGATTAGCTCGACTCTGTCTAGAATCCTAGTCTACCTGTGCCGATGCCGCAACATCCTCGATCTTGGCTTCTCCGAAGATAACGTAAGTTTCGCTGTTTCCAGCCTTCAAAACTTCCGGCTTCGAGATAACGAAGAGGATATTCTTGTGCTTCTTGACCTATGTAGTTTACGTTTAGTGAGGCTGTAATATTATATATAATGAGATAGACCGAGGAAGACCAAAGGAAATGATATTCTTTTTACACGAACGGTGGATAGAAAACAAACGGAGCCTATAAATACCAATCTTTGGGGTTGATCTTTTTGATGTAGGACAAGAGGTCGTCGACAGGTTGTTCGACACCACAAATTGAAGAACATACGATCCAACAGTATGATTTAGAATCTCAGTAGTTGTACCGTGACACGAATAATTCCTGGCACAGCCTTGAGCCCCAACTTCTGAACGGCTTTTCTGCACTTCTTTTCAGCTCGGTTCTGCTTCATGTCCTGTGTTTTTTAGACGAGGAGATTCCGCTTCCGATGGAAGGATGTAGCGAAAAAACTGATCTAAATTGCTTTGCGTCGACAAAGTTTAAAAATGCCCTGTTTGCCAACTAATCGACAGATATTCTACAGAAATAGCACGACTGCGATGTAGTTCCATTCGCACATTTGCGGGTGCCAGTAGCAGCACTGTGGTCTCGGAACAAGGGGCCCATGCATTCTACTATCCACTAGTCTCAGTCTAGTGTCCCCTCTTGTCAAACGAAGTTCTCCGAAAATCAAAAATCTAATTCACAAAACAAGCACAGTCTAAAAAAATCAGAAAATCTAGAAGTATACGGCGCCATCCTTGACGTTTTCAAGATCCGGGGCTCCATCGCTGGAAGCGTCGGAGTCAACTTGCGGGTCTTCGATCGACATTTTTTGGGATCTAGATGGAAATCTAAAGCAAAGACGAGTTCAAATATGTTATTGGCGCTGCCTTTATTAACCTGCTGAGTATGTTGGGGTGATGAGGGAAGCGGTGAGGTGAGGTGAGGAAAATGTCGCTTCGTCGACATGATGTGGTTTGAAAATGTAGTCAGTCTGCAATTTAGATTTTAGTTGAGGAAAAGCCGTAGTCGGCGAAAACCATGTGAAGCAGTGGCCTGTTGGAGCATCAGTCCGGCAGAAGAGGGCAACAAGCGGAACAAGAAGGGACGTGGAGGCAGCGAAACAAAATTTAGATTCTAGCAGGAGCACGAGATGCGAAGGAAGGTGACCACGCTTAAGGAGGAGAAAGGACTCAGGATAGCGAAGCGTCTTCATCATAACTAAGTATACAATTTTCAAGAAAGCGGGGATTTAGATTTTGTTTTCTGTCACCTGCCCTTTCAGTGACTGGAGGTTCCATTCTAGCGTACGCACACACAGATTCAGATTCTTGTCAGTACTCGTCTCCGGTGAGAATGTATTTTGGAAAAACTGATGGGTCGCCGAGATTTAGATTTTTCCAAATAGGTTCGTTCTGCTTTCAGGATCACTCTCAAATGTTGCTTTAGATTGGATAGTCTGGTGCTCAGACGGTTATTTAGATTGCATATTCTGATGCGCGAAGGTCCGTTTAGATTGGATATTGTGACACACGGCTGTTCATTTAGATTCCATAGTCAGGTACCCGGGTGGTGATTTGGATTGCATATTCAGGTGCTCAGACGGTCATTTAGATTGATGCACGAGAGCCGCCCCGTCTTGGAAACAGTCAAAACAACTGAACAGATGGCTCAACCAGAACACCGCTCAATGTGGGAGCAACAGCAGCTAAACCACTGCGGGAACCCGTTTTGGTCCCGAACCGTCTTAATATGCACCTTGCTTTCTAAATCTAATTTTGTGCACCAGTGGGCGACCAGGTACAGGCACTTCCAATTGACCGTGGCATATCTAAAGAGTGTCCATTGCCGTGTTGCACATCATTGCCCTATAGATACCTTTGAATTTGTCCACTACCTTTCACGTACGAATCTAAATCTAAATCTCCCTCGGTTTGGATAAGTCTAAGCTCGAAATTTTCGTGTAACTATTCATGTGACCACTTGATCTGATCTAATGAACCTCATTATACTCTGTGCGAGTGCGAATCTAAATCTAGTAACTCTAAATCTTAAATGAATTGCCCCATATGCAACTGGCGCAAAAAATCTAAATCTAAATCGAAACTCAACCTTCTACCCCGTACCCATACGCGAAGACATCATACAAATAAACCCAGTCCCTTACGGTGGCAGCGGAACCGGCTCTGGGTGACTCTCCCTCCACGTCCTCGCTTTCCTGATGCTTTCCTGCGTCAACCGAGTCGCATAGGGCAGTTGCTTCAATTGTGTTTGATGCAATCTCGCCTCGACTCTCCTTTGTTCTGCATGCGCGTCTCTTCTTTCCAACCTGTATTCTTCGCGCAATAGGGCATCATCCTTCTTGCTGGCCTGTAGGCGTTCGTTGACGCCGGCTATCATCGCCACAATTTCGTCTTTCTCATTGACCTTGTTCATCTTGATGTTCTTCAGTTCTTGTTTTCGGACTTTGCGACCGACTTTGGCACTGTATTTTTGTGCGGGGAGTCTTGAAGAGGAGGAAACATATGATTCCGATCGGTGAAGACACATCTAAATTCAAGTTGACTTCAACGACGAACATCAACATGCCATACACGACTAAATCTAAATTTGAATTTCCCCCCAATTCAAAAACCAAAGAAAAAACTCACCTATGCAGCATCTCGCTCTGTCGATCTTTGAGCTCCCTCTCTAAGCCCTGTAGTTGCTCATAGTTCTGTTTGGCCTCCATTTGCTCTGCACCAGCTGCCAAGAACTGCCGCTTGACGTTGATTTCCTTCAGCTCTTTCGCTAAGCGCTGCTCTTCCCGGAAGCGGGCCTCTTTCTTTTTCTTTATCCTGTCCGCAGCTTCGACACATGCCACGTCTTTCAGCTTCTGCTCATATGCCGCCTGGGCCTTTGTTTCTTCCTTTTTCTTCTCGTGCCTTTCTCTAGCTTGGTCGCGCGCTATCTCGCGTATTCTAGACAGGTTTTCGGCTTTCTTCAGCAGGATTTTTCGCTTTTCGTTCTGATATGTTAGTCATGTGGAAGTGAGACTGGGGTTAGAAGTAGAGGCAAAAGACATGGCGAATTAATGGGAGGAAAGGGGACACGGTTTCAAAACTTATTCACAAATTGTCTTTTCATATTCATGCTCAGTGAGAAATTGACCTAGTACTACCTTCTCATCCAGTATAAAATCCCGCTTCTCCAGCCTTTTCCTTTCCGCAATCGCCTTCTCGACTTTATATCGTTCGTGCAATTCCGCTAGTGACATTTCGTCTAAAATGCCATGTCTTGGTGGCTCACTAGGGTCGTACGGCTCGGCTGTGACCGTTGAAACTCGGACAATGGCTCGAATTTGGCGGATGAGGTCTTTGCGCCTGTGATCGTGTGGTATAGGGTAGGAGTTGATGTGTTGGATGAGGCCTTCGGAGAGGGAATAAAGACAAGCAGAAGTCGCGCGAAATAGAATCTCAATAGGCACTGGCACAGTTACATCTAATCGTATGCAATAAAAAACCATAGTACTGTTCCATCTCATGCTCATCGTCTGCTTTTTTGATTTCGAACCTTTTCGCCTTATCTCTTTTGATTTCTTCTGCATTTTTTCTCCGGTTTTCATCTACGATATCCAGCTGCACTCTTGGCCTCCCGCGCATATCGTACACCTCACGGCACAAAGCTCGTTTGTTAGCTTCTTCTGCTGCAAGTGTCTTGGCTTTCTTCTTCTCTGCCACTTGTTTTTCGAGTTTGATTTGCTCTGCGTTCAAAACGTTTTTCTGAAATTGCAACTCCATAGCTTCTCTAGCGGCCGCTGCTGCCATCTGCATCTCGATTTTACCTGAGAATGGAGATCAGAGTAAGAGGCTGTACGCTATCTAAATTTTCGACGGACTCAGGAAAAAAGTACTTACAGCTAAGTCCAAGTACTAGTATGATCAGATTGAGATTTAGTAGCGCGAGAACCGAATAGAAGATCTAGTTACATCGTTTCACAGTGGAGTAGTTCCAGTACGTTGCTCAACCCTGCACTTTTCCTCAACATCGTCTTTGACTCGTTCATTATACTGCCACATGAAGTATTCGCTAGCGTCCCGCAAACCACGCTCATAGTCCATGAGGACGTTGTACTCCTTTTCTTGCTTTTTCCGGACCTGTAGCAGTTTTTATGTAAGGAGATCATTATGAATGAAAGTCTAAACACTATTGATGCTGAGTTGATGAATTGAATCTATTCGGCGAGCTGCCTAAGTTGATGAATCTATTAATGCTGAGTTATGCCAGTGATGAAATGTACCAGGTTATCCTCCCGCAGAATCGACGACGCATTTTGCCTCACATCCGCTATTTGCTCCAAATGCAATTTTCCTCCAGGCAGTTGATTTATTTTTGGTTGAAAGGTGCATTCCCGGTAACGCACATCCTCCACGTCTTTTGCGTATCGGTCTTTCGCATCATCATCTGCAGCAGGCCTCTTTGCAGTTTCTAGCACGAATTCATCCCTTTCTGCGTCGTACTTTCCTCTAGTCGCCGCAGCAACCTTTTCTCGTCTTTCTGCGCCTTCTTTTTGGACTTGCTCGAGACTGGTGGCGTAGATAGTTTTTGGCGGCGGCTTGGCCTCGTACACTCTGCCTATTACGTCTGGCTGTGGTATCAACCGTGGCTTCGGTTTCGTAATGTTAAACGCCTGGATTTTGGTCACCTTACCAGCACCTGGTAACCTCCCAGCCATGGCTAGAGTTGCCCCTTCGCCTTCTGCGCTTTGGAGATTAGAGATGATGTGGTCGTGGGTCGAAGCTTTGAACTGTTGATGTTACTTATTTCTGAAGGACAAGAAGGAGAGAAACTACAAGCTAGAAGATTTTTCCAACGGAATTAGTAGTGCCACAACAAATTCCAGGACCTGGCATATTGTCTTCTCACAAGACATCAAGTATGACACGAAAAAGTGTGCTCATACTCAAGAAATCAGGCTTTTCCCTACTTAGAATTTAGAAAGTGCCTACTTTCTTGCGGGTGAGCTCCAAGTCTTGGCACGTCATTACATCTTTTAAGGTAAGTTTATGATTGGCATTTTTCTACTTATCCGTCTCTTGTGTTTGTTCGGATCTGTCTATGAGGATGAGCACTTGTTCTAAAAAGGTCATATCATACACCTTACACCACTCCATTTTCAATCTACTCTTCACAAGACATCAAGCAACCAAGTCATAATCTCCACAGCACTTGCTCCTACCGCAATAGTTCTCAATTCGTCGATGTAACGCTGCATCTCTGGCTTCTTTCTTTGCATCTTCCCTATGACCTCTTGTTCTAAAAAGGTCATATCATACACCTTACACCACTCCATTTTCACCCAGTTGTTCAGGTCTTCTTCCGAAAAGACGAATTCCTAGAGTTGTTGTGAGGGTTGGTTCTTTTTAGGTCAAGATCCTGTTGTTCCAAGTATCACCAGGAGATTGATACCAATAGTTCGATATCTTGGACACACCAGTTCGATAGCAACATCAAGGTGGAAATGGTAAGTACTAAGTATCACCAGACTGATATTGTTGGTGGAGCATATCTAACTAGAAAAAACAAAAACCGAAAAAAGAAAGTATGGAAATGGTAAGTACTAAGTATCACCAGACTGATATTATCAGATAAGTCAGTGTCACTTGAGCATCGAATCGGTACCAGCAGCGCATTCAATGCCGGCGGCGTGCTGATGTTCGATTTCAGAAGAATCTTCCCCATTTCGTTCGTGCCCAGTTCGTCTACTCGGAAAAACAGGAGACAACCCAATATCATGTAGATCGACTGGTCCGATCTTGGCGCTGAAGCAGGGTTCTTGTACAGGAAGGCGTTCACGAAAAGGTTGAGGAATTTCTGGTATCGGATGCAGCAATCTGAGGTGGGTGATCGTGATGTAGTTCCTGAGAAGCTATGGTTGTTGGCCGCATGATGTGAGAGTGACAAGTGATGATGAAGAGACGAGAGAGACACAAGCACAAGGGGGCACAAGCACAACTACAAAGTACTTAAGTAGTTTACACAGACATGATCATGAGTCAAATGCTAGTACAAAAAACTTGCTGCGCGAACTTCTTTCTCGCTGATGCCATTCTGGCTGCTTTCTCGCCTCCCCCCGCACCAAAGACATCGTCGTAATGGGCATCCACTGTTGTTTTTTTAGGATCAAAACTCTCTAGGAGTTTCACTGCATCTCCTATCCACTGTTGATAGTCCACGACAGGCATTGGCGCCTTAGAACTACTGCTTTTGACTGTATCCCCTACTAGAATAGTAGCACTCGTCCCGGACCCTCCAGCGCCAGGGAGCGTCTGGGACAAATCTGCGCCAGCGTCCATCTTGATGTATGCGTATCTATGGTTGGTCTTGGAGTCGGTGGCGATGGATCAATCGTCTGCAGCTCGACCTCGGTTCTGCGAGCTGCAAAAAAAAACTTCTTGTAATGATATTGCAGCTGTTGCAGCTACCTGATGTTTTTTTGTTAACCTTGTCCTTGAAGATGACGTTCCTCGTACTACTCTTTCTGTAGGAAGTGGAAGAGTCGTTGTTGTCGCGGAGACGGATGGGTGCGCTTCCGCCTTGACGAAGCAAACGCAGTCCTTCACGAGCGCAACGAGAGGCTGCCTGCTTGCAGGACGTGGCACACCAAGTCCGCGTCGCTCAAGCTCAATTCTCAGCTCTGCCTGTAACCGGTGAATAACCAGTGTCACTGCAGTTACACCGAAACTCGGTTAGAGAGCACAAGCGGTTTGCTACTTTTTGCGATCTCTACGCCGTCTGCGACTAGACGGAAAACTTGCTGTCGCTGTTCAGCTGCAGAGCCATGTTGTGGCCTACTGTAGATCAGTACACATGGCTGCAAAACCATGGCTTGTTCTACTGTAGATCAGTACAACGACTGTAGCTGTACCCTTGCGCTAGTACGCGTCTCAACCGTTTCAATTTCATCACCGTCTACATTAGTATGCCTTCCTAGCCGACTCAACGAATTTCTCCATCCGCAGACGAGTAACAGTAACACTGAAAAAAGTGACTGTGACGTGTTTTTCCAGTATAAGTACAAGGGGTTAGATGTTTGGGTGAGTGTACGGGTGTGCGGGGAATTAGGGTTTAGGGTGTAGCCGTATCCACAGGATTATCTCTCACTCTACAACTTAAACCTTAGAACTCGAGCTGTTTCAGTCAGAACGATAATGCCGTTCACAAGCTTGCACCGCGACGGAGGCAAATCCGATGGGGGTGTGCGACCGATTTCATGTTCAGATGCACAAGTCATCACGATGAATGGTAGCAGACGAAAGTCACAGATCTTATGCGGCCCGATATCGATGTTAAGGTTCTTGACATCGCTGAACGAACAACAAGACGTGGGAATACAAAAAACGCTTAGCGAGGAACGAATGGACGAGATTGTTGTTTCACGACACTCAATTATAGTGGATATGAAAATGGGGTCACTACAATGTTGCTGTGGAGCACTGGGCTGCAGTGTAACATTTGGGGAATTCGTACTTTATTTTCATCGTGCCTCAACTTCACTGTGGTCCCGAAGAATAAATCTCTCCCGCGTTTCCCGAATCAGACGTGGTCGCCAACAGTTTCCGGATCCGTTCTTGATTCCCAGGGTTGCCATGAGCCGCATTTCGTACCGCAAAAACCGCAGTTTCTTTCAGGGTTGGCAAGTTGTGGTCACTGTAACAGAAATTCAACAATAAAGTCAAATCCGCATCACTGACATCTGATCTCCCTTTCAGAACAGCTTCGTCATCACTCACACGTGGTCTTGGCGCACAAATCTCAGCACAAGTTGCGGTGTCGACGACTTCTTGGATGTTGTGAATCCGAGTCTGGGGATCAACTCCATCGGGATAATTGGATGAACAGCGACTATGGGTCTCCTCCTCCGCATCCTGCGCATCAGCAGGTTCCAAGAGTAACAACCCAGCAAGACGAATCAAGACTGGCAATCTTAATTCTTGTGCCCGCTTCACGAACTCTGGATAGTACTTTCGGTCCTTTTTTCGGACTACGTCGTTAAGAGAAGCGGCGACTTCCTCTTTGCTCATTATAGCGGGATGATCCTCGTCTTCTACTTCTACGTGCTCCAGTGCTTGTCGTTGACTTTCTGATCCTTGTTCTTGAGTAATGTTGCTTTGCACCTGTCCTTGTTCCAACGTTTCATGCAAATCGCGATCGCGAATCTCCAACAGTTCTCGTAGAACCTTTAACACAGCTGCGAATAGCCTCTCCCGCACAGGCTTAGCTATGCTGGTGACTTGGTAGGCGAGGACTGCGCACAGAAAGTCTAGGGCTTCGAAATGGACATGATTAGTTGGAATCGAAGACGCTACAATTGTTCCCTCATTTTTCACGCCAGTCCTCTTCACGGATGAGGCAAACACCACGTCAGGAAAATACTCTCCATACAGGACTCGAAAGAATTGCGATTTGAGCAATCCAATAAAGGGCTGAGGATCAATGACCAGAATCTGCCACAAGAAACGCTTTGTCTCTAATATGGCATCCCCAAATGTGAATACTCGTTGATCCTCCTGTGTCACCTCACTGCTTCGCAATGTCAACAGCACCACATGTCTTATCAAATCCTCCGCATCACTTTCATCGCTTTCCGATGCAACTTTGGCAGGAACAACTACCTCGTATTCGTCCCCCTCTCCGATTCCGACTCCCCCGATAATCGTCAGCATCTTTAACAGAACCTCAGGGTTCTCGGCAAAGTAGTCTGCGACATACTCACAATCGTCCCCAAAACCAATGCCGATATCGATCCTTTGGCGCAGAAGGACATCTCGAAACAACAACACAGGGTCCTCTTCCCCGATGAGGCTAGCCCAAGCGAAGAAGGCGTTAGGATGTGAGACTCCGCAGGATAAAAGGGATTGGCGGAAGAGGGAAGTATCAGAGGGCTTATGCTCCTCATCTTGATGTTGATGTTGATCTTTACCACCCTCAGTGCCGAAATAAACACTCTTGATCTCACCCCTCAATCGCGGTGCTTTGACGAAAAGATTTGTAGCGAAAGTCAACAAGACTCGACGGGCGGCGAAAAGCTCGTCTTGCTTGTCCTTGTCTGGCTGGGAGATGTCTGCGTCTCTAGTCCTCCGTGTCAAAAGACTTCTACTCGATGAGCCCGAAGCAGTGTTCGCGTTCGCTTCCACGATCTCCTTACAATACAGCCATATTCTCCTTGGTCGCTCCAACTCGCTCTCGTCTACATCTGCGAGTAAATTTCGCAGAATTTTCCACACATTCACGCTCTCCTTCTCCTCCAACAGCTGTGGCAGTAAATCCCACAACTCGTCACGGCCATCTGCAGTGAGGGAAAGTTTAACGAGAGGTCCACAACTTCCAGCTTTTGTTAGCTGTACAGGTGCAGCTGTTGCGGATAAAGCTGAATGATCTTGAGTCATCTTTTTGATTCTCACTCGTCACGGCTAGAATTAAATGAGGAGATCAATGATCCAACAGAAAAGCGTATTGACTCAAGTTTGCAACTAAGACACCCCCTGCCGAAATCGATGTTTGCAAGAAAATGTGAGTGTTGAAAACAAAGCAGGACCGATCGATCTCCACTCAAAGTGATCTTACCAAGTAAGCAAAGGTAAAACCTCTAGCCATTTTCTTTTGGGGAACTATGACCTAGGTCTTTCTGCTTGAAATCATGTAGGAAGATCTTGAGGCGGGATCGTCGCCTTTACTGTGATCCTTTCTCTGGCTTGTTGAGCCTCTTTCTTGCCTGTGATCTTGATCTCAGTTTTGCTTCAATGAATCTGTGGCTTTAGGAAAAATGCGACTGTGCCTAGCACGTCGCTTTGTATCGTTGTTTTGTATCATGTGCATTTGAGTTTGAGAGGGTTTTCAAAAAATTAAGGGTTCACAGGGGAACGAATGGGCAAGGTTAATAAGGATGGCGGCATCACAATGTGGTGGTGCTGGATACAGTTCGTTTATTGGGGTCAGGGTGCAGCAATATTCGCATCATGTCTGTGAGTGTTGAGCGAGCTGATTGTTCTTCACCCTTGTTTTCTCCACCCTCGATAGAACTAGACCACGTTGATGGTACCCCCGGATCATTACTTGTATTTGCGGACGACCCACCACCACCACAGCTCTGGTCACCTGCTTGTTCGTCGTCAGATGATACTAGTTCCGGTTCATCGTCTGACATGTAACCTCCCGAGCAGGGTGGAGGACTGTGTTGTGCACTGGTGTTCTTTTTGGCACCAGTTATGAAAAGAAAATCGGTTATCATTATCATGCTTTTCTTCTTCTTCAGAAACTTGATAATGATAACAGATTTTCGTTTCCTACCACAGTGCTTTTTGCTCCTACTGGAAACCATCATGCTCAACAAGCGCATCTGTAGACCCGCTGTCGAACTAATGTCCGATAGACCAAAGGGTAAGCATCCGAAGCACATCACAAAAGTGACGGCGCCTAGAGACCACAGATCCCTTTGGCGACCGCAGATACCGGTTTCGCGGACTCGAAACCCAAATGCCTCTGGCGGGCGAAAGCACATCGTGCCCTCAGCGGAGTAGATCTTTGATGTGCATGTGGAGTCTTCTTCAGAAGAAGATTCGGAAGAGTTTTGTAGTTGTGGCAGTAGTTCTGAATTGTTGAAATCGCAGATCTTTAGCACTGGAAAGGAAGATGGAGACGAGGAAGCAGAAGTTGCTGTTCTTGATTGAGGTGGAGCAGTAGCAACGGAACAACAACTCGTCGAGCTTGTACTGTTTCCCCGAGAGACGCCACCAAGTCCGGCAGTTGCTGCATCGACCTTCCCAGTTCCATTCAAACTTTTGCTACTACCTCCTTGATCGTTCTCAGGCTGAGCCATATCCCGACCTCGCACATACTGGCCCGAAACGAGGATGTTCCTCGGAGCAATATCCTTGTGGATCACCCCTCGCGAGTGCAGAAAGGCAAGTCCCGACTGCAACTGTTCGAAATTTCGTAATGCTGCTGTAGGAGAAAAAACTAGTGGCGATGATTTGTTTTCTCTCCCTTGCCCTTCTACTGCTTCAACATCCAGCGACAATATTGCTTTTCGTGCAACCTGCCAGCGACTCCCTTGAGGACCGTACTCCTCCATCAAAATGCCATCCGGCACATATTCAAACACGTGCCAAAAAGTAGAAGGATTCTCGACCACGCTGATGAACTTCACGATGTTTGGATGCGAATGTAGTTGTTGTTGTCTGCCAGGTAGTTGTCCTCCTTGATGGACTTGTACTTGTTGTAACCTCTTGAAGATCTCTACTTCTTTCTCCGCACGATCATTGAGCGAGAAGTCGGGAAGGAAGATGCCATTCGGACCCCAGTAGGGAATCTGAATTTCAGCCGCTGCGGAACGATCGTACACCTTGGCTGCAAAAACTGTAGTTGCTTCTTCGTCTTCTCCTGCGGCAGGCTTTCGTGATACTGCTTTGACGACACGGGTGAACTGGCCACGGCCAAGCTCGTCCCCAAGTGCGTAGCGAAGATTCTTCTGCATCTTTTTTTGAGTAAGTACTTAATCTTAAGTAGTGATTTTCTTTTTCCAACAGTTGTGTAAGTACTTAGCTATGTATAAATGTTTGGAGGAGTAACTAGTAGATAATAGTGTATAGGTCTAGTAGGGGACGAGGTCCTCTTGATGTCTACGGGAAAAAATGAGGGATTAATCATACTTTTCTCCTTGATGGAGGTTCTTCATGAGCATTTTCTTTTTTTCTTTTGGATGAACAAGGGGCTCGAGACATCGGAGCTTTTGCTTCCCGCGAGCGTCGCAACGCTGATCTGCTGGTCATTCACAGATACGAGGAGATGCTTGGGTTCTGTGAACCTTTCAATAGAGGACCGCGGCAACCTTTCAACTTCACGTCTGCGACTCTCCTAATTATTTGGTTATCGTTGATATACCTGCTCTATCCATCGTTTCATGCACAACTTTACGATGACATCCAGTCGTACAAATCCTCGTCAATACATCAGTCTATGAGTACGTTCTCCTCTTTTAGGTTTTTTTACTACCGTTACCTTTCTTCATCTTGTTCATGTACAACAACCGAGTAAATTTTTACCATCATTCACATTACATTTGTCATGTGTATCCTTATGAAAGTCCGTGACAACTACGCTGTTCATATCTAACCATGGAATGTCATTCCCATGATGACAATGCCCGTTTATTTGACGAAGCCAAATCCTCCTTGAAGCAAAGCAATAGGCTTCGCCTTTTTTGTTGCCGCAGACAAGAACAACTTGTCTCGGATTTCGGGAACCTGACTAGAATTGCCGATGATTGTAATCTTTTTCTTTTTCATAATCATATCCTTCTTGAGTATTAAAAAGTAATTATGATTGAATATTTATACCGAAGAAGACCAAGTAGATCTCTATATCCTCCCAAATAACAAAAGAATATATTATGAATTATAGAGCCAGAACTCTAGCCTTTAAGTATCCTTGAATATTCATAAAGAGCAATCTTAGGCAGCTCGCCGAATAGATTCAAATCATCATTCATAAAGAGCAAGGAACTAATTCTTGGAGGAAGCGAGGGTCTGTAATATGAAGGTAAATCTAAAAAGCACAACATAAGCACAAGCCACAATGTAATGGTACCGGAACCACTTCTCCGTCAACCATGAACTTTTTTTCTGAGTTCGGAATCGGTGGCGGCGGAGGCGGCGCCGGTGCCGATTTGTTGAAGGACGCACGAGCCCAATCGTACTTAGCCTTTTTGGCCTCCGCCTCAGCCCAGGTCATCTCTGCATACACTGGAGCCATCTTGTTCGCTTTATCAAATGATCATGAGTGCGTGCTAGGTTCCACGACTACGCTTAGTTCAATGGTAAATATCAATATCCGACATCAGCAGTTTTCTGACATGTTGCCACGACAGTTGATATTATATTGATTGAGATACAACAACATCCTCTTCTTCACGAAGAAACTCTATAACCTACAGATCTACTACCACCACGAAGAAAGACTTATTCACTCGGGAAAGGGGATCAAGGGGTGAGGAGGTATATCCGAAAGCTTCCCAGTACCTATGCAAGTGCCAGTCACGACCGAAGTTTGGCATTAGCTTCTCTGGACAGATAAATTGAAACTACAAGTTATGATGTAGACGTAGAAGATGCATGATTGATACTAACTTGATGTTGGGAAAACGAAGACTTCTTATTCAAGTCATCGACCGATTAAGATGAACTTGTAATGCTTCTCTCCTGCTTCTCCTCGTCCTCATAGAACTTCTCTATAATTGAACACCCTTCCAACTGCACCCTTAAGTGTTGATAAGAGTCACCGACACTCCTCTTGGATGTCATCAACAATGCCTAAAAGAACAGCGCGACTGGTAATCTATTTTCATGTGCGGAGTTGTAGAAGTTATCGCTTTCGGTAGTTTCAGGGGGTAATTGATGGAACTAAGCTGGCCCAAGCTTGCGGCTATCTTACTAGACCCGCCCAGTATGTCCGGCGTGATGTCACCGACGCAACACCTACCAAACCCGCACGAGGAAAGAGAACGGACATCGTGCAGCTTGTGTTGCGCCGGTCTTGGGTCGTGCTTGTTGTGTTCTTGTCTGTCGTTTGTGTCAGACAGTAGTGAAAAAAATAAAACACGAATACGGCTACAAATCACCCTTATGCCTCTCCCATTTTCTTCCACCCCTGTAGCTATTTTTTCAATTCGATGCGTCATTTGTATGCCCCCGATAGTGCTGCTCATCGCACCTCTAGAGACAGAGTCTGAAAGTGATCACGATCGAGATCAAGACACAGACAGCACGAGGTCAAACCAGATTCGTGAGGTTTCATTTCGTTACCTAACTTGCGCTTTCTCTGAAAGACAACACGGATCAGCGAAAGCCCTGGAAAAAAAACTGATATCTTCGATAAAATTTCTTAACGAGATGAGACTCAAGACAAGATAAAACCATCGTGCTTGTTTGATACGGTTATTTAGGTCCGTCAGACATCATTGAAAGATAATACAACTCGGAAATTTAGTATTCCGTTTTCGATAAAAAAAAGCTAAGGCTAACGAGTTGTAGATCGGTTTTATGATGAAGTAGATATCTTGACGTAGTTAGATGCAGAGTTCAGTTGCAACGAAAAGCGTTTACCTTTTACTAAGTCCAAGAACTCGCTAGTCGTATCATCATCATCATTATCTGGTTCTGGACCAAATTATAGCATGAGGTGCCGCATTTCATTTTCAAATATCGCAGGAGCAGCTGCGCGATAAATTATAACAGCCCCCTCTTGTTCTTCCACTCTTCCTCTTGCCACAATGCTTTAGTTCTTCCCCAGATAGCGTACGATTTGTAGTGGAGCAGCCATCTTCCCCTCCCCATCTTATGAGTGTTACCGTCCTCTTTGTTCTGCGATGCATCCGCAAGGCGCCGTCTCTTCTTCTTCTTCTGACGATGATGTTAGTCGGTTCGGCTTGGGCCTACGACTTCCCTGCCTCTCTTCGGATTTCTACGATTTTGCTGACGTTGAAGCTGTGAAGGTGATCCGTTGCCTCTATAGTGGCGCTACTCATTGTTGGGAGGAAGCTCGCGCTGCTCGCGTTTCCTCCTGCTAAGCTCTTCCGCCCTTCTCGGTTTAGGCAGGCCGCCAATGTGACAGATCTAGCCACTTCTTCTACTTCTATTTTCCTAGCTTCTTCTGCCTCTGCGTATGGTCGTTGTAGATCCTCAAAATCGATCACGGAAGGAAAAGGACCCAGTCCCAGACCCACACCTCCCACACTATTACCAATAGCATCTTCTCTGAAAGCCTCCTGCATGAGAATCGAAGATGGCACATACGTGGGTGCCTCACGAGAAGAGACTGGCTGCGCCTCTCGATCTACAACTGCATGTGATGTTGATGATGTTGGAAGTCTACTATTTACTGTTAATATTCTACTAGTACTACTGTCTGTGTCTCCTTGTTGTCGTCCTCGTTGTGCTTGTGCTGCTCTTGTTGAAATACGTCTTGCACTTGCATCTTGTCCTTGTTGATGTCTCCGTACCACAGTTCCATCTGTCGAACTTGCTTCTCCTTTGATTTCTTGAGGCAACTGATTAACATCATTTAGTTTTTGACGATCTTGTTGTAAAGCATTTGCGAGCCCTTGGCTAGCAGATGTAGTTCTTGATTCCGCCTGATAAGGGCCCGCGGAGTCAACATATCCTTGTGGACGAGGAAGTTGAGACCACACGTATGTCGTTGTACCAACGTCGTCTTCGTGCGGGAGAGGAAACCTTTGAACTATGTTTGCAAGATGTTCTCCCTCATCATCTGTTCCACTTGTCATGACCCTCGACGGCGAAAAGGCTGCCGACGCGCTGGAACCCCCACGCTGAAAATTAAACTGCTGCAACTCGACAGAGTCGTGCTGCTCTAAATTGTTGTTATTGTAGTTTCTTAGAGCAGTCGTGTTTGAGTGCTCTAAATCGACGTTTGGACGAATGCCCGTGTCCTCCTCAGCCAGAACATATTGGCACGCACGGCTATGCGCTTGTCCGATGAAGTCGGTGAAGGCGGTGGCGGCTGTGATTTCTTCACCGTCTCTACCGAATACGTCTTCAGAATGGAGAGTTGCTGAGGAATCCCAAGTGTCATCGTCCATCTCTGCTTCTTCTTGGTGCATTTCATTTATCATTGCACTGTAAGAAGGAACATGATCATCACCATGATCATCTTCATGTAGTTCTATGTCTTGGTTTACTACTTGGACTTGATCTTCAGAAGCGTTGTTGTGGTCAAAAATGTCTTGGCGTTCCCCTTGCGCCGCTGCTGCTGGCGGTTCAAGAACGTGACGAAGACCAATGGGAATGTTGCGCTGTTGAAGATCAGTAGTAGCTGCTAAGATGGCTTCCTCTCGTTGTTTCCATGGTGCCTTGAGTGACAAAGCAGCCACACCTTGACCTTGTAACAGCAAAGCAAACGCCAAGGTGATTATGAAACCTGTAGTTGGCCTCAAGAGGAGCGACATTTTGTTTATTCGGTCTGGTTAATAAAGTTGGGCTTGCAACTCTTGATTGCGAATAGCATATGGGTTTAAGTTGTCCTAGTAGTCCAAACACATGTACTCGGGCCAGCTGAGGTACGACGTATGCGGGAGTCGTCCATTTCTCGCGAAAGAAATGAGACCTTGCACCTTAAAAATTATATTGCTAGCTACTTAAAGTTCTGACTGGACAAGTTCTGACTGTAGTAATTGTCCTTAAGGATCCAAATGTAGTTACCGACGTCGTCATTATTTAGTTATATCTATTTTTGCAACATTGACACACTAGAAGTGACAAAATCTGTCTTCTTGTTCATCGAATCTAGGCTCGTCCTTCTCCTTGTCCTCTTGCTTCGTTCGCCTTTCAGTTATTTCAATACTCACCATGGAGTAGTATTTGACAAATCATGACAACAAGAATGTCTACTACTTTCTTTCAAGTACGATAGTCAAGGTCGTTTTTTATTCATCTATGTCTACTTATGCAAGCACGCAGTCGTGTGAGATGCAACTCTTCGTTATTACTTCATCTTCTAGCAACCAGCCAAGTCTTTTGAGATTTTTACCTTTTACGTCTATCCTTGACAACAAAGTCGTAGTCACGACGAGAAGTAATAAAATGTTTCTCTTCATCCTGCAGGATCATGACGAGTCAATGCATTGCAGAGGAGGTTATCTTATCGGGCATTTGTTTTTCAACACGTTGATGGACTCCATCAGTCAGATGGTGACTGCTGCTCTAAAAAGTTCAAAGAGCACTACCAACGAACATCGTGCGCCGCATCGATCATCAACAAGAGTTCGACAAGAAGTTGTCAGGAATCAGGTGTTTGAAGCTTATGATGGATGCCAATGGATGCCATTGGCCTTCGACACTGCAATTTCCGGATGGATGCACAACACACTGGTCCCCTCGGCTTTCCGGATTAATGTCTCTCACAACAGGAACTAAAAGAAGGACAATAGGCACTGACTTGTGCTGTTATCATCGATACATTCGATTTGTGTTCATTTGATTCGTGTGCCACCCACAGACAAAAAATCACCACCACCACTTCGTTCATTCTGGATAAATTCGGAAACATGTAGTTTTTGTACAAGCTTATAAGTATTGAGACCACAGCTTTAACAACTTCCTGCAAGCTGAAATCACCATCTTCTAAAACTATCAACTGGCGGCGAACTCAAAACACAACTATTACGTGCAGGGCCGTCACTGCCAGCCAAAACCACTCACTGAAACCACGTAAGTACATTTTTGCGAAAAGCAAAAGCGTGTGACAAAACCACGCGAAACTAACTCAACCCTCACTTCATTTCCTTCGTGCAACTTGTCTCTTGTTCCTCGACGAACATCGGATTCTGAGGTCCTAGCGCTTTTGTCTGTGTGCATGCAAACCCTGAGCTCCTGCTTACTCGGCCAAATTTGATTCTCATCGTTTGTGCCCTGACAGCGGCTTCTCGATGAATGCGTGGACGGTAATTCTTACTTCTTATGACCATTATCTCCTGATCCAGCAGCTACACCCGTCTTCCCGGCAGAAGACAAGGACAACCCCAAGCCTCGCTGGACCTCATGCAAAAGCCAAAAACCAGCAGCATTCACTGGCCCCGCTTTCAGGCATACCACCGAAACTCCTCTAAAAAATCCTCTGAAGCCCATATCCTTGTAAACTTCAGCAACCACTTGCGATATCGTCTTTACATCGCTTACCATCAGTCTTGCTTTAACCACGTCCACAGGATGCAGCAAGATGTTGAACAAGATGCCAGTCAGTCCGCCAGTGACAAATTTCTTGAGACTCACATTCTGGATCGGCAGTTGAATATCGTTTAAAACTTCATTAAAGAGAAAGAAGAACCCATTCCCTGGACCGTTGCGGATTAAGGTCATACTCGAGCCTCTCGCGAGTAGTCTTTTCTCAAGCTGTAGGGCTTTGAAAATGCTCCTACTTCTAGAAGATGAGGAAGCTGAAGCTGCGCTTGCACCAGAAGTTCTGGTAGTGCAGGTCTGCTGTCGTGAAGAAGACGAAGATGATGCAGCAGTAGGGGGAGCGTCTACCTTAACTACACTGCTATTCGCCAACGAACCAGAAGTACTTGTCGTAAAGCCCATCGTCTGCACCCTGGTCCTCCAAACGTCCAAAGGGTTTGCTAGGACGGTCAAAGGAACACCCGCAGCACTTCCTGCTAAGAAAACTTTGGAGTAGTAAGTTCTTGTGTTGCCCTGCTCATTGCTTTGGCTTTGCTCCCTTATTCTTTTTTTAGAAGGACGAAATGTCTCAAAAGTCCCGAACATGATCGTCGCGTAGGGAACCTGCATCAACAGAGTGGGCAACAATCCCGACCACAATGCTCGCACGCCTTCGGTTCTTATCGTATACTGGAGACAGTCGATCGGTCCTCTGATACTTGGTACATTAGAGCTCGCGATCCAAAGCCATCTTGGGATCATCCACGACCTTGATATTTCCGTATTTTCATGGGACAGTTCCAAGACCAAAATGCTGGAAAACAAACAAAGATAATAATTAAGCGTAGGCCATAATGACGGACGTACTGGAAACCTGTAACCGATGGCGGATGACATCGAATGGCAAGCCGACAGCAGACCAAGCAACCGCAGGACTCGCAACGGATACAAGACGGAGAGCGCCATTGGAAAACTGCTCGGTCAAGATGGCAGCGGAGGAGGACGAGGAGGAGCCTCCGTAAGCCGATGAGTTGGAGGACATCTTTTTAGTAGAGAAGATCCACACGTTGAACTGCTGCTCTCTCTTTCAGTCATGCAATGCAACTTGCCGAGGACATGGTTCCTTCATTGACTTTTAAACAAGCATCAGGATCAGCATGTTCGATGCGGCTACCTAACATCTTTGTCAGGACGTCGAAACGGCGAACAAGTATAAATTCATCCTTGATCATGTACGAGGAAAATAGGCCCACCGCCGCGTAGCCGCCGCGTAGTTGACGACGGCAATGCTGTAGGTGTTTCTTTCGTACAAAAAGAATCCTGGATATAATTCTTGGTCTATCGTATTGCAGCGTCAAATGGTCACAGAAGTCCAAAGTTCGTTCCTCCAATCTTGTTTACCATAAATGGAGGCCAAGCACAAGGCATTTATCATATTCATTCGCACGATTACGACAGACCATGTCCTCCATGGAGTAAGCATAAACTGTATGTGTATTGATCGTAAAAATTTAAATGACTGGTAAGCGTGAAATGAGTGTCTGGTAAGCGTGCTCGGAAAAATTGATTTACAAATGCCTCGCGCGGGTTGTGACTAGATTTACGTAAATCGTTGTACTTGGCAAGTGTCTCCACATACTTCTTGCCACAAGAACCCAAAACGAATGTATAATAATCATATCAAATCCAAACAATAACGAGGGCTTCGAAAAATATACAATGAATTTTCTAAAAAGCGTGGTTGTAGTGATAGGCACACGAAAACCTCCTGTGGCTATGCAGAGATGTTTTCTACTTTTGCCAAGAATAGGTTCATGCAGCTTCTGAAATGTATGATTCGAGTAGTGGTCCATTGTTGTCCGTGATCATGAAACAGCATGTAGAGGACGAGCAGGTCGAACAAGACGCTCTCTCTGCACTAAACTGTACTCGTAGTATCTGAAAAAAAACTTTTTTACCTTGGTACTCCCGAATCGTCACCTTTCAAGCTTCTAACATGATCAAAGAAGTCAAAGCAAGCTTGATCCGTCCAAGTGGCCAGCATACCGCATTTGTGGAAAGGCCAGAGCCAACCATCCAACATCGGTCCGTGACTGCCGCAGGTGGTCAAAAAGGATTAGAAGGCAAGGAGAGAAAAAATGGAAGGATGTCTAAGACGGACCTTGTCGTTGTCCACAAGCGCCTCACGTCTTCTAGCTCTTGTCGTTGTCCACACATCTAGACTTTAATTTTCGTTTAACATTCTCATAAATCAAACTCCCCAACCGTGATCCCTTCGTTTGAAACCACTCTGCGTGTGTGAGTCCCCGTCCGCTGATAGGATGCCAAGTGGAGGTAGAAGATGCGTCTTTCTCTAGTACTTTCATCATACTCCTTTGAGCATCCACCTTTTCTTCGTCTTCATCACGTAGAAGTATTTTGGATACTGTTGCAACTCTACTTTCTTGCTCGTGATGTTGTTGCAGTATCGCTTCGGACTTGATGTTCCTATTGTTCTCGTCCATCTTCAAGCGTCCTTCCCATTCTTCTTTTTCTCGATGCAACGCATGACTATGACCGCGACCACCGCCACCACCTCCAGCGCTAGTGTTAGAGGTAGCTTTTTGGTGTTCGCTTCCCCCGTTTGTTATGTCTGTCTCCCTTAAGAGCGGCAAAACAAGCGGCAACGTGAACGCCTTTCGCCTACCCTTAATAGTATAAGTACTGACATCGATTTCGAACCTCTCGCGAATTTCACAAGCTGTCTTCCAAGTCCTTTGGTCCCGGTGCTCGCGTCTTACTCGTGTGTAATTCGTGTAGTCAGCAACGGGATCGTCTTGCGCAGCCGCCATTAGAACAAGTTGTATTGTGACTCCTTACATATTTCATGTAGTAATGATCTAGTAGATGTGCTGTACGTCTCTGAATTATTTCGAATAAAGTTACAACGACATCATGATCACAAATACCGCCATACCAAAACCAAATAAGGCGATCGAATCTGCTCAAGCCAACGTGCAGGATCGTTGTCGACATCATAGCTGTCGCGGTCTCTGTAACCTGCAAAGGGCGCTAGATGTGTGACCAAAGCCTCTAAGCGTCTTGCTGGCTCGTAAGTAGGATGGTTCTTGATCTTGTTCATCTTGGATGAGGAAGAGGTGGCTGTGCTAGTACTTACACCATCATTTCCAGCAACTGAAGATGATGATGAAGAAGAACCACTACCCAGATTCATTGCCGCTTCATAAGCAGCATTGTTGTGAGCGCGAAGTATTTTCTCATTAGGTCTTAGGAAAGTGTCTTGGCAGGCTACTGTTAAGGAGGCGTCTAAGCCTGCCTCAACCCGACTCATGCACCCACCAGGACCTCCATTGATACCGCTGCCGACCCAAACAGACGCGGTGAAAGATGGATAAGTGCGTCGTGGGGAAGAAGACCTTGAAGAAGAGGAGAAGCCTGCCACTGAAAAGGTGCCTGCGCTTGGAGCACTTGAAAAAGCGCTCGTCGTGGAACAAATAGGTGGTGCAAGAGATAGAGAAGCTTCATCTAGAAGTAGTGCTGAAGAAGAAGATGTAGTGTCCTCCGGCAAATCTTCTTGCTCAAAACTAGAAGAACTTGAGCCAGTTGTTGTACTAGAAGTTGCATTGGAGCCGAAAGTCGACGACTCTTCAGCTGTCTCTGGTGGTTTTCTAAACGTTCCCTTTTTAGCTGCCCGTTCGCGTTCTCTTTCTTTGTTGTCATTCGTTCGTTCTCTTTCCTTGATGTCAGCTTCCCTGTTATTGTCATTCTCCTTGTCCCAGAACCCCAAGGCTGCCAAGCCACCCGTGCCTGCCGAAACAGCATACAAAAAGGTGTCTGGTCGTTTCTTATGAGCTCCTCCTGTGTTGGGTAGCACTCTGTCCAGTACAACATTGTACACTTGCTCGATGTCACCTCTATCTCCGAAGAGGTTGAGCATTGGACTCTCGAGTGGCTTGTCTTCGCGCTGTCCACGGCGTTCCATCACGACACATCGGTATCCACGGGAGACGGCAGATGTTAGAGGACGATGTTGAAGATGTGGAAGTTGAAGAGCAAACTGAGTGCTACTTTATTTGAGTGTTCAGTACAGGACCAACTTTTGTTTTCCGTCAAAATAATTACTTAAACTACATGCAGCTGTGCATGACAAAATAATTGCCTTCATAGATACATCATCGTATGTACACCCGGTATGTCATCGGCCAAACAGGCGAGGCCTATGAGAATGAAGACGATGGGAGCCGAGTCTGGAAGTGTAGTACTACTCCCAGAGGTGGATGACGATGAGAATGGCGGGATGACAACAAAGCGCAGCTCGTCTGGATACGCAGATTTCCTACGCAAATCCACCACATCCTTACATTTATCGTATACACGCAAGTGATACGCCTGTGCAGGAAGTCGGCCGAAGAAGAGCTCAAAACATGATCGACTCAGTCTATCAAACAACGTCGGGGGTTGTTTTGAATTGGCCTTGTCTGCAGTTTGCGCTCGTGTACTTCTGGCTACAGCGCTAGTCGTCCACATACCACCGCTGGTGCTTTAGTTTAGAAGATGAAATAAAGCTGCCAACCATAATATTTAGTTCGACGAAAATCATTCCTACTTCGTTAATGCACGACATAATGCCTGCGACTGTTTTATTCGTCTCACTCGGTATCCTACAAGCACTAAGTCCAGACCAGCTAGTTCGACTAGTAGATTTCAATCAAATTATTCAAAACATCTAGCATAATGCTACGTGAGTTTCTTTGAGATTCATTTCCCACATCCACGACCAAGACTTAAAAACAGTGAAGACCAACGCGTAATGTACGATGTGTTCCCCTTCCTGCTTCCTCCTTGTCCGCCGTCTTTCTCCTTCTAACTTTCGCCTGCTCATCTCTCTCTTCATCTTGTTTTCCAGAGGCAGAATCAGACAGAAAAAGATGTTGACAATCTATGACATTGTCCCACCAACTGTAGCACAACACTTGTTTATGGATGATGTTCTGCAAAGCCCAAGGGAGAAACTGGACCCAAGCGCCATAGCAATAGATCGGCGGCCGTGGTCCGTAATTGAGGGATTCTACTGGATCGATGAAGCGTTTTCTTGTGTTGGGATTGGAAAAAATTTTGGTTCTGGGGCCACGGGGGTAGAGGCGGACGAGGCACTTCCAACTCCAAGATAAGGATCCTCGAGATGAAGAAGTAGTGCTACAACTATTTTGACATGTTTCTTTTGAAAATGTGCTTCTACTTGGAGGTGCTGTTCTAGTCGTACTGGAGCTGGCGGTTGTTTCTGCAAGAAGAGTCGGGACGTCGACCACGTGCTCAATCTCCTCCCTGAAGCACAAGTGCCTGCAGAACGAACGCAAATACGTGTGTGCAGCAATGCAGAAGATGGCTATCTCTATCAAGAAAATCAAGCGAGCGAGGCGGAGTTGCTTGTCGAGTGGCGCCAACTGAACCACGTCGGTGAAGATCCACGGAAATTGTGTCCTAGTTCGCGATAACGAGTTCTCGAGATAGGGGTGGTCGGGATAAGAGGACCAAGCATGGTCTAGAATGAGATTAGATGTGTAAAGTCGAGAAGCAATTATTTCTAACACATGACTCCTGATCAGCAAATAAAGCTTTTGACCACGTTCTAGTAAGTACTTGAGTACTTCCTTTGAATGAAAATTCCGAGTAAAATCAACACTCCAAGCATTGATTAAGTAGATCAACCAAGCCTTAAGATACCGCAACACTTCCCGTCCCACAGAAATCAGTACTCGAAATATCCAGAGCGAGAGTAGTGTAGACGCGATAATAGACGAGCCGCGATAGTCGTACATAATCTTCACGCGCAACCATTCGATAGAAGCGGTGATCCAAATACGTTTCTTGAAAAATGACATCTTGAAAGCTTAGGGTTGGAAAGAAATGTTGAATCAATCAAAAGAAAAAGAATCAAGTTAAGTAGGCGCGAGACTGTCTTTAAAATGGGTCTTGCGCTTGTAGTTTGCGTTTCGTGGCTCCTAATCTATTGTGTTCGTTGTCTTGGTATACTTCTTGCATGCATAGAAATAGGACTATCGGGATGAGAAAATCGAGAAAGTCGTCACCCTTATCTTTTCCCGAGGACAAGTTTCCGTGCGACGGAGCAGAATCAGAAATGCTCTTATCCTTTGCAAGAGGCAGGAGGGGGAGGGCGAGGGGAAGCGGAGGGCAATAAAAATTTCTCCCAAGGGTGTGCATTTTGCGTTTTTTTCTGTCTCTCGGCTCTTTTAAACTTTTTTTGGAGGTCAGACGCAGACGGAGAGCTACTAGAACCCAGACCCCAAAAACGATTACGTAGAGAACCGATAGCAAAAAGATTTGAGGAGTGTCGCCAATTATAGCCATTAGCGACTATTGCTTCTTCCACCCGGAAGTCCGGATCTTAATGATGGTGTCGTCATTCAGAGTCTCTTTTACATTGATTACTTGATCTTCTGCAATGAATCGCGTTGGTTGCGCAGTTGCGTGTGGAGTAGTTCAAAAAGTAAGAACAAAGACAAACGAATAGAAGATTGCTATAGACTTAGTTTTCAACATGAATGTTGACCTTGAGCGATCTATCAGATGAGAAAAAGTTCATGTTCATGTTCAACATCTACGGAAATTAGCTCCTTAAAAACACGAGCTACAAGAACTACAAGGATAACTGATAACACTGTTACAGATGCATCTGTTACAGATGCATCTTTGATATCCACCTAGACCTAGTCTACCTACTATCTATTCACTATCTACTGGTGCTATTGCAAAGTTATTCCCACACCTCAGAAACTCCCAAACCGGCCTCCGCTTCCGTTGAGAACCGCTCTAAGAATTGTTCGAAGCTACAATAGCCACCTCCTACGCGGAATATCAATCGGTTCTGTTTTGTCAACTTCACCAGTACTTTGCGACTGCCGTAAAGATAAATACCAGCCGAGAGACGATAAAACGGCACAGGCGGTTTTGCTGCGTTCACCATTTGGGCGAGTGCTCTGTCGACAGCGTCGCCTTTGCATGGCGTGTATCGGTAAAAAGTACCAGTGCTGTCTCCTGGAGGACCGCTGGTGCCGGAATCATTTTGTACATAATTAATACTCTGCATAGGAAGATCATGCTGACCAACAGGAACCCGATGCATTCCTAACAAAACCGAACTACTTCCCGGTGTTGAGACTAAATTAGATCCTGGTAGTGACTGCGCCCCAAGTCGACTGCCAGGGCTACTCGCTCGGGGTTTCTTATTCGAGCCAAGAAGATGGTGATGACGGGCTGCAGCCGAAGAAGATGATCCAGACCCTGATAGGTTCTGTCCACTGCTCTGACTTTGGTAACCTCCTTGGCGTGTTGAAGTGGCGAAAAGAGTCGAATTCGATGCCGATGACGGTGGCCCTCCTCCTCCTACATTAGTACTTGCTGATGCTGCTGAACCTCCATGACCATGTCGTTTTTGCTCTATCGCAGGTATATACTCATTCCACAGACGAGTATTGCGGTCGACGATCTCAGCCTCGAGTAGGCGGACTTTGGCACGAAGGTCTTCGGGTAATTAGAGACGAGAGGATAATGTTAATACGGTTGAACGATGATGAAAGTGGAACTTGGTAAGTGTACAGGTCAACGCCTAGAAAACCACTAAGCCAACTGCGTTTAGGCGTTGACCTGTACACTTATCAAAACTCATATAGGTCCTCTAGCTCTAGCAGTTATGCTTATGAATTCATCTCATAATTCGCTTTTCCCAAATCCGAAAATTGGTCTTTCAGCTCTTTCTGCAGTAGCTTCTCCTCGTCACTTATGATACATCGAGCCTCCATCTCCTTCACCTGGAAGCTGGATTGCTCGAGTTCTGTCTGCAGTTTGTGAAACTCCGGTTGAATTTCTTGGAGAAGCTTCTTCAAGTCTGCATTGTCTTTTTCGGGGATTAGAAGTGGGTATCATGTACTGGCAGACGATATCGAGATTTAGATATTTCTAGATTTTCATACTTACTTTTATGACCAAACCGATCCAGCCTTCATAAAGATTTTCATCAACGCCACAGAACACAGATACTAGAAAGGAGCAAAGCAATAACATATCCATACCGACCTCATTTACTGAAGATTAAGATCAACTGCAACTGTCCAATAACATATCCATACCGAAGATTAAGATGAACTGCAACTGTTGAGTCAGTACTAGCACTACCACCAATGAATACGAATATAGCCTTGATGGACCTTAACAACAATTCCGTTCTATCCTTCTCGTTCGCCAGATGGCTTTCGAACTTCTTTTGTCCTTCCTCGGTTTCGAAGAGCAATTCCGCGATCCGTTTTTCCAAGGATTCTGCAAACCTCAACGCTTGGTCTTTTTCCCTCTCTTAGAAGAGCGCAACTAATTCATTTTATTTTCGTGGTTTCATTTTCTCAGACTCTTACAAGAAGAAAACAGAGAAAAATGACTCGTAGAAATGAATTGTATTCTTGCGCCCTAACTCTCCACATCGCCAGCTAAACTCAGTTTGTGCTCGAGTTCGATCACCCTAGCACTTTGTAGTTTCAATTCGGTTTGAAGATTCGACGCGCTCATCTGAAGCGGAGTCATCCCGGTTGGACTGGCTTTCTTATTAGCTTCGCGAGCTAGTTGAGTAGCTTCTTGTTTTTCCTGTGAAGTAGGTGTGCTGAGGGTTGGTTGTCCTGGTCAAGATGTAGTTGATCTTGAACAAGAAAAACAAAATGAAAATGAGTACTAAAAAATCTAAAGATTGCGACAAAGTAAGTACCCTAATCAATCTCTTCTGCGTCTCCAACTCCCTATTCAACTGTGCTTCAAAAGTTGATTTCATGTCCTCCATCTGCTTTGATCTCGTCTCGAGCTGTTCCTCCTGTCGCGTCACTTGGTTCTTCAAGTCCTGAACTAGCGATTTGTTGTACGTCACTGTGCGGAGGTCCGCTTCGAGGGATTCGACTCTGTGTTTTTACGAAAACATCTTCTTGTTGTTGTTGTTCTTAAATTGTTTTCTCCACCAAGCTACGTTGTTAATGTTATTGTTTTCTCTAAGAACCTACGCCTCGCGGGCGACTTTCTCCCACATAAATAAATGCCCAAGTACTAACAACCCAGTTGTACTGAATATTTATAAATAAAAGCAAGTTACAGTATGTTACTTCGACGACAGCTCCACTCTTTCCAGTCTCCAATCTGCCGCTTGTTTCCTCTCCGTAGTCAATATCCCCAGAGTCTTCTTCAACCGATCTGCAAGACTCATTTTTTCGCCTTCGACTTTCGTAACGTGTTCTGCCAACTGCTCCATCTGTTCTTGAAATTTGCTCAATTCGTCACGCAGTCTTACGATCTCTTTCTCCCTTCGCTCTGCGGATGACTCCGCAGCCGCTTTTTCGTCTTTGAGTAACTTATCAAAAACTTTCACTTGTTTCTGCAAGACGCCAAGATCAGTGGCACTAGTTTCCGACATTGCAGCAGCGTTGCGACTGAGAGTGACTTCATCGAGCAGAGAATCGCGAGAGGCGCGAACCTGGTCGGATGTATTGCACCTCCTTCATGTCGATATTAAGCAAATAAACGGAGGAAGAGGAAGACATCAGAGAGTTGTATCGTGAGTAAAACAACTCATTCATCTTCTAAAAAATAAGTATTTAAGTACTTCGTTCACTTGCGCTTGCAGTGCAGCAATCTCCGCTGTCTTCTGTTCTACCAACTCGTTCTGTTCGGTGATACGTGACTCAAAAAGGTTTAACGATTCCCGTAACTTATCCTGTACAGTGTTGTGCTGCGTTCGAAAAGAGTTAGCGGCACGTTTGTATCTGTGGTTGCAAACGCGTTTTTACTAATTTCACTTTTCATGAATAGATACATTCAAGGTTGTATTGCTCTAGACTATCGTCACGTCATCAAAAGGATTCAAAAATGAACGAGCAGAGATTACATTTCCACATCTTCTTTCTCCAACCCCGCTGCCTCTAACTTCGTTTCCAGCAACTCGACCATCTCTTGATATGGTCTGGTTCGTTCCGCACAGCTCTCCTCGAACTCCCTCAAATTTCTGAAGACTACAGATCCTCCTGAGCCTCTAGGAGGTGGCGCAAAATTCACCGCTCGCGACTTCAGGCCTTCTAAGGTAACGGAGCTTGGTGTGGTCACGGTGAAGCGACTTTGTGCTGAGGCTTGCTGGGATGCTGCAGCGGATGTGGATTGGCGGGGAAGTTAGAGGAGGCTGGGCACGGGCATGGGGCGTATGTTGGCAACTACAACTGGTGGACAATATAATCATCAAGCGTGCAGGTCTGGTAGGTGTTCCTCTTCCTGTGAGATTAAAAATTTGGCGATCAGAATCATTATCTTCCTTTCAACATCAGCATAAACATTCTTACTCGTCCCCATTCCTCCACTATTGACACTCAGCTTGCTAGGCGGTGCAGTATCACCTCCGACAGTTGAATTTCGCACCGACGCTCTTGACGCCATGCGTGAGCCGAAAGGAAGTGCGTTTGGACCCGAAGTTGCAGATGCAGCGTCAGTTAGAAGAGCAAAGGCCGAGGACGCAAGTAAGCGCAAGCAGCAGGGGGAAAGGCAGGGAGATCAAATAGTAAGACAGCTAACAAACAAACTAGCTAATAGAAAATTGAAGTCAATTAAATGCTTCTCAATGCTTCAGCCTTAATTGAGTAGTCGGTCCACCATCCGAGACGAAAAGAAACGGCGCAGCAACGTGGGTCAACGCACCACGATTTGAGGACTGTGTAGATGCTAAGACGACGTCATCTTCACAATTTTGACCACGGGTTGTGGGATGCTTCTTACTACCACTACCTCCGGTACCTCCGGGGTTGATGCCTCCTGTTAGAAGAGGCGAGAAGGGACAACTGTTATTTCATTTTTAAATAATAATAATAATTACGTGCTTCATTACTAACCCTATTCTTGAAGTGGATGTACAGGTTGAGCAACGTCATGTGGAGTTTCTCTAAGAATGAAGATGAAGATGAGAACGAAGTAGACTACGAAGAACAACAAGTAGACTACGAAGGAGCAGAATACGAAGAACTCAATCATAACCCACCGCCACCAGTTTGTGGCGAAGAGACCGCCCCGACCGAAAGAGACTGCAAAGCTAAGATCAGAATGTCTTGGCAATGGAAGGTACGATCGATGTCTGATTCTGCAATAGCTGCATCAGCTGGCACGTACTTGCAGAGGACTCGGAGTTGTGATATGAAAGGGACGAAATGCAGAATTCGCATGGAAGGGAAGTACCAATGGGTACTCTTCAAGTAGGTCTTCTTGCCCTCATGTTGTAGTTCACATGCTCCCCCTCCTTCACCCGTCAAAGAAGTCAAAGTCAATGTCTCTTCCAAGTCATAAGTGATATACTCGCCCCACTCACAGAAGTTGTGCTCCTTTTGCTAGCTCCACGTTCGAACTGATATCTTGCTCCATCTAGTGGCATCCAACGATCTAGGACGTACACACCTCCGTTGCAAAGCGGAGGCGAGGTCTTGGAGGCTCCTCGACTACTGTTCTCTGCACATGTTGAGAAGGATTGTGGACAGGAGAGGAGGCAACTTCCAACCATGAGAGAGGTTGACGTTGATGCACTGTCTCTGTCTCTGTCACGACCCACATGTTCTTCTTCTTGGTGTTCATTATTACTGCTTGTTGTGCTGTCCTTTGTGTCATTCCCACGTCCTCCTGCAGCTTGAGCTCCACTGTTTTTCGACCTACGACCAGGGTTTAGATCCCTCACTGTGATCTTAATTACGTCATCTTTGCGGGCTTTGGACAAGTCCAGCAGAATGTGATTTTCGGATGTCGAGGGCACAGGTCCTTTCGCTAGGATTTGCTTTTGTTCTACAATGTTGGAAGAAGAGCTAGAAGAGGATGTAGTGCTCCGTTGTCCACCACTCTGGCGTTGCTGGACCAGTTCTGCTGTGCATTCGAAGCGGCTCTCCAAGGAACCTTTGGCGTAATTTGTTACCAAATCAACGGAACAAAGGATCAGGTAGCCGCCGAGCTGCGCAGGCGACGGAGCTCCTTGGTGGTCCCTGCTACTGCGGGAATTGGTACTCCCAGGTGGTTGGTGGAGAGAAGTCATCCTAATGTGTTGCAATGAATGGGGTATCCTATTTTCTTGGATTGTACTGTCTACGTTTCTTTTACCGCCTTGAATGAAGATCTCATTCATTCACGCACTCCACCCTGGCCTTAGCTCGAAGCCGACGGGCAGTATTCAACCAGGGACTGTTAATAAGCATAAGGTAAGTTGTTACATATAATTCTGGCTTTCTGTATTGAAGCCCTATATTGGGACCAAGCTGATCAGGCTAATTCTGGCTTTCTGTATTGAGGCAGACTCATGAAGACTTGCTCTGGTATGATAGTGGCCTCTTTCATCTTGTTCTCTTGTGTAGTGCTGCTGGGAAATGGGCGTTCGGGGAAATATCTTCAGAGGACAATTCAATGACAGGAGTAAAAAGACCAGCCTTGCGCGTCGTGGTCAGCAGGTACCGTGACTACAAGAACAAACTAAGCACGGCCTCTCTCTGGCTCAGGGGTACATCACCTGTTATCAGGGGTACATCACCTTCACTTTTATTCATTCCTCTTCTCACTCCCGCAACATTGTCTCACGCAGATGAGTGGAAGGTCAAGTTAACAGAAGGCTATCACGAGCTGCAGCTATCAATCTCTGTTGGTTCTCTCAACAAATCATGCAGAAGTAGCTCACCTGATCCTCTCTTGACCTCGTTTCGGTCATCATCTCATTAATTGCAGCGTCTTCTTACAACTTCTACTTGCCAAAAAAATAGACACTTTGACATCGATTCCTTTTCCGCAGCTGCATCCCCCGTCAAACGCAAACGGATCTACAGCTCAGGACGTGATCCTTTCTGCTTCTCAGAAGTCAATACAAGTCAATATCCGCAGCATTATCTTCTCGAAATTAGATATCCCATTAGCTTTAGCTTCATACCTTCATCTTTGATGCGATCTTTTCTGAAAAAATAATAAAATCAATGAAGTTGTAACTGTCATGCTATTGTTGGTGGTGCTAGTGTTTACGGTACCTCATCAGGTAGAACAACAACAAGTCAATTCAGTTTACAAAATCTAATAAAATAACATGGAGAAATAATACATGACGACCGCGCTTGCTACGAGCTAGCAGCTTGTGCACGGATCGGAAGATTGAAATATAAGCGAACATAAACTTGAGACATCAATGCGTCTTTCGTTGTTTTTTGAGATTGATTTACACAATTGGAAATGCATGACCAGGGGTCAGCAGTAGATGCGTTTTCTGACAGTAGCACTACCCTCACCTTCAAGTCATGATATCTCTATTTTTCATCGTCACATAATAATGAATCAGCCAAAAAAATATACGAAAATCAAGTGCGCGGCTATCGCATTCATCTCAGTCATCCAACCACTCTTCTATTCATAGTACAGATCTTCACTTGATCCTGGCGACGGGAACAAGAGCGGAGCAGGCACACTAGGAGGCATCGCTCTGCTCGGTCCAGGCGGAGCCGGTACACTAGGGGGAGTCGCTCTTGCTGGGCCGCGGGGAGCGGGCACAGTGGGGGCGGTCGAACGAGGTTGTAGACCATGTTGTAGACTCGGAGGAGCTGGTACGCTAGGAGGAGCGGCCCTCGCACGCGGAGCGGGACGATAATAGAGGACACCTTCAGGAGTACGTGCAGGCACTAGCTGCGGAGCTGCTAGCCGCGGAGCCGCTACGGTTGGTGGTCGCTGCGCTGCAGCTGCTGGTGGGGCTGGTGCCAAAACGTAGCCAGGCGGTGGTGGCGCTGGCGGAACCGCAGCGCCGGCTGGTAATGTTAGACGAAGATCTTGACAACAAGAACTAATGTGAATAGGGTTAAGGAGTAGGAGATGAAATACAAGGAAGAACTCTACCCGCTCGCACTCTGAACCAATAAGAGTCGTGGGAAGAGTACTTAGAAGTACTAGAAACATTTATTCATTCCTCTCATTCAATCGTATTTAAAAGTATCCTTTATTGTCTTAACACTCTCATTCCATGCGCAGCAGCAGCAATTTGCATTTGTGTCGCAGCCGCTGCACGTTCAGCAGCTGAGTAGTAAGCAGGATTTGCCATCAAGTACTGAGGTGAAGTTCTTGCAAGTGCGGCTGCTGCTGCACCTCCAAGAGGAAGTGCAGCATGGGTTGCACCAGCAGTAGCAGGTAAGCCAAGCAAAGCTGCAGGATCGTGGTAAGCACTAGCTGCAGAAGGCGCAGTAGTGTAATAAACAGGAGATGATGCCTCGTGAGCATCGTCTTAGAAATAGAGATAGACCATGAGGAAGACTCACTGTATTACATCGAGAAAAAAATCAACATTCCTTTCTATTTCTTCATGTAGAAGGAGGTGCTGCCGCTCATTGCTAGCAGGCATCCCTGCATTGATCCTTGTAGCTTCATCCAATATTCTTTCGTCCCATCTTCATTCAATTTCAAATGGCTTTACAGTAACCGAAGTATAAGATGTAGGTGAGCCTTAAGCACTGGGATATGCCAGGTCGAGCGCAAGTGCAGGATCTAGCGCCAGTGCAGGGTCGAGCCCTAGAGCAGCGGGGTCCAAATGCGAGCTCACACGTACTTCTTTACCACCTTTGGCTTTGGCAGCACCTCCTTTGGGAGCACCCCCTTTGACAGCAGTTGTTGCTGTAGTTGCAACAGCGTGTTTACCTTTACTACCAGCTTTAGCTTTACCGCCACGAGCTTTACCCCCAGTAGCTTTGGTCAATACTGGAATGGTACGAGCGGCAGAAGTACCTGCAAGCAGTGCTGGATCTACTCCGAGCGCGGCAGCGTAGGCAGGATCGGCAAGAAGGTGTGCATCCTCCCCAAGCGCATATGCATAGGCAGCTGCATAAGGATCTTGTTCTCGGCCAGGAGCAGCTAGTAGAGTTACAGGTGGTTGTAGTACAGCGCTTGCACTACTTGTACTTTTACTGCCTTTGGATGATGTAGAAGAGTAGCTGGCATTTCTGGCTTGTTGGAAAGCTGCCTCGCCTTCAGGGTTGGTGAGATACACCTTGCCTCCCTTGTTCCCATAGTTCTTGACGTAGTCCTGATAGTGAATGTCTGGTGAAGATGAATGAGTAGGCTGTCCTTTGCCAGAATGCTGAGATGACGAACTCTCGGTCAGTTTACTCAAGGAAACAGCAGCGTCGTTGTAGTAACTCATAGCACCTCCACCTTTAGCTTTACCTTTACGATGACCTTGTTGACTACTTATTTGACTAGAATTACTTCCAGCGATATTGCTTCCTTGCTTCTGCTTACCCTTGTTCTTGTTCGACGAGTTCATGTCTGTTCCTATTGCAGCCCGAGCATAGTAGTTGTCATCATTGTTATCGATTGGCGAAAAGCTGTTTTTTCCACCTTTGCCTTCTTTGCCTTTCCCTCCCTTTTGTTTGCCGCCGCGATTGCCAATCTTCGAACTTGCAGAAATCCATCGTCAACAGGAGCATCTCTCGCCCCCCTTTCCCTTGACAAACGGGACCAAGAAGATGCCTGTGACGGTGACGATGGATTTCCTCAAGCCTTAGCAATAGTCCTTACCACAGCGTTAGGACTGATGCTCTTTGGGGGTCCATCTGGGGAACTCGCGGCTTCTGGTGAATCCTCTAGTGCCTGTTTAGCGCCTCCACCCCTTGCGCCTTCTTTACTGTTCTTGCCTTTAGACTTTCCTTGCTTCCCCGATGTTGACGAGGACGACGCGGCCGCGGCAGTAGCAGACCCTGCGTCAGTACTTGTATTAGAGCTTCCCCCTTTTCATCCCTGTGGGCGGGATCCCCATCCCGCAAGAACTACATGCCCCACTAAGTATCACTATCTTCCCTGTTCTTGTACGGCTTCTGTTGAGCTTGAGGGATCACTATTACATAGAGAAGATGAACTAGTCTAGTAGGAGGAGGCCTTAATTGTAGAAGAAGCCTTGCTGTTCGAAGCCTTGCTGTTCTTCTTCCGTTTGCTCATATCGTCTTGTCCTTTTCCACCTGCGGTGGATGAAGCAGCTGGAGCGCTGTAGTTGTAGTAGTTGTCGAGCATCTCTTGTGTTGGGCCAGATATGAAAAGTTGGGGAGTCGACCACTTTTTCGCATGAACGTCCATGATCTCAATTGGCGTCACTAGCAGCCCACGCATGGGCGAGCATCTTCCACGCAAGTCCGTTGCGCCTATACTAGATTCCCGCAGTAAGATCTCCACTTTTGACACTACCCAAGTACAAGAACTTTTTGCGGTCGTGTTGGTGATTGCGCCGTCTGTACTATCTTCTGGTGAGGCAGCTACTGAAGCAGAACCCATCGTCGTCGTACTCGCTGTCGTCACTTCCTCACTCGGTTCATAGAAGACCCCAGTGACGATCGCGTGTGTTCCGAGACGCAAGAGTCCGCCAATCTTCGCGTACACAACGGATTGGCCTAGGAAAAACTCCCCTGCAGCTTTTGGCGTGTCACACATGACACCAATGAAATCGGAAGACTTGAAGGGCTCGAGGGTGTAGGGACCAAGGTTTTTGGTTAGAGGTGTAGGAAGAAGTCTTTCATCACCTACGACCTAGATCGATGTGATTGAGATTGAGTTCAGTTGGGAAATAACGGTAAGTGAGTCCTGCTCATCGTCATCATCTATCTGACTGAGAATATGTTCATCACTAAGATCAAGTCAAAAGGTGCTGGAAATAGATGAACAGTAGCCTTAACGCATCTATTGGCGGAGCAGGGCGAGCGCGAACAGGGCTCTCTTCATCAGGAGATAAGAAGGGCAAGGGCGACTCAGCAGCAGCCGCCTTTGCCTTCATGGCATTAATCGTGGTAGTTCGCAGCCACCTGAGAATAAAAAGGGTGGAACTGAGAATAACGAGGGTGGTAGTATTGATGAGACGGAGCAAGAAGTTGGCGGTGTTAAACCTGTGAGAGGCTAGGTGGTCGCATCGGCATCTTGGTTGTGAAACAATCGAAGTTCAATTCTCTCATGAGCAAAAACGCGGCCATTGTAAAAAAGTACTTTTTCGTCACACTGTTCGCCCCTTTTGTTGGCGATGGAGTCGAACCGAACTTCGCTTCTTTAACTCTTTTTGGCGCCAACAAGTCACATTCCTTCTCCAATGAACGTATGATCGTTCTCGGGAGACATTCGTGTCGCAAACTGGTAAAGGGCAATTTGGCATGAGGCCAGCTGGTAACGAACTTGAGCAATTGATCCACGCGATACGAAGTTTGCTCTTTCGTACGCGCGATGGTCTTGAATTTGCGGGAGTTAGAGTGAGATGAAGTAGAGAAGAAGAAGATTTTTAAGTAGAGTGAGTGGACTTGGAGACTCCATGTGTCCTCTTAGCACTACTTCTGAGTTCTTCAGTAATACACCATATACACTACCTTAGTTGTACTACTTACTACTATACTGTCTGAGTACTACTTACTACTATTACTATACTGTCTGAGTACTACTTACTACTATACTGTCTGAGTATATTACTGTCTGAGTATGTAGTCGTGCTCTGTACGTACTGATTAGTTTGAAAAAAACAAAACCCAGCTTTTCCTCTTAACTGGATTCTTCTCATCTGGCTCCGAGACTTCCTGAAAGATCTTCCGTACATGAACCGGGTACGAAGACGAAGCTCCCGAGTAGGCATCGTTCTCATCGTTACCCCATGCCTTCAAGTACGTGTACAATTCCGGGAATTTTAGACCTTAGTTGAAGTGCATCTCTCACTATAATTTTTCCCCGAAAAAATACCCGCCAAAGATGCTTCTCAAGATGAAGATCATGAACTAAGTACGATAAACCTTAAGAACTTGTCAAAGTATTCTGCGATCAGCACCACAACCTCTCCGGAGTACTGATAGTCCTGCTTCTTGGCGAATTCCGGACCCTTACACCGCGAATAACTAGGAATGGCGTAGTAGAGCATGCTAGAGTTAGACATAAGCATCAGTCATCTTCTCCTCACAAGCTGCATCATTGAAGAAGATCAGGGAGGTAGATCTAGATGGTACTTTTCAGGTGGGTGCTTTGAATGGTCCGTGGGAATGGGGCCCCATTTTCTTCGCTATACTATTTGGGGCCTCTCACTTCCGCCGGACTACCGCTGGGCGGAGGGGAGTGCGCGCCCATCGGGCGCTTGTCTCACCTTGTCGCAAATTCTTTCACGCCAACCCCAGCCTTGGTCGAAAATTCTTTCCCCTTCTTCGACGTCTTCTGGGGCACCCCGGCCCGGGGAGTCTAGATAGTACTTTATTTCAGGTGGATGCTTTGAACTTGAACGAAGGATGAATTAATAAAATACAATGAATTATATTATTAGAACAGCTTATACGGTTTCCCAACATGGGTGGGCTGGGCACGCTGGGCGCACTGGATCGCTGTTAAGTGATAATTAATGTGAGTCTCCTGAATGTGTAATTACTAGCCTTAACAGAATTCGGCCCAAACCGTTGATTCTGGGAATACGTCAGGTTCAACCCGATGTCTTCGACTGCGTCGTCGTAGGTCTTGATCCAGAAACTGCCTAGAAGCTGAATAAAGGCAGGTATTTTGATTTCCCTCGGGAAAAAACCACAGATTTCGACCAGAGAAAACCACGTAAGTTGCGGCGAGTAGTATTGCTTTTCCTGCCAATTCGGGTTCTGCCACAAACGCTGCACCCAGGACATGTCCTTCCAAGCTTCTTTCCTTTTGCTCGCTGCTCTCTCTTGCTTACTGCTTTTGTATGAATGGCGTCTATTCCATCGAGCCAGACCATCGAGGCAACTACCCTTTCATCCCCCTTATGAAAACGGATAAGTTGTAGCCTTATGGGGGCCTCGAAGATAGTCTGAAAGATGGAAAAAACATCATCCATATTCTGCTACTCTTTGAGTCAGCTTTGCTACTCTTTGAGTCAATTTTTTGTCCTGAAGAGGATTGCTCAGCTTGCGAAGATGAAGAGGATTGCTCAGCTCCTTCACCGTCTGCTTCTTCTGCGCTACCGCAAGAATTTTCGAGATAGAGCTCAAAATAATTCTAACTCATTAATATCATTCGTTTAGATACAACTCATGATTTCTTAATATATCCCAAGAAGAGCAGGGAATAACAAAGAGAAATGACACTTACTTTCTTAATATATCCCAAGAAGAGCAGGGAATAACAAAGAGAAATGTCCCAAGAAGAGGGACTTACAAGAAAGAGAAATGGCCCCCCTTGGTTGTAATGAACAATCTCATTGGCCTTAGAATTCAAGAAACTATTTTACTTAAAAGAAAGAAACTGATGAGCAATTACTTATATTTGTGGTGGAGCCGACCTAACTAGAAAAAAGACAGACCAGAGGAAAAAACAATTACTTATTGAGTTTATTGAGCCTTAACTGGTTTTAGGTTCAGTTCTAGTTGGCAGCGGAGGTGGAGCTGCGTTAGGTTCGGTTGGTGGAGGGGCTAGCGTCAACTCATTGGTGTGATTTCGTGAGTACATCATAGTGTGCTTTTTCACCTTGGACTGGAATATCGCGGCGTTGTCTCTTCACATTAGAAAATGTGGAACAGGAAGATGTGGAGGTCCTGCTGCTGCTGTAGCTGCTGAACATGTAAGTACATCTACGTAAATACTTACATGATAATATAAGTATTGATCTGCTAGCCCGGCTGCGCCCCATTTTGCTGGGTCAGGATTCTCCTGGCAACCCGTGGCAACCCGTTCCAGATTTGGGACCCCTGCGCTTCGGCAACCCGAGCAACCCGTTATTTACCTTACTCTAAATATTAGACTCAATTCATCAACGTCCCTAGACATTTCTGATCATGAAGATCTCAACTAGAACTCTAGCTCGTCTACCTAGCGCGGTTACTTGTTTATGTCAGATGACATCATCAAGGCGAACATGAACATCAATGACAATCTACTACTTGTTAGTATGTGAAGAAGTGCTCCTAACTTCATCTAAAACAAACCTGATCACTATGCTCGTTTAGGTCCTCGAAGGAAGTCGAGGTCGAGAGGGGTAAGAACAACGAACGTTCGACGTTCCGCTCACTCGCTTGTTGGGTACTTGTTAAAAAAACTGTATCGTTAGTAGTAGCCATAACTCAGTCATTAGGTTTTGGTATTCTTTCGAGTTGATTTGTATATGCGTTGGCTTAGACTCTGAGAGGTTGCCCACTGCGCCGGTCCGCTTGAATAAGAAACAGCCACAGTGCATCGGCTCCACGTTGAATTAGAAGCCAAAACGATTCACTTCGTCTTCCCTGCATTTCTTCGAAATTATAATCCTAACAAGGAAACAGAAGGAAAGAATATCGCTCTTTCCCTGGTTGTTGAGTGGGTTGGTTTCTTGCCACTTAATTTCCCCTTTGAATTATTTCCCCTTTGAAAGGATTCAATGGGAACTTCACTGAGGATCGATGGATGCTTCACATCAGATTTACAGATTACAAACATACTAGTGTGAGTGTCGTGAGGGAGTAGCCTTAATTAAAAAGAGTCTCTGCGGCACTATGGACTGCGCCGGCGAATAATTGTCGCAGTACTTTGTTTGCTGCTACAGTACTTCCAACAAGAGCTTCTAGCCGAAAGAAATCTACCCTATCCTTCAGCACCAACGGCGCTAAGTGCTTGTAACACAAAGCCCCGACGGTAGAAGAAAACGCAGCACCGGAGAGGAGGTCGGTTTTCAGGAGTAGGGATTTGATTAGAGCTCACCCCTATCCATCTTGAAAGAAATTATGCATCTTGGTGCTTCTTCCTCCTTATGGGACAGCTTCATTCATTCATTCCCGACGAAACAAGATACATGATAGATGCTCCCTTCCGGAGGCGGAGATGGATTGGGGGAAGCCATAATTTTAGACCGGCCAAATTTTCTAGCTTGTCGGTTGTATCCACCGATGTGCCGGTCCTAAAAAGTTCCTCCAAAAGGCACAAACCTTTTAACCCAAACGGGGTTCCTGAGTATTGTTTTTTTAGTGTCTCTTTTGATTCAATTTTTCGCACTAGAGGGGATTTACCAGCAGGAGATGTTTTTTCACTGGTACTGGCGCTGCTAGATGAAGTTTTCTCTATATTAGCCGCAGCATCGAGAACGCCTGCTTTCCGCAATACCTCAAGCGGTGCTTCCCGCACCAAATGTGCAAACCTCACCCGCCGTTCTGTCGGGATTGGTTCCAAACTTCCATCCGGTCGTACGTTCAAGATGCTCACTAGAACCGCCTGTTTCCACCAGGCGCGATCTGGTGGGATCACTATGCCATGGTTGTTCAGGTAGCGAGTGAGATAAGCGACTTCACGCTTTAATTGCTCGTTCTCTGGGGTGTCTGGAACATTGCTTTGCTTGCTTTTCTTCTTGCTCTTGCCCTGTTGACGCTGCTGTTGAGATCCGTCCGTAGCAGACATTGATGTAGTTCCATTTGCTGCAGCTCCGTCTGGCGCAGCCCCCGCACCCGGACTTACAGTTGCCTCTTTTGAAGCTGCACCTCCTACAGATACAGTTTCCGTTGACGGTAATGACTCCTGTGGTAGCGGTTCTGGTTCCACATAGCGCACTACCTCGCGCACATATCCCAAACGCATGTAGGGATAATCCGTGAAGCAGTACTTGCCTACCAGGGAGTTGGCAAAATGGACCAGAGCAGAGTCATCACAATTGATCTTGGGAGAAGCAGAGTCATTACCATTGGTGACCATCCCATTTCTAGCATAGAACCGACTAGTTCGTGGAATCTCCAAGCAAATGCCCTTCTCAAAGGCTGCGCGGTCGAAGACCTGAATCCCGGACTCGAGTTTGGCAATTAAGATGGGGAGACGGTGTAGGGATGGCCAAGTAGGGTCGACGAGTGCGCAAGGCAACTGTAGTTCTTGATCTTGTTTACCAGCAGTAGTTGTAGTACCCTCAACTTGAGGCTCACCACTAGACGGAAGCTCACCACTAGACGTCGAGGAATCTCTACTACCGCCACTCCCATTGCATCCCAGAAGTGGGTAGTTCGGAAAATGGGCCATGCTTTCCGGTATTTTCGGATGCTCGCAGACGTATTTGACGCATTCCCTCAGTCGAAAGTCCGCGAAATGAGAAGGGAGCAAGGATCTGACTACAGTTTCGGTTGTTTTCTCGACTAAGCGCACAGGACAGCAGGTTTTCGACATGCTGTCGAAATTCTTTGTGGTCGCTGCAGTTGAACTTGAAGATTCGTCTAGTAGTTCCGCTAGCAGTTCTTTCAAGCGATTTACTATGATGTCGTCACGGAGTGGTAGCAACGGAGGAAGCGGTGGGCCTTCATCTTCTTGTTTTATCTCTTGCTGTTGATGAGATGGAGATCCACCGGGTTCTACTTTGATGGGGGCCTTTACCTTTTTTGCCTTTACTGGCGACTTTTTCCTAGCCTCTTCCTTCTCTTTCCTAAGCTTCGCCGATATCTTCTTCGCCAGTTCTAAAAAATCAGGCCTTTGCTTTTCTGCCACTACTAAAGCCTTGAGATCCTGCTTCTCTTTTTCGCTAGGAAGGGTGTTGGCCAGGCCCACTGCGAGGTTTATGGCAGCCTTTCGCACACCGATGAAAGCTTGTGGCGGCACTGTCGCAGGAAGACACACCAACGTTCCTAGGTTAGCTCTCTTGCTAGTATCCTCTTCGGAAGATGGAGCACTGTTTGAAGCCGTAGAAACTTCAGATATCAATGTTTCTAGACTTTCAGCACTGAGTGGCTCCTTCTGCGTCGTCTCTCCATTCTGCATTCCTGCATTGTTCGCATTCTGTACCTCCATCATCAAACTTGCCAAACCATCCTGCAACTTCAATCGTGCGTCGTGGACTTTGGCGCGATAACAGAACAATTGACCTTTTCGTTCGTCCCTAGCACGATCTTCTGGCGAGAGTTTGTTCGCGAAGTAGTCTGCTAGAGTAGACTCCAGCAAAGCGGGATCGATAAACGGGATTAAGGTCACGCCACCCCAAGGCACCTTGACGCCGTCTGTGTCGACCGGGAAATCTGAGGGGTAGAAATGCGCGATCGGGCTGCCTTCTACGAAGAGTTCGCGCAGAGGTTCTGGGACCAGATTGGCGGATGCGGCAGGTAGGACGGACATCAACTGGGTCAAAGGCGAAACTGGGCCAGAAATTCCTTTTTCCTGTAGACTGAAATATTCCATTTGCTTCAGAGCAGGCAGATCAATGATTTCGAGTTCGCGACGTCTGTCTACTTCTACCTCTGACATTGTATTCGTGCTGTTCTTTTTGGAAAGAGTCGTGGACGTTGTCGGTGCCACAATTGTTGTTGTAGTAGAAGAAGATGTCGCTTGTGTACCAGCTGCTTCTAATCCTGTTGCGCTAGCACTCCCACTCTCATCTTCTAACGCTAACAACTTTGAGGTCGAAGAAGCCTCTACCTGTCCGCTCGTTCCACTGCTTTTGAGATTCTTTATCGTCCTCAAAGGCCAACAAATCGCCGCCTTGTCGTTCTCCACTACCTTCGCCACCAAAAATCTGTACATATCCACGACGAGTGGTGCGTGAAACTCCTTGTAGAACCACGTCCAGCCACAACGGTCGGCGCCTCGGAAGTAGTAGTAGACGACCCACTGCAGGCCTTCGAGGTAAGCGTTTGCTATGTCGAAGATACGCTCAGAATGTTCTTTTGCTGCTGAAGCTGAAGAAGTTCCACTTGCACCATTTCCATTCTCCAACACCTTGTTCTTCGTTGTATCCCCGTTCTCTGCACCAAAAAGATCCTCGTCGTCGTCTTCCTCATCCATCCCAACGCCTAGTCCTGCCATTGCCGCTCCCAGACCAAGAATGTCGTCATCGTCGTCATCTCCCATGGGTGCACTGAGAAGCTTCTCCAGTTCTGTTGCTGCGTTTGAGGTGCTAGAGCCAGGACCCTCAGCTTCAGCAATGGTTGCACTATTTTCAGAAACTTCATCCTTGTTAGATACCTTTGCTGAACTACTACCTCCTGGAATCACTGCCCTGACAGCAGACGATAGTTGTGAAGTGAAACTACTAAACAATCCCTGCTTCTTGGTTGCTGTTGTAGATTTTGTTTTTGTGCTGTCTTCTGAGTCTACTTTTTTGTCTTGATGTTGCTTCTCAGGCACTTCCGAATCGACAGCGGCACCACCTCCCCCACCAGTAGAAGATGATGTACCCGACTCAATAGCCAAGGAAGAGCTACCAGGTGACGGCGCAGGCAACACTAGAGATGTCGTTTTGCCACTGATTGTACTACTTGTTCTGATGATCTTTGATGGACATGGAGATGAACTGCGCATTTTGGCTACCTCTATTTTTTTCTCCTCGAAATTCCTGTACCCTTTTTGCACGTGGACACGTGCAGCTTCAACCCGCTCTTCTTCGTAGAGGTTGTGGAGATTAGAGGAATCATGTTCATGTTCTTCAAGTTCAACATGGAACTACGTTATAATAAACTTTGTCTAGTACTATCCGACAAACTACACAAAGAACTACAACAAGCTCAACGTATGAAAGCTTTTCCTTTCTTCCTCGACGTTGTGACAACTTTAAGGCGAACTACTGCAGTCATGTCCTTCTCCTTCTACTTGTACTTGTTAACCCATTTCCTGTATGGTTCTGGTATTTGGTAACCTGAGTTTGATCCTAAGGGTTCTCTTCTTGTTTTCCCTTAGGATCAAATTCAGGTTACCAAATGCCAGAACCTGAACCATTCATTTCCTCCATAACCAAAGCTCTCCCGCCTCCCTTCACCGCACCTTCGCTCACGTCACCCGACAATTGTTCCGAGAAGTTCTCCAATCCGAATTTGACCCTATACCATTTCGACCGGATGTCTCCCATGGTACGACAGGGCTTTTTATCCGGTCTTGGCAGCAGCGCTTCTAGCCTCTGTGCATCAGGTCCTGCCATCCGCTTCATTCCTAGGATGTAGGAATCTCCTTTCTTGACGATGTTGGCCATAGACAAGATTTCACGAGCTGCCGTTAGAGATTGTTGACTTGCTTGTGCTACGTACGTATGGCTGGGCAGTTGAGAGCCAGTCGGTTTTTGACAAGAATGTAACAAGCAGGCTACTCCGTGCGAGTTACGTGAGTCTGATTCTGTTGGAACAAGGGACCCCTTTTTATAGCAACTGGCTGGCACCACTCATTCTCCTCAACAACAAAGCATGATAGATAGTTAAAAAAAAATCATATTCATGGCCATAACAAAACAAGATCCAGGAAGAGCAGGAAGTTTCCCCAGTCGATCTGGCCACAGTTGTACACCAGGTAACGATTCCTGTCTGGGTATTTTTAGAGAAGTGCAACTGAAGAAAAGATCCACAAGAAGAGGAATAAGTTGTCAAGGCACAAGGAGAAGCAGAAGTACAAGGAGGGCTGGTCATTAATAAAAAGTCCTTGTCCTGCTAGTACAACTTAGTTACTACGAAATAAACAACTCATCTATCATGTCCTCTTCTAGCATGAGTTTAGAAATGCATAATTTGGATCTTCTCCCGTGGTGCCGCTTCGCACCGATAACATTTTCTGCAAGTATTCCTTATACGCTGTGAAGATCCCCTTCAGGCTTTTCATGTCGCAAAACGGAAGGTGCGGCAGGAAGTCGTTGCCTACCATGGCGCAAATGAGAATGAAGTCTTCGAGAACGCGCTCCAGATCGTAATAAGGTGAGTCATGGACGCGAAACTCCATATCCATGTATTCTCGTAGTAATGCAAGATGCAAAAGTTGGAAACGGCCCTCTTGCATCATCAGTCGCTTATTGTTCTGCGTGTTTGTAACTGCACGAGTGAAGACCTGGGTGCGGGTTTTCGATTTTTATACTTTTCTGAGCTTTTGAGTCACTCAGTCAGCACGCGGCGCCGGCTTCATCTCTCCAACATAATTAAAAAAAATAAGCCTACAAAAACAAAACGAAAACAAGCGCCAGATATTTATATAACACTCACGCCATCAAACAAAGGAGCCCAGGCGGGCAGGCACGCAAAGAAGAAGCGCCCCCTCCCACGCCGAAGAGTAGGCGAGCCGGCAGCCAGTTGGTACTGCGGGACATTCAGTCCGACGAGATTGCGACGGGCTTGCGATACTGGCCGCTTCACTTAGCAGCACCACACAGCAAACCACCCACGTCAGCAAGGTCCCGCACCGTGCCCGCAGGCAGGAGGGGGCTTCACGCAGCAAGATCAGCCCAGAGCGAAGCCGCCGTTGACCAGCCAGCGCGTCATGTCCATTACCTCCGCGCGCGTTTCCATAGTCGCACGCACCGGAGGCCTTGCCCACGCCGTGCCATCCAGGAAGTTGAGGAAATTGCTCTGCATGACAATCCCCATGACGTGACCTGGAACAATGCAAAGGGTGCCCCCGTCTACGATTCGCTCCCCGGCCATCGTCTGGCTTGGCCTCACGCCGCGCCGCACGTCTGTACTTGCCGCCCAGGTCTGGGCTGTTCCATCAGTGGCGAGGCCAGCAGACGTGTTCTGCGCGACTGTGCTCACTGATGCGACCAGGTGGCGGCCTGCTGCTAAGGCGCTAGTCTCAGGCCACATCGTTGCGCATTGCCGTGCCTTCCCTTGTGCCGTGCTGAAGTCAAGTTGGCAACCCGGTCCCGTCTGCCGCTGCATTCCATTCCATGATAGACCGGCGTAGGCCCTTCCGCTTAGTTTTTTTAAGACCCCCTCCAAGGCTGACGCGATGCACTTTTTGCGGCGTTTCTCTTTTTGCTTTGTCCTCGAGGGAATCCGCTGGGTGGAGAAAGAAAGCACAAGAAGCACCCCGCGGAGCGCACCACTACAATTTGCCCCCTTCGTCTTGGTCTCCTTCCCAGCCTCCTGGCGTTGCTGCTGCTCCAGCGTTGTCTTCTCCCGCCGCAAGATAGCTCGCCAACCAAGCAAAGAACGAAAACGAAGCCCACCGATAAGAAAAATGGGCTACGTGGCTGCACAAGCACAGACCGAGACAAAGCAAGGAGACCCCAGCCAGACACGCGCAAGCCCTTCCACCGCGCCCGTCTCTGGTTCCATCGCGCCCGGCGCTGGTTCCCTTGCATGCCCTTCATTCTGTCTGACTGAGCAAGAAAAAAGCGCGCGAAACCGCTCGCCCATAATCTCACGCCTCGCGGTGTCGGTGGCCTCACCAGCCCAGCCCGGTGCGCTTGCTCACCTATCTCACCCACCCAAATCCAAAAGGCTGCAGCGTCTGTTGCTGATCCACAAGCCCCGCCAGTCTCAGCTGCATGGCCGACGACTAGCGACAGCCTACGAACGAAGCGGGCTCAACTTGAAAAGAAAGCGCCGACCGCCGACAGACCAGCGCGCGGCCCCTCCCAAAATGCAAGGCCGGCAAACTGCACCACCGGCGCCAAGGCGGTGGCGGCGGTGCCTTCGTATGATAGGTTTGCCCGTGGCGCGACCACTCTCCTGTGGTTTCGCCGGTCCGTGAGGCCTACCCTGCACCCGCGCAGATATGGGGCGCCTCGCCTGCCATGGCACGGCCGTCCGAAACCAACGGGCCACCCGCTACCGAGCTCGTGCATGTCTGGGCGTCCGTTTCTGTCCGCGGACTGACTTCGCGACGACACGCAACGGAGTCAATTGCAAAAAGCCAGCCACTAGCCTGACCGCCGGGGGCGGGTGGTGACTGATACCTGCCAACGCCTGGCTTCGACTGTGGAACTCCAGCGAGGCGATACAAGTCACGCGCGGGCTCGGTCTGCATTCGTGGCGGCATCCCCTGGTTGTATTTTGAAGCGAAAGAGCCGAGAACCCTACACCCTGAGGCCTGTGCTGCGTGGGTGCTAATCCGTCTGTCAATGCCGTCACTTCTCCGCGCGCGGGTCGTCACCGGGCGGGGCGTGGGCCACCAGGTAGAACGACACAGCCGCGCGCACTCCTGGCACAGCCGACGCGTCTGCCAAAACCGGGCCCGCCCTCCTCCGTTCGTCACCGTGATGAACCGCCAGCGTGAGAAGCTGGCCGCTCCCCGAGGCGGCTCTCGCCGGTACTCACTCGAAGGAGAACCCTATGAAATCAAAGAACTGAGTCAGCCCCGACCACGACGGCGTTATTAATGAATAAGTATAGAGATACTTATAGGGAGAATAAAGTATAGTTACCACTTCCTCTCGTAAAAGCGAGAATTTGATCTCGTGCGACACAATCGCGAGCATGATCAAGTCCGCGTCTAGGCCGTAAAAACAGTGTCGCGTATCTGGATGGAAGTTCTTCTGTGCCTTACTACATCTTACGAAGTCTATCATCTTGTGTTCGCCTTCACCTGGGACCTCGCTCCCTGAGAAAATGAATTGCTCGCACTGTCGCCATCTTGGGTCCGTCTCTAACTTCTGCAGGATGAAAAAATTCAGTTGGTAACTCAATCTCTGCATAAATGGCGTCCCAGGTGTAATCGCATTCCGATCAAACTTCCACTTGGTCTTGGTTGTACTTCTAAAAGTGCTACTACTTCCGATTGCATTTGCAGCAATGCTTGACGAACTAGTGCTTAAACCAGCTGCAGTTGCAGAAGCGGGACTAGTTGTGGTTGCAGAAGTTGTCGAGTTGTCAACGGCCTTTGAAGTATCTACTTTGAAGAAATATTTCTCGTTTCTCTCTTTCAATTCTGCAGCTTCCCTTGTGTCGTTGGCTGAGCGAAACCGTCTCGACCTCTGCTGGTTCATCTTCGCTCTAGGGGCTACACCGTCCAATGCTAAGTATAACAAACGCTTTGGACGGATAATCCCGAATAAACGACTGATGTACGCAAAAGCTTGGAGAAACATCTCCTCTTCGCTGTTTTTAGAGAAGTGTGAGTGTCGGCTAAAGCTAGCATTTATTGTAAGAAAGACGCAAGGAAATACGTCCCTTGTCGAATTTTACTACTGAGCTTATCCTTCTAGGAAAACTAGAAGTCTGCCCTCGCATACGACCAAAGAAGGCTTCTGAAGGAAAGAGGTGTAAGATCTAAATTTTATGCCTGACAGCTTTGTTGAATCTTTCTTGAGTTTGATAATCTTTTAGCCATAATAGCAGACGTCGGAATCGTGTTATGAATGATGCCGTTCATGTCCAAGTAGAGGCAATCGAATTCTGGGATTTGACTCTCTAAGATTGTCTCATTCAGAAGCGGATATCGCTCCGCGAGCCAACGGTAGAAACGAGGAATGCCCATCTTGTTTGTGGTGGTAATAGTTGAGCTGCTAAGTGGATTAAGTAAGTAGATCAAGAATGAGAGTCGAAAATAGAGAGAAGTGGTTGAGCTAAGAATAAAATCAACGATGATTGAAGTGAAAAATAGAGAGAATCACAATAACTCCAGATGACGACGAGAGTCAGATTCAGATATCCAGATAAAGATAGAGAAAGTCAATACTCAAGCATGGGGAAAGGCGTCGTGCTACTCTCTTCTAGTAGTCGTTTCTATTTCATATTTTTTCTCGTAAGAATTTTGAAAGGTTGATTTACTTCGTCAAATTTGATGTATCTTCAGATAACGAAACAATATATTATATTGTAAATTGATTGAAATAACTCTTGCTAAAAGCTAAAAACCAACCAGCAGAAAAGATGAAACAAAACGTCGTAGCAAAAAAGCTTCAATGGTGGTGGTGCAATCGTGAACTCCTGTGCGTGGGGTGTGTGCATTTTATGAAAATTTTTCCTAGCTACAGCTTTGAACGATAAAAACGAAAATCCGTCGACAACGCGCTGCTCACTCTTCTCTTATCGTGTTTGTAATTGTACCTCTTAGAAGCAAGATATTAAAGGAAGTTGATACGATGAGTATCAAAGTCTAGAGGATATTTGTTCCCTCTCGACCGAGCACCCAGCACGGATACTGCTACGTATACGGAGCGATTACAAATGGTTTGTCATGTCATGGCACCTCTTTTGTGGCTATTATTGTCTACTTTCGCGTATTAAGGTTTTCGCTGCGGTAAAGATACATATGTTGATAAGAACATGTTCGATTCCATTCTGGCAACATCCATCATTCAGTGAACATGATGAGCCCTATGGGTAATAGGTTCGTCCCCACGGAGAGATGAGGCGTTCACCTCAGAATCAGATCGTCCTTTTTTGCACCACTTAATTCGTGTAAACATCTTTTGTCATGCAAGTGTCTACTTTGAGACAGATAACGAGTCTGAAAAAAAATATGAGTCGTATCATCTATCAACACTGATTTCATGAAGATCCTCTAAGTATCTTAAGCTCCTTAAGGAGTGTTGTACTAAATCTTCTACCACAACGTAGCTCGCCTACGGTGGAAATAACAATAAACAGCTACTACCTAGGATACTAACAGGCCGCACACCTCACCAACAGAGAGAAATTTACAATAGTTCAGCTTCAGCTGCTGCGTATTGCAGGAATGAAGAGATATTTAACGAATACTCTACCTGGTTTAGAAATAGATCGCTGTCCTCAGCATCTTTATTCGCGCTTTATATGTTTCTAATTTCTGACTCTACACCCAAAGAGAGTAAAACTTCGTTCATCTTGGTTTGGTATTCCAATTGAATATTCTGTAAAAGTATTAGGAGACGCTTTATTGACCACTAAATCCGTAATATCTTGTGCGACTTGTACCACAGTCAGCCTGTTCTTGATACTGCAAATCTCTGCAGTTTATGAATCACTATGAAGGATGTTTCAAGACAAAATTGAGTATGAGTCAGCAACTATATGACCCAAAAAATTATTGTTGTAAGTTTGGTTTTTTCCTACAATGAAGTGCATGATGAAGATATTACTGTAAGAAGATAAATTACCATGACTACTTGATCGTTCTGTATTATACAGCTATAGCTGGAAAAAAGGTTGTTGTAAGAAGAGATTTTATTACCGCGCCCGACTACCTTCATTGCGAAAATCCCTCACGCATCTCTACGAATCGCACCAGTCATCGCAGCGGGACCCGCAAAATGAGTTCGAAGACTCGGAGATCGACCTCGAAAATTCAACAATGGGCGAATTGGGCTCACCCCCCTTTGCATAGTCGCGTTTCGTGCCGCGCCAAGCTGGGTTGCGGCTGGGACCTACGTGAAACACAAGAAGAAGGATCATGGTCATGCATACAACACGTAGGGATGATAAAAATTCCTGAAAAAGTTACTTATCTGTTGCCACTGGTCTAAGGTTCTTACTAGAAAAGTATTGGACGTGGACCACGACCACAAATGCGTGACATATCGAGTAAAAATTACCACAAGCGGCCTTGTCGGTGTCGCCAACCCTGCACCTCCGACCGTTTGTTTAATGACTTGAGGCTCTCCCTTAGCAGCTCGTGGAGCACTAGCGGCTCGTGCTGGTGGTTGATAATGGGTCGTTGTGACGACTGTCTTTTGTGGTGGCGGTGTCTGCGGTCGCGCAGAGGTAGTGAGGGTACCTATAGGTGATCGGATCAAGCTTGTAGTTGATGCTTATTTTTGGCTTAGTAGGTTTGGCTTAGTAGGTTGGGTACGAAGTGAGCTAACACTTGTTATTCTGATTCACCATGATGGTCTCTCTTCTGGAACTTCTCCAAGTACACTGATTTCTACCTCCGGTTCTCCAAGTACACCGATGCACATCATGGCTACAGCTAATATCCTCAAATCAATCTTCTATCAGTTACTTCATCTACCTCCTCCCGCCGTCGTCACCGTCGACGTCGAACCAAATGTTGCTGGTGACGCAATAAATGGCGTCAACCTTCCTCCCGATAACGCGGTCGTGGTCAGAAGTCGAGGCTGCGCAAAGCCAATTCTTCCTAGACTCTGACTTCTGGGCGCTTGCGTCATGTGTGGCGTCCCCGCTTGGGACATATTGGGACTAGCATTGACACTAGGCACAGCGTAGCGAGGTCTCGAGTCTGTTCTTGTGTAAAGCGCTGATCCTGACTGTTGTTGGGTAGAAGTAGTTCTTGTCGCAGTGGTGTTAGCGTCACCTCCTCCGAGTGTCGTTGGTGGAACACCTGAGGAAGCTCCACTTTGTTGTTCACTACCTGAACTCGCGCCACTAGCTGACGTTGACGAACTACCTCCTCCCGCAGAAGTTGTTGCAGTAGTGCCAGATACAGAAACGCCAGCAGTCGTGCCTCCAGCTGGCATTTTGATCGCAATGCCCCTTGTTGGAATCACAGCTTGAGCTCTTCCCGGTCTACCTAGACTGAGGTTTCGTGGCCGCCATTCTTGTCGCGGACCTCCACCTATTGGAACGCCAGTCAGGTTCAAAGGTCTCCCTGCTGGCATGATCAATGACGTCAGGGGTCTACCTGTGGACGCAGATGACGAGGCTCCTCCTGCTGTAGAAGTTCCATTCACACTACCAGACAAGACACTAGATGATAACGCTGGCGACGGTGTAGTTCGACTGGGTAAACCGCCAGAAGAAGAAGAAGATGTTGCCGAAGCTGAAGTACCTCCAGAGGATGAAACTATCTGAGGTGCTGGGTTCAAACTGGCGGAGCGTGCTCCTCCAGCTACTCCTGATGTAGTTGTAACTCCAGTAGATGTTATGATGTTGTTACTAGATGAAATTCTTGTAGCACCAGATGTACCCGATTGATGTTCCTGTTGTGATGGAGGGGAAGATGTTTTCGAAGAAACCTGTATAATACCACCTGCAAGCTTCTGTTGTGATATCACGGTCACTCCTGCGCCAGAGCTTGGTGGAGGCGAGGACACGACTCCTCCTCCTACAACACCTCCTCCAGACGAGGATGACATGAATAGAGCATTTGACGATGGAGATGAAGTAGCTCCGTGAAATGGTTGTACGTAAGTCGAACTGGATGATCCGCCGGATTGGAGTTGGCCGCGACCTTGCGCCAGAGCCATGGAAGAGGAGGAATTGACAGAAGCTGAAGCCATCAATGGATCTGCACTTGCGTCTCCAGGAGATGGCCTGATCACTAGTCGACCTGGTTCTCCTGCTGCACCAGTATAAGTAATTCTCGGTCCTCTACTAGGTGCTTCTTTGGAAGAAGCAGCGCTAGAAACGCCTGTACTAGAAGATGACGGACCGCCCGCACCTTCCTTTGCTGTAGCAGCTCCATTGCTGAGTCCAATCGACGCTGCTTGTGCTGCAGCAGGTGAAGACTGCGCGTAGAGTTTGTTCGCTGCCGCAGCGACTGTGCTACTCGAAGCACCGCTTGAGGCTTCTTCGGTCGACGAGCTACCACTTGCGGATGCTGAAGCTCCGACCGTAGTCGGTGACTTCACTACGAGTTTCATTCCAACATTGTTATTTCCGGGCATGTTGCTGTAATTTGTTGGACTTGGATTGTTCGTTGCGCTTGCGCCACTAGGAGGTGCAACAGTCACTGTCTGATCGCCAACGAGCTTCGCCATTCTTCCAGGTGTAGGTCCCGCACTCGCTGCTCTCCTATATCCACCAGATGCTCCTGAGGAAGCGGCAGAGGACCCACCTGCTCCACTGGTGGAACCCGACAAGCTGGCACCATAAGTAGCTTGTTGTGGTGTCTTCGTGTAGTGCCCGAATGGTGAGGGTTGACGTGAAAAGCCAATACGTGGACGAGTGAGGAAGCCGCTTTGTAGGTTGGTTGTAGTCACGGAGAGAGTGCCGGAAGAACCTGAGGAAAGGTGGAAATGGAAAGGATGATTTATATATATTTGCGGTCAACTATGAATGCGGTCTGCACTATAAAACTCTTTGTTCTTCTTGGCTTTCAAAGGTACATCTTCACAAGTTTGGTTTATGAAAATAAGTAAGTAGCAAGGGTTAGCAGCGAGCTTCTATACAGCTGTAAAACGAAAACTCTCGTAAGACTAGTACCAGGCACGCCAGCCGCAGCCGCCGATGGCGCCGCTGTTGGTGTCGTACTTGATGGTCCCGTTGGACTCGAATTTTTCGACGATGATGAACTCCCACCACCCTTATTGAGAGATGCTGGCAAAGTTTTCCGAAGTATCGTTGGCACGTTCTTAAAAGTGGACAAAATCATGGGCTTGATGCCCAATTTCATCAAAGTCGGCTTTTGAGAACTCGACCTCGTCTGAGATGTTCCCAGTGCGTCGTAAGTTTGACCGATTCGGGTAGGGTCGCTGCTTTGAGCTCTCCTGTAGGTGGTGCATTAATGTTGGGCTTGGGATTTGTGGAATTGGAAAGTTAGGAGTTTCACTTTCAGCAATATCAAAATTCTTTAATGGATTCTTAGAAAATGATTGAACAAATTGATTCGATGTGGGCAACACAAAAAGATATCTTCACGGAACAGGAAACAAAATTTACTCATAATATACCTAGCAGCTCCCGGAACTGCTCCTTCCGCCGCCGCTGCCGCGCGTTCCGCAAGCAACTGCTGTGCATTCGCAGATACCACATTTAGCAGATTCCCTGAATTTGTCGTACCATTCGAGATATTGCCTACCGCCGCTGGCGGCGCACCCACTGATGGCACTGACGACATCGTCATCAACTTACTCACACCTCCTGGAGCTGCCGCTGATGGATGTGGTACCGTCGTAGCACCACTACTCGAATGCGTCACGGTAGTTGCGCGATAGTTTGGCACGCGCTTTCCTACAGAAACCAACATATCGGTATAAAGTTCTCTTGGCGGCTTCGTTGCCTTGAGGCACTCCTCGATAGGATAAGTGCCGAAAACGGAGTCCTCCATTTCGACTTGCAGAGGACGGGAGAGATCTACAGAGTGTTAAGGAAACGGAAATGGCAAATGTTGGTAGGTTGTGGATGAAGATTTGTCGCGCTAAGCGTTACATCGAAATTTTTCTTACGAGGTCTCGGCAATTTTCATCATGGATGCCTGATCACTCTAAACTACGAACAATCAGTAATACCATCCAAAGACTGGACATTCTGAGGCGGATCATTCTCCATCAACTGTCTGCCGTAGTCGCTGCTCTGTGCGCCCTCCACAATCACGGAATTCACTTCCTCCTGAAGCAACTTGTTGCAGAAGGAGCAGAACAAATCTGTCTTGATCAAGAGGTTGAAGTTCAGCCGTTCCAAAACGAAATGCTCTAACTTGTTCAGCTCTCTGGTCGTCAGGACTGGGAAGAGTTTGGCGAGAGAGGAATTTCGGACAGGCTTATCCTCCCACTGCTTGTCCGCCATAAGGAGCGTGACTAGCGACATGAAAGGGGGCTAGAAGAGGCTGAGGATGAGGATGTGGTTTGATGATGATGGATTAGCAATGAAAGTGAATCCAGTATGAATATTATTGACAACTTGAACTTCAACTTCGAACCATAAGAAACAACGGCCTCCATGTCGTCAGATGCAGCGTGATGTGCGACAGCTCCTTAAACCGCGAAAGGTATATGACACTGCAGATAAACGCCGACACTGAGAAAATCCCCTGGTGCAAGATCGACAGAATGAAGCTAGATATATGCAGTGCTGACCGGTCTGTGATCGAACTGCGGAAGACTTCTTGTAATTCAGGTTTGTCGTGGTACTGAATCTCCCAGAATAACTTGAAAGCCTCGTTATTCGCCATTCTGTTGCGGACATCTTCGTCGTCCCTGAAAGAAGCGGAGGAAAACCAAAACTCATACTTAACGTCAAATGACAATTTGTACGTTGTGCGTAAGTGATATTGTGCTTGTAATTTCTAGAAAATTTCTCGAGTAGAACAAGACCATCAATCACATTACCTGATATGCCTATAGAAGAAGTTTATCGCCGAGCACAACAACTTCAGCTGCAATGACGTGTACTTCTGCGTGCCGTCGAGTCTTGCTAATCTGGCAAACAGACCACTTTTTGGTCCCGTTCTAGCACCACTCGTCCCACCCATGACGACTTCATAGGTTTTATTTTCCTGTTCTTGTTTCTCCTCTTCGGCGCCATTTTGGGCAACGGCTACGGCGTCCTCGGGTGAGGCAACTGCCTGGACGCCGACTGCCATTTTTGGTTGCTGGTTGGAGTCGACTAGTACTCAACTGGAGACACTTCTCTGCTGATGCGACCTGCTCGTTTTGTTGTGGACACCCCGATCGCTGCCCACTGATCGCAGTCGCCTTCTGGATCCTCGTCAACAGTAGTGAGAGAGAGACAAGAGCGGAGTGCGCCTGCTGTTCGAAGCTCAGCGGAAAATGGAGGAATTGCACATGTTCTTTCCCGTATCAAGCTAAGCCTAGGAATATTGGCAGCTAGTTCATGCTGTTATTCTAATTGTCCCCTAAGAATGATGATATATGTCCCCGTAATATTCGTTGGTAGTCGTTATCTATATGAACTTGAATAGCCAGAAAAATTAGGTAATAGATACCAGTAGCTACTAGGCACGATTCAGCCATAGGCTCCGAAAAATGGACTCGATTAGAGACGCATCGACTTTATTTCGAAACCACTCTTGCAAATTTCCACCTCTCTTTGTCCCTACAACGACGAAAACCAAGGAAGGAATGACAAAAATTGCATAAGTAGTACGAAAAAATGCGAATTCGATCTCGGTCGAAATTGACACCCGGCGATGTACTACTAGTACTGTCACTAGTACTAACTCGTATCGGTATTATCCTATGTAGTTTACTCTCCTAGCTTGTTTGCTACATGTTTTATCTGTTTTCCTACTTTGTGCAGTCGCCTTTTTGCGGATGACGTAGGAGGCAGAGGAACACCACCCACCGTTCGAAGCTTCACCAGAAAACGGAAGAAAAGCCGAGCTTTTTTCATAGTCAAGAAATGACAACATCGTCGTTTCCTTATGCATTAAACGTCGTGTGTGTTGATATGCACATAAAAATACGTTAATCGGGATGTAGTTGCAAATGCTCGGCGAAAATTGTAGGAGGTGTGGGAATGTAGACTGCTACGTCGTTTTTGGTATCGGTAAGTGGAGGGGTCGAGTAATTTTGTTGCTTAGTCCTCGACGTTGTAGGTGGTGGTACGTACGAACTGATATGTGAGTTGCAACACGGACAAGGGGAAGCGTGTTCGTAGCTCGACGAGAGGAGACAGGAAGTCAGAGGTCGACGTTTGAAGGTGGTAAGGCATGAAAGTTTTGTTTGTAGCAGGGCCAGCAGGGTCTATGCACATACTCTGCGTGTCCGTGTCCGTGTTGTTGACTACACCTGCTGGTGTGTTCTTACGAACGTAGCATGATGAAAATTCTACAGTTCGCATTTGTCAGGGTATTCTTTTTGCTCAATATACATCATCTTGGAGGGAGAGCAGGTTATGCAAAACTGAGTCTCAGAGGGAGGTTATTGCAGAACAGATCATCTACTACGGGTCGTATTTGCGGTTTTTCTTCTTAGGTATCCTTTTTTTGTTACTTTTCAATGTTTTTTCTTAATCAAACTATGACATTTAGGAGTATGCAGGGGACTACCAACTGGTCGCTGCGTAGCCTCACATGACATTAGCTGTTTATACGTGTAGCTGTGCGTGTCGTGGCGGTCGTGTGAACAAGAAGATGAATTGTGGAGCATAAAATTCTTATGCTGATAGTCTTGTACATGACAAGAGGTGTCTCAGCCACAGCCTATCTTGGTTCATAAATGAGTTAAGACACTGTAGAAGTCCTACTTAGCTGTATAATGAATTTTCTTTACAAAGTACAACTATGCGAATGTTGTTGTTATTGTTCTGTCTTGTTCTTCGAAAGTTCATCCAGGATTAGACATCGATTTTCTTAGTTTGAAAAATACACCTGTGTTTCTTGTTCTAGTTCTACTCACTCTTGAGAATGAAATAAACGACCAAGTATAAGACTTTATCAGGTAGTTCGATAATGAAGAAAAAAGACAACAATATCAGAGACAAAGGTTTTACACTTTGAGCTTGCTGGTTTGTTAGTTACGAATGTTTGAAGTTCAAGACTGATGAGTTAGATTGTCAAGATAGGTAACAGGTAAAAACTCAATGAGATTGTATTTAGTACTGAAGACAGCGATAGGAGTTGTTCGAAATTGATTGAAGTCAGCAACTACGAGAAGTTGTGGTCGATAAATGCACGCTTACACAAGAGGAATTCTTCGAAAAAAAAATTACAAGCAGGACGAACTACAGGACGAACTTTTTTTCAATTTTTAATTTCGTTTAGATGAACTAGCTGAAGTCCCCGTCCTCCTCCAGCCCACTTCTGCTCCCTAGTATGAAAACTAGAGAACTAGAAGCCCCTCCTCCACTACAACTATCGCTATCCTAAGTACTAGTAAGAAGTACATACTTACTAGTTAAGTAGTACACCTAGTACTTATTCAAGTTGATGTTGCAATTAGTTAAGTAGTACACCTAGTACTTAACACCTAGTACTTATTCAAGTTTCAGATAAGCAGTACACCTAGTACTTAACACCTAGTACTTACACCGAGACCTAGTACTTCTTATTATCAAGTTGATGTGTACACCTAGTACTTAACACCTAGTACTTCTTATTCAAGTTGATGTTGCATCAACATCGATATTCTAGATCATATCATTTGCTGTTGGAGGTAGGTCTTCTGGGATCTCGAACTTCTTGTGGATTGAGCCGAAGCGCTTCTTCTCACCGCGCATCCACGTGCCGAGACCCACTACTAGGGCGACGGCCACCAATGCGAGACTCGCGATGAGCCAATACTGTTGAGAATCGAGGCGGGTTGTTCTTGTCGAGGAGTCGAAATCACAATGGAGTGCTTGGAGATCGATAGTAAAAATAGTGAAAATAATTTATTACAGAGTGTCGAATACAATTGTTTCTGAATTGATTCAAGAAAGACTTATTTGTGCCACGAGTGTCGAATACTGTTTCTCAGAAACTTGATTCAAGAAAGACTTATTTGTGCCACGGAGTAGATAAAGACTTCAAATCCAATTCCAACTCCAACATCTTCCGATTTGAAAGATAATACCTGACTCTCCGTGGTATCTGTCTTGACTTCGTGTGCCACTTCTTCGACCGCTTTGGTCTTGCGTTCCGCGCGTCGCTGGTTGACAAACGAAATGTGTGCCGTGTTCATAGTGAGCTGAGACTCCGATGCTCGGGTTTCTGTGGGAGTTTTTGGATGGACGTAAATGATCTAAGTTCTTGCCCTTGTTGAACATAATTATGAAGAGAAGCTAGATCGTTGCTTTTTATAACTACACTGAGTGATTAAAAATGTACTACTCAGCATTGACCACTGAGTGATTAAAAATGTACCACTGAGTGATTAAAAATGTATAACATCAAGGTTAATGTACTACTCACCAACTACTTAGATAGCACAAGCACAACAACATCAAGGTTAATGTACTACAACTCACCACCTACTTAGATGAATACTCACCACCTAGACCTACTTAGATGAATACAGATCATCAAATCATTCAGAGACGAAACGGAGCAACAAGTAACTACGTCTCGTCGTCACCATTGGTTCACCGTCTGCATCTGACACCTCACCATCTGAATCCACCGCAAAGAAATCCTCCAGCAACTTCTTCTTCTTCTCCTGGTCTTAGAGGAGCTTTCGCGAATTCATTTCCTAGTGGAAACTACCTCTCTACTGTGAGTGAATCTTCCAAGGAAGAAGGTGAAGGATTCATTCCGAGAGAGTCGGTGTTAATGAAAGAGTCTTTCTTTGAAAATGGATCATCACAAGAAAGAGCCATAATGTTTCTTCTCGGTAGTGGTATTGCGTTTCAGGTTGTGGGTCTGAAAATGGCGTTCCATCTCCATCTCAAAATTGAAGTCTGGATCGTGCAGAAGCGTCGAGTTCGGATGGTTTCGGACCTGGAAATAGTTATCATACTGAGAATCCATGGAGGAAGGCTTAGAGTCCCAGTTGGGAAGGGGTTACATGATAACGCGATGAAGAACATCTCAGATGCAAAATGAATGTATCTGGTATTACAAGTCCGAATAATTTGCTACTACTTCGTAACTTCTAAGCATCTTCTTCTCAATCTATGTTTATGCAGTATCCGTCTCATAAAGTCATGCATCAATCCTCCTTCGTGCTGCTGCTCAGTGCCTCGAGAGGACGTAACATGATGAGGCGGGTGTTCGTGCTCGTGCTTCTTCATTTTAGAGCGAGCTCAACACATTATAATTCATCTACATTTTCTTTTGAGGGCAGCACCATCTTCCCAGCCTCTAACACGGAAACATGCAAAGAAAAAATGAAACTCTGTTTAGCTGTGTGAACGTGAAGAACAATCTATCAAGATGATGAAAGAGTTATCATTTACCCAATTACGAGCATGGCCATTAAATTAATCTAAACCCTGTTTTATATAATCTACATGCTTTCCTTTTTTTGCTTCTTCTAGTTAGGTTGGCTCCATCCCTATTATGATAATGAGCCTTAATCAATCGTCGTGGCTGATCGCTATGCTCTTCTTCTCCTGGGATGTCACTGCTGTGTTCACTGTCCCGACGATGCTGCATCACCAAACTCGCATGCTGGAGTGCTGGCTTCACGGCAGATTCATCGTGGACTGCATTACCGTTGGAATCGGCGGTTAGAGGGAGATAGTAGAGGGAGATGCATAGTTTGATTGGAGTAATACTAGTCAACTTCATTTATTGCTAAGACTAAGTGCAACTTCTACATCCTATGACAGTTTTCATCGTCATCTTGCACTCCATCTCGTGCTACGTGCCAGTGCCACCGTCTTCTACATCTACATCCTAAGATAGTGCGTGGCCAGCAAAATAAATCTCTGTACAACCTGTAGAAGAAACATCAAGTAGAACAAACATCAAGTAAGAAACCTTCTAGATCTTAACTTGAAGACAAACGCCATTTTCCCATCTTTCTTTGGTGCGACGGCTGCACCCCCCGCATTTGCTGGATCGGCCAGTGCTGCTTTTGCGCACGAAAGACCGAGGATGACGCTCGTCAGAGACGGCTTTTGGGCAGTCTTCATCCTTCTCGAAGAAGAAGATGCGGAACTGGAGATGAACATTTTGGTGAGTGATCAGTGCTGATCCTGATGTACTAGACTTCTTGCTTCTGATTTTCGTGGTACGAAAATGCGATGTCTTTCTTGCCTGTTGTCCTCAATCGTTCTTGAGGAGCGTGGCGATCGTTTTCTAATGTTCGGTTCTCCTGCACTGGCAGCCTGCTTGTATTCCTCGTTGGTACTTTTACTTGATTTGATGATGTTGATGAAGAGCAACTCTACTTGTTCTTACGTTGATAAGAAGTTTCGAGACATCAACTGATTTCCTTCAAGTCGAGCTCTAATATCGTCGCGTCAACCTCCGATCACGTTGACGATCCGTCTCCGTGATAGTGCTGTTGCCGAAATACTTCAATCTTTTCAAAACGAAACTCCTTTCTGTAGCTTTGTACTACTTAGTTGTAACTTATACGGAACTTGATTCCGGTGAACTTTGGAATTTTCTCTATAAAAACCGTGTGCCTAATCCTTGTAACTTTCGAGCTATGAGGTTTTTCATTGGAGAAGAAGATGTAAGTCAGTGGATTGATTCATCTTGTTCTTTTGTGGAGTCAACGTAAGTACATATTAAGTAAGATAAAGTATTACTATCAGACGCATTTGCATTTCTGCATTGATGAGAAATATCAACTCTTATGCCTTTGCCTTTGGCTCCATTTTGTGTCCGTTTTTCCCGACGATGGGAACAACAACGATGCATTCTCTCAAACCGAAGGATCTCGTCTCTACCGCTTCCGCCCACTCTCATTCAAAAAATGCAGTCTCAATTCTAACGACCCGAAACGAAAAATCGACTGCGGCGATGAAAACGAAAACATCAGCTTGCGCTTGCAGCAAAAAAGTGCATATGTTGGTCACGATAGCCAGTCTCCTCATTCAGGCAAAAACTGGAATACTCAAGCATGACCGACATATTCTTGTTCCGAGAGACACATTGTTCTCATTTTTGAATCGCAGGGGCTCCCTGGTGCAACAATGAAGGGTAGGGTTGCTTCCTTTTACAGATTCAACGAAAAATCCTGCTTCGTTCCTTGTACGAAAAAAACGAGTACCACGACATTGAAAAGTTCGCGTTTTTTTCTGTCAACGAACAAGACAAAGAAAACAAAGATTTTTCAGCTACGGCTCGCACACTTCCCATTCTCCCTAGACTACACAAATTAGCTGTAGCGGCAAGGAACCTCAACAAAAGTTCCAGGAATCACCAAAACTTCCACCACGGTTTATCAGTCTCATCGTCGTCATCGACTAGCAGATTCGAATCCACATGATTGCCGCCATCTACGAACTGGCGGACACGAAGCTCGGTGTTGGAGTTACGGACCTGGGAGTGGGAGAAGTGATGTTTTCATAATGATCGATTGTCATCAATCCAAGAATTCGAACTATCCGAAGATTACTGATACTGTTGAGTAAATGTATCTATGAGATAACTTTAACTTATGCTTGCCTTCTGAACGTATTTACGAGGCCCAGGACTACGTCGACTACATCACAAGTCTAGTACATTCGTGATATGTTTTTTCCCGTCTCTGCTTGCCAAAAATGCTCGTAGCTTCTCCAGTTCCCTTTGGGTGTTTTCCTTCGAGCGTTTCTGCATTTCCGCTTGCGAAATGAATTCAGTCCGACCAACAGGGTTACTATTTGATTGTCTAGCCATCTGCCATGTCCACAGAAAATGCACCACTGTGTTTCCCGCTAGAAGAATTCCCAATATCGTTAAGTTCATCAAAGGAACTGTGGTACTTCGTAGAACGGAGATGATTCCGAAGGCGTAGATGCAGTACTGGAGGATTCGTCGTGCGGCATTGGTGCTATCTTCATCCGGGACCATGTCTACGCGGGCACCATTTGGTGCGATGAAAAACGGCACGTCGCCTGATATTTCCTCCATTGCTGAGGAACCGAAAACTTTTTGGCCGAGCCAGACACCGCCTAGAACTGCTATGCCGAGAAAAACTGCGCCGACAGGAAATTCGTAATACCTGTGGTGAGGTTCGAGACAAATCAAGAAGATCATCAAGACAGGAGGCTCGAGAAGAAAAATGTCATAACTAGAAGTAGTACGGATCTTTCAGCTGCGCCACTGTGGTCACCATTTGCGCTAGCATCGCAAACGATGGCGCAAACGTCTGGTAGAGGTACATCCCGACTGTTGGCGTCACCACCATCAACACATTGACCATCGCAAATGTCCTATTCCCACCCGGTACTGCATTCTTCGCTTGTTTCAGCATGTAGTACGCCACGATCGCCACGAACAAGCCTAGCCCCATGAGTCCTCCGAGAACGGTGTGGACGATCGCAGACCTGCCTAAGGGTTTGTAAAACAAAGTGCAGAAGATGCCTGCGAAGAGAAGGATGACGCGCATGCCGTCAACCTGGACTATCCAGTTCGCCTTCAAGTCAGCTGGGAGAGAAGCGCCGGTTGGCGTTTCAAGGAAGAGGCATTGCGTAGGAGAATTGATCTCGCAAGCATACCGCATTTCGCCGGAGTCTTGGGTATTAGAGTAGAAGGTTGTAAAAACAACCTCTTGGTTGTGGTTCAAATGAGAATGACTTGCATGGACATACTACTTAAGTGTCAGAGGAGGACTGATAAGATTTTACTGTTATACTTGTTGAAAATTATTATCAGGATGCATGATGAACAAAGTTGAAGGATCACAACATGAAAACCTGTAGTTACTTGAACTTGTTAAAAAGATGTCAGTAGTAAACACGACATACAGCAAAAACAACAGAAGTCATAATCTTCACTCCACCACTTTCCAATAAGTCATCGTCCGTTTCAGCAACACTGTCCGCCTTTCCATCCTTGCTTGTCGTTTTTCCGTACTGCATATATGGCACACAGGGTGGCGCACAGCCATTGCTGCAGTCCTCACACATCAACGGTGCAAGTAGTTTCGTCACATAGTGATGAGCATGTGTGTGCAGAAACTGGCAGAGAAGGCCCTTTCTAACTGGGTTTCCGATGATGTGGAATGGCACTGAGGAAGAGGCTCCACCGCTCCCTCCGGCGCCAGCGAAGAAACCTAGGCTTTCACGCAGTTTCTTGTAGCCAGAAGTAGTGCTAGCAGCGGGCCATGAAAGCTGCAGCTCGAGTTTCTGCAAAGGCGTTCGTAGAACTGCTGGTGCACAGAGAGTTCTGCTATCGCCTGGAGAGCCTAGGACAGGATCTGTCGCTGCTGCGCCCTCTACTAGACATAGCGTCGAAACTGCTGCTAGGCAAAGGAACCTACAACTTGTCGGTCTTCTACAACTAGATGGAGAAGATCTTCTCGTCCTGGTGTTTGTAGTTGAAGTGGTTGGTCTCTGCTTGCTAGTGCTCGACCGCGACCCACCCTCCTCGCAACTGCGGAAGAACTGAGACGGAGAGAGGGAACTTAGTCCCATGATGTCGAGAAACATCTTTGCTTTTCCTAGAAGACTGAATCTACTAAATTGAGTCCTTAAGCTAAAAAACTACGGAAATAAAAGAAACTGTGAAGTAGCAAGACGAAGACTGAACCGTTCCAAAACCATGAAGAAATTGAAAAAAGAAGCTCAAATGAAACAAGAAGCTGAAAGTGAAAAAAGAAGCTGCAGTATCGTCTAGAAACAACCTGGCGTAGCCCCTTAGCCCTGCTTTTTCGGTTTTATTTCCATTTTTGCCACTTAGTTGAATACGCATTCTCATACATGATAATTTGTTCTGCGATCTACAAGTCTGGATTTGTCTTCTGAAGGACACCCTTATAAATAAGGTTGCCCGCTCTTCTTTCGTGTGCTCTTCATTCTTCAGCAGGGTCATTCAAGGATGATAGATGGTGCTGCTGTTCATGACAATGGAATTCTTGAAGCTGAGATAAGATGAAGGAAACCAACAACGATAGATAGTACCAGAGTGAAAATATTTCATAGGTGAAGATATCACATACTGCATGTTGATGTTACCGCGAGCAGCATGTTAGACCACATCAAACACGAAACATAGCTCAAAATAAATACTAAAATGACTATTCTACTCGGTCACATGTGCACTTCATTCATTCTTGGTATTACTTTTCGATCGACAACATCAGCAAAGCATTTCGTTAGACCGGAGATGCCTTGTGAACGCCTTGTGCATGTACCAAATCCCCTGAATCAATCTTTCTTGCGCTGAAAACAGAATGACATAACAAGTGAAAATACTTTGTGATCCCAATGGTTCCTTCCCTTGGTTGTAATGTAATAAACTGAACTGTGGATGTAGTAAGTTGTGATTCATTGTTTGTCTTTGTTGATGAAATGAATTCAAATATAATGTAGCTCCCCTTTGTTCCTTCCCCCTCTCCCACTAGAAATTCCTTTTCCATAATCTTTCTCGAAGCTACTACTGAGTGACCTATCATCAAAAAACATAGCTCTGTACAAATGAGAATATGGGTTCGTTATTACGTCGACAACGTGTACTTATTTAGTTGGGGAAATCATTAGAGACGATAAATATTGCTACAATCGATAGAAAAATGGATGAGTGAGCTCATTCATGACATCTAAGCGGGGTCACATGCATGTATAAGAAAAAGGTTGGCTTTGATATTGTAAGAGATCATTGATACACACATTCATGTCATCATTATACCAAAAATTTCTCTGTTGTCTTTGAAAACATAGTTCTCTCTTTGATGCCTTCATGATGCTCCTCCTGATGAGTACAAAAATCAGCAAACCAGCGGCACTGGAGGTGCCCATAGCGCTTGCACGCGCGCGGGCGTCGCGCCCATCGTAGCTGACTTTCTCGTTTTCATTGCGGATTGAGAAAGAGGTGGAAGTAGCAACCGATCTTGGCTTTGCGATATTAACATCTTTGCTTTTGAAGAAGTCCTCGCAGTAGATGTTGAAGCACCAGTGGAATTGTAGTAGTAGTTCGCCTTAGAAGAAGATGAGCCGTGGTTCAGAGGTAGAGTAGCACTTTTTCGTCTCTGTTTCGTTGCGATGTCAGTACTTCTAAGGAACCGTTTCTGAAGAGGTGGAGAGGGCGAAATTGCAACTTCGTCATCCTCATCGGCAAGAAGTAAATTCGGTGTTTCTCTCGTCAACATCGGTGGTCCTGGTGTTCCTGCAAGCAAACTTTCTTCCAAATTGCAGCAGTCTTCTTCTTCAGTAGAAGAATGTGACTTCTTACCAGAGGACGAAACAGCGCTTCCAACGAGTCTAGAGCGTGCGCCGGGAGTGCCGAAAGCTGGAGAATTACGCCAGAAACTGGCATTTTTACTACCTTGAGGAGGTGAGAGGTGTTCTTGGTGTTCTTGGGTGAGAGGTCTGATGGCAGATCGTGCTTGCTTTATAGCTTCGTTGTTGTTGAGGTCTTGTACTACAGTTTTTATTGGACGTGTACTAGTAGTTGTTTTTTGCTTCACATTTTCAGGGCTCTGCCTCTCCAATGATGGCAGCACAATTTAGAGGTAGGTTTTTGGTGTTCGTCTTTACCCCGTTCGTTATGCCTTTCCCCATTCAGGAAGGCAAAACGAACGGTAACAAGAACACCTTTAGCCTACCCTTAAACAGTTGTAGCAGTGAATTCTGGTACTTCTTGAACTGGTGCAGGTTGGAATGACGCGTCGTCATTTACATTTTCGTGTGTTGTTGTTGCACTTGTTGCATGATCTACTTCTAGTACTAGAGGATCTCTTACTAGCACATCTTCCGTCTTTGCAACACCAGAGCTTCTGATCACATCAGTCGCAAGCATCATCTCCCTTGGCGGAGACGGAATGTCTATCACCAAATCCTTCGGTGGCGTTCTTCTCTTCCCCAAAGGCAATGGTTGAGCCGTTTTAGGCAGTATGCGCCTCCGCAGGAGACTCAGATGTGTTGCTGGCTCTGTCCGAGCTCCACCTGGTTGCCGCACATCGAGCATGACGAAATCGGATTTCGGAACCTCAATAGTTGTTGAGTTTCTTGCAGGGTTTTTTCCTCTAGAAGACAAGGACAAGGGGAATTCTTCTCCGTTCATCTGAATATCACCATCTTCAAGATGATGATGATCCTCCTCACACTTATTCGTCGTAGGCAATACATTCGACAACAACGACTGCGCCTGTGCTGGCAGTGTGCGCGTCTTTCTCAAGGGTGTGCTCCGTAATAGATTGTAGACAGATTCGCGAATGTTGACAGCTGGGAGACGTAGACGATTACTGTTGTTGGCGAACTGCGGAGTACAATTGTCCTGCAAAGGAGCGCTCTTGTTGAACGCCGAAGGTCCGCTGTCTATGCTGTAGTGCAGCATGCTCGTCCCTTGCTCGATTTGCGCGGCAAATTGAGTTTCTACCTCAGTAGGCTGAAACAGTTTTGAGAATTCTTCACGGATCGTAGTGCTGATGTCGAGGGAGCTAGAAACATGGTGCCCATAGCTGCTTTTGAAATTTTTAGTACTAGAAGATGAGTTCTTCTGATGTTCTCGAGTAGACAAAGCGCTATTACGTCGCTTAGGCTGTGGGCTGTTGTTGTTCTCATTTCTCGTGTCATCGATGGCGGACTGAGAGTGTTGATGTTCATGTTCTACACCTCCCATGACAGCTGGTGGAGAGGACGATCCAAGCCCACCAGAAGAAGGGATCACACCCGTTCCCGTGGTCACCAAGACAGCAGCACCACCACCAGAAGATCCGCCTGCGCATCCACATTCTGGTTCTGGTTCTTCGCTCTGTTGACCAGATGAGCTCCTCATGGCGCCTGAGAACATCCTGTCGTTTACATTCTCGATCGACGCGTTGGCACTGCCTGTACCTCCACCTCCAGATAGTACAACAGCCTGATCTAGAGCAGAACTGATGTCATTGTAGACGATCGCTTTGGCTTGTTCTTGTTCCCGAGTGCTGTTCTTGTGGTTGTTGTCAACGTCCACGTCGAAGGAGTTTTGTGGATTGTCAAACAAAAATTTCTCTTCCGGTGAGAGAAGCTGCACATCTTCTTGACCGACACCCTCACGAGCATTGTTGAGGTTTTGCTCTTCATCTGCTTGCTTCGCTAGATGAGTCGTTACGACCTCGCCTTTTGTTTGACTCTCAACGTCCTTAGCCTCCGGCGCTACTTCTGACTTGTCTGAAACAACAAGCTGCTGTTCTCGACGTGGCGGTTTCAACTCCTGTGCTTCAGCGAACTTTTTCACGCCATTGCTCACTGGCCCCAAAGGTGCAACTCTCCTGTCCTTCATCATGGCGCGAACCATTGGTGACGGTGAAAAGGAAGGTGACCGCTGTCGCTGGCTTGCTCGTGTTTTAGTAGGCTTGTTGGAGTTTCTTTGTGCTGCAGAAGGTGTGACGAATGGAGACTGCGGCGGCCCACGTGGTGGCCTAGCGCCACGACGCACCGGAGAAACAGAAGGAGTTCTCTTGTTTAGTCCAATCTTATTGTCTTTCATGTATCTTTCTTTATGATGTTTCAAGACATCAAGAGGACCAGCACGAGGCTGGTGGTGGTTGTGATGTCGCTGAGGTACTTGCTGTTCTGTTTTCTTTTTATCAGGTGACCGAGATGGCGCTCCTTTTTCATGATCTTGTTTGATCTGGTGAGATCTATTTTCCCCTTGATGTTCGGATTGCTGCACCCCACGTGACGGGGTTCTACTATTTCCACGCGGCTTGCCCTTCGATTCAGCGCGTCCTGCAGAAGGTGTGAGCGGCACCCGATACGGAGAAGCAACGAGGTAAGGACTGAGAGCTCTCATGATCTTCTTCTTTTGATCAACCTTGTGGTTGTTCGGTGCTCGCTTTATTGGTGATGGAGAACAAGCCGCGAAGTGTTTGTCTCTGTTTCCTCCTCCAGGACCCTGACGCATATTACCTCCACGTTGATCTACATTTCCACGAATCATGTTGAAAACGTTAGACTTATGTTTGTTAGGAGAGGCACCGCCACGGCCACGAACTGAAGACTTCACTTGTTTTGCTGGAGCTGCGGCGTGCGGTGGTGGTGTTCTGTTGATGTTTCGATTAGGATGTTGAAGAGCATCTGCTAACGGCGCTTTTCTGATGTTGCGACTTGCCGAAACAGCATCTCCGTGGACGCTTCCCCGCTTTCGATTTCTACTATCACCCACAACCTGCTTCAAACGTCGTGCCGATTCTCCCAGAACTGGCTGCTTCGCTTGTTGGCTTTGCTGATGAGATTTTCTGACTACTTGTTGAATGCGAGCATGAAGATGATTCACATCTACAACAGCTGCTGGTGCTTGTTGTTCTTGTTTCTTATTCTTAGCGTCCTCTACTTCGGAGTAGAACATGTTCTCGTTCTTTGCTGCTTGATGGACTTCAACATTGCCCTTCCCTGCCTCCATCCCTTGTTCTTCACCCAGAATCGGCGTGGCAACACCAACAACCTCCAGATGTTGCTGATTTGACGCAATGTTTGGACTTTCAATGTTGAAATCCCCATTCAAACCAGCTACATCACCGTCACCACCACCACCATGATCCGCATATCTACTAGTCCTCCCAGGTCTGTGATATTTCATCTTCTTAGCCGCGAGGCCCACAGCCGCTGAGGGGGATGGCAGCGGCAAAATCAAAGTATCTTGGCACGACCCGGACTTGTTTTCTTGAGAAGCAGAGAGTGCTGGTCCTCCCGGGACAACGCCAGGACGTCCTGGAGGACCAGCACTCTCAAGTGGAAGTCCTGGTTGATCTTCTACACCTACAGGACGGCCAGGAACTGGTTGATCTTCTACTTGTTGCATTAGATCTACGTCCACTTGATTTTTAGGTAGTTCATCAGAGCGAAGCAACATCTCCGCATCATGGGCATGCTGTTCCCCAGGTGCACCGGATGAATGCTCGCCCTCTACAACGAGGACACCATGACAATGACTAGCATAATCAACCTTCACAGGATCCTCCAGGAGTCTACTAGCGACAACCTCCACATCTTCCTCTAAATTTTCTTCCACAATCTTCTCTGGTGTTCTGCCACTCTTGCAAGTTGTATTTGTTCCTTGCATCTGTTTACGCTGACTCGTGATGGTTCTCAAAGTTGCTACTGTGTCCGAGAGCCAGGAAATCGTTCTATCTGGGTCCACCTCGCTTGGATCGGGCAACTGCAGAGCTCGAGTTGTGTTGCCGTCTTCAGTTCCTGCGATTGCAGCAAAACTGTGAGCAGCGAAACTGGCTCCTTTTTTAGCACTATTTTGCTCAGCATGATAATGAGTGGGAGTGTTTTGCTCAACATGATAATGAGTGGCGTCGACATTGTCTCCATGTCCGTTTTCAGCTTCTCTTGCATTCGAGAAGACTGATTTATCTTCCAACGTAGGAGAAAATTTCATCATCACATCTGTCGCCAGAGCGATACCTTCTTCAGCACCTTTGATCTGCACTTCCATCTGTGGTCCACAGTGCTGTTGATGATGTTCTCCTGTCTCAACACGGTCACCATGAATATTATCCCCTTCCGGTTTATCATCGCTGTGTCGTCTAGTACCCCTAACCGGTGTCTCGTAACAATCCGGCGTTGGACCAGGTGCCTCACTCGCAGTCACGTAGGAATGCGCTGTGACGAATGATCCGGATAACATTGGCTCATCAAGAACATGTTGTTGATCTTCAGACTGTTGCACAACAAGCGGATGTACATGTGATCCTTCATCTTCTACGTCACCACGATCTTCTCCTTTCCTCGCTAATGCGGCAAACTGGTCGCAAATGTGCTCCTCCTCTGCCGCTACTGTTGTGCGCGGTGTCAATGTTGTAATTGTTCTCGGTGTGCCGATATGAGAAGCGCTACTGCTTCCTCGGCCTACCTCGTCCAGGAGGTCTAGCGACGGCCGTTGCGGGAGCTCCAGCGAAGGTATCATAGGTTGTGTTCCGACAACGGGTGCTTCAGGCTGTAGCGGCGCAGACACAGGCACAGGCAGTTTCGCACTACCAGAATGCACGAAGGCCGCCGTCTCATGCCCAAATTGAGGCGAAAAAGCGTCGCCCTTGTGATCTGGCGTCCCGCTCGTACTCGTGCGGCGGATGTGAGTTTTTGAGGACGGCATTTTTTTCCTTTTTCTGAAGATGAGACGAATTCTTCTTCTATTTCGTAGATCAGTACTAGTCAATCAAATATTGTGGTATTATGAAGGAGTTTAAGTTTTGGGAAAGTGCTTACGCCAGCCTAGCATTAGTAAGGAGATGTGTTGAAATTAGTCCTATAGTCTTTGTTGTTTTAATGATATATAAGTACTCGTTGTGGAATTAGAAATCCCATAGTCGTTGTTGTTTTAATGGTGTACTACCGCAAAGTCGAGAATCGTTTATCCGAATCTTTGATCACTTGCTCGACTTGTTTATCCGAGAATAATATTTTGGTCGAGCAAGTGATCAAAGTCGAGAAAGGAGTCTTTTCACCAAACGATTTTAGTAAGGAGATGTGTAGTTGAAATTAGTCCTATAGTCTTTGTTGTTTTAATGATAAGTACTCGATGTGGAATTAGAAGTCCCATAGTCTTTGTTGTTTTAATGGTGTACTACCGCAAAGTCGAGAATCGTTTATCCGAATCTTTGATCACTTGCTCGACTTGTTTATCCGAGAATAATATTTTGGTCGAGCAAGTGATCAAAGTCGAGAAAGGAGTCTTTTCACCAAACGATTTTTACCGAGGTTTATCCGAGGATCGATGAGACAGAAGACACGAATGGCGAAGAAGCGGACACGACTTGAACACGATTCGAAAACTCAAACGACCAGATTCAAAACCGAATGATACTCGTAGAAAACCTGGTCGGAGTCCGCAGCTGCTCGCGCTGCGTCATTTTTGAATTTTCTTTTGGGGTGGTATGTGAGATGACCATTCGATTTTGTTCGTCGTTTGGTTTTGGGTGTTTCGTTTATTCGAGATATTTTGCGACCACTTTCCTCTTTACAACATGAGTAACGTTCCTCATTTGCTTCTGCATCATGATCTGTAACTAGCTATTGTACTTAACATTGTTTTGCTACTTCTTCTTCTATGCACTTGTCTGTGTAAGTAGACCTACTGCTGCTTGAGTATCTATACTTTCTGTTTCAATTTCTGCATGAATTTAGCACAAAAAGGTAATTCAACAAATCTTGCTGCTGAATTCTGAATTCATTTCTTTCGTTCTACTGTTTCCCGTCTTAGGCGAACGTCGTTGACGTTGGAGTTGTCTTGTTCAATTTTGTTCATAGATAGTTGGATAGGTTTGCGTTTCTTTTCGCTGATACATAAGGTTGCGATGTTTGTTGTTGACTAAAAAGACCTAGATTGGCATCAAAAGATGATCAAAAGATGATTCTTGTTTATGTTCTTGAATCTTACCGTAAGAACTGACTTCATTTGGCTCCTCCGAAGTTCCTACTTGTTCTAGAGCATCTGCTTGTAATATGCACGGCTAGCAGAGCTCTTCCTGTTGTTCCTAGATTCCTAGATCATAATTCTCGTCGCATCTACAACAAAAACGGCAAGTCACGGTTTTGTATGCCGTGGCCAATGTAGACACCTCCAAAGTAGGGCTTCTCTGCGACTGCATAGAAAACATAGCCTGGCCATACGAGGGATCGGAGCTGCACCTGTGAAAATATAGGGGTGTGCAGCTAGGGAGTGCAAGCAATCGTGTCTGAATACTTATATGTAGATATTGATGTCGATGAAATCAAATTGAGGTCGTGGCTGACATACATTTTTTACCTAGTATGAAGATATTTTATCATACACTTACCTATCATGTTGAAGATATCAGAAGTTTTAGAAAGTATAATAAGTTACCGAGGCAACTGTTGCATCACTTCGAACTGCCCAGCATCCTTTTGGGAGCGAAGAGCTAAGCCTATCGAGAAAATTGCAGTTCTTCCACTCAACGTCGTCCTTCGCCATTGCACGTTGCTTTCCGATCTGATTAAATATTGGTGCGACTAGTAGAAAAAGTAAATCTTCAGTCTAAGAAAGTACTATCAGATCTACTTCCAGGAGACGAGCCTGCTAGCGTTAGCGTTCTTAGCTTTGAATCAAGAACAAAGACAAAACCACAAAAATCTGAAACAAAAACAAAAGATACATCCTTTGCAGGTCTGAAGTGGGCGTAGCTATTGAGGTCCTTCAATTCGGACCAAGACAAACCCGCAAACTCTGCTGCTGGCACTACTTGATGTGCGTCGTTGAGCACATAGGCTGTGGCTGGGACTACGCTAGTATCTGCGTCCATTGAGGCGATGGTGTAGCTTAGCCTGTGCAATTCCGTCAAAGGGCACTCTTCCATCTCTTCTGGGTCGTCTGTAGTGTGCCATATTAAATTTGAGGAGGTGATTTATTATTGAGTACATACAATTACAAGGGGTCGTGCATACAATTACAAAGGGTCGTGTTGTATCCGATTTAAAAGCCCAAGGTTCAAATTCAATACATAGGTTCGAAGAATCAGCAACAGGTCAGAAAGTGGCCATGATGATCAACAGTCCGTAGGTGACATAGATACATACCTTCTTTTTTCGGAAACAACAATTGATCTGGCTCTCCAGCAAAAGCGGCTTCTTGTGGATAAGTGGCTATCATTTCCCTCTCCTCATCTGTCAACATTGCCAAGTCACCAAAAGTGAATGTTTCGCCCGTTCTGTGGTAGGGAGCAATGAGCGTGAGGAAAGAGAGAAATCATTGTTCGTGATTGTTCTCATTCGTCCAAAACAGTCCTTGTTGTGAAACTAACTACAGCGAAACAAGCGAAGAAGATTTTACCACGTCGAAATAGAAGTTCTGAAGGAAGTCATTACAGAACTTGCTTCTCACTCAAGAAGATCAAGAAAAAATAGCAAAAAATAGAACAAACTATAAAATTATTAGTAGAAGTACGCGCAGTAGTATTGTTTTGATGGAAACTCGATGTCGTTATCTCGTACGCCGTAGGCGATATAGTAGTCCTGAGTCTTTCCGAAAATCTTTCCCCAAAAGAAAATTCGGCCAAACTTTTCATCCGCTTGAAGCTTTGCGAGACCTGTACTTTGTGGGACTTAGCGTTTGTGGGAGGTAACAAACTACTGTTCATCGTGACCGGATTCTTATTTGCCGTGAAGTTTTCTAGTGATGTCTACTTCTACCCAAGCAACAAAAAACTAGCCAATTTCTAAAAAAATGTGAGTACTTGCAGTGAGCATAGCCACTTCCGCCACGTTCAACGTGTAGCCTTGTGAGGACAAGAACCTCATGCCCATTTCGATGTCAACCAACTCCATCTTTTTGGTTTTCTTTGTGGTAGTTTGGTACCACGGCAGTGAATCACGACGAACTCGTTCTTGTAGTTTTGTATTTCGCCTATACGTTTTTTCTATCAATTTTGGATCTGGATGAGGGAATAGTCTATATTAAGGTGGTGCTACACAACAACATGTATGTGAGTATTTCTTGTTCATCTTGATGATGTAAATGGGTAAGCCATCCACCAAATTCGACGCATTTTGTCTCATCTATAGAAGCGATTTCATATTCTCCTCGTTGTTAATTTCTCTCCTTTTTTTCTCTCAAAACTACAAATACAAGTCCCTTATTTCACATCGTTCGCTATCGTGTGAAACAGAAAACGACCCCACCCTCTCAAGCTCAACAATCTCTCAACCTCTCGCGGATCATGCTCATCTGTCGCTTTAACTTTCGAGATTGGCTCTAAAACGAGACGAATAACGACGCGACGAGATTCAAAAACGGTGGCAAATATATTCCGCGTCCTCAGGCCTCTAATCATGTGCAGAAGAGGGACGACGTTTTTTCAAGAGAAGTAGAGCAGCAAGAGACCACTCCTCAACTTCATTTTTAGTGGTAATAAAGGAACAACAACAAATCCAAATGTGAAAGTGAATGATTCTTTAGTCAAACCAAGAAAGAGTGACGCTGCAGTAGACTACGCTGTGTAAGCTACGCAGCTCCTGTGGTCCTCGTGTGACGCTTGTCATCCAGATATTCATGTAAATCCTTTTTTCGGAACAATTGTTGCAGGCGACGGAGTGGCATCGGAGGTCTATCTGTATCTTTCTCTATAATGTGTTGTAGAAGATTGTGCTCGTGTTGTTCTTTCAGGAGTAACTCCTCGGCAAGTTGTACAAGATAATTGTTGATGTAGTTGTCCTCGTGTACTACTTGGAAAAATCGTTTATTTAATGTTTACTTCATAGTATTATCTGAAGATTTAAGAAGTGATCTAATTTTCAGTCGAAGCAAGTTGTTGCAACTGAATCAATGTGTGGTAACAACCATTTTCAACCTCCTCCTCGATGTTTTAAGTATTTCTATTTTTTCGTGTGAAATAATAAATCACAATGTACTATGATGTAACTAGTTGACTGATGTCAGCTGTGGCACAAGAGAAGCTCGTTTTGGCCTTGTTGCGTGTCCTCCTCAAAAGGAGGACACACCTCGTCTTTAATTGTTGTCTCATGAAGAATCATTATCATGTTGTTGACAAAACATGTCCATCTAGTTGTTATCATCATGCTTTATTCAGCTAGTAATAGTTGTTCTGTGGTTCTAGTTTGTTCTTCTCTATTCTCGACTTAAACAAGTTTTTGACAAATAAGAAATATCTGTATCAATATTTTTGAATATATAAATATATTTATAGTTACTACTAGCAATGTTGAAGGAACGACAAGAAATTTTTTCTCGTCCTCCCCAACGCTGAGTATCACATCAGCTGTGGCCGACGTGATTAGTGTGAGATAATTTGTTGTACTCTACTTGTAATCAACAACATGAACATCAACGGTGATAAAAAACGACGACAGTGAGTATTATTTGATGTCGAAATCAAAATCATACTTTTCGAAATGAAGAAGGTAAGAAACAGAAACGAAGGAGGAGGAGACACGAAGTGAAGGAACTCGGTTAGGGTCCGTTCTTGGCTGTGGCTGAGTTTCGTTTGAGTGAGTGAAAAAGGTGGCTATATCCCCTGAGTAGATGGCTCGGACCCCCTCGGTTTGGTCTATCAATCAAGCCGGGCCTTCTTGTTTCTCACCCCGGTCCTCAGTCCGGATATTTTTTTTCCATAGGACTATATGCTGCCAGCCTTTTAAACACTCAATTTAGTCGATTAATCACTTACAGACTGGGGGAACATAAGGCCGCACATTCGGCCGACAACTCTACTCCTATCGGAAGGGCCGCGCATTCGACCCTTCCTTGTAGAAAACCTAACTACGCAAACCGTCGCAGCGGAGTTCTAAAAGCAGGGCGACACACCTGCAAGAATATGACTCTCTGGAACTCGCGAACGAAATCTGCGAACGCGATCTTCGGACGAAGTCATGTCATGGTGCCTCTTGTGTAGCTATTAGCGTCTACTTGCGAGGCCAACCAGTAATCTAGTACCCCCAGAGGAGCGCTAAAATACCGGTGTAATGATATTTGTGTTGAGTAACCACAGTTCTTGTCTGCTGTCGCTGATCTTTTTAAGTTGGGAAAATCGACATAGTTACTACACTTACACTTAGTGTTCTACCGTTACCGTTTAAACACATCAGCGGTCATGAACATCTTTCTAGGTACTATGTATTAGTTTAAGCATCCATCTATCGAGCAGGATAGAGAAAATGACAATTTTCAAAATACATCCACACGCGACACTTCGAAGGCGAGACGAAGACAGACAGAGGAAAATCCAAAACACAAGAACAAGTAGAATGGAGAAGGCCCTGCAGCTGCTGCGACCTCGGTCCCCCCTCCTGTGTTCTTTTTCTAATGTTGGGTGTAAAAATTATTTCGGAAACGCTATAGGCCATCCGACAAGCACGACCGATCGAGCACACGAAGACACTGGGCATCATTCTGACCAGGTGACGCGGCTCACCATCGAGCTGAAGTAATCGACCTACCGCCATTGAACTACCTCTTTGTTACTCCTACGCTCGTTTCTACTTCGTTCTTCTTCCACTTTATCCTACCTATTCACTACAGAAAATCAAAATCTTTTAGAACTCTAAGGATGTTTTGTCTTCATAGAGACTGCTGGTGGCCGCTCCATAAGCCAACGACCAAGCTGTTGCTCGAGAGATTTCTTGTTTATCAAATATTCAGTCCCCTACAATAAATACCATAGAAGTACTTCCCGGGTGGAACAACATGTGCGAGCGCAGAGATAATGAGATTGAGAATGATGAACAAAGAAATAATTCGACGTACTATAATATGAACAAGAGAAATAATGGATTTGGATTAGGATCCAACTGATGAATAATGATTTCATTTTCATCAACTATCGCGAGATTGTCATTTTGGAATAAATGGAAAAGAACTAGACTAAGTGAAGACTCGTCGATAGCTACAGTCATGATCATTTTTGGTGAACAATCAGAAGCATAAACATCTATGATGACAAGATCGTTGAAGTCGATCAGACTGATGAAAATGACCAACGAACCTGTACCTGTTTATTTAATAAAAGAAAATTGTTCATGATGAGTGCTGGCTTTATGTCGCCGCTGCACCTTTTTTACATCCGAGCTTTAGTTCTCAGTATTACGCGATCCTAATCTTCATCAGGCACTAGCAGCTATGTATCTATTAACTCCATCTCGAAGTGGTGTTTCTTCGGATCAAGTATCGCTCCAACCTACATCATACAACTTGCTTCGGAAAAAAACCATAACCAGCGTCCACCAGAGCCACCCCGACCCCTTTATTGTATAATGTAACAGCCCAGTATAATACTTCATCTAGCATATGTAGTTGTCAGTATGTCATATGTCAGTAGCACTAGTCGAGTATTCTTGCAGCTAACATCTCCATCTGTGGTTGCGATTCAAGTGCTAAACTGAATCGTCGTCAACATCCTGCTCATCAGCATCAAAAGCGGAACCGCTTACCGAGAAGTAGATCAGAAACCGCACAGAACTCTCAGTTTGAGGCATGTTCCCCGCACCACTCGAGGCCACCTGATCGCCTTGATGTTGTTAGAAGAAATAGAAGCTGCGCAAAAGACCTAGCTCTTTCTCAGTTTTTTGTTTTCGCTCAAAATATGCTAAGTGAGATAAGTAATCATCTCTACACTGGTATAGCTTGTTCGCGGAAAACTACAACGGTACGACCTGGACCTGCAGTCTATTAGAATAAAAGTCTAAGCATGTTGCTAGTGAGAACAACTAGAACTAAGTACTCTAGATATACAGATATCTAGGGGTTCATAAGTTGCACCACCTGCTGCATGTTGTTGTACCATGCCGGTTGAGAATGCTCCTTGGTTGAGAAAAGGATGATTTAGTCCCTCATTGGGAGGAATGAAGGATAGTCCCTGACTGGTAAGAGCGTCGTCTGAGAAAGGTGTGACACCTCCAAGCTTCTTCTTCTTACAAGAAGAACTGATGAAGTCGTCTTCGTCTTGCGATTCACCGCGTTGCCGGTTCACCACCTGAGCTGGGAGGAGGACGGGTTGAGGAGGACGCACCAGATGCTGGTGTTGTGCATCCACATAGTCTTGAAAGTGCTGTTGCTGTTGATGATCCAGAACATGATCATCCTGTTGTCCAGCTCTACTTGGAGTACTACATGACGCACTGACACTAGGAACACTACAGCGTGATGTTTGTGGTTGAGAACTAGTTGTAGTACCAGGATGTTCCAGATGGTGCTGATGCTGCACTTGTTGTAGAAGTAGGGGATGGAGTGCCTTCTGGTGTTGCTGTTGAGCAAATAAACAGGGCCGCCCACCTGCTATACTAGGTAGCGTAGTTCCATGTTGAGGAGCCGAACCCATAGTGGCTCCAGGAGCACCAACTATAGGTAACGTTCCATGGGGAGCCGAACCCGTAGTGGCTCCAGGAGCACCAAATGCGCCACTAGGTGACGAAGCTGGTGGATGAAATAAACCTGACAAAGAGGTTGAACTAGCACAAGACGCACCAGCAATCTTCGTGCAGCCTGGATTATTTGACATCTTCTGATCAGGAGTCGTCCCACTTTGTTGAGTACCACTATCAAAACACCCGAAGTGTTGGCCCTGCGGTGGATTTACTTTCACTTTAGAGGTTACGGAATTGCATTCCTCAGAACATCCCTGACTCATTTCCTACTGAAAAAAGAGTCAGGGATGCTAGTGAAGGATGTAATGTGGGAACCCTTAATCACTACTGCTCTGGTTGGTACAGGCGACTCTTCCGGTCCTCCTGGATGTTGGCGTAACAACATCACTCCCCTCGGTACTGGCGCCGAACTAGTGCCAGCAGCTGTACGATCAGACGCCACCTCCATAGTCCTTTTTCTTTGAGCTGGTGCTGTTGGAGGTATTACGCGCTCAAAATGTTGATGGGCCGCGGATGAAGCAGCTCCACCTAATGGTAATGATTGTAGTGCTGGAGGTAGCATTATACCGAAGTCATGACCTTGTGGCATGCCTGCAACTAAGAGTGGATGCGAAGCCGTCTGCGATCCGCCAGTGGCTGCTAGATAAGTCGCCTGCTGTGCTTGCTGAGCAGCATTTGGATTTGAAGTTGCATGCGGAACCGGGACGCTAGAATTAGAGGGAGGGTGTGGGTGTTCGCTTATCCCGTTCGGTATGCCTTTCGTCCTTAAGAAAGGCAAAACGAACAGTTGTAACCACAGGAACACCTAAAGCCTACCCTTAATAGAAGCAACTGTTGGATGCTGTTGAAACCATGGAGGGACTGTACCTGTGACGCTGGTTACAAAGCGTTGAGTAGTAGATGTACCAAGAGTCATGAAAGTGTTTTGTTGCGTAGTCGCAGGCAGGGACGTCGTCCAAGCACCATAGCGCTGCATGAAACCCGATCTTGAAGATGAAAGTGCCTGAACAGGTGCTCCTTGTTCTTGTGAAGCCATAGGCTGTTCCTGTTGTACCGGTGCTTGTGGCGGTGCTCCTGGCTGTTGAGTTGATTGTTGAAGGAAGGAAGTGGCACCATCTCCCCAACGAAAACTACTCTGTGTTAAACATAAACTGCTCTGTGTTAAACCTGCTGCAGGTGCTGTAGGAGGATGTTGGAACTGCGACGTCACTGCTGATGCCTCGCTCTTGCTCCTTCCGAGAACTCGAGGAGGACCTGGTTGTGTTAACATAGAAGTAGACATTGCAAAAGGAGCTCCACCAGCACTCCCACTTGCAGGATCAATTGTAGCAGTTGTGCCAGCACTGGAACTTTGGCCACCAGCACCAAAAGCATAAGCAGGTGGCGGTGACACTTGTGGGGACGCTATTCCTCCTGAAAGACGCGGCTCTTGGTCGTTACTAAGTTGTCTTGTGAGACAAACCGGAGTGCCAAATCCTGTGGTTCCGAAACCCCCCACAGACGTCGCGCGAGAGGAAGTTGAGCCTGCTCGATTACACAGAAATTGTCCTATCGTCAAATTGCTCGCAGAACGAGCACTTGCGAGCGACGTGTGTCCAACCTCAGACAAAGGGCCTCCCGTGCTACCACCAGTACAACTGTTTGGATCACTGCTCATATGATCTGCGTCTCCGTGGCCAGTGCTGCCAGGAGGACCCCAGTCGAACGAATTGCACATTACATTGTTTGCTGCACCGCTTGCACAACTTCCAGTGGACAGACTGGCGCCGAAGGAAGTCGAAGCAGTCGTAACCGAAGCGTTCATCAATCCGTTTTGCGGAGTGGCGATAGTACTACTCGACGCAGCGCCATTCGTGCAGCTGCTACCTCCTACAGGGACATTGGCGCTGCCTCCCCAGATACTGGGCCAAGCGGAACAAACCGATGACCCTCCAGGGGTAGCGCCTCCACGGCTGCCAGAACCCTGCCCTGCTCCGTCTCGACTACCCGCAGTAAAGGCTCCACTAAACTCGTGGAACCGGTCACCTCCACTCGCTGATGAACCAGAAGCGCCACTCCTAGTATTAGACATTCCCTAAATCCATCATGCTAAAGAGCATCCTGAAACCCTTTCCCCCTTTAAACGCGTTTCCAGGATGCCTTTGGAGATGGATTTGTGGAAACCCTAATTGTCATTCCTGGATTGTACCATTCCCCCTCTACCTGAGCTTCCGGTGATTGCAAAAATGCAGCAGCCGAGTCAGAAAGTCCAATACTCGAATAGTACTCATAGACAAAGTATTTTTCCATCTGCTGCTCGCTACTGGTGATCTTCTTCTCTGCATCTCCAGTACCGTCTGCTGCTGGGCTTGTAGTTTGGTCATCATCTTCGTCGGCAGCAGCAGCTGCAGAAGAAACATCTTCTGCTTGACTCTGAGTCTGTTGTTGAGATAAGCCTGAACCTGCAACGGCTTGAAGAAAAGGATTGTTCATTGAACTACTCGACGCACCAGTCGTAGTCCCCCGACCTCCTCTCAAGAAGGCGTTAAGGCGATCTTTCAAAGGATTCGACGAGCCGGTCGAGGCTGTAGTTGCACTCCTTACACTCCTCAGAGCGCGTAATACGGTGCGAGGACCTATAGAAATGTGTTCTCCTTTCTTCTTGCTGTCCTCTTCTGGAGACCCTTGTGTTTGACCTCCTTGCCCCATAGTGGAGTCATCATTACCTCCACTAGCCGCGTCTTCACAACCACCTGTAATATTAGCCGCAGAAGTTCTTCTCCCTGCTTTTCTTGTATCTTCTTCTTCTTCTGCCCCCGCCCTTACGACAGTTTTCTGCTTCTCTATTGCCTTTCTGTACCACCAGCTAACTAGACCATAGGTTTTTTTCCTCACGTTATCAGTGTAGACAAAGATTCCTGGAAAAGCGGCATTCACACTTCCAGAAAGTCGCTCATTGAACATCTTGTTGATGTCAGCGCTGTCCATATTCCTGATACTAGCTGCAGAAGCGAAAAGAAGAGGATTGCTGCCCGTCTGAAGGCCAACCTGCGTTTCGGTTTGTGTCTTGGGACGAAGGTCTACAGATTAGAGAGGGAGAATGTAGTTGTAGCTTCAGGAGTAGAGCCCATGTTGCTCCTTGCTGCACAAAATCGATTGCGCAAAATCGTCTGAACATCACGATGCACAAAATCGATTGCGACTGTCATGATATCATTCATGTCGTTGTTCTCCCGAGTAAATATTGAAAAAGTTGAAAGGTTGACCATAATGCAAAGCATGCGCAGCCTCGTGAATTTGCCTCAATTCTGCATCATCACGAGTCACTACTTCCTCGAAGTAGCCTAGATGGCCCATCCTCTTCCTTTTCTCCTCGGCTCTGAGTGCATGATACAGGGATTGGTACAGCTTTTCTGTGACCATATCGTCCCCACTCCCTTTCCTCGACGCGGCGTGACTCCAAAGAAGAAGTTCTTGTCCCTGCGCTAATTCCTGCAAACCTGTAGGCGCGAGTAGTTCCTTCTCTGAGGAAGCGGGGGCAGTTTGATCCATCCTAATTTGATCTGCTTGCGCAGCTAGTTGATCGCCGTCATTAGGGGTAGATAATGCGAGTTTGTACCTGGAAGCCAAATTCACTGGAGATCGAAATGAAGAAATATCCTTGTTCTTTGAATCACCGCGACCTCGTCACAAAACTAAAACAAAAACCTGATGAATGATTCAGATTGATTATAGGAAGAAAATCAAAATATTTCCAATAGTAGAGTACTGCAATATCCTTGTCTTCTGTTCTCCCTTTGGTTTCAGCTGTTGCCGAATAAGCTTCCCTTCTTGTTGTTAGAGGTAGGTTTTTGGTGTTCGTTTATCCCGTTTGTTATGCCTGCACCCCTTAGGAGAGCCATAACAAACGGCAACAGGAACACCGTTAGCATACCCTTAATGTTGTGCACCATCCTGGCCTGACCCAAACAATACTTCCCACTGCCTGCGCACCTCGACGTAGATATCACTAAACGATCCTTGCAGTTCAAAAAAACCTTCAAAAACCGGCAGAAGTGGAGCATCTGCGGTCTCGGGAAAGCGGAAGAGGTCACTGGCTTGGGAGACGACCGGCATATGATCCCGCCCGAGCACCAAACTCGTGCGGGCACCAAATACCTGAATCATATATATATATAGGTGTGAAATAGATGAAACGGCGAAGTTGTTGTAGTAGGAAATCATTATTGATGTTCTTGCAATCTTCGAATCCTCGACGGAAGTTGTACTGATCCTTCTTCAGTCAACTAGAATTACCTTCCCCGTCCCAATGAGCACTTCGACCAATAGCTTTCGAACTTCCTGATCCACGTCGCAAGAAACCTGCATGTCTTGAAATGTATCAAAACTGATCCGCTCACTCATGAGCAGCTCTCCTGTCCATTGGTTTCTGATCTGCAATAGGTGTTTCGGTACTCCCAGTTTGGCTGCAAAGTGCGCTTTGATGTCCGACAGTTTTACGTCAATCGCCTCCTTGTGCAACTGGGCAGATGATGCAGCTGTGCCAGTACCGAGTTCGCCACCTGGAATGTTCGAGGCCAGTACCGAATGTGGAGGTTTAGGAGAAACAGAGAAACAAGGATGAGCAAGATTCAAATGTCTATGTCTATCTAAGTACTGTGATTGTAGCATCTTCATCTAGAAGTACATGAGATCGAGAAGCATCAAATTCATTACCAGTGCATGTTCCTCCTGGAATCGTTGGCTGCTGCGGACCACTCGCTTTATTCAACGCCATATAGACTGTGTACAATATGACTCCGCGCACCAAAATCGGCTGTGCTGCTCCGCCTTCCGCTGGACCCGCGCCATTTTGCCCCCTCTGTTCCATGAAATAGTTCCTCACACCAGTTTCCAGGGAATTCGCGTCGATCTGAACCGACAGCTTTGCGTTTCTTCCGGCTCTCCTCTTTAAGTCGCCCTGTTCCTGTCCAGCTGTCACGGAGTCGACTGGAGCGCCCTTGCGCTTGCGCCCGCCGCCTGCAACTGCTGTGCTACTTGCGGAACCAGGTGGATTAGATGAATTGTGCGAACCACGACCCATTCTTTCCAGAAAAATCATTATATATAAGTTGATAAAACTACAGGTTGTACAAGAGAAGTCTGATGTCCTACTCTGAATATAATATCAGATGTAGTAGACCGACCACGAGGATGAAAAGCAAGAATTATCTTGCAACTGATTATGACCATAAAAGTAGCAACCGCAGCCTCAGTACCAAGGTAAGGATCGATAAAAGTAGTTCCTCCTGGTTGGTTGCTGCCGGGAGTTGTAGGTTGAGCACCGAACAAAGGTCCTCCCCGTCCAGCCATCTCCTCAAAATCGTCAGCGATAAAAGAGGAAGCGCCCTCGTCTTCGGAAAGATCGTTAGCTCCCTAATGTTTGTGGTTGTTGTTCATTATTTTATTATACTGTAGGATAGTAGTTGTCATTGTCTGAGGCAAAAATGCTAATGCGAGCGATGTGTTTGGGCGGGCGGCCTGCTTGCGGAGAAGCTACCGGAGAAGAGTGGTATTCGCACTACTAACAAGCGGGCGGGCGCGGGCGCGCGATGATTGTTGATTACTGAGCTGAACGCGATCGATTGAGCAATGATGTCGTGGCGTTGCCTTTGATAGAATGATGATGCGAGCGCTGATCATTGACTGAAGCGTGTTGCGCAGCACGCATCAACGCAAGAATATCCCACTCACCAGTATGCAGGGCGGGCAGGCGGGCGTGCATGCAGCTGGCGCTCGCGGAAACCTACAAGACCTACCTTTTGAGAAATGAAAGTGCCATCTTAACCTTTTTTTGAGGGAGGAGAGAAAATGTAGAGTTGAGTATATCGAAGCAAATAAGACTGGTTGAAGAATCTGAAAGATACCAGACGAGAACGAGAAATCTGATCTAACCACTACTTCTTAGTGCAAGAATCTAACTGGTTATCTTCTTTTGCAAGAAAAATCTAACCGGCTTAGCGTTAGCGAGGTAATATGATCTAACTAAGTACTATGTATATAATATTAAGTTGTGACCCAGATGTAAATGATTGACTAAGTACTATGTATAATTATCAATCTCACCCCTCGCGCAATCGCGGTCATATCGAAGACGACCGAGACGTCCTCCATATCCATCGGGACCTCTGAGGAGGCATCTTCCGGAATTGGAGCGGCTCTACCAATTATGTTCATGGTTCTCGACGATATTGGTGGCGATCTCGCTTGAGCTTGAGCTTGATATTGTGGGCCTCGTTCCCCGGATGCGTGATCGCCCTCATCAGGCGACACGAAATGTTGTGGTGGAGGAGTCTCAACCCCACCTGCAGCAGACACGTTCGATGGCATATGGCTCATCGGTGGCGTTTGACCCAGTTGATCTCGAAGTAGTTGCTGTTGCTCTTGTGGGATCAACGGGTCTCCTAGTTCTTGCTTCGGTGCTCGTCTTGAATTCATCTGAGGACCCAGATGAACAAAAGTACCGGACCCAGAGGTGGAACCGGACACAGCCCCATTGGTGGAGGATGAGAAGTCTCTTGTGTGTACGATCACATAGTCAGCCTCTGGCGCAACGTCATCGGACGGCCCACATGATAACCCGTCATCAGACGATGCTTCTTCAGGGGGAGAGGTGGCGAAACCTCCGTGGCCGGTATTAGAGAGGTATCGCAGAGACCGTGATCGCCTATCGTAGATCATCATCATTTTCCTTTCGACTGCAAGAGCAGAGGATATCCTACGCTTATTTCTAGAAAAGGACGGCTTTCCCTCTGTTCGCAATAACTATACCAAAGTAGAGCCTTAACACGCCCTCGCGGACTCTGACTAGGTGGCTGCTCTGCCGCACAGGCACCACCTCCACATCCGAGTAAATTCGCTGCAGCTGCAAGTGCTCCACGCAAATCAGCTCGCATTTGCTTTTCTATTCCACCGCTTTGCTGGAGGATATGGTGCGGACCTAGAAGACCTTCTTGATGATCATGCTCAACATTACCGCGATTACCACCTCTATGTGGACCAAGTGAAGAAGATTGTGCCTCAAGATCCCCCTGATTGCTACAACTGTCAGCATTAGAGGTCACGGAATTGCATTCCTCAGAACATCCCTGCCTTATTTCCTACTGCAAAATAAAGAGCCAGGGATGGTAGTGAAGGATGTAATGTGGGAACCCTTAACACCAGCAGTTGTAAAGTGTTTTTTCCCTGAAGGCGAAGAACCAGGATTACGCCTTTCTTGGTATGATCCACCTCTTGCATCTCCACGGGCACCCTCGTGGTCGTGTCTGCTTGAGACGCCTTCTAGCTCTTTTAGCTCGACACCACTCCGACTCCGGTCGCGGGTCCTCAAAAACAAGCTTGAAGATGTTGCTAGGCTGTCATCATCGTCTCTCACTAGTGGGAACATCATAGTCGAGCTTCTCTTCATACAAGGCTTTGGAAGAACAAACTCGCCTCTTGGTGCTGTGCTTTGGTCGGTGCCGTGTGAGGTTAGAGGCGAATCGCGTAGTCGTTCACTATGTGACTCTAAAGATGAAGATGAACTCAGTGATACTTACTGATCGGAGCGAGAACCTTCACCTTGTTATAAATTAGAGAACAATAGCAACTATAGTACTAGAGACCATTGAAGACACTGAGCCGGAATAATAATAAATAGGTGCTAGCTTCACTATTAACCCTGTGCTTGAAATGGGAGCACAAGTTGGATTGGGTCTTGTAGAGGAGCTATTTCAGGTCAAGACTGCAGCGCCCGTTACTTAGTAAACAAACACCTAATTAAGGATCCTTTGTTCGTTACAGGTAAGTCTTGCTGCACAGCCTACGAGGTCCCCCGGCAGGATGCCAGGAAGGGGGGTGCTCGCGAGGAGCGCCTTGGAATTGGAATAATAAACTACTGAATTGGAATAATAAACTTAAACTACTGACGGAATATTAATAATAATCTGTTAATAAAGTTTAATAATAAACTACTGACGGAATATTAATAATAATCTGTCAAGAAACAATGTCCGTTTCATAACACTGCCCCGGCCAACTGATCAGAAAAAGCAGTTCCTCCAGTCAGTGGGTCAATTCCAATAGGTGACGTTGTGCGGGATCCTCCAGCTTCAGGAAGCAACTCTCCAAATAAAGGTGGAAGGTCTGGTGACGGTGCGCGACAAAGGACTGGAGATGATTGTGACGAACGCAAAAGCCCACGTCCGGGTCTCGTAGCGGTCATTTGTTGTTCGCCCCCTCCAAGATCCTTAAACATCAGTTCTTTGAACATCAGTTTATCTTTCAGCATCTGTTGTTTGTGTAGTCTTAGAGCTTCTTCCCCTAAAAATAAGTTCATCCTTGTTGTAGCACTAGGGCTCCCGCAAGGATTACATATGGAGACATACGCGTCAGTAATATCTCGATCTCCCCTGGCTCCTGTATGGCGCGATGCATACTTCTGTTGCGGGATGTCTATAGAGATGGATTAGGGCGGGAAGCCTTAAGTGTTGTTGTGAGATCTGCTGCTCTGGACCCTTCCGTTCCTCTTCGACCTCTAAAACCTTTCTACTAGCCAGATGAATATCTGGAGCATCGGCGCAGCTTCGAGGCGCACACGACATCAGAGCCTCTTTGTTCAACATTCCACTTTTGTTGAATACTACTTCCTCTTTCATCAGAGACAAAGAAGTAGATGCTGGAGACAAAGGAGGCTCTAGTGCCTCTTCTACTATCTGATGTCCTCCTTTATCTATAATTTGTAGATGTTGACAGTCGGCAGCTGAGCAAGCGGTTCCCGTAGTCGAGGACACGATATAATCTGGCACTGTCGTCGAGCAAGATCTTCTCGAGGAAAGGCTGGCGCCGAGAACGACACCTGCTAACGGGCCACCGCGCGGTCCCCCTTGCGTTTGGGTCTTCTTCTTGAGTTAGCAGAAGACAGGTCGATCTAGACTAGAAGTTGAAGTTCGTTGTACCTTCATCTGCTCGTCTATTCAAGTTCCTCATTATAACTGAATGAGATATAATTTACTCGTCATGCATGCAAGAAATTGAAATGACTTGACCTTGAGACTGACTCAACATAATTTTTCCCCGCCGACGCTGCTTCGGGTTTTGCCCGTGTTCTCCTGACAAGACCTAGCGCATGTGATTGCATCGCTTTTTTCTTGGGACTTCCTTGTTCGGATTGAGATTGCCCGTCCTCATCAACATGTTCATCTAGGTGTCTTCTCTCCAGTACTTGACCAATTTGTTTTGCCTTGTTCATCTCGCCACATCCAGCTGTAGATCCATCTTGACGCGTTGTTCCACGAGGACCTAGACTTTGTGTTCCCTGCAGGAGAGGGCCTTCTGACTGAAGCGGATAATTGCCCGCGACTATAGTCCCACCCTCGGCGACATGTGAAGCAAAGCCCTTGTTTCCTCGTGGAGGTCCACCCTTTGCAAGGCCCGAAGGCTGCTGCTTACCCTGTTGTTGCGAAGGAGCTCGGGTCTGCTGACTTCGTCCTAGCTGACCAGCAGCCGTGACACCTCGTGGAGTACCAGTGGCACTGCGAGTACCAGAATGAGAGTGTTTACCTCCTTTAAAACCTGCGCCAAGTCCTGACAGATTCGCCGAACCTGTTGTAGTCGTCAATCGCGTACCTGCTTGTGCTGTGCCTGCAGTTGCTGTTCGTTTTGTTTGATGTAAAAATTGCTGTGCAACATGTGCACTACCACCAGCACCGCCACTTTTACGGAGGCCTCCTTCGCCGCGTGATGTCATCGTCCCAAATTTGCGCTCCTCTTTCTCAATATCGGAACTACTCTGCCGAGGACCAGGGAATGCAACTTGACCAGCTGATGTGGTATTCATCGCATTCATTATATCTCCTTCTTCGTATACAAGCATGCCCCCGCTTCCAACATCTAGCGCTTCACGTGCTGGCTCACGTTCGACCAGCATGTCGCGCTGTTGTTGCTGTTCCTGCTCTTCAGTGGATGAAGTTACTGCACCTCCTCGTGGCTGTAATTGTGGTGCAGCACCACTACAACTGCTGCTACTGGCCCCACGACCTGTAGACGCTGCTTCTCCAGTGGCTTCTGAGCCCGCGTCTAGCTTGTTCAGGAAGAAGACCATCGGAATTGGCCCGCATGCTTGCACTGGCTCCTCCTTCGCGACTGTGACATTCTTGAACGTATTCTCCGCAGCAGGGGGAAAAACAGGTATTGGGCCGCATGCTTGCACCGGGTTTCCGCCATGAGGAGCTTGGAGACCACCCTGGAGACGAACGAGCTGCTGCATTCGAATGTGTATTAGAGGTGCATACTGTTAGGACAACGTCAACGACAAACACAATCCCGAAGGTTGATGATAGTCTTATTCGTATTATTATTATCATTAAATGTTTGGGCGCGACCCTATAATCGCCGCACTCGTTCTGCGCTCCAACACTCCAACACTCGCTGTACCAAGAATTATTCTAGGCAAGTAAGTTCAAGTCCAAAGGTGTCATAAGTCCAAAGGTGTCGTATTGCGTAGAGACGTCCCATTTCCGACAGGCGTGAGGGAAAGCGGCGTCGACCGTAGAGAGGAAATCGCAGACGATCCAGAGGAACCTGAAAATTTGTCCCTGTGAAGTTTGTCATTGTGAAATACTGATCCTAGTGTACTAATTCATTGATTCTGATAAGTGAACAGGCCAACGCCTATAAACTACTAAATGGAATAAAAAAACTATTTTTAGAATAACAATAAACTAAAAAATGTGAATACTAGCCGCGCGAGTCAGAATTTATAAACTAAATGTAGATACTAGTAATACCTGCAGGAAGAGTAGGAACTTGACCTCTTCTCGGTGTTGAGGATGACGATACAAGTACTAGAACCAAAAAGTGTAGGAGTAGCCGCATTGTCGTCCACCTTTTCGTGGTGGCGTCCACCTCCACCTCCACGAGGTGATGTTTTCCACCTTTTCGTGGTGGCGTCCACCTCCACCTCCGCGAGGTGATGTTTTTCACGACCGTAATGTTGGTATAGTAGTGGTTCTTCTTCTATAAGAACAATTACAGGAGGAGTTTCGAAAATATTTCGGGTGGAATTTCCTCATTCGCGATGCAGGTGAGTTGCTCTGGTGTAGTTCGTTTGGACTGATATTCCAGGCCTGTGGTCGGTACCAACCAGGGTTATCCACAAGAAACCGAGCAAGCAACGTCAGAGGACGAAAAAAAAACGGAACGTGTTGTAGCCTTCTTGCTGTAGTTGGTCGTCAATATCGTTATTGTTCATCGTTCGTTGTATTAAGTTTATCTAAACACAGTGGAGAATGATTCATGGTTAAGGAAACATTTCATTGAAATGGTTAAGGAAATATGGTTTCACAATGATCGAGACTCAAAAATGTGAGAAACAAATTAATACAACATAATTCAGATTCAATCATGTCAATGTGCTGAAGAAGAAGGTCTTACAGTACCAGTATCATAAATTTCGCTGGTCACTTCACCAGGTTACAGTACAGATTATTCAACAAAAATTTTATACTCGAGATGATCGCTTTTTTTCCTACTTTGATGTTTAGAGATGATGGAAAAACGAGGTAAGTAATGTGTAACTCCTCAAATTCAAATTTTTGTGCTGGCTGTAGTCCTAGTACCGGTTGCCTATGATTCTGTCAAAAATAAGTCTACCGATTGCTTATGATTCTGTCAAAAATAGAGCTATCACACATATACGCATACGACGCCTTTGCTGAAACTTCTTCACTATCATTCAATTCGATTCTGGTTACTACACGAAATTCTTCTTCTAAGAAACAAACTTGAAATCATCCGGAGGACAAGCGAAGAAATATAATTAGAAATATATTTGTTGAAGCTCTAGTAGTATTATACCTTGTTCTTCTGCTCGCAGCACTCTCCTAGTACACACACTCAGTCAGTCACAGTCAGAGATTTGATACTACTCGCAGCCATAGGCGTCGATAGAATTTTTAACAACATGTACGTACGACTAGAAACATCAGAGACAGTCCCATCCACATATGACAATTCGCGTTGCCAGTGTGGTGGCCGATGTGTAACGAGAATATTAAAAGACGAAAGATGAAAGACAGTACAACAAACGATTCAAGGACTGAGAATTATGATTATGAGAATGTCCTCGGAACGACAACAAGGACAAGGATGAAAACCGAATAAATATTTATTATTACATCTAGAAGAATTTTTAGTTGTAGTACATCGAGTTCTGTGAAAGGCTGAGAAAGATGAATTATAGTCAACTAACAGTGAAAGAAGAAATTTTGAAGGGGACTAAAAAACACAAACAAGAAACAAGACACGAAAAGAATGAACTCGTTCTGTTGTACGAATGATGTTGACGATTTTTCTAGTAAATGGAAAATATTTTGTTCTTAACAATTTCAAAAAGGATACTCAACCAGGTGAACATAGCTATCCAGCAACTATAATATTCAGAAGTTTTTGAAACACAAACTTGAATCAATCAACGTCTAGAGCACCACCGCCAACGTTAAAATATCAAAATCTTCTCTACAAACCCTGCGTGGTGCCCACTCCCTGGCCTGGTCGTCATCCAAAAATCTTCATTGAATGAAAAAGGGTCCGAAAAAGAAAAAACTAATAAAAACTACTGCGACATTAACTATAGAAAACATAACTCGAATATAGACACAGTGAAAGACGCATGGACAAAGTTTCAAATGGCTCATAGAATGTAGTAGATCTTGAAAATATAATCCAAAATCGCAGAAGCATAGCCACAGGCAAAGGCATACGAAACGGCTACATTGAAAGGCCAGCAGCTCATAAACAACGGACGAATATCTTGGATCTGCCAAAGTCCGTTAAGAATGGCAAGTGAATGACGCGACGCGGAACTCCTGGGCGCACAGCGGCACTTCTACTATCTCCACAAGAACGTAAGAACACAATGTAAACATGCTATATCCAAGACAGGAAGGTCGACGTGTTAGTTCAATCACAATCATCGACCTCACGGGGGAAGCGCCTTCCCACTTTGCAAGGAAACTCAAAACGACTAGCCGCCCTTCTGGGCTACATGCGCCTTCAACGCCTGATATAATTGCGTTGTGCAGCTCAGTACGACTTGTTGTTCCGTCGTTCAATATCTTAGCAAAAATATAACTGTTCCCGGGTTCTTCTCTACTAAGAGGGACCATTGTGGACATCGTTGTGTTGGCATACTCATAAACATGACCACGAGTAGAGTAGGAATTTGACTTGTTTCGGCCCAGCTCACAACTTGGCCACTGCTGGCCTATGATTTTTACCAGGTAGTGCCGACCCCAGTCAAGAATGAAAGAAAGATGAGAAGCACCTGAAAGAAAGAGAAGCACCTGAAAGAAAGAGTAAGCACCTGAAAGAAAGAGAAGCACCACATCAGACATCAATGGTAAAAATGTAGTGGCACGACCACAACCACTACTGGTACTGTAGGACGTCGAGTCCTACACTGTATAAATGTGGGCATCTCTGGTGCAATTACTGCTCTTTCCCACTCAAAGCTTCCAAGTCCAATACATCTCGTTCCAAGGCATTGGGGTCGAGTAACGCGTCGAGTTCAGACCCACTCCCGACATCGTATACCTCCGCGTCTAGTTGCTTCTTGCTTCGTCCAGGTACTTTATACTCGTCTCCAGCTATCCCGTCTTCTTGCAGGACTAAACATTTGTACTCTGGGTCGCCGATTGAGGTTAGAGGGAACAATGCTTCTAGTGAGAATCAAAATCTAGATCTCCTGGTTGCCCGGTTTGATGTACTCAGAAGAACAATAGCTTCTTCTAGGTAGAAGTTGTACATAAAAAAAGCAGTGGTCAACATCTTCTTTAATTTATAACAGGTGACAGATTTATATTTATATATTATATATTTAAGTGACAGATCAACTTCAACTCATAACTCAGGCACCAAACTCGGCAACCAATCTCGCTCTTCAATCTTCTCCAGAATGTCCTCATGGTCTTCGGTCAAGAACAACAAGTGCTCACACAGTTCTTCCGGTGCATCTATTAGAGCCTAATCCATCCTGAGAAGAGATGCATCCTGGGTGCTTTTCTATTTTTTCCTGCTTGAGATAGAAGCCTCTTTCCTAGGATGACTTCTAAGAAGATGGACAAGATAAGAGTAAGGAGCCGTAAATCTAGTTGCCCAGTTGCTCTCCGGATCTCGCCAAAGAATATCGGGTTTTCATCCAAGAATATCTCCATCGTGCGACACCCACGACTGGCGTGTAAGCGGCTTTTGTTGTAATTCCAGATACGGATCGGGGTTTAGAGACAAAGCTCTTTGCAGAAAGGAAATTATGGGTTGCTAGTGGCAGATCGGGGGTTAGAAAGCAAGGAGGTTTTTATGGGTTGGAAATGGGACCAGTGCGAGCGCTAATGCTGTTTCTAAATATCAATGCCTTAAATCGAAATCGCCTTCGTGGCGTTAGCATCTGATGCTACGTCGCTTCCGTTTCCGACCAAATCGATTTCGATAGTATGTGGGGTCCCGGCTGTGAAAGGCGCCAGCCAAACGTGGAAATCGTCGCGTGTTAGGTTTACTTGGGTGGATTAGAGTACGTAGTAGTAGTAGTGTGCCCAATCTGGGGGTAAGTTCAGCAAGAGGGGAAAAAAGGTTGACGCTCAACGTCCTGGGGTGGCGTTGCATTATCATGAGCATTCTCTGAATTTCAGTGATGTTGAGCTGAATAAGTGGCATTTTTTAAGGTGTAAAAAAACGGTCTACTTTCGTTCATGGCCGCCATCGGATGCTAGTATTGTTTCGTTTCTTTCCACATCTAATACTTGTGGTGGAGCCGACCTAACTAGAAAAAGGACAGACCAGAGGAAGATATAAAAGAGAAAAGGGCAACTATCAACAAGTATCCTGAAGCATCCCGCTAACTGCTACCATACATCTAGTACTCAGAACCATAATCGAATAACTTATCCACCGTCCGTGGATCGTTTTCTCCGTTCGGAAGAGCATTGATACTTGCTGGATCCGCTTTTACTTGTGTATGGACGTTGCGCAAGTGGATCAATCGACCGTCTTCGCCAAATATTTCGATGCCAGCTAGTCCGACGAAGTCGGAATCTCCCCACGTAGTGACCAGGTTGAACAATAGTCGTCGGCCGCGGGGCAAAACTGGCATTGTAAACATGTCGTGGTGGGGGTTAGAAGTGTTCATGTGGACAGATCATTTGATTCATTCACTTGCTTTATCAACATCGAACCTTGACAGGAGACCTTGTGATCTTCGTTGTTTGAAAAAGTTAGACACATCAGACCCGTAGTGGTGGATCGACTATAACAGTGGAAGTAGCTTGGCGAAGGTGGACCGTTGGAAGTAGCTTGGCGAAGGTGGACCACCAACGAAGTGGGGGTTCCATAACATTCAATCCCCACTTGCTCATCAGTTCAGGTACCCCCCCGTTGTTCCGTAACATTCAATCCCCACTTGCTCATCAGTTCAGGTACCCCCCCCCGTTGTTCCATAACATTCAATCCCCACTTGCTCATCAGTTCAGGTGACGACAACCGTTGTTCCATAACATTCAATCCCCACTTGCTCATCAGTTCAGGTGACGACAATAGTGACTGCCCTCTCGTTCGCGCGTCGTCGCGCAGAAGCATCTCGCTCATCACCGCTGCGCTGGCGTGCGAGAAGTTGATCACCTCCTGCAATGAGGTCGCCGCTGTGTTGCCCTCAATCGTCAAACCCGGTTGACCGTCATTCGCATTCAAAATGCTGTTCAATTGTGCGTTCTTGTACTGGCCAGGACTAGTTGTATTAGGGGCTGCAAGTTGACCGAGCTGGGTCGCATATCCATGACTCCCCTGTCATGTATGTGCCTCTGATGACACTGTCCGTAGTGCCCGTAGAGACTGAAAAGGTCATACTCCTGCTTGAAAATGAAAAGGTCATACTTACATAAATATGCTAACAGATCTTGAGCGGTCAACTTCCAACCCCTAATAGTAGCCTCTGCTTTTGCCGCCTCAACATGCTGGAACTCCGTATCCGAAGAGCTATTGCTATGCGTGTTCTTACTATCAGTAGTGGTGGCGTTTTGGGAATCAGTCGCAGCGATAGATCTTCGCTTCCGTGGTTGGGATGTGGTGGAAGTAGCTGGCGCGCCAGAAGGCTGACCTCCTTGTGCTCCGCTTATTCCAGAGTCCAAATTCGTAGCGAACGCCACTTCTAAATCCTTCTCCAAATCACCTCCGGCATTACTAGCTTGCTCTATCGCATCAAAACTGAACTCATAGTTGTTATCGGCTCCTTTAGCTTTACCAGCACCAGGAGATCCGGATGTAAGAGTAGTCAGCGTCGGACTGCCTGTGCCAGAACTTTGGAGATCGCCTCCAAATGAAGAGCCTGTTTGATCAAAGAAACGTCTGCTAGCAGAAGTTGAAAACTTCTCTAAAGCATCAAAACTATCCATGAGTTTTTGATTCCGGTTGCGCTTCTTTCTTTTCTTTGCTGGCATCGAGGGCGATGCCGTTTCATGTGTCCCTTTAGTGTTCTCTCTCTGGGTCTGGTCGCTTCCTCCGGGTAAGACTACCCCTCCTAAAATAAAGTCCGTTGTGTTACTGGACGCTGATGGACGACCTCCTTGTTGCGCCTGTTCAGCAAAAGCTGTTCCTTGTCTACTAGTGGAAACCTCCCGTGATGTTTCTGCTTCTATAGTAGTACCACGACATTTAGAACCTCCTAATCCGGGTCCAGAAGATGGGAATTCCATGGTATCTCTATCCCCTCTAGGCAATGTAGGCGAATCTGGGTCAACATAATCTGCTGTCACAACAGGTGGACCACGCAAGCCTATTTCTAACGGCGACAACAGCCAAACGGGCTTCGAGGCATCTTCAGCACTCTCTGTGGTGGTTGCACCTAAGCCTAGATTATGTCTCTCTGTTGAAGGCGCTCCTCCTCTCGAAGGACCACGACTTGCGTTACCTGCAGACTCGTCCACACCTGGCTGTTGATCTCCGCTACCGGAAGAAGCTGCCACGCCCGCAGCCGAACTCGCCACGCTTGCGCTAGGAAGCGCATCATCGTCTTCATTGCCATCGAAAACGAGGAGTGTGTAAGCTGCTGCGTCGCTTGCACCGCGGTTTGGGGATTTTGCGGTTGATGGACCTTGTTAGAGGAAATAATTCCGCAACGAACTGTAGTAGAAAAAGCTACATCGAATCTGGAAAGTTTTTACATCGAATCTGGGCCATAACTCCCTTCTCCCGCTTTTTTCTTCTTCATTGTCATCGGCAACTCCCTTATCTTCTTGCTTTTGCTGACTAGGAAGTCGCTGACGCCAGGTAGTCGCTCAATTGCAGAGGCCCACTGCGCAGTGACTTCTATGTCGCGCACAGACCGCTTTCCAGCCCCATTCCACATCTGCACTGCATGAACCTCGAGTTCGGGCTCGTCCCCATGATCTGCGGCTCTCTTTGTCGTGGACGCTCCTCTTCCGGCTGCCATATTCACTTCAAAATTCAGCAAAAATTCGCCATCTGCACTCGCTGTCTTGCATTTCCACGCGGTAGTGGGGGCAAAGCCTTTCGATGGGCGTCCCGATGCGGACATTTGCCGTGAAGAAGGTCTGGAGGACGGTTTGGAAGATGAGGAAGATTTTGACGACGGTCTCGAACCTCCACTTGCTGTTGTTTTCCCACCTCCTTGTTCTCCAGAGTTGTTAGAAAACAGCTTGTGGACGTTGTTTCCCCCGCTAGTCAGACCACTACAACTAATCGTCGTCGGAACAACTGGTAGTTGATTCCCTTGCTTGTCTATGACAGTGAGGGATGCAATCTCGACTTCATGTGGAGCGCCATGGTTTCGCAAGACGTGCACTGTGATGTGCGCGCGCTCTTCTGCACGACCGCCGGATTCAACAAGGCCCATCTGCGTATTCCCTTGCTCTCCTTCTGTTTGGCCACTATTCGAACCACCATTGTTATTCCCACCTCCACCACCAGGACCGCTACCGCCTCTAGCGCCGGCGCCACTGGTTGCTCCAGCGTCGGTTGCACCTGGGACTACACCGTCAGCGAATTCTCCACTGCCTCTCTTACTTCCACCCCGACTCCCACCACCGCGCGCTGACGAGTCTCCTCCTTTCTTACTATAGCAGCAGCCGTGCTGGTGGACCTGGGGAACGGTTCCCAGAATCGTGCTATCTTCCTCATCTTTCTTGGAAGATGAAGTTGATGAATCCCTTGGTAGGATCGCAATTCCTCGTCCCACAACAACAGCCTTTTCATCCTGTTGGTGCTCTCCTTCTCTCCAGTCCCAGCGCTGTTCTATCACTGCGCAATTTTCGTCCCAGCAGTCAAGCAACCTCTCTAGTGCCCGCTGTCTTGGACCATCTAAATCGGCGACGCGCTCGACTAGATGTTCGACTTGCCTGCTCAAGGAACGCGCACGACTGCTGGAGCGAGAGACTGGAAGGGACCGATAGGGGGCTGCTTCTTGACCAGTAGTTGTACTGTTACTTCTCAAAGAAGATGCTGAAAATACTTGCTCTATTCCTGTTGCTGGAATGGTGGTTGAAGACGCTCCTGCAGCAGTTGGCGGAAAAAGCTCAGGGTTCAACAGCACAGGTTGATCTCCACCTTGTCTAGACAAGTCATCCTCTACCGTCTCCCGAGGCGTCCGCCTGCTCCCTAGTGCCGACGGTGGTCGGTAAGCTTGCGCCGCTTCCTCAGTAGTCGGCAACTTCGACACGACTTGACGACTACTTCTCGGCCTCTGTTCATCTGCGAACGCAAAGTTTTCTGCCGCCATCGCTGTCGCAAGATTCATCGATGGAACACCTGTACTACTGCTAGAAGATGAACTCGCAGATGCTGGTGTCGCGGCACCGGCACTAGCAAAGGGATTAGTATTCAACATCTCCAGACTCCTGTGCTGCAGCGAAGACTTGATAATTTGTTCTGTCGACGTCCGAAGAATCGGCACATCATGTAGCTTTATCCCTGCACTAGCGGCAATAGTCGGACTAGCGGACGGCGATGGATGAATCGCAGAGGGTTCTGGTGGTCCTCCTACAAGATGAAGTGCATTCACTTCAACCGCGGTGCTTTGCAAAGAAGAGGTGGCGATGCCTTCACTCTTGCTCTCGATACCCATCGCTGGTGGCCTTACAGCTGCACGCAAGTCAGCTCTTGACACCTCCTTACTGGCACGCAGACTTTCCCTGACTTTCTCCAGCGCTTCCCGTGGTGCGGTTTCTAGCATAGTCAAGACCTCTACCACGTTCTTGTCTCCCAGTGCATCGTCAGCTTCGTCTTGTCCCTGATCCTGTCCTTGTAGCTCCTGAGACTCCTGACGAGTACAACAACTAGAACTCTCATTTTCTTGTTCCACAACAACTTCCCCAGTTGGTGAGAGTTTTATCACTCTGCCATCTTCCGCACGCAGCTCGATGGTCTCCTTCTGCCAACCACGGTTGTTGTTGTTGCCATGGCCTCCTACACCCCATTTATTCACTGGTGCAGCAGAAGACGATGAAGATGCTCCTGCTCCTAACGCACTTAGAGATACTGGTCCGAGTCCACCAGGAAGATCGTTCGCTTGTTGCATTATTGGAAGAACACCTTCAAAGTAGTTACTAGGATTTTTGTCCGAAGATGCTGTAGTTGGTGGACTAAATCCACCTAATACTTCTGATTCTCCTCCAGTTGTACTACCCGTGAAAGCAGACTCAACACTCATTGGGTTCGGGCCTAGCGCCAATCCGGTACTCGAAGACGATGAAGATGCAGCCTGCTGATGTCCTCTCCCAAGCCCGAGATGAGAGCCATTGGCGGGAGCAGGAGTAAGCACTTTACAACTCCCAACTATTGGCGCGAGGCCACGGACTCGTGAGGGACGTGTCTCTACTTGAGATTGGAGTCTTCGGAATTGCAATCGCTCTTCATTGGCTCCGTTGATGTGTGTCTGAACAAGTGCAAGTTTTGATGAAGTTGCTGCGTTATCAGCAACAGCAGCAATGATAATGATTGAATAAGAATCAGTAGTAAGGCTCCATGATACTGTTTGAATTCGAATTCGAATGACTCAAGATAATGATGTGTCGCGTTTTGCATGCATGCTACAGATTCGGGATGGAAAATTTTGACCATAGTATTCCTAGGGAAATGTCATAAACACACGTACTCTTACCTGAAGACTAAGTATAGATAGTCTTACCTGACAGACTAAACCGGTAGTACCTGAAAGCCTTCCTCTCTTTTCTTTGTCAGGTCTTCGCTTCGTTTCTTTTTCCTATCGATCGCTAACTTGATCTTTTGCCGTTCTGCGACCATCTTGTTGTAGAAGAAGTCTTCATCGCGAACGACAGTAGGATCTCCTGTAATGCGGATGCCCTCCGCATCTCCACGCGTTTGGGAGAAGACACCCATGATGTTGCGGGTGGAAGTAGATGGATGTTTTTAAGTTACTACTCTTGTTCTAGTCCGGAAGAAAAAAAAGAAACTCTTGTTCTAGTCGTGAAGAACAACTCGAGAGCGGGATTGAACTTCAAGTCTTTTCCTTATCCTTGTTGGTCCTCACTAAAATTCTCTTTCTACGATTGGGAGTGCGGAGTGGATTCATAAATATTATAAAGTACTACAGACCTAGAAACGAAAACCTTTTTCTATGAACTCGCGTGCTGGGTAGACAGTTGTATTTTTCTTGTTGCCATATTTCCGCTCAGCCCATTTTGTAGTGCTTTCCCTTTTCTTGATTTGCCGTCTTGGCGGAATGAAAAACCGACTAAAAAACAGACACAATACGCCAAGCTGCTGCACCTTTCGCAACCAAACATAGCACCTTTGCGCTGGTCCTTGGTCTGCAGCAGTAGCTTTCGTCACTACTAGAACTCACTGAAAGTGAAATCCCCAGATGCTATCAAAGAATGAGAATGATGTCCTTTGCGAGGTACTAATACAACTTGTGCGTGGGTTCTTATCTCAAGTTTACTCAAGAATGTGTTGGTGTTTAAAAGCGATAGCGAGAATGGATCAATCCCTTTGATCTGACTCCAGCTTCATCGACTTCGGCATCACAGAAAATCCTTGCGGCTCTATTGCAACTACAGGCGCCTTCTTCGCGGGTGAGAAAAACTTCGTTTCAGCCTCCAATGATGTTGCAGGAATGCCGGACGTTGGCCGCTCTTTGCGAATACCTGGAGATCGATGGAAATAACGAAGGTTTTTTCAATGACATGCCAAAAATAATGCACATCATAATTTCTTTTGAAACAACTGCATGAAGAAATGAAAACAGAAGTACGAGCAAGCTCCTCTGCGATGCTTGGTTCAAGTGTTGGCGCCTCAATCGATGCTGGCTTAATCTTCATCAGGTTAGCTCGGGCCTGTATTTCGGAAAAAGATGAGATTGAAGATCGACCTTGGGACATTACGATCCATTCAGCAAGGATATCAAAAGATTTCGCTCTTGTTGCCTTATTAATTGTCCTGCTGTATTTGATTTATTTAAAGCAAAACGAAAACCAAAACCACAAGAGTATATAATTATAACAAGTACCCTCTCAGCCAACCGCATTCCCCCTGCTATACCAGCGCCTGCAGCTGCAGCACGCCCTTTCTTACTTGGACTGCTCATTTGCAATATCGGCGCATCTTCCTTCGGCTTTGATGGTGCAATAGAAATCGCACCTTTGACATCCAACAAAGTTGTGGGTGAAGGATCAAGTGCTCCTGAGGTACTAGCCGAAGTACTAGCGGTCGTTGGAGGGTTATTTGTATCTGTTTCATCGATGGTACTGAGAAATGATGAAGAGAAAGCACTGCCAGATAGAGTTGAAGATCTCTTGGATGAAGTTGAACTAGTACTAGTAGTTGAGACAGATGTAGGCTTCGCGTCACTAAACCTGCTCTTGATCGATTTCATCGTACTACTGCCCTTCTCTCTAGAAGCCGCTCCACTACCCAACAAGCCATCTCCAAGTCCACCATCAACGGTTTCTTCTACTTCCTCCATATCCGTCAATTTGAAGTCAGCTCTCAAATCACGTCTCCATCGTTCAAACTCCTGATTTGCGACATCCTCCATCGCCTTGGCGTCTTTTTCCAACAGGGCGTCGATCTCTAGCTCTTCTTCCTCTTCCTCCGCTTTCAAGTCTGCCTCGTATTTGAGACCTTGTAGATACTCCTCTCGCCTCAAAGTTTCTTCGTTTTTCTTCAGGGCGCGGTCCATCTTCTCCATTTGGGTAGTGGATTCCGACAAGATTTCTTCCAGACCAGTTTCGAAAGCAGCGAAACAGTTGCTGAGTGTAGCAGTGAATTTCTCCAGTTCGGGTTCCTGCATGAACCGACGCTGGTCGACGGGAGCGGTGGGGAGGAGTGCTGAGGAAGAGGTTGTAGTCGAAGTGGAGGACGTCGTACCTGGATTCTTCGAGTTCTTCTTCGCGTTTTTGCCTTCATCTTTCTGACTCGAAGATGATGGTTGTGCAGCTGCGTCATCATCGATGTTGTTCTCGATCAGGATCTGATTCAGCGGCTTCGTCTCCTCCAGGGCAGCTGCAAACAACGCTGAAGGATCGCAATTCAGTATCGCGGGCTTTCTACTCCTGGTTGCGTTTTCATGATCTACTTCGGCTGTACTAGTTGAATTTTTACCCTCTGAATCCTGCCCGTGCTCACTACTAGATTTTTTCAATGCCTCCGCCTCCAACACCAAATCAACGTCCTCTTCATCCTGATCAACTTCCACTTCACCCTCGCCTGCATTCGCCTCACCTCCTGCAGTCACCTCCTTCGGCGCAGCGACAATGCTCACTGGTTCGTCGTTCAGCAAAGCCAACGCTTTGAACTTCTCACCTTGCGTGATCACTGCACGAAACAATGTCGCACTGCCCTCATCAGCTTGCCCGTCAACAGTAGTAAAAAAAGCTCCATCTTCCGCGGAGGCAGCTGCCGTGCTTGCCGATGCAGAAGGAGTGGCGCTGGTCGTGACCAAGCCGGAGAATGGGTCGTTAGAGAAAATAGCCTGTTGAAGTTGATGATGAAACTAGAGGTAAAAATAAACTTAAATAATCCTCTGAGACCCCGGAGGTTAGAGAACATAAAAACGGGTAAGGTGGGTATGAGGTTTAAGGGAAACAAAGGCAAAGGGATTGAGTGCCAAATCAAAATTGCAGGTCAACGTCCTCTATTTTAGTTGAACGAGTTACGAAGATTCTTCTTGCCGTAATACCTCCACCTCCCGGTGGTGTCAAATACAACTCTGCGAGCGTCTCCCCATATGCTTCAGCCAGCGCAGCCACTATAGTGCTCGTATCTTCTTGCGGGATAGGGTTCTCCGCAACGTCCAGGATCTCCAAAGCTCCCAATGTTCTGGGTAGATTACTCTGCAAGTCTCTAATCTCATTGTGAGCCAGGTAGAGTTCACGAAGCTCAGGAGTCGAGCAGGTGCTAAAGATGTCAAAACCAGCCAAATCTTTGATCTCGTTCTGCTGGGCGCTGAGGGAGACAAGGGAAGGGAGTGTGGGAACAGGGACTAGAGCGTTTCCACCTCCAGCAGACAAGTCGCCGGAGGCTAGTGCGGTTGATGAAGATAATACAGAAGATGCACTGCTGCTTGTCACAGTTGCAACTGCAGCAAGTGAAGTTGTACTGCTAGAAGCGGAGGAAGCTGCGGAGGTTGACGAGGCTGAGGATGCTTTCATCGCTCCAACCACTACAACATGATCCCCAGCAGAACAAGCGCCTCCATTCACAGCAATCCCCAACTCTCCCGGTGATTTCGCGGTCGTCAAAAAACCTAACGACCTGAGCCCATTGCCGTCAATTTCTAGTTCCTGCAACTTCGTCAAGTTCCGCAATGCCCGATCCAAAGGCAGTTTGGACGCACGCGCGGCCAGAAGTTCGCCTAAATTAGATGAGGGTACGGAATTTTTACACTCTTCAGCACATAATTCCTGGCCTCTTATTTTCTACTAGAAACAGAGTCAGGAATGGTAGTGAGGAATGCAATTCGGAAACCCTTAATTAAAAGAGAAGGCTTTGTTGAAAAGATCGACGAAGAAGAGGCTGATGATGATGAACCTCCTGGTGCGCCTCCACCACCAAAACTAGCAGAGAATCTACTAGAACTTTTGTTCTTATTCATCTTCTCCAAAGTCGCGGCTGTATGTTGCTTCAGCTTGTTCACGTTAGCGTTCCTACTAGTGGAAGAGGAAGCTGCAGCCGTAGACCCAGTCGCCATAGAGTTGGCACGAGATCGTGATGTGGTGCCACTGGTGGTACTGGTAGCATCACCTCCTTCTGAAAGATTGATGTCGTCTTCAGGTTGTAGCCGATTTTCTTCTTCCTCGTCTCCTTGCGGGGCAACGAAAGAATCGTCTTGTGCGTGTCGTGGTACTTCCGATTGAAGCTCATCTAGAACTAGATCTACTGCTCTGACTACAGGCACTACATCAAAACTGTTCGTCTCGGCTTGGTCAATGAAAGGTCCTGTTGAACAAGATGATGCAGAACAACTCCTCGACGCGATAGATTTAGAGATAGGTTTTTTGGTGCTCGCTTACCCCGCTTGCTGTGCCTTTCTCCCTTGGGAGAGGCATAAAAAGCGGTAAGAAAAGCACCTTTAACCTACTCGACATATTAGAATTAGATGTACTCCTCAACATAATATTAGATGTAGTAGCAGTAGATCTTCCGGCTCCTCGATGTTCCATCTGGCCTAATCGATTGTGATTCAACGTCAAAACACGCAGGTTCCGTAACCAGAGCAAAGAGTTCGCCACATCGCTGATCTGATTGTAGGAGAGTTGTAGTTCCTGCAACGAAGGCGGGAAGACGGATTTGAAGACCTTCCTAGAGCGGGCAGAGGAGGTCGAAGAGACTGTGCTGGAGTTTTTCTTGTTCTTGATATTAAAGCTCAGCGCGCAGTCAGTCTGGTCATCATGACTCTGAACGGAAGAGACCCCCTTCAAAGCTCTCCCCTTTGCCTTAGTTTTCCCCTGTTCTCTCAAGGGGTCGCCTCTTCGACCTCAGTGACTCCAATCTCAATGGTGACCACTGAAAGTTGTTGAGCCTTAATGTTATCAATAGCGGGGTTGTTGACGCCTGTTCCCATTGCTGTGGAGAATGGCTTCTTAGAAGCGGATAGTGCTTTGTTGCGTGCTTGAAGACTCTGACTCTGTTGTTCCTTCGTATCCTCCTCGCCTTCTTCGACAACTCCTTCTTCCTCCTCATCAGCTCCACCGTCTTCTTCGTCATTCTTTCCTCCTGCAGCTGCTACTGCCAGTTCTGCCGCGCCGTCTACTTCCTCAAACTTCTCCCTGACCCTCAAGCCTCTAGCGTCAATCTTGTTCTTCTCCAGATTCAGGCACTTCTGAATGGTTCCGGTATTTGGTAGCCTGAATTTGATCACAAGGGTTCTCTTCTTGTTTTCCCTTATGATCAAAATCAGGCTATACCAAAAATACCGGAGCCATACAACTTCAGATTCCGCAATGTCCGAATCCCCTCTACCGCAGTTATCTGGTTAAACTGCAATTCCAACCGCTCTAATTGTTGCAACTGATCCAAATTCTCCATTTTTCGGATGTCACAACTCGCTAGACGCAACTCCCGCAACTTCGTGAGTGTTGAGAGGTTCTCAAGTCTGCGGATGTTGTTACAAGAGAGATCTAACCTGACAAGATTCACCATGGGTGGGGCAGCAGCTTTGTCGAGACCTTCGATACGAGTGAAAAAGCCAAACTGGAGGACTAAAGAAGCAGACGGAATCGCATTTGCAAGTTGCGATTTGTTCAGGGTACAGTTGGCGAAAGATTTGGAAAGACCGTCACCTGATGAAGAAGAACTTCCGCCAGTCGTACTAGAAGTGTTGAATGTCAGTGAACGCGCGATCAAGTCCTCGGTCATGCGCGCTCCCTTCATCGTTGTAGGCTTACCTTTTGATGTAGTACCTGCACGACCCCGAGCAGCTTTAGTTGCTGTCTCAGAACCTCCTTCACTTCCACCTGTGCTACTTTCCTGTTTAGTTGACGTTAAACTACTGCCACTGCTATTTCCACCACCCCTCTTAGATGGTGCCACCTTTACTTCTTCGCCCCCATCCATCTCGAGCATTTTACGATGTTTTGATGATGGTGCTCCCCACTTTCTTGCTTCTCGCATACGTAATCGAGAACTTCTAGAAGTTGTACCATCCTTAGTACAATTCACCGTTTCATCCAAAAACTTCTTCAAGGATTCGAACTCTTCATCATCCAATCTCTTTCTCGTCTCCTTCCTACTCGCCTTCATGAAAGAAACAGAGTCATCACCTTTACTAGAAGAAGAACAACCTCCTCCGCCAGAACCTCCTGTAGTAGTTGTAACACCCGTAGTTACAGATGAAGAGCCACTTCCCCCAACTCCCTTGGGACGTGTGCCCCATCGTGCAGGAGAAGCCGAACGCAGTGCCGCACTCGTAGTTGTTGGATTAGCTCCTGCAGCTCCGTTCACAGCATTCCTAGTAGCCGCCGATGTTGAGGTTGACACACTTCCTCCCGCACCTGCAATTCCTGAGCCCCCAGCAAGCTTGGAAGCTCCTCCAGCTGTCCATTTTATCTTTGGCCTACTGCTTTTTTCTGGCGCAACTGTGGTTACCGTTTCCTCTCTCAGAGGAGGCTGAGGAGCCACAGCTTGCTCGACTGTTGAGGCCATGTTTTTGTCGACGTTTAGACAAGGAGACCGGCTCTTGTCCGTCGTGGTCGTTGTATCAATTCTACTTCGACATTGTCCTATTCACATTGGTTGTTAGCAGGTCCCTAGCGCTGATCGTCCTGACTCTTAATGGGTTTCGACGTATATTTTGTTAAGGAAATTTTTTCAGAAAAGAATAACTCGAATAACTGTTTTTCATCGTCTTCCCTTTCCGCTCTCTCACCAAGTTCACTCAACATCAGCATTTTGGCATTGTCGCTTTTTTCTCTGCAAGTCAGTGCTATTTCGTACACTCGTCAAGAGACCACTATCCGTTTTTTTGCACGACCAAGCTTTTTGTCACCTCCCTCTGTACAAAAGGATTCCTCAAATGAATCCCCTTCGCAGGAACAAGATCCCATCCTCCAATGCGATTTAAATGAGAACGGATGAAGTCTCGATAGTATTATTCGAAAAACTGAAATAAGCGAGTAACTAGGGAAAATAAGGGAGATACTGAAAGAAGAGGAATGTAGTCAAGACTCTCTTATTTCAGTCAGTAACTCGGTTATTTTCAGTTTTCGAGTACGTAAAAATTAGAATTACAGCGCTATTCCAAAGGCAAAACTTTTCTGACATCCCTCACCTCCATCTTCCAGCCGGTGATAGGACAGCATCCTTTATCCCTCACGTGATTCGCTAAGCACGCAAAGCAGAAAACATAGCCTCCAACTGACTGCGCTGGATTTTTCCGAGGCTCACCACATAAGTTGCAAAGTGTAGTGCTTTGATACAAAGGAATCTTATGCTTCCGAGGAGGTTGAGGCGCGAGAGGAAGTTCCTCTTGAGAAACTTTTTCATTACCTGTGAGACCACTAGATCCTCCGACTCCTCCTGCTCCACCACCTCGTCCACCACCTCGTAGTTCACCAGCTTGCTCCTCTGCAAATTCTTGTTGCCTTGATTGATACCAGTGCGCTAGCTGGAGACCGTAGATGCTGACCCAGAACATAGCTTGAGGTACTGCGGAAAAGGACTGAGAAAGCAGAGAGGAGAAAGATGATGGGGGTGTTGACGTACTACTTGGTATTCTAGAAGTACCGTGGTCTTTTTTGTCCGAGTCAACCGGAACAGAATCATTTCCATTCGATGAATCACCATCGCCTTTGCTATTAGCGATATTTCCTTCACCCGGTTTCCGTCTTGCAATCTGCAGATGCAATAGCCACAGGAGGATAGTCCAGTCCCCACCCAAGTTGAGGAGGTACCGAACCCTTAGGCTAAGCTGCAAGACACGTGTCGTGACATGATAAACCTCAAAGATTCTCACGGAGAGGTGCTTAGTGAAGTCCTTCACTGCGTCTAGGAGGTGGTCCTCCGGAACGGCAGCCTTTGACGGTTCCGTTTGTAGCGCCTCCGCGTGCTGTGCTGGGTCATCATTTTGCTCCGAAAGGTTTTCATTTCCTTCCGCAGGATTTGCTCGTTTCAGCTCCATCTGTTCCGCATGAGTACCTCGGCTCTGAGCGGGAAGCGTGCGCGAATCTCTAAACGATGCATACAACTTTTTCACCACTCGCACGATTCGCAACCATGCCTTTAGCAGTGAAGGGGGTCCGAAAGCTGCTCCACTATTTTGGGCGACCCTATCGTGATTGCCTCCAGCACCATCTCGACTAGAAGTATCATCAGTGGTCGAAGCTGCTAACATCAATTCACTTCGCCACCACTCGCACTTTCCGCGAACATACGCTTCGATTGCTGGCCACACCACCTGCACAAGCAACAAGAGATTCCGCGCACGTCTGCTAAGGCTGAATTTCTGGCGATATCTTTCGTAATCTACGAGGGTTAGCTCTCTGGCGAGTCCTCTAGAAACAGTGGACGAAGCACTCGAAGGTGTGCCTGCTCCAGCAGCACCTCCACATGCCCATTCCGCATGTACCATAGTACATAAAGGTTGCTTTACTTTGGTCTCCAACCATTGTTTTGCTGAATGCTTTTTGGACTGGATGTACCTCTGAATGAATCCCGAACGAGCAGCTACAACGTTTTCCTCACCCTCTATTTCTTCACCATCTCCACCAACATCGAGGTCCGCCAACTCCAACTTCAGATTCAGGATATTTGTTTCCCAGAACGCACTCCTGTACGTCAGATTCCACGCTTGCAACGAAAGCACAATCAAGAACTGCACAAAGTCTATGTGGCGCTCGTTGAGGGTACCACCATCCTCTGGTTCCTCAGCGAGGATGTAATTAGAGGTAGGCTTTTGGTGCTCGCTTACCCCGCTCGTTTTTATGCCTTTCTCCCTTAGGAGAGGCATAAAAAGCGGTAAGAAAAGCACCTTTAACCTACCCTTAATGTAACGCAGAGTGCGGAGGCCGGCTCTGCTTGATACTGTTTTGATGCTCTTGGCGATGTTGCGAAGGAAGCTAAGAACGTTGGACTTCGTTGTTGCTCGATAAAAGTCATCTTCTCCATCTTCATCAAAGTACGCGTCCTCCCCAAGGACAGCCAAGTCTCGCACGTTATCCAGGATACTTTGAATTCCTACAGAATTGTCACAGTAGTGAGAAAGTAGAAAACGAAGCGCATTTTGGAGACTTTGCCCGATCGCTTCCCCTTGCTGTAGTTCGAAAAAGCTAGGACGCCACCCAAGGTTGTACACGTTGTTCAGGAACGAGACTAGGGGATCCACCATGATGGTTTGTGTTCTTCGATTTTCTCGTTAATCTTGACTAGGGGATCCACCATAATGGTTTGTGTTCTGATGGTTTGTGTTCTTCAATAATTTTCTCGTTAATCATCTTCTTACACATATGTTGATGGTTTGTGTTCTAATGGTTTGTGTTCTTCGATTTAGATTTAGGGGGTTGTCGCCTCAGCCCTGCGCATTGAGCACCGGATCATCTTACGTAGAGCTGAATAACCTTCTTTCCTGTTGAACCCGACTTTGAGAAGACTTCGTGAGAACGAAATGAAGTGTCGACCTGCCAGAGGACCCAGACGAAAAAGGCATTATCATGCCTGTGACCTACGCCAGAGCACGACAGACACGACGAGGCTCCTCGCACAGCCTTTGGTTTCTTCTCCCGTCTCTGCCCAGAAGTTCTTGCACCGACCAAGAGATCAGAACACTCACCTCAGCAATGCTGTAGCGGAACTTGCTTAAGTACTCGGCATCCATCAGTATCTTGATCCTCCCACAGGGGTGACCTTAAATCGATCTTGCGTCGTGATGAGTGAGGGAGTCTCGTCATCTCTGTATACGTAGAACACTAGGCAGGCCGTTAAATATCCCGGGAAGGCTGTGCTTGGTTATTCTGTCACTTGACTCAAAGGCCGGCCCTGCACACGGTAAGGTTGGCCAGTCTATGACCCCAGTGGTTTCATTCTAGGAGGTCATTGATTGGAGTCGTGCCATATTTGGGCACGCTCCTACTTCCTCAAGTCTCTCCACTTTGTTACTCTTTCACCTTTTCGGTTCTCGTTCTCGTTATGGGCGAGCAGAGTACTTACTTTTCTCATTCACTCGAAAAGAGACGATAGACTTGCTTTGTCGTCATACAATGGAACGGCATCAAATACAAATCAAATACAAATATTCCTGAGTTTTCCCACTTTCGGTTACGCTCCTACTAGCATATCGGTATCTTCTGCTTTAGCATCAAATAAACTAGAACCACAAACACCTGCACGACCTTTTCCAGTATTTTTAGAAGTTCCGCCTCCACGACTAGTGCTGCTAGTACTACCACCCTTTCCTACAGCTTGTTCCTCTCTTTCTCCCCGAAGATCTTCTTCAGACGCGAATCGATATCGAAATGGAGAAGTAAGCTCTTCCTCTTTCAGTGAACTCACAGCTCTGCTTTGTCTAGCACAGGCGCTTTCGCGTACGTCTGCTAGGTCTAGCAGGTCTTGTTCTTCATCACTGTAACCTACAAAATCTCCTTCACTTTCGTGCTGCTCATCGGATTCGGATGCACTATACGTAAGTGCCAAGCTGCTGTTACTCTGAGAGGAGCATTCCTGCTGGTCTCCGCTTCCTTGTTGTGCTTGTGCAGATTGTTTTATTAGAGGCGAGAATGCGAAAAAATATATGGGAAACGCATCGGAATCACCTCCTACTTATTGAATGAAAATATTACCTACCAACCTTTGAGGATGTAATTACTGTTGCTTATTTTGTGTATGTAGATGTACAGAACTTCATTCAATATCAATATTTCAAGATAGATGATGTCAACGTACGATTTATTAGATCAGGTATGTTTGGCCTTACATTTGACGAAGTGGTCTGCTCTGGAGGAGGAGGAGGACTCTTACTCTTTTGGCGACCAAGTAGGAACAGCCGCAACTCCGTCGCCTCCTTTTCCACAACTTCCGGTTGCTGGAGTTTTTTCATAACAGATGACTCAGGTTTCTGCTCAGGTTTGGGATTGGGTTCGCGTCTACGTCCACTTGTTCTCTCGTGGAGGTTAGGTTCAAGAGCAGGTAAAGCGAAACCGAAACGCTCAACTACTTGTCTACTAAGTGTGTTCAGTGGCGCGCCACCACTTCTATGATCGGAGCTTGAGACACAGACACTCTCCCAGAGCATTTGCTGAACTGGATCGCCACCTTTCCTCTTTTCACTGGGACTGGAGGGTGATGTAGCCTTCTCTTCACTGGGAGGTGATGTAGCTCCTGCTTCTCGTAGCTCTTCTGTTGTTTTTTCTTCGACATCAGTTCCCGCTCCCATAGGCATAGTGGTGTCTTCGTTTCCATTTGCCGCACAAGCGTCCTGCTGGAGGCTTAATAATACTACTGGCGCTTCTGTTCTTTGTATTAATCTAACATTTTGAACATGATCGTCAAGAACTACAACCTCTTCGTTTTCTGGTTGTGCACAAACTTGTCGTGGTAGAACATCAGCCAGCGGTCCGTGAGAAGTTGTTCCTCCTAATAAATCGTCAACGTCACCCTCCACCTTCTGCCCTCGAGAGGTTGTAGTAGAAGCTCCTGCAGCTCTCGTCGTAGTTGCTTGAGGTTGTCGTGATCCGCCAGCACTTCCTCGTTGTACGTACTTCATAGCCCAGCATTGGCATTCTACACCGCAAAAAACACCACCGTAATGAGAATGGTCATCGATTTCACTGCGCGTGTGGCTGTGGTCTAAGCCTCCTGTTGATGGAGTCATGAATGTGACCGCCGAGACGGGTCGTAGCAGGAGCTGCACCAGCACGAAATGGCGCAGCACCGCCAAGTAGCCCAAGTAAAAGCATGGAGAGCCCTTCATCTTTGACATCGTGGTCCTATCAGAAACACAAGATACAGAAGAAGATACTTTACTTACTTCTTTGGGTGTGTTACAAACGCGGCGCTCTTCTACTTGCCCTTGCTTCTGAGGATGGCGATTAAATGACATAAGTCAATGAGTTGTGGCTCTTCTTGTAACAAGATTATAGGGGTATTATAAAAAGATGTTGTTCTTAGTCTTACTCTCAACTGTAGTACTTGATAGAATACTTAAACTTGACAGTTTTGCTTTGGATTCGATGTGCCAGAGCAATCTTTTAATACAATTTTCACGTTGATGGAATTGAAGAATTCTTCTCCACTTTTTCCTTAAAAGTTCTAGCGTCTTTTTTTCGACTGTCCTGACCTGAATGTAAATGGGTAGAAGGAGATGAGAAGTAGGTGGCTAAGGGCGGGGCTGCTCTTCGAGTAATCACAGATATTCAAACTGATGTGGACGATTACAGATATTCAGAGTGTGGAATGCTTCACGACATGAAAGTGAACTTAAAAAAAGGGCGTACTCCACACCGGAGAGTGAGATAATTCTTTGAACTCGTTTTGAGGTTCGGGGGATCTTCCTGAGAAGCCTTAGCTATCGATCATGTTGTGGACCTTTTTTCTGGAGCAGACAGACATGTATCTGATGAATCTGGATCTGGAGCAGATGCAATTTCAGACCGGCACACGGATGATTCCAAAGACTCTAAAAAAAGATGGGAACACGCAAGAAATCCTGTGCCTCGACGATCTGCAATTAGTACTTTCGATTGATAAGGATCATGATTCAGGGATCATTAAAGTCTCAGGAGGAGCTTCTGTGACTGTGATATTTTTATCTCTAATTATTACTTACCAGAATGCGTATGTTGACCATGATCATCCATGGTGGCCCTTCCCTATAAATTGTGATTGTAATTTTTGCTGAAACTCATACATACCGTCCATCAATATCAACAGGTAAACGTAAAATAACCCATAGCCATAGCATCCATCACTCCAAACTTATCAATTACAACATCTACATCAGTTGATTTTAATAATTCTTGGTGTTCTCTGTATGTCGTCCCGCCCGTTTAGTTGTCTATGTCACTATCATGTTGTTTATAAATGTTAATATTTTCCCATTTTTCTTCCACTTGTTGTTTTCCCACTTCTTATTAGAAGACTTTCCCACCTCCCAGGTTATAATTATATTCCGGTTTCTTCATCTCTTCTACTTAGAAGACTTTACTCCCAGGTTTTCCCATTTTTTCTTTCCATGATAGTGGTCCTGACTTTGCGTTCTGGCCTGGTTCTTCGCCTGCTGCTTTTAGCAACATTGGATTCGCCATAGACTTTCGAAAACTGGAGGTGCTTCCTGTGCTTCCTCCAGTAGACGAAAAGCTCCCTCCGCCCACTATGCCACTGTAGGTTGAGTTCGTCGTTGCCTTTAATAGCGTAGAAGCTGTGGCGGGATCGATGTTCTTCGCCTGTTTTTCGAGAGGGAATGAGCTTGTCCATTTCGTGGGAGCATGTTCCTTGGTCCACGCGCAGAAACTGCCATTCATATCGTGCCCTACGGGGCGCATGGTGGAGATGTCAGCCTTCACAACAGGATTGCGATCCCGCCTGGGATGCTCATGGAAGACATAGGACTGGACGGTCAACATCTCTTTTTGCTCTACTTGACGAGGAGGAACTCGAAGAATGGATTGAATGAGATTAGTACTATGTGGATGTGACGAATACCAAAGCACGCAGTTTATTTTCAGGAAAAAATTATAGAGACAACAAAGTGAACAAGCTTTTCCTGTATGTTCTACTTTTATGAGGATGTTCAGCGAAATTAAAAGTAATAGGTCTTCTAACCCTAAAACCGTATAACTAAAAAGACAAAATGATCCTTGTTACGATATCATGTGTGAAGGCCTTTGTTTAGGAATCAATACCTGTCGTGGCGGGAACGGTCACATGATTAGCCAACAATTTTATAGCAATGCATGTCGAAAAACAGCGAGGTGACTACCGACACCTTCGCTCATGAGATGATCTCCGCTCTATACAAAGCGAGAGGTAAAACATGGATCAAGAAAAGAGGCACGGGAATCCATAACAACAAAAAACTCGTATATCAGGACCTTAGAACTGATCTCTCTCTCTCGTCTCGTGCAACTGAGGACAAACAAAGATAATCAATCTCCCCTTGAAAAAAGAACAACCGACTCGGAGTTTGGTGAAAGGAAATATCCCTCAAAAGACAGATGACCTTTTTTGCTCAACACCGAGAATCTTGGCTCTTTTTGTTGTGAAAAAAATAACTTTAAAGCCAAAGAGTGTAAGGCATTGATTTAACGATCTTGTTGGGAGTGTTGTGAAGCTTTCAGCTGGCTGCTGTTCCTAAGTGTTGTTTTTTGGAAAAGGCACGAAACCAGAAGAAGAGCTCCTTTACATGACAACGCTAATACTATTATCTTCTTGATGACAGGTGAGAATTGGAGAGGAAAGAGGAGATGTATAGAGAAAAGCCAACCGACTAGTAGTTTACAGGAAGAAAGGAGAGTACCCAAAGGGGTAGGAGAGGTCAGGGAACAGCCACTGAGCACCTCCTGCAGGCTGTTCTCCCGTCCCCCGGTTATGACTGTCCAGATCATGACCGTTAAGGGGATCCCTTGTCCTGGACAAGGACAAGCTCACCGATGAGCATTACAGATAGCCTTTCTTCCTTGAACAGATACACTTAGAGGAAACATAAACCGATTTGGAGCAGGAGAGTGATACAGCGAGTGTCGAGCAGAAGTCGATTCGAAAGCGCGCCACAGTTGCAATATTAAGTAGAGAACTAGACAGACACTGGTTAACAAATTCATAGCAGTGCGTTTTACTAGCAGCACTTTAACACCATCAACAGCGCTTAGAAGGAGGGCCTTAAGGAAGTTTGGTCGTCGTGATCCGTAAAAATCCAGCACTATCTACCCCGTACCCTTTCATCAGAGGGTTGTGAGGCACTAGAACTCCTACACAACTTTGATGTTCACATAAGAACAAGCGAAAGCCTTAACATTTCTCCAAAGCTCCTCTCTCATCTCTCACGCTGCGACAAACTTTCACAAAGACTTTAAACATTCAAGAAAGAGGTTAAACATAAGAATAACTCCTTAAGTAAATGAAGATGACAAAAGGAGCAATTTCCTATGCTCCTTGACAGGTACCTGACCTCGAGCCGCATTTTGCCGTAACGTATGTTGTTCCCATTGTAAGGAAGTAGAAGTGCTGGCCAAGACTTTAGCGCATTCGTTTTCTCTTTAAACCTCTTAATTGTCATTTATAATTGTACTTGAAGGATCCCTAGATATGGACATTACTCACATGTACAACCAGGAAGAAAAAAATCCGACCTTTCCGCTTTATCACAGACTTTGTGGTCCATGATGTGCCCATTATCGCCGTACTTACAGGGGTGCTGATCTTTCTTTTTCCTGTAGTCCTTCTCTCGAAATTCTTCTTAAGCCGCTTCTATGCTTCATAAGTTTCTGAAAATCCCTTGCTGCTTTGTGCCCGAAAAAGGCTTTCCTTTACAAGAGGAACACGATAAGGCCCGCTTATCTTTCATAAGCTAAGACCTAGAGGGGCTTATAAATGCCAAAGCAATAATAAACAAAAGTTAATCAAAGTGTACAGGGTTCCCTTATCATGTTGCCTTGTATAAATACTTCGGTGTCTGTACATAATGAGAGATCACGAGTATACATAGCTAGAACCCAGATTATACAAACCAAACTAAAATAATAGGAGACATAGAGACATAGGTCTTCAAGTAGTGAAGGCTAAGAGCCTTAAAAACAAGGAAAATCAACTACAAGGTGCTGGTGAGAACATAAGACATGGTGAGAACAAAAACTAAAGAATTATGAAAGACGGAATACCATGTGAATAAGGAAGATGGAGAGAGGGACTTGAGTCAACAAAACAAAGAAACCCAAGTATCTAATACGTAAATAACACCTACTGGAAAATTAAAATAGCACCGAATCAAGAGTACAAAGAGACTATATACCAAAGAAAGGCTCTAGGAACTGTAGACTTATGAAACTATAAACTCAAATGATATCTTGATGCTTAAGTTAATAGACCTTAAGGCTTCAAGCTGAAGCAACATCTACTCATCTTTCATCGCGTAGTCTTCCGCCATGCTTCTACCGGTAGTAGTAGCTGCTTGCTGGTGTTCTTTGCAGTCATACCTTGGCCGCTTGGTATTAGGAGTGCTCGAGCATTCCTGATTCCAATTCATATTCTCCTTAGAGGGCTGCTGCTGTGACGTCCTAATCGCTACGATACTCCTCAACTTTTCTCCTTTATGGGTCTTGGTTTGCATCTTGTAATGCGGCACTCCTGCAGTGAGGTCCTCCTTGCCAGGCTTTTGCGAGTTTTCGTTCGACATTTTCCTGCTAATATATCTTACTTGTTGCCCACCTTACCTTTTTATCGGTAAAGCGTCTGCTTCAGGCGAGGTTTATCTAAAGTGTCTTCTAACACAACTCTATACTGACATCCGGTTTTATAGGAACCTAGTGCTTTATATTGTGTGTAAGTTATTTCTTCACCATTGCAGTCTCTATATTGTTCCGGTTTTCTTTTACACCATTCACATAACTGGTGCTGTGCTGGAGGTCTAGTCACACTAGTGCTAGCTATTAGTCTATGATTGTCCCTTATGTTTCTGCGTGGTAGCCAGAAGGTCCACTCATGACCGTCTATTTGCTTCACATACGTCTCAAGTGGGAACTGTGCTTTCAGTTGAGTTGTAGTTGGTACTATATCAGTTTTTAGATGAATGACATTACCACACTGACATACGAACCTAAAAAAAGGGGCATTTACAAAAACTAAAGTATGCCCTTGCACTGTAGTCTTTTCTTGTTGCTTATCCTGCTCATATAGTATCTCTTTCGTTCTGATGTTTCTTCTAACTATTGCTTTTGTAGTAGCTTCTCTAAGTACGTGTATGAGGGGGCTGTCGGTAATCAACCCACAATATACGTGAGGCACTTTATATAGCAGCTGCGGTTCGAGATCTGGCTGCGTCCGTATAAGACACGGACCAAAGATCTCTTGGAATTTAGCTGCTCTGGACCTTCTTGTTAGACATTCAATGCAAAGTTTTAGTACTCTTCGCGCACACTGTGGAGCAAGGGATGCTCTGACCATTACTAATTCAGCAGCGTGTAGGTGTGACTGCATATTAACTATACCTTCAAAGTTTTGGTGGACACTAAGTAAACACGTAAGCAGGCTATATTTTTCGAGATGCATGAGATCCTGTGTAGTCAGTGTCATCCATGTTGGGTGTAGATACGTAAAAACTAGCTTCCAGACTTCTAGGGGTAATGGAGGTCCTTGCTTTGGTTGAGGCCCTTCTTGGTCATATGCTTTTTTTAAAAGAAGGTGCTTTCTGAGGGTTGAGCAATACTTTCCATGCCAACCTTCATAGTCTTGCAGCTCTTCTCGATAACCTCTACTACATGATAACTCTTCTGCCACTAGCGTTCTACCTATTAGTCTATACCTTTTATTCATCTGTAGGTCCATGATTTTACTACTCAGTTGCTCACTTATATATGAGTTATCTTTCAACCAATTTGGACGTCGTGGATCATAACCTCGGAAGATTAATGCTCCATTGCGTTCAAACTGATCGTTTGCTTCAAAAATTACCATTATCTTCTTGGTATTGCTATGCTCTCTCTTAGTTACTCTTTCTTTACCTTAACGTAGGCCTTTGTGAAAAAAATAAAAAACTCACTTCTCAGCAAGAAAACGCGTATTTACACTCCAGATTTAGGATAAATGTTTCGGAATTGGAGTATGATTGATCCATTGAAGCTCTTGTACTAGATCTAGCTGAAGCTCGTCGATTTTTTTTGCGTAAGAAACCAGCCTCGACGGTGACTTGCGCGCTCTTTTTAGTCGTTGTTAGTAAGTCTAGCATCCCGGAACGAAAACCTCTTGACTTCTTTCAGACGCAACGTGAACGTCCTCCCATTTGTTTGTAGTTTATTGCTAATATTATGGGTTCCATCTGGATCTGAAAAAGTTAGCAGCACAATCACAATCACTGTAGCAGTAGCATGCTGGTGTTCTTGATTCATCATTGTTCTTCAAGTAACATTTTCAAGGTTGTCAAACTTCAAACACTATCAGAGAGAAAGCATGAGGCTCAGCCACAGTCGTTAGGTTTTTAATTTCACAACATCGAATGATCTACCAGGAGTAGTTTAATTTTGTAGTAACGACTGAGCGTAATATGTAAACAATGGCTTTGAATCTTGAAAAAAGCACTGTAAAAATGGCTTTGAATCTGTAGCTAAATCGATATGATTTGTATGATGATTTGGATGATTCTGGATGATGATTTGTATCTTGTATAGTAAGGAGTGAGTACATAGGTGGAGGATCATTTGTTTAGTACCTTCTATTCAGGCCTCTACAATATAATATCGGTTCTTGGACTGGTGTGACTTCGTCTGTTCAACAAAGCGAAACAAATCAAAAAATACCTGAAGATGATGATCCTGCTACTCATGATTCTTTTTGAAAAATTTCGAGAGAATGAGAAAAGACAAGGTCTACAACGGTGGAAGCTTTAATCAAATACAATAGTACACCAACTACAATTTATCTGTATCATGTCTAAGTTTACACGTAGTACTTACAAGTATGGGTATTAAGTACAACAGTTGTGAACGAAGAAGATGTTAAGCATCATCGCCCGTGGTGATATGCGCAGTCGCAATAATCAGTTCGTCCGCTTCATCCGGTCGCTCAGGCCTGTTACAGAAGACAAGACTTCCACACTTGCTTGGCGAATTTTCGGCACTCTTGTTTCTTCTTCGCTGTTCTCCTGCAGCTGTTCTTTGCTCTGCTCTACTACCTGCGTTAGCCGATGAGCCAGAGCAGGCTGAATTTCCGCCAGGTCCGGGTCCTCCTCCCACGTGAGCTCCAGGTGGCAGTACATGGGTAATCAAAAGCTGCTTTAGATCTGCTATCTGAAGTGCTTGGTCTCGGAGCATCTGATTCTGTTCAGCTACTTGATCTTTCAGCTCCTGCATTTCCTGCTGTCTTTGACCGAATAAGCCTACTCCTGTTGAGGAAGTGCCTACTCCCATCCCCGTTGAGGACATTCTTGCACTCGTACCTCTGTCCACTCGCATCACTGCTTGCGATCCACGGGTCATTTGCGTCGGCGGCTGCTGCTCGTCCGGTAATGCTTCGCCTGCTGCTAATATTGGTAGTGGCTTTCCAGTCCGTGATCTTGGATTGAAGTCTCCTCCTCCTGGTCCTGGTCCGCCTCTACTAGCACTATTCTCCAAAGAAGCCCCTCCTCCCGCGTCTCCGCCTATTGTTGTCGTCAATTGCGTGATCTTTTTCTCTAGACTGCCAATTTTGTCGACCATTTCGGACAAATCGTCCCCCAACATCGTATACAACGCCTCGGTTGCTGTTTCTGGAGGTATCACCATCTCTACCGTCGCGTCCATGTCGATCAAGGCAGTCTTGACTAACCTCTCAGCCTGCGCTAAAGGAATGTTAGGCATGATCAACTTCAGCTTGGCAGGTGTCACATACCGTTGTTCGGAGGTGATGAAGTCCAACACCATGTGCGTAGGAATGAAAAGTTGCTCATCCTCAAACTGGTATCGTTCGGAATCGCCGATAAAGAGGCCAGCCGGACCGCGGACTAGGAGTCTCCAAAAAAAGCTGTATCTCGATGCTTCGCCTCCAGCGAGGATAGCCTCTAAGCGCTGCTCTCGGCGCCTGGTAGGTTGGAGTCAAGATCAGCACCAGGAAGATTTTCATTCTCTGATAAATCTAAGCAGAACTGACGGATTTCTGCTTACCACGGTAAAATGTTCTGCTGAAGACGGTGAGTCTTATCTTATCAATTAGGAACGAAAAAACGTAAAATTTAAGTGGTAAGAAAAGTACGCCTCCTCCGTTGTTGCTGCTTCTAACTTTCCACCTACGACCATGGCGTGTCGATGCTCCAATTCTCTCCTGATCATTATCCTTCGCTTCGCTACTCCCAAAAACCTGTCGTAAATCTCCTCGAGGCCTACCCGTAACCTCCTCTTCTTCCTAATATAACGGCCTAGAGACTCCATGGCTTGCGAGTACAGGGTCTCTGCTTTTTCGGTTTTTTCTCTTTTTACCTGCATTGTTCGACGATGGTGTGAGTGAGTCGACGGATCCGTGAGGTACGATTTCTTCTTGTTGTCGGGAAGGACCTCCTACATCAACCCAGCAAACAAGGATAAGCAAAGGACACATTTCCTATTCCTTCTTCACATCTTTGTCCTGTAGTTACAACTAACTAGAAACACAAACAATATTAACCACAACAGTAAGAGTACCTCCACATACGTCTCCACAATGATCGCCAAGAGCATGTTCAGCATGATGAGCACAACCAGCACTGTGAATGTTGTGAAATAGAGCGCAACCCCAACCCAGGCCGTTCCCGCCAACTCGTCGTAGTCGAAGTCACCTACTACCAGCCTCCAACAGCTCATAATCGCATTGCCGAAGTTATGCCACTCTTTTTAGACCTCATATATATGATATTCATCTTCCTTGAAAACAAGCAGCATCTTTGACCTTGATGACGTGTTTTTCCCTTACAAAGAAAAGGAGTCAAAGTAAGATGCCTGCTGCTCGTAAGATGAATTAGAATTACGATGTATTTGTATATTTTCTGCCTTAATCTTTGACGTAGTTCCCAAACAGGAGCAGACCCATGATGGCGAAGGCGAAGAAGACGCTCAAAAAGACGATCATGAAGTGGATGATGTCGCTGCCAGCACGATACATCGTGTTCGTGACCAACCCCAACCTTGGTTGCGCACTGAAGCCCTTGAACATTCTCCCTAGGGAAATCGCCAAATAGCCCAGCACTTGCAGTTTCACGTCTTCTTGGAGGGCTAAGTTCTTCTCGATCTGCGAGTAAAGCAGTGGACGGTAGACTTCCCGCGCAGCGGCGTTGGTCGACCCACTCTCAAACATCTCGAAGGCTCCTGATTTTCCTAGAAGCGCAAGGTCACTAATACCATTCGAAAGCTGCACAAAACGATAAATCACTAGGATACAGGAAATCATGATCAGCCAGTCTATCGTGTTCCAGATGCCCAAGTAGTTAGATGCAAACTCCTTGACGCTCCCATGATGGATTAGCTGCGATCGGATGTCCCAAAGCTCCGAGATCAAAATCGACACGTTGGTCAAAAGCTGTTGATTTGATGTAGTCGAGGAGTGTAGTCGAGATGGTCAAAATACAGTTGATGTTCCTTTGATGTAGTTGTATGTGGCGAAAGGCAGCATGGCGAAAGAAAGACGTTGTTGACAAAGGAGGTGAATCTTTATATATAAGTAGGGAACAATGAATCTCACGACAAGTTGTCCATGATCATCAAGCGAATCTCACGACAAGTTGTACATGATCATCAAGCAGGATGCTCCAAGTTGTACATATTTATCTAGCACGTCGATCCAGAAGATCAAAGCAACCAATTATTGTTTTTGAAAGTATTGTTGGAAGGGTTACACGCTAGAGGTAAAAACGAACCGGTAGTTGTAGTACCCACAAGACATCAAGCACTGTCAACAGCGGCGCCATGTCCCCGTACCAGGGTCCGAAGTCCGACATCCAATGTGACGACACCGTCATATCCTTCCGCAGAAAACCTCCAGGCAGCATGACGAAGTGCATCGTCACTAGGGACACCAGGCCAAACGCCCGATTCACATTCAACGTGGACACCTCGATTTTATAGGTGTCTTCGGAGATCCAATTCTGTTCTTCTTTGGCACGTAGTTCGTTGTTTAGGGTTGTTATGTCCTTTGCAATCTCCAGATAGTAGACGTCTTTGTTGCCTTCCCCGTTCACGTTATCAGTTGACCAGACATCGGCAAGCAGAGACAAACCAAGGTCCGCGTAGTGGTTCTGGATCTCGAAGCTGGAGAGGTTTTGGGGAAATAAAGGGTGAAGACTTTATGTGACCGTTACGTATACTATGTACAGGATCAATGTCAACCATGAAGATGTTTTCAAATTCATCGTATGAAAATGCTCTAGTACGTGAAAGAACATGTTTGATTTTACTGAATGCTCTCCGTCGTACTAGAAAGAGAATATTTCAACAAGAAGATATCATCAAGTACCTTCCCGGACTATCGTAGCATATAATGCTTGGATCTGTGCCGAAACCACTTCTGAAATCCTCTGGCATCGTAGAGGAGCACTTGCCTGAGCTCTTGTTTTTCCGCAAGGTGATTCTGATATCACTGATAATGTGGTTGTGATTCATCAAATCGCTTGGCTTGATAGAGAGATTAGAAGAGGAAAAGGGAGGTCGGCATTTTTTTGGTTCATCTCTGTCTCTGTGGTGGAGGAATACTAGAGTGGAGAGGACGGAGTAGCCTCCTTGTGGTAGTTTTTACCGTGCTTGTTCATTGGTTCTACAAGAATCTTCGACAATACGTGCATGAAGCCGTGGACCCTGCTCGTAGATGACCATCAACAGCAATGGTTACGTAGGGAATGGAAGAGGGATCCTCATGCACTCCATAGAGAATTCGATATAAAGCAAAAATTAAAGAATAAGTATTAATAGCCTTAACTGGTGTTGTCGTTACTGTTCCTGTCGTGCCAAACTCTTCAGACCATGAGGTTCCCTTGTGAAGCATCAGTGGGACATACCCGAGACGCATAAACGAGTACCAATCAGCGATGTTGTGCACATCATGAAAGCCCTTGATTCCCCAGGTATCTGTTTGGATCATCATGTTGAGGTGCATGTATTGAGGTACTAGTTGGACCATAATAAATCTCGTGGAAAAAATATTCGTTACAGGTGTACATGTTCATCGTTAGTAAAGAACAAGAACTACTTGTCAATAAATGCAAGACTACAGTACTTGTCGTATCGATTGCGAAGTTTGCATTTTCCACGACCCAGTTTGTGGCTGAATTGGTAATGTCGTATTGGTAAGATATTCCGAAGTGGCACAAAACGGAAATCGCAAACATTACGACCAGACCGATGGAGCAAGGATTAGAGCCCGCCGCGATTCATCTTTCTTCAGCTGCATCCTTGAACGATATGGTGGAGCATTTCCCTTGTGATATTTTCCCATAAAACTCTTCACGGATGCAGTCAAAGATTTGAATTTCAACACGAAGTACTACAGCCTTAAAAGGAAGCGAAAGGCACGCAGCCTCGTCATCCATCTCCTTCTTCACCCAATTGAGAAACTCAACTTCTTTCATGCCTGAGTAGTGATAGTTGTAATGAGGATATAGGTTGAAATGACGAGAAGAGAGGTCGTGGTAAGAAGAAGCCACGCTAGTAACTTCGCACTACTTGACATGATATTGTTAAAAATAGACATCAAGATCGACCACTGCTGCAAGAAATTCTATTAAAGTTTATTTTAAACTAAGCACTACCTTCCGTATTCCCAATGTTTCCAGGTTCTTCTGCATGTTTCTTTTGCGTCGCCAGCTCTCGCATTTTTCTCTGTAGTAGACTGGCCTTGTGAATTTCCCGCATCTCCAAATCCTGTTGGTACTCATGCAAAAGAGAGTTCGCAAACTCCTTAATCTGTCCTCGGGACAGATCGAAGTCCTCCGACCCCTCATCTTGCTCGACCACACGGAGCGGAACCATCTTGATGATTGTGATTGAAGGCGGCTGCAGCAATGGCCTTGGTTATTGCTGCAGTTCTCGGGAATGTTCAAGGGTGTGGTTGAGCGAGTCTTCCAGCTACTACTGATTCTTATGATCGGCTTCAGCTTATGGGAAAAGCTGGATCGAGTCCTAAATCAGCTCGTTCCTGGAGGTTCCACCACTGTTGGAGGACAGAAGATCCTAGAAGAAGTTCCAAAGTCAGCCCTTCTCTACGAGGATCTTCACCACATCTTTAACCCCTTTCCGGTACCTTCTCTACTAGGATCTTCACCACATCTTGAAACCCTTACTTTTCCCGTAGCCTATTTGGCGTCTCTATTCTCTACTTTAACATTGTGGGTGAACAGCGACAATTCGTGAAAGTGAAGTTCCTGAAAATTCAACATTCATCTGGCGCAGGTGGTACTTTAGCTTGACGAGAAGAAGTTCCCTGAGAAGTATTGGGAGAACTGGGTCTAAAAACGGGGAAACAAATATATAACAGTTTGTTCTACTTGAGGCAACATAGTAAACTTTAACATAAATCGGAAATCTGGTACTAGAGAGAACGAAGGCGAAGAAATAAGGAAAAAGTGAGCGGCCTGTAATTTGATGAGGAGCAGAAAGATCTAAAATCTGTTTTCAATGTCGAGATCATGATAATGATAGAGCTCGAGTTGTGAGGGAACAAAAAAGACGAGATGGAATCTTTTTAGATAATTGTGGTGGAGCCGACCTAACTAGAAAAAAGAAACAAGACCAGATGGAACCTTTTTAGATAATGATCATAAAAGTTCATCGCTCATTCTTGGTTCTTCTATGATACAGAGTTTAGGCTCACAGATACGGGGTATCTTCATGCTTTTTTCGTACTCTATTAAATGATCTCAATATCTCTGTTTGCCTCTCAACTCCGATGTTTCTGTCTCTCACCTCTCAAACGCCATACAGAAGACCATGCTTCAATTGACCTTGATAGTGGCTCTGGTTCGCTCTCGCACTAGTACGACAGATCCAATTTTATCTTCATGACTCTCCTAGTACTCCTTCGTTCGCTCCACAGTAGACACAAGATCAAAATATTGTCACTGTTCGGAGTGACCACGAATCCTCCATGTCCAAGTACCGGCTGCATGAGTTTTGTTTTCCAATCTTAAATCCCTTCTTGTTATATTCGACATTTTTACAATTTCACAGATTGAAAATTCTTTTGTTCATTCGCAATTTGCCCTTACCAATGTGAGAGTCGGTCGCCTCGTGCTGTTATTTTTGACGATCGTTTTATGCATTGATCTCCTTTCTCGGGTCTTGTCTTCTCTACAAGACGCGCGACAAACACAAGAGCCTAGAGTTGTTCACTTCTAAAAAAAGTTAGCGACTTTGCTTTATTTGTTACTAGCTTCTAGTAGAAAAACTACCTCAAGGCAATGGTAAGCGTAAGCTTTCCTGGTATATTCTATTTCTCTAATTTATTATCGTTGACTATCAATATTTTTAGGAAAAAGTGCAGCAGTAGTAAACTCTTGGCGAATATTACTACAAGTGCATCATGATTTGAAGCTATTCCGCGACCACCATGACCACCTCCACGACGACGACTAAATATTCTTGTCTAAAATACAACCGTAGACGGATACGGCCCTTGCAATCGCTTTTCCTTTTGTTCAATATACAAGACTCAATTATGAAACACTTCCTCCATAGTTGAGGCCAACAGCAAAAAGCCTCATTATTTCCAGTTCGTAGTTGATCATCCAACTCGTGCAAAGCCTGTGGCTCATCTGGGCTTGCTGGAAACTTCTGCATGACTTTCGGCAAGGCTCCTTCATGAGGAATCTGGCATTTAAAGGACGCATGGTCCTCAGGATGCACCGAGGAGGTCCTCGCGCACCACTAGTACAACTTCTAGAGTTCGAGTTGCTACTCGAAGAAATCATACTGCATATTCTAGCAGCACTTAGGTTGGTTGGTCGGTTGGTTGGTTGGTTGATTGGTTGGCTGGTTGGTTGGTTGGCTGGCTGGTTGGCTGGAAGGACAGCAAACCTGCTTCGCAGCATCGACAAGAGTTTTTTTCTGAAGTGACACCATTTTTGCCCCCCAGACGTCAGAGAAAGTGTCTGCAGCACCAGTGAGGGATTCCCATTCCCCGTCGTACTTCTGCCTGGCTTTTTCCCAGACTTCCACAGAGATCTTTGCATCCTTCACTTCCGCACCAGCGCCGCAAGCCTCCGTCTTCTCCTCCGCCGAGAGGTCTTTACATTGCTTGCCATCTAGCTTGAACCAGAATATAGCGTGGCGTAGCCTCGTGCCCCTTCCCGCCGCTGCATGCGGGGTTGCAAGTTTGACGCCTTCCACGGCGACGGCCATCATCGCGCACGATTTCACAAAGCGGGACATCTTTTTGGAGGTTAAGGTTTGGTTTTCTTATATACAAACTGGAGACTTAACCCCCGGGGATCCTAAATCTACTGGTGAGTTATACTTTTTAGTGCTGTGGCAGCACGGTAGGCTGGCTCGGCAGACCCAGGTCTTTGCCGGCGCCGGTCGTTGCACCTACGGCCCATAAGTTTGCCACGGAGCGTGGCGGGAGGCCTTTACCTCCCCAGAGAGAGTTGCGCACCAACGTCCGGGTGTCGTAACCCCTCTCGCGGCTCGGCCGGTGTTCGTGCACCGTCGCCCTCCGAGTCAATCAACCGGCACCCGCGAAGTTTCGGGTGCTCGCTCTTCGCGTCGGACGCTTTGGCCCGGGGCGCTTTGGCCCGGGTGCGCGGCTAATCCCTCGGCAGTAGCAGGCGTTGTCCCCCCGCTGGGGGACAAGGTCACTTTGAACCTCCAGCCCGCGCTGTCGGCCTACTACCGGGGCTTGAGCTCCCGCTCAACCTCTGGTCTCGGTTTGACACGTGCCAGCGGTGAATGGACCGCTCCGAGCCCTTATCCTTTCCTCACCGGCACCTTCCTCCGGAGACCCCGACCAGGCTCCGGCTTCCTGGTGCAGACTTGAGTCGGCGGTCTGAGACTCGCATCCGCCGTCGAGGGGTTACGGGGACGTGTGCCGGCCTTTGCACAGGTTTGCGTCAGGACCTCCCGCCGGCCAGCACCCGCGTCGGTGGTGTGCCGGGGCGGCTGCCGCCCTCCACCGCGCTTGTCACTCCCGTGGGAGGGACGAACTCCCGGAGCGACAGCGACAGCAGGGGCCGGCAGGCGTTCACATAGTTCAGCCAGCCATAGTCGGGCACCAGTGGACTGCTGAACCGTCTGCAGCCGTGGGATGGTGTTGATGAACAGTTTGCACTTGCCGTGTCTGGTCATGTAGTCTGCCAGGTTCCATTCGGATTTTACGTAGACGCGCCACGGTTTGACATTGTTGTCGTACCAGTGATTGACTACGTCTACAGCGGTGTTTGCCACCACCGCGGATTTGCCACTACATTTGATGAAGTTGTAGAGTACTGGCGTGTTGTCGATCAGCACTACGAGGGCGGAGTTGCTGGCCCAACTCGGTAGTTGCTTTGCGGCGAGGCCCACCGCGGCCGCCTCCAGTACCTCTATCCTGGCGGTGGCCCATCGGCCATCCGTCAATGGCTGCATTTGGATGAGGGTCTTCCCGCTGTGGTGGATCATGACGTATCCAAGCGTTGGCTCGCCGTTCGGCCCGCCATCTGTTGACGCGTCCGTGAACAGGAAGCTCAGAGGCTTCACGATTTGTTCTAGCCTGAGTTTGAGCCTGTTCACCTTGTGGACCATCTTCTCGATGGCCGCAGTGGAGCGCAGGAGGGCTCTCCGTTGCCACCGCTGCTTCACCAACTTGTCGAAGGTGGCGTCTTCTGTCCATGCGTAAAGAGACCTCATGATCTCGTTTCCGGCTCTGTTTGCCGCGGACACGGTGATGAAGTTTGCCAGTCCGAGCAGTCGCTGGACTGCCTTTTTGTCCAACTGTCCTGTGTTCTGTTTACTTTCTGCCGGAGCTCGTTTGCGACTTCCGCGACTTGCTGGAGCATGTTGTCTGGCACCACAACATCAATTCCCGTTTTTGGGCTTGTGTCGTAGTGGAGGCCCAGTATGCGCACAATAGGGCTTTTTCTAGAGTCCTGCTGTGCTGCCGCTTTTGTCGCGAGCTCCAGCCCCAGGCAGTCGCAGAGAGCTTCGCATGCCTCTACTGCCTCATCCGCTCCCTCTTCGAGACTGAGGATGATGGCGTCGTCGATGTAGATTGGCACTACTGTGTGCCCGAGCGTGGCCATTATTTTCATGACCAGCTCCGCCACTCTACGCCAGCTGCTGACGCTGAACTTGTTCCCCATGTTCAGTATCGCCGCGAGGAACATGCGGTAGCGCCCCTGGGTGTCGTCCCA